TTTTTTTTTTTTTTTTTTTTGTTTTTCCTAGTGTTTTTGGATCCCAACGATACGGTACCACTAGTAACGTGATACGGGCGGAACGCACCACCTGACAGGCCAGCGCCACTGGAGCCCCTCGGACCCTGTGGGGCTTCATTTAAGGTACTTGGGCGATGCGGCACGGTGATTGGCCCGCGGTGGACGGGGTTCGATTATCCTCCACAGCCGAGATGAATTCACGGGCATTTCTGGACAAACAAAGTCAATCCTAATAACGCGCGCAATGAACGGTTGTTTTGCCAGCCTCGCAGTCGCCCAATGCAGCTAGCCCCAACCCAAAATGCTGGCCGTTTAGTACTTTCCTAGTTGGCTCAACGCCAGCCCTGGACGGCGCTGCCCCGAAGTCGCTCGCTCCTTTTTCTTTCTTTTTGCCCCCCTCAGTTTCGCTGGATTCTTCTTCTTCTTCTTCCCATCCCAGTCTATCGTTTATTTATTCCTGCCATTCTGCGCAGAGTCCGTTCTTTCTGTTGCGATATCACCTCCATTCATTCCGAAGTCTCTCCTTGATCCTTTCGGCTTACTACTTTATATACCCCACGTCTTGTGCCTGACGATCCCTGCTATTTTCACGCCTTCTTCAAAGATCCGATTATCATCGCTACTACAGTCAATATGCGTTCAGCCATCTACATGTCTCTCAGCGCCTTCGCGGCTGTTGTTGCTGCTGCCTCCTCCAACCCTTTCAACAACCCTGCGGGTGGCTACTCCTTCAAGGCCGGATCTCCTACCACCATCACCTGGGATCCCACCACCAGCGGCACTGTTTCGCTGAAGCTTCAATGGGGCAATGCGTTGACTCCGGACTCTGGAAGTGAAATCGCCTCGGAAATTGACAACTCGGGAAGCTACTCGTGGACCCCCGAGTCCAGCCTGGCTGATCGCGACGATTACACTGTTGAGATCATCTCCGACGATGACAGCAGCGAGGTCAACTATCTCCCCCGTTTCTCTGTCTCTGGTGTCACTGGCTCTGCTAGCACCACCGAGGCCGCTTCCACCACTACTGGCACTGCCTCGTCCTCGACTACCTCTGATGCCACTACCACTGATGCTACCACCACCACTGGAGCCACCACTGGAACCACCACCGGAACTGCTTCGACCACCTTGACTACCCAGACTAGCACCAGCACTGATTCCACAACCTCTGGCTCGTCTTCTTCTCCTAGCCCGACCTCTTCCGGCTCGTCCACTGCCTCGAGTTCTGCTGCTGCCACCACCTCCGGTGCCTCTAGCACCTCTGATGCCAGCAGCACCACCGATGCTTCGAGCACCAGCTCTCCCAGCGCCTCGGCTTCCACTGTCCCAGACACCAACTCTGGCATGATCAACCGGGTTTCTGGTGGCATGATGGCCATCGTCCTGGGCGCTGCTTTCTTCCTGTAAGGGTCTACAAGCACTGTTGGATTGACGAGGTTTTTTCCTTTTTTGGTATATAGCTTTTTCTTCTTGGACTGCCTGAAATAGGGCATGTTTTTATTACGTGGATATCATCTTCTCGGCCGCTGAAAAGACTTTTAACGAGGCTGTCTTTTTCTTTTTTACCTTGGACAAAGCTTTCGCTTGTACCATATTTTATATTGATTCTTGGGACGGGTTATTCCACTTGATGTCAAGTGTATATAGTCATGTGCTGTAATAATGAGGCCGTGTCGTAAGGACTGGGGCATATGGAATTGAACTTACTGAAGCGACATTGAGATTGTCCGTGCTATCGTGGAAAATCCCCGTAGGAGATAAGTGAGATAACTAGACAACGCTATGGCATCGCAAGGGACCGGATATACCGGCCTGCGATAGCGTATTGTCACAATACCGTACGGGGTATTTGCCCTTACAGTGGACAGGCGCAGCCAATAGGATCTGAGACTAATTGCTGATAAATATCGAATATTATGTCATATTATATGCAGATAATAAGATGGATGAATATGAGAGATTATCACAGATCAGTATGGCAGGGATATCAGCATACGTGGGTATCATTTGATGATTTGATTAAGGGACTGATCAACATTGGGATCAACAGATCAACAGGGCAAAACTACTTTATTGCTCCATCACTTCATGCCCAACAGACTATAACGTGATATTGACTGTTCGCCCAGAATAGACCATCATCCTTCAGCATGGACATCCATGATCACCAACCTAGTCGCCGGTCATGATGGAAATCCTCCCTATTCCCCCTCAAATCCAATCTCATCTCATCCTGCATCGTGCTTCTCGACAACTTCCCAGTAAAGACACGTTAAACGGCTGGGACGGACCCGGGGGGGGGGGGTTCAAATGTCCTTTTTACCCCGGAATGATGATGATTCGACAGTGTCATTATATGTGAGGCTGCCTGCTTGAGTTGTCAGGGATTCAGAGCTTGCAGGATAGCTAGTCCTTGATGCAGGTTGTCCTACGATGAGATGGTTTTTCCCCTATCTCCTTGTTGCTCGGAAGAAGCGATGGTTGTTTTTGCAATGTCGAATCATGGGGGCCTTGAGGGAGCAAGTGTTGTTATATAAGTGGTGGTTATCTCTGCTTGATCTGGGTTCTGCTGTATATCCAAACCAGGCATAAGATCCAACCGTCAGACAGGAAACATCATGATTCCAGCACGTACTTTTCTGATCATTGCTGTCATCACTTTTCTTTCATCGCTCGTCCACGCACAGACAAACGTCACCTCTAATCTCTGCGCCGATCCCTCGGCTTATAGCTCGTGCAATGCCAACGTCGACGCCAAAGGACGAGACTGCGTCGTCAATTGCAATGGCTCTGTCAACTGTGTTGTTGCATGCGGATGCACCGCTCATCAAGACTACCTGAACTGCATGGCAGAAGCATGCTGGAATCAAGTACGCCACTAACCAGCAGCCCCACTAACCCTAAGCAAACATCTAACTCATGAATGAAAGGTCTACTCATGCGAATACCAAATCTTCATCCAGCAATACCTCACCTCCTGTCCCGACGTCACAGACCCGATTCCCTTCTGGCCTCCTCCCAAGAACGCACCCGGTGGTTGTTCCTGTAATATCAGCGAGGTCTACGACTCGGTGCGACGGGCTGAACAGGAACAAAGCTCGTGTCTCGTCAATGCAAGCAATGAGCTCACCACGAATAATGGAGTCGATGTTGCAAAGAAGGAATCCGGCTGTGCGTGTTGTGGGATCAGTGCTATCTTATCTGCGTGAGTCTTCTCGTCTGCGCATTCTACCTGAGAAAGATAACTAATGTGGGTATAGAATACACGACATCTGCCCAGACACCATCATCCCCGCCCCCATAGCCTTTTACAACATCTGGCCCTTCTCCCCAACAAACAATCTCCCGACTCTCCCTCCCCTCCCAATCTCCGTCCCAGTCCCAGAAATCAACATCTCAGACCCGGATTGGTCCGCCTGCGAAACGCCCCTCAAGAACTACAACTGCATGTCTGATCTCGGGTTCTCTGCGCCGTCCAAGTCGTCCAAGACATTCTATCGGCCCGATAATATGCCCAAGAATGGGACGGAGACGCTGCATAATACCGGGACGGAGGTGACGTCGCCGCCTAGTGGGACTGTGTTTACCTGGCATCAGTCCACGGCGACGTATACGGTGACGGCGTCGGCGTATGTGCGAGAGAGGACTTCGAATGAAACATTGACGGGGACGAGGTCGGGGTTGGCGAGTGCGATGCAGACGGCCGGTTCGGAGTCGGGGGCTTCTAGAGTTGGGGGGTCGATGGGAGGGTTGTTTGTTGAGATAGGGTTGGCTTGGTGGCTTGTTTAATTGGACTACGTATGGAGATCTGGAGTGCAGATCATATAGTGGAGTATACGTCAAGCATCGAATTGATGGATTATCTGTATGTATAAGGAAAACAAACTAACCGAATAATAATGGAATCATATACCGTCAAACCGTCGAGGGAATCATATACCAAGCCAAAACCAAAACAATGCTAATCTATGCAGCTGTCCACTGCTGGGAAGCACGGTTGATAAACTTCATAAACTTCCAGAATCCAACGGCATACTCAACCGTGCCATAAGGATCAACCACCCGCTCAGGGAATGCAATTCCCGCACCGTACAAGCCACGAACAACTTGGCCGCTCTCGTCGTGAAAGCCGCCCGACTCATGGTCAAACTTGGGCTCAAATGCGAGACCGTTTCTGGACATTTCTGGCAAAGGATCTCGTGTAAATCCCACGGCTTGGACGATATGTGCACAGGAGGGCAGATGCTTTTCATACTGCGTCAATTCCTTGCCGTCACTGCAGTCGACCTTGGTGATAAATTTACCGGCCTCAGATTTGGGCAGAGCTTCGTCTTCCAGTTGTTGACGAGCAAATTCGGCCGCTGAACCCTTGAGGCCGGTATTGTCTCGGAGAATCCAGCCGTCCATATACTCTGCATAGCGGAGAGGGTGGCGGGTGAACCATTTGACACGGAGTTTGGGGTGGGAAGTGCGAGCGAGATCTACTAGGTTCAACAGGGCCAAAATGGCACTATGTGAGGCACCGACCACTGCGACAGTTTGAGGGATCTCCCGAGGAAGATGCGAGGTGAGTTCGCTGGGTTTCAGTACTACATCGAGATCTAACGGTTGGATGTTGAGTCCGGACACGGGGACTGGAAGGAATGTTGGTGACGCTCCCGTGCACAGGATGAGCCGGGAGGTCATGATTTCGACTTCGTTCAGAGAGCCCTGGCGCTTGACTCGAACCGTCCAGGTGGAGGACTACAAGAATTGGTTAACTCTCAACCCCATAACCAAGACTTCCGTTTGTACTGACCTTATCAGACAAATTGGCCGCAGTGACAACTCCCTCATATTGGTAGACCTGCTCCATCTTAACAACACCGTCGGTGAGTGCCTTTACCATGTCTGCCGCATGATGCAGATGACAGGTCTTTGTCTGGTCGAGTTTGGCCAACGTAGAGAATGCGTTGGGAATCTGGGTATTGTTGATAACCGTTCGGAATGGCTGGACTGCCGTGCCATATGCTTGGAAAAGAGAGACCTTGGTGTTGCTGGGAAATCACAGAATTAGCCCAGTGCTCTCTCAACCGATCGTATTCGATCCGAAACAGTCGACTCACCTGGGAACTTCGCGGTATTTCCTGTTCACACGTCCAGCCTGGAAGTACGGATCGACCCAGGCAATCTGCCCAAGTTGTCTCTCCAGAAGATTGCCAATGACGGCCAGACCAGCTGGACCAGCTCCCACCACCACAGCAGCACATTTCTGAGGAGAACTCATTTCGCAGTCTCAAGAAGCGTGAAAACAAAGCAAATACACAAGAATGTAGAGATATAGCGAAGAGAGAGAAAATGGTAGCAAAAACACGTCGAAAAGACGGTGAATATAAATGTATTGGGGGTATCCAAACAAGCTAAAGAAACAGCCCGGCGTAATTCTCGGGGAAATGCCAGCTAGGAGTCACAAAAACCCTCTCAGCGAGAGGGGAACGACAGGATAGCGAGCAAGAGAGGGGGGATAACGGCGAGAAGGAAGTGCGTGCGCCCATCGAACCACGATATTCCGTCATCAAGCCACCAGAATCTCTCTTGGAACCTGCGATTGCCGTCATCACACGCCCGAGATAGACGAATCGATGCTTTCTCGGGCGAGATGAGACTGACTGTCACCCCCTTGGCCTCCCTTGTGATCACCAAAACAATCGCCGAGTCCCCGAATCGCCGTCTGACCCTTCGCTTCCTCATCGTAATCGCCGTCTCTTATTCATTATTCTGGGTGCGCTCTGCCGTTGCGCAACCGACGCAATCTGCGCCCCACCTGCCTTGGTCCATGTTGGACGCTTTCCGTCGGCTGGGAATCTGGGCGTTTCAAGGCCTCTCACGGGGAGAAGCACCATGGGAAAGGCTCATGAGATGGGAGAAACTGTGGCCGAATCGTCAGAAAGGTCGAAAGAACATATCTTTGAGCCAGAAAAATTTATGGAGCGCGTGGAGGATGAGGACTTTTTTATATTGCTGTGTTCTTGCAGCGGCCACTGGCGGTCTTGGCGAAATTGCGTGATTTCAAGAGAAATGAGGTTATCAGTAAGTGCTGGTTAGTCATGATGATAGTCAACTATACAGATGGATATAAGAGGTGATATGGATTAAAATTACTGTATCCTTGGTATATATTCTAATCTCAACGAGGTGGAAATTATTTGACAGTGAATTCTCAACACCAGCCCAGAAGACTTCTACATAAAAATGACACTGAGTTGCTGACAACAGACGATGATTGATCACCAGTCAGAGCCCCATATTTACCCCGGATTTTCACATTGCTAGTTCTCAGTTACCTGACTCTTAGATTCATCGTCGTAAATGCCTATTATACACTCCAAAACACCCGGATAGACGCTCCATCCACATGGTTCGCCCATCCCCCAAATCTCGCTCGTGCCCACAAGGCAATCGACTGTCCAATCTCCAGTCCTCGTACTTGGCTGCCGTCAAGTGTGGCGCGACCTCTGCCCTGGGAGAGTTTAATCTCCTCGGCCTCATCTGAATCGGGCTGGATGTTGTCAAGATGATGCCAGGTAATAGTATAATGCTGCGTCTCGTCATTCGCTATTGGGTTGGACTGCAATTTGTCTTCACGAGGCAAGAGATTCGGATGATCGGGTCCAAAGTGTTGTCGTTCAGGTACGTTTGTGTCTTCAAGTCTTTGGTCTGAAAAAGGCGTGAAAGGGATTATCTCTGTATCAAACCAGGTAAATGAGCCATTGAATATGCTTTCGCCATCACCATGGCCACCCCAGCCTTGATCATGAGCTGAAATAGAGAAAATAATTTTCCGACAGGGGTGAATGGTTCTGTGGGGGACAGTTGTGGGCGATGAGGTTGACAGTGTCTGGAAATGAGTCAAGGTCAATCAACTAAAAGATACTGGAAGGTGGAGGACATACCTTGGGGCTATAACACAACGGGTCTGTCTTCAGTATCACTCGATCCCTATCGTTTCTGATTATCGTGCTGCCCTGCATCGTCACCACACTGGATGGCCAGTATTCCGCCGCATCGACTATCAAATCCACAATCTCAGCCGGCATTCCACCTGGCACGACCTTCCACTGCAGAACATGCCGGGTTTTGAGAACATCCCACAAACTGGGGCAAAATGATTCGGGTTCTGCTGTAGTTGGCTCCATGCCCTTATTAGATGAGGATGAATCCTCGACTGGAGGAGGGTCCGAGGTTCGTCTAGTGAGGCGTAAGCGACGGAGGGGCGCCATGACCATAGGGAGCATCATTTGCCTTGTTTGTATTTATGTTAGTATATATGTCTCTCTCTCTCTGTGTGTGTGTATGTATAAAGGAGAAATGAAGGATATATTTGACAGGATGGTTCGGTTTGCATTATATACCTGTGGTAGTGCGGCTGAAAGCTGAAGCAGTGTTCGCCCCGCAGTAGTGGAGATTTTTAGAGAAGTGGGTGCACTCAAGCAATTCTCAAGAAAGGATTTTAAAGAAATGAAAATATTTACTGGAGAATAATTTCAGGATGGTTTGATATATTCTTACAAGTTGTTTTTTCTGGTCAAGGCATCTACGAATTGTTTTGATGAAGAGTCATCTGATTTCCGATGACGTCAGTCAGTCTTCTCCACTGATAAGTTATCACTATCAGGCACAAGGGAAACGGCTGAAATACCCGGGTTATAACATTTTTATAAATGGGTTCTTCATAAGTTCCCAATTCCGTAGACTCCCAATTAATACATACATGAAGGCAAAGAAAAATCACCAGCCATCATTTATCCTTCTTCGCCATCTTTCCTTGCCTTCCTCCTGCAGCCTTGTATGCTGCTGCGCGCTGACTGCTCCTGTTCTTTGGCTTTCCCTTCGATCCACGGCTCTTTGTCTTCACCTTAATTCGAGGTCCATCTTCAGTCGCGCGGTAGCCCTCAAACACGGTGGAATTCTGTGAGATGGATCGCTTCTCCCCAGCCTTCAGCTTGGCCGCACCGGCCCGACCGAATAGCTTTCCAGCACGTCCTTGGAGCGTGCGGTGGGACTCTCCCATAGCCCTATCCTTCGCGTTGCGTTCAGGACCGTCGCGCTTCTTGAACATCCTCTTGGCTCGCGATACGCGCAGTTTCCGAGGCAGCATGGGAGGAAACTTTTTCCCGTCCAGCAGGATGGCCTCCTCCACGCAGTTCGGATCGTAGAACTGGACATACGCAAATCCTTTGCCGACACGGGTGAGGTTGTCTCGGATCACTCGTACCGACTCAACGTTACCCTTAGAGCCCTTCTCCTTGGGCTTGCTGATGTTCGCATTGAACGTGCGCCACAGACCTTCCTCAACATCGGCGGGGGGTGTGTTCTTTTTCTTTTTCTTATTTCCTTCCTCGTCCACATCTCCTTCCTGGTCAATGAAGTCCAGGTTTCCGACAAAGACGCATCGTTTATTGTCAACGGCCGAAGGGTGCGCAACGCTGTCGACACGTAGATGACGATCCAAAACGACGGTCCCGTTCAAGGCCGCAGGCGCCTTTCGAGCAGCCTGGACGGTGTTGTAAACGGCGTATGCATTTGTGCTAGGTGTAGTCTCGTCCAGGACTTCTTTCCTAGCGAATGCAGCCCTCTTTGGAACACGCCCCCCGCTGGCAAAAGCCGTAGAACGAAAACGGATTGACTCCACCTTGTGAGGTCCGGAGGATTCGGGAAGATCAGCACAGAAAGAGGCCAGGTGCTTGAGAAGGGTCTTCTTGGCAGTTTTGGACTTGATAGCCTGAGTCGAGACATTGCCCAGGAAGACGGTGCGGTTGGACTTGTCGAGATCGCTAGAGTCTGCCTTGCTCTCATGCACTGGCACAGAAGTCTTGCCATCCTCTTCGTCCGAGGATGCATCTTCATACTCAGCCTCGTCTTCAGAACCCTCCGATTCGTCGGTCGATTTGTCGCTGTCGTCCTTTTGAGCCTTGACCTTTTGCCTTTTCGATTTCTCCGATGCACGGCGTTTCTCTTCCTCTTTCTGTTCCTCCTTTTCTATGCGACGCATGTAAGATTCTTCGAGATCGTCTCCAGTCGCCCTCTTTCGTTTCCGGCTGGGAGCTTCGGAACTCTCATCTTCGACGGCATCAATGCTATCTTCCGGGGCCTCCTGCATCACCTCATCGTCGTCCTGGTCTGATTCTGCTTCATCCGCATCTTCTTCGGCATCCTTCTTTTCGACTCGTGGGGCAGATGGCACGACAGTTGGGGCCTTTACTGGACCAGCCTAATCAATTGCAAATAGACACGTTAGCTGACTGGCGCCCAATAAAATCATAAGGGGCAGGCCACGTACACTCTGGTCAAACAGGGACGCCAGAGTCGGGTCGATAGACGCATTTCCACCCAAGAAAGGAAGATTAGCTGCGGGCTGCTGCTCAGTCTTCTCCGACTGAGACTTATTTTTCTTGCCCATGATTGTATTGGAAGAAAGTAAGTCCTTAGGCGAAATGAACGATAAGCAAGGTTTCAGTCAAATAAAAACACCCTAATTGTTGAGGCGATAAAAACCTCTGTCTTGCAGTCGCCGATCTATCTTTTTTTTTTTTTTACTTTTTTCTTGTCGGGGAACAGCCGATCAGGTCTTGGCGGAGGTTTCTATCACGTGATATTTTACAGAAACACCCCATGGTGGTTATTCTTCAATTTGAACAGGTTAGATAATATAGAATTTATATTTTTCGGATACTTGTAAGAGTAAGTCAGCTGTGTTTGTATTAATCAAGCTCTGGTGTTGTGATGCGAGTGGTCGATGATTGATAAGTCTTATCGACTGTGACTGCAGGATTGCAATGCGCTCGACATGCACTGTGAAGAACCCAATGCAGTGCTGCTCTGCTGCTCCGAACAGACATGCCATTATCGACATACCAGGCCATCGATTCGACATCGCAATATCTAATATCTTACAATTGACATGCCCTCTGTCGTTCTCTGCATTGCAGTCTGATCTAGGCGGTGAGCACGCCCAGCGGTGATGCGGCAGAATCCGCCTTCTCCGTCACTCTCGCTCTCATCCGGAATTGAGGCCCTCTTCGTCCTTTTCTCTTCTCTCCCTCTGTTGCTGCCACCCGTTCTGTTGTGGTGATCAATCTCAACTCCCTTCATCCTATTCTTCTTGCTTTCTCTATCTCTTTCCTCTCTTCGAATTCCCTCCTCTTGACCACTGAGCTGCCTCTTCATGCCGTCCTCCCTCCCGCAACGCTGCTCTGTCGTATTGCCCGCTTCGTGAAGCCCACCACCGCCCCCTCTTCTTATTCCTCTCAACCAGTTTTCGTCTGCGCAGGATCTGATTTCGCCCTGAGGTCTATTATATACTTCATCATCAGCTTGGTTGAGTTGATTTTCGTTCCTGAGCTCGATACTTGCAAACGCGCGCTGGCTGTGGGAACCGTGCTCGGTCGCGAGCAGCCGTGATCATCACTGGCTTCGCTGCTGGCGCATTGCTGAACGGTACGTCTGTTGGTCTACAATCTCTTGGATTATTTGGTCTGCTTCCTGCTCGATGGTTCAACATGCCTACGGCCTCTGATAATGAATGTTGGGTGTTTATCGTGGACAGCGCAGTCTCCAGCTCAGGACGGAGCAAGCGACTGCCCATGATTCTGGGGGTTCTGAGCAAAAGCGATCAATCTCCGCACCGCCTTCTGCGAGACTCCTAGCTACTACCACTTCACCCTCACCCCCATCTAAACTTTTTTTCTGCCCTTTGTGCTTTTCGATCAAATATCTTTTTCGACTTTTTATCTCAACCCCCATGGTTTTCAATCTGGCCACTGATCTAACATTTTTCACGATTGACCCAGGTTTAGACCCATTTTTACCGTCGTCTTCACCGCTGTCTTTCGCACTCCCCTTCTCTTCCCCCCACACGCCCGCGGTCAACAACCTGCGCTGGGCAACCATACACAGAATCTCCCCCTCACACTCCCTGCTTCGGTGTCACACTTGCGCATATCGCGTTCCTAGCCAATGGAGGTGGCCGAAAGCAGAGAGCCTGGCTCAGTTGGTCCACCAACGGGGGCAGAATCCACAGTCACAAATGGGGATCAAAATCCTCTTCTCGATGACTCACTCATGGATGACCGGTCGAGTAGTCTGAGCGAAATTGACTACGTCTCAGAAAATGAGCCTTCCGACTACGAACCTGTGAAGCCGGAGAAGACGGTGCCCGAAAATGATTCCGAGGCCGAAACAGAGCGGATCGAAGACTCTCCACACAGTGCTCGCTGGAGAAAAGATATTGTTCTGAGTGCAGCGAGTAGCCATGGACCCAGCCCCAGCAAGTTGGCCCAGTCGACTACCTACGAAGAAGCCGAGGATGATGAAGACGACGAGGAGCATGTCGCGGATGATTCTCCCAGCAAACCTCGTTCAAAAAGCAACGGGGTTGCCGAGGCTACTGATGAAACCCCCGGCCTGGAGGATTCCACATTGTCAGACAGCTTGAGCAAGAAGCGCAAGCGCTTTGAGACTGGCGGTGATGATACAGGGACAGAATTTGGCGAAGATGAACCGCCCAATAAGCGTCGCGGCTCTGTCAAGAGTGATTTGAGCGACCCTCCCGCGGATACTTTAACACCGGAACCATTTGAAGAGCCGCCGAAGCCCACCGAAGATGATACGCCAGCAGATGAAGTCCCCGAGTCGGATCTACCTGCAGCTCCCGTAAAGGGCAAAAAGGGTAAAAAGGGCAAACGAAAGACACGGAAGACCAGAGATCTGGAGGAGGAAACCGAGGTTGGTGGTGCCGTTGAGGGTCCTGAGGGTGGTGCGGATGATCATCTAGAAGATGACGACACCGCCGAACGAGGCGAGGAAGTAGATGACGCTGAAGCCGCGGCAAAGCATGAGGAAGAATGTAAGTCAGAAATCACATTACATCCAGAATATGCGAGTATGACTAACATTCTATACAGCAGCAAAGAAGATGTCTGCCATGGAGTCCTTGACGGTATTAGAACGAGAATTTGCGACGCTGCGTGACAAGTAAGGATCCTTTGCCAACATCACGGGCGTTCATTTCTAATAAAGTACAGGATCTATGACGAAAAAATATTTAAGCTCAATCGTGAGCTAGAGATGCTCACGGGACCCAATCCTACCCATCCCGAGTACCTACGTCAGCTTGAGTGTGTCCAGCGCTATCGTGACGCAAAGGTCAACTACGAACACACTCTTTTCCAATACCGGCTGAAGGCTCTGTTGAACAAGAGCCTTGCGGAGCGAGCGCAGACACATAGTACCTTCTTCCAGCGTGCCCGGGATATTCGTGAAAGGCATTCAAGTGCAATCAGCCAGCAATTCTATGCCATCCAACATGATCGTTTCAAGACAGAAGAGATCAGCCCGCATCATTACATTCCATTCCCCACTCGCCGGTCCCAGCAGATTGCGCATCAAACTGCATATAATCAGGAGGTGTCCGTGATGGCCGGTGTCGCCAAATACGTCGGTTTTCCGGCCGCTCCCTCTTTGGCTCCCGCACGCCCCTCCGAGCTCGATGATGACCTGGAAAAGATGGGAGTGAGTTCTTCTTCTTCTCCTTTTGTTCTTTTTCTTGAAAGCTGTGAAACTAACATAAAATGCTAGATTTCCGTTGAGCCGAGAATTTCTGCTTCACAGCCCTCGGCGTCATCGTCTCTACCGCGTGGTGCCATGTCGGCCCTATCTTCCAATGCTTTCCGCACGGCTGCAGAAGAAGCTTTTCTGGAGCAAACTCCATGGGCCAATCCGCAACATCCTGTTCACCAGCAGCAAACGCAGACCAGGCCTCAAGGTCGAGTATTCGAGCATCCACGAGCCCCCTCGTACACAACACCGGCCGCCCAGAAGCGGGTAGTTGATGTCAATGCCCCCAACGGGTCGGCATCCACCATCGCGGAGAACCCGTCCGCAACCAATTCGCCAGCGAACAACACTCCCTATGGTACGGAACAGGAACAGCCGCACCTCAATAATGGACACTTTGTGCAACCCGACTATGACGCGGACCGAAAATCAGGGTTCCGATCACAAAGCTCCTCTCCGCTGGATATGCGGAAACCCCATCCACACTTGAACCATGCCCTCGGCCATCGATCTCCTCCCGAGATGCGGCCGGACAACGCACGAAATAATGCCTACTCACCACCACCCGCACGGCTGGGGCTTTTCCATGCAGCCGCCTCAAAACGCGATTCCTCACCATCACTGTCTAAACCTGCCAATTCTGTTCATCAGTCGACGGGAGTCGGCACTGGTCCTGCCTCGAATCAGATGGCTGCTCGATAGAACCCGCTTTTTTTCTTCTTCTGATACCACTAACTATATTTTCTTTTTCGGTTGGTTATATTGTATAGGACTCAACGATCAAGGCGTTCTAGAGTCTCATGTATGTATGTTTGGCATGTATGACTGGAAACACACGGACGAATCTAGCTGTTCTCTTGTAGTTCTCTTTCTGTTTCTTTTTTTTTTTTTTCTTTTTTCTTACCCACATTAATGCCTTTTGATATGTTTTTTTGAGCTTTGTGAATAAGGGCGATCGGATGCATCGGAGCTCCATGTTTCAATAATCATTCTCACGATACATAAGGCCATGGGCGTCAATCATGTCATGTCTTGTCTTTCACTGGAGTAAGTCTACCTGGGAAGCGGGCTTGTTTAGTGTCTTCATTCAATGAAATCCACTCTTGTTTTTGCCTATGTTTGGGTTTGGTGGATGGTGTTTGTGGGTTTTGAGTCGAGTTATATACCAACAATTCATTGACATGTTTATCGATATTATATTGGGAATTTGCATATTATTTAGGACTACACTCGTTTGATCAAATAAATGTAGTCTTCGGTGTAGGTATACTTTAATATTCATAACCAGCTTCATAATAACACGATACAAATAAAGTTGCTCATGGCTGACAATATGCAGCTAGGCCCTTAAGAGCGACTCGTATAAAGTAGTATATGTCCCATTCAATAGTGCTTGCTTGCTGGTTGGTCAGGTATGAATGCAATTGTAGCAAATCCGATTCCACATAGAACCCAGCCGAGGAAAAGAAAAGAAAAAGTACAGATTTGGTATATCAAAAACAAGATTGGGTAGTTTAACTCCCAAGAGAAAATTCCTCCTTTCATTTCATTTAGATCGATAACATAGTAGAATGTTCCAGCCTAACTGGCTGCTGTGCTTTGTTCTGGCTGTTGCTGCTGCTGTTGGTCGGGCTGGGAAGGGGTAGTGGTAGGCTGCGGCGTCTCCGTATCGCCGTTGGTTGCGGCAGTGTTGTTTTCTGTGGCAGCAGGGCGGGATGCCAGAGTTGATTGTTGCTGTTGCTGTTGTTGCTGCTCTGGCTGATTTTGGGGGCGCCACTTGGCTAGGACCTTGCTGGCTGCTGGACGTGCTTCCTCATCTGTTTGTGTGGTTAGATAGGCGTTTGAAGATGGAAGAGAAGAAGTCTTACAGGTTTGGTAAACATCCTCTAATGTATTCAGACACATCTCCCGTGCAGGAGGACGGAACATAATCAGATATCTGTCAAGTCAGATCAGTAAAGCAGCTCAATGATTCCAAAGGGACAAGCACTTACAGCAATGATTGAACGCATAGATTTACCCGCTCAGGATCTTTCGCGAGGCTGGCTATTCTTTGTGTAATTGGGATGGTCACTTCGGGGATTTCACTAAGGAATCGTACAAATATCTTGGTGTCTCGAGAATCGAGGTAGGGCAAAAATCCGTCGAGAAGCCGCAATGCCCAGCGGTCATAGTGCAATGGCACGGAAACATCCTCGGACTCCGGATCGCGCTGAGATGCAGTAAATTTCATTTGAATCCGGTCGTTGTACCATTCCTCGTTGAGCCATGTGATCCCGATATTGACTCTCGATCTGAAGTCTTCGAGGATATATCGGTATAATGTCTCCCGTATCGAGTCGGATATTGTTGGTTTCTTCCTTGCACCTTGCTCAGCCTTCTGGCCGTCCTCCACTTCTAGACCCGCGGGTGCTCGAGTCGCCAGTCTAGTAAGCAATGTTACCCATGCGTCCCGATCGAACGTGCTTCCAGCTAGCCTTGTAAAACCCAGTTGCTGTTGACTCTTGCCTTTCGCTGGCTTGGGTGCCATTTCGGTAGATGCTAGCATGCCAAACACTCTTCCAACCGCACTGCGACCAACTTCTCCGGCCTCGTCTTCTGATAGTGGCGGAGGTTGCGGTAGTACAAACGGACCAAGAGACACCAAGTCTGGCTGAAGATCTGGCACCTCCGTTGATACGGCTTCGGTCTGTTCAGCGGTGTTTTCTGCGACATCCATGGGTTGGTACTCGGGCTCGTAATCATCGTCTTCTTCTTCTACCGGCTGTTGCGATGCAGCTTGTCGCTGCGCAGATTGCTGTTTGCTGATAGTCTCATATCGCATCCGTACGGCCTGTGATCACGTTAGAATAGCTTACATGGAATGTTTTCTCGTAACATACATCAACGGCTTGCTGTAAGGAAGATTGGTTCACACGTGTGAGAACGGGGACTGCGATCTTAACCAGGAGGTCAACAGGCAATTGTTTGACGTCGAATGATGAAAGCCCGGTGTCTTCCGTCAATGTAAAGAGTTGCGAAAAACTTGTAGGTCCCGGGGGGAGAGGAGGGATCTTCATCAATGGGGGAGTTTCGGCATCAAGCTTAGCCCGCTTCGCCGCATCAAGTCCATCGGTTGGTTCAGTTGGTAAAGCACGCTTGCGCGACGCATCATCAGCAACCTCCAAACGTGACTGCATCAAACGTTCGATGTATTGTTGCATCTTTCCTGCAAGAGGGTGATTGGGGTTCCTGGATGAGTGGTCAGCTTTGGTCCCAAGAGTTCTATTATATTTCCGAACCTCTTCATTATATTGATCAACAATGCTCTGCTCGTCCGTTCCATCGACTTGACGCCAACACGCGTGGTTGGTGTCATTGGCAGGCGCACTTGCTTCGCAGGGAAAAAGCTCATGACGGCGTTGATAATTTTGTTGGCGATAGATTGTCGCGTTCGGACAAGAGTTGCCAAGCTGTTCAATGTTGCATTTACGAGTAGGGGATCGCTGGCAGCAAGTTAGCAGGCACTCTTCAAGCGAGCAAGGCATTATTGGGTACCTGGATTCTTCTTGAAAGACGGCCAGCAATCTATCAAGCAGTCCAGAAGCTTCAGCTTCCAGATTTGGCAGGGCTAGTATAGGATGATTTCTAGGGACAATGGCTAGGGACGTTTCGTTTTGATCGGGTCGCTAGGCGTCGTCAATACCAACGATGCTTTTCGCCCAGGGAATCAAGATACATACTCGAGGATCCGAAATTAAACCATGGGTCTGAACCTGGACGACTCGCTGCACAAACTTGATGCAGCAGATTTTAACCGAGAAAGGGAACAAATCCCACCGGCGCAGAATCTCTTGTTTAATTGCCGTCATTCTTTCCCACGCCTCAGCGTCTCCTGGATGATTTATGCTGTAGATTTAATGAAGCGTTAGTTACCATGCCACAGCACTCAATAGCAATTCCCGTGTCTTCTTGCTCTTCAAGCGTCTACGATAACCCGGGGCTAACAGAAAGTGCCGACCACCTACATGTGCCTAAAAACCAGCGGATATAGACTGGCCGTAGTCTGCACTATGTGCCTCAAGACCAATGTATCCTCCTCCGGTATCTCCAAGATTTCCCGCAAAGTTTGCAATGCATTTGCTGCCAACTGTTCCTTCTGACCCGTAGCCAACGCAGGACTAGCGAATGTCTCTGCTAAGAACTCTGCTCCCCATCGTCGCAATTCCAATCGCGCGCTCGCGCCAATAATCGGTAGGATCCCATTCACAATCTGTGGGTAGAAGGCCGAATCGCCCAAGACGAGGTTGCGAGCAGCGCTGAGCCGGGCGATCTGATCGGCGAGCTGGTCGGTCTGTTGAGCCATGATGGCCCCCGTTCGGTGGTATAATGGGGCTGTAGGCAACTAAACGATAATTGACGAGGATTTCTTCGTTATTCCTGCTTTCGTATCTACACCGAGTTGTTTTGAATAAAGACAATGGACAAGAAAAGCCGGGGAGGGAGCCGGCTTAAGGACCGCGGGCAAGGCGCATGTGTATCGGAGGACGAAACGACCGTCCAGGAAGTACACGCAACGCGTTAATAAGAAAAGGATGAAAAAATAAAGAAGGCAAGCCTGAGCAGCCCAGGAAATAAAGCGAAAGAAAAATGAGGGAAAAAAAACTACGATGAAAGCTAGCGGCGAGTTGAAACAAAGACAGCGTTGATGGTAGAAGACGGAGCAAGAGTCGCTTTTCTCGATGTCACCGGAGGCGTCGCGCTAGGCCAGGAAGGGGTTAGTGCGGTAGCTGTAGTACAGCTTCAACTTGTCAATGTCGACTCACGATGATATTTAGTATTGCATGTTGTTCATAGGATGATTGAATAATTGAAATTTGTGTGTTCATATTCTGTCTGATGATAGGTCGTTCAGCTCATCATCTCGAATCTATTGGATGCTTTAGTCCAAAAGGTCGCGATGCGCAATATATATTGACAGAAGGGAGTAGTAAGCAGATCTCTAAGACAAATAAGTCAATATTGTGTTGTTCGAAGACTTAAATGATACAAATAAAAACGAGACCTTATCGATATCCATAATATCTAATCACCTAGTTCTATATTTGTAAACCAACATCATAACTTGTTCTTGAAGCCATTCACACATCCGTTTCTGCCGGCAAAATCGCACTCCAAGATGCCAAGACCGGCGTTTTCCCTGTCGTCCTCCACCTTTGCATTTGCCTCTTATCGAGTTCCATCTGGACCTGACACAAGCCATTTGTTTAGTCAATTTCATCTGCCCAGGAATTGAAAACGTCTACAAAATGCCTGCGGGAATGTACGTTCAAGCCATCGCGATTGCAATCCTACCCCGGATCCCCCCAAAATCCTGACCTTTCCACGATGACTGACATCTCTCCTTGGTCCGTTATAGCTTCAACTCCACATACTATGGTAAAGACTACCGCGCAGGTGCCGCGCTCCTGCGTGCCCGTCGGCCATACCTCTTCAAGAATGCGCTGACTGGAATCGGTCTGGTCGGATTCTCCATTGCTGTTTGTACGTAACTTTTCCCATCCGAAACAAATCAATCTCCCGCTACACTTGCGCCGCTCGGACCGAGCATCAAGACATGAAAAGACCAGAAAACTAACAGAATATGCTATTCAAGACTCCTACACCATCCGCGCAGTCGGCCAGGATGAATTCTCCGACGTTCAAGTCCCCGACACTCCCGCCGCGAAATCACAGCAGTAACCCTCTTTTCCTTGGACTGAGAACCGTTCGATAGATAACACCCGGGAAAAGTCTGTTGGATAATCCTGTCAGCTAGGGTTTAACGGGATACGGAGTATATTATGGCATTGTCATTACTTATTGATTTTATATCAGACTGGGATGCATTTCATGGGCTTGTACACTGGGAGAAGTTTCAAAGTCGGCATTGAGTATCAAGCAACGTCGATAGTTTGTCCATCTACAGGTGAACTGCAAGACACTCAACTGGAATCCTAGGATGAAGATCTAGGATCCCGCCCAGTCTGTTCTTATGCTTCTGGGTAGAGACAGAAGACGACTCTCAGCTCCTTGTATTTTCTAAGCCATCTGTACATTTATTGATATCCAAACAAAGAAAATACTCGCTCTAGTTCCCTGAACGTTTCAACTATAGGTTACTGCTATTGGGCCGTCGTAACTATCTACGGGTTGTAGAACCACAGGGGAAACCTAGGTATTTAGGCATATAAATTCTACGCAGATGTATAACTTGCTGTAATGGGAAGAACATGGAATTTGAATATAAGCTAGAATATAGATTGGGAATACACATCCCAACATGCCACAAGAGTAACTGTCTTTTAAAATCAAGACGGAGCCCGGTTGTGACCGTTTACTCAATTCTCAAAACACGAGGGCCCTTCTTCTTGGTGGCCCGCTTGCGCTTGTTACCCTTGTCAAAGGCCGTTGCACTGGCGTGGTCTCGGCCGAGGTTGTCAAGGTCCTTGACCTTGTAGATACGGATGATCCAGTTCTCGCTAGTGAACGCTTCCTCGACGGTCGAAAGCTGGGGGCTTTCCGCAGGGAGTTTCACACCACGTACACGGTCGACGGCCTGGCCTTGTTGGAAGAGGGAGTTGTAGTTGTAGTAAGACATTTTGTACCTGTTGATCGCCGTTAGCAAGAAACAATGGTTTTAGCGCACGAGGGTTTCATACATCAAACTGTTACGCATGGTGGGGGTTGCGCCTTCGTCCACACGGTATTCTCCGCGAGGCGTGAAGAACTCGCGCTCCTTCACCTCATCGGGCCAAATACCTTCGGCAATACGAACCATCCAGAGGAACTTGTTGATATCATCGCCTGAGTAGCCCAGCAACCCACCGAAAACAACAAGAACGTAGTCCACATCGTGTTGGCGAAGAATGGGGTAGCTGACTTCCTCACGCGAGCTCATGGCCTTTCCGACAGTGGCAATGTGGGTGTTGTTCCAGGTATTGTTGTCAACGAGAGTCGGGCGATCGGCCATACCACCAATTTGGTAGCCATAATCCCACCATGACATGATCTTGGCGTTTTGAGGGGTGTTCTGACGAAGCCAATAGTATGCCTCACGGTAGTCGTCAATGATGAACTGACTTCCATCTGGCATCCGGCTGGCCAAAACGACCGACGGGGAGGAGTACGCATTCGATGTGACCCAGGTGCAGTGCGCGACAAAAAGAACAAGGTAGACAACAATGGAGCTTGTCACGACAGCCTTAGAAAGGTAGGAAAAGATTCCAACGGAGGGTGTCCGTGCGGTGCGAAGAGGTTCCGAAGCTGCCTCCGCGTTCGTTTGCTGAGAGTTCTCCTTGGGCGAAGAAGCAAGTAGGTAAGTGTCAAGGATGTGAGAAAGCACAATGGCAGCGGCAACGCAAACAATAGGGGTCAAAGTCAACATCAATCGGACCATAACACCAGCGAAGTAAGTCGAGAGCACCGAGTAGATGACGACAAACACATGCTCATCTTTGAGGTCTCGGAAGCACATGTAAACACCTGCAGGGAAGAGCCAGATCAGGAAGTTCAGATCAAAGAAGAACGCCGGCCAGGCGGTAGGTTGGTGCTCCGAAACGGACGCGATAATGGGGATGTGAATCTTGGCATAGCCAGTATCCCACAAGGAGTAGAAGCGACCGCTCCATGGCGCAATGACTCCTGACACAGTGAGCACAACAAGCCCGACAAATGCAAGACCGAAGGTGATGATGATCATCGAGGTAAGAAGCTTCTGGAACTGCTTGCCAGGGACGAAGCCTCGAACAAACTCGGCGAAAGCCACAAGCTGAATCAAACCGAAAACACCTAGGATGCGTCAGTATGATGTTGTACCACCAGTAACATCAAAGCCAAAGCTTACCCAAAGCGGCCATGTGGTCGCTGTTGCGAATAGGCAAGAATCCGACGAAGGGAATCTGCATGCTGGCCAAAGTTCCCAGAGCGTACCATGTTGTATAACTGATGTAGAGCCGAGAGCTGTATCTGCCCATGCAGAGAAGGACGAAAACATGCAGAGGGATCAGGTTGGTGATGAAGACATATCCACCCCAAGCTGACACCATGTATCCGTAGAATAGTGCGGTCAAAGTTCCCCACATGATAGAGCCATTTTTGACGGCCTTGATCCACAAGAAGAAGGTGAAAACGAGAAGGAAGATTGCGATGGCTTCGTTGTCGTAGCTTCCCGCGACCGAGCGGGAGATATAACCAGGGACGATTCCCATGAAAGCAGCCGCAAGAAGACCTGCAGAAGGAGAGGGTGTCATTTCACAGGTCAGGAAATACATTGCCAATGCTGTTAGACCGGAGCATGCTGGCGCAAGCAAAACACAGATGTTGCGAATGTCGACAGGGAGAGTAAGGAACCGCAGGATATGGTAAATAATGCCGCTGGTCACCATGAGACCGGGGTAAAGTGTGCCACCAGTGACACGTCCCAGTGGGTGCCATGTTCCTGGATAAAGAGTCCTCAATCAGTACCAATTGATTTGGACCAGGGGAGATTCCACATTGGGGGATATGTCGCCGTATTTGACAGTAACAAAGGGTCACTCACGGTCATCGAACCAATCCCAGAAGCTATGGAATCCATGCTCAACCAGATATTTCGTTGCTCGGAAGTTGAACCAAGGATCGACTAAAGAGAAAATGCATATTAATATTGTTTTATCTCGGATGATGTATTGTTCGGGATTTAAATATTGTATCGGGCTGAAGAATTGGATGGAGACCAACATTCGTGAATAATACTTTCGAATCCTGAAGTATCGATTAGCATATGATATCAATTGAGGTTATAATGACATGTATAAAGTAGGAATTGCATACTAATAACACTGAAGAGTCGACTGGACACGGCAGCGGCGGCGATAGTACATAGAATGATAATCCGCAGAAGACCGCGTGTGTTCCTGCTGGTCTCGCCCTTCAGAAGAACATCAACGGGTGTTTCGGCCATAATGGCCAGAGAAGAAAAAAAGAACAAAGTCCAATTAGACACAAAAGGAGAGAATGACTCTCGTCCGTCCTGTCGCGAAGGTGATGCGAGAAGGTTGGACCGTTGGTTTGGTTGACATTGAGTTGGAGCTTCGCAAGGTGGTCTCTTCTGGAGGCTTGGCGCTAGGTACGTAACCCATCGCGCTCGGGGAAACACACCCACCTCCGAGTTGCTCCCCGCACTGTAGCTTCACTATCCAGCCTCGCTCCAGCACGTTGACGGGCAGTTGTCCTTTGTCGCCGAACACCACGCACTTTCAGTCACGTTAGTCGATTCGCATGATGGATCTCCCTCCACTTTCCAAAGAGCAGTTGTCGACCGTGCTCACCACGAGTCAGACTGCCGCCGAGCTCCTCGACATACTGGCAGAATATGAGAACGAGGCTTGTCTTCTCTCACCGGACAGCAGTAACTCTGAGCTTCTAAGCTTCTTTTATTCATCCTTTTTTATCTCGACTCTTCTCGCAGATAAGATGTAACGGATCCACTTCTAACATATGCTTTGTTGGTAATAGCTAATTCGATAACTGCCAGCCTCGAAGCTCGCATCTTGACAAAGCGGATGCCACAAACTCTGCTACAGAACGACCCTTCGTTGCAAAATTGTCTTAATTTATTGCGCGCTGTTTGGCAGCATCGGCACGACCAGGTCTACAAGATCCTCAGAGAGTTACCTTGGTCTGAGTCACTGAAGCCATTAGTAGACAAATATGATGGTACGACAACACACCGTACGCTCGGGCATTACCGCATATCTTCTGACTATTATGAACAGTACATTTTCAAGAGAAAACCTTGACGGAGATCAGCAGAGCCTACGAGGCGATTCGACCTGCCACCGCAGCAAGCTATCTTGGACTTGATCCCGCCTCCGCGGAGAAAGGTGACCCAGCTACAATACAGAGATTCACAGCCTGTGGATGGAAGTGGAATGAAGAGACACAGCTGCTCGAACCTAAACGCACTGTGACCCCATCTGTGCCAGATGGCCGTTTGTTCAACGAACTGGGCGAGGTTATGGCTTTGATTAACAACTACGGAAGTTGAAAAGGCGATCAAGATTACGAAATACGAAAGCATACGAAATACAAACTGACGCATTCAAGTGACCCAAGATGGAGAACTGAGGCGGACTTGCTCGGCCTCTTGCCAGCATCAGTTGAATACCCCCTGCTTGCCTGTATATGCATCGAGCAGTAAAACATGCAACAGGCTTAAGAACTCTAACCCCACATAATTCAAAGGAGAGAGGACCGGTGATGAAGCCGAAGATCAGAATCTCTTGTTCTTCTGGTCCAACTGTAGTGTTACAGATGCACGACAGCCCAGGGTATGTACAAGACTCAGAGTTAATGTCTATAAAAAAATAGGAAAAGAACAATCATTCCTTCTTTCGCTCTCAATGACAAGACTCTGGGAAATTAGACCAAACAATAATACATAAACGGGGGTTAACCCGAGCCATCCTTCTTGTACCCTGGGAGGTACCATCTTCCCACAGATATAACTGCCAAACACTCCTCATTGTATCTTCAGTATCTCTAGTTTGTCTCCTTGGCTTTCGCGTTCAGGAAAGCCTCCAGGTCGAAACGGCTGTCTTCGGGGTCGGTGATGACTGCAAGTTTGCGGGTTAGCATTGATCGCGCAAGATGCCGGCTCCTTTGGAGAAAACACCCAAAAGAAGGAATGGATAATTGCAATGACATACGTCCGCTGCTTTGCGACTTGGTCTCTTGGGGCGAAGTCTTCTTCTTCCACTCTGCCTTAGCCTGCTCGATCAAACGCTCCTTGCGTGCATATTCACGGTCGGTCTCTGCGCGTCTAGTCTGGGAGTTGAGGCTCGACTGGTGGTAGACACCGTAGACAAGGCCAGTCACTAGAGCCGAGTAACGAAGAACCTGTTGTTGCGAAATAATGTTGTGAACACCTGATTGTCCATCATCAGAACGGGTCCTCGCGGACACTCACGTTGACACCCTGGGAAGCCATCTTGCGGGACGATCTGAGCCTCCGGATCGGCGATCGAAGAATATAATTAAATGAAAGTAAAAGAACCGGACTCGGAGCGACCGTTCGGAGGGTATCGACTGTCAATGGCTGGCAATAGATCGGAGAGGGTATATCCAGAAGCTCAAGGTTGTTCAGAGTCGAAGTTCCTGTCGCGAGTTTTTCCGGGCCGTCGGCCACTCAGCGCTTATGTCATCCACCAACGGCCGGCACGCGGGACGGGGAACGCGAAAGCCGTCAATACAGAAGCCAGGATAACAGACTGGATGGAATAAATCCCACCGATTCGACCTTCCAGGTTGTATCGAACCCCCTCTCATCATGTCCTCCATGCAACAGCGAAAGGCCGAGCTTCTCGCCAAAAGAGCCAAACTTGCGGAGCTGAAGCGGCAAAGGGAATTGCGGCAACAGGAATTCAACCAAAACCGAGCCAACACCGGCGATGCTTCCGAGGTATGGGGCGCGCTCCCTCTTGCCTTTGTCACAAATTTTTAAAGTGATGGCATTTTAACCTCATTTATATAGATTGTATCGCCTGTTCCAAGCCGTTCCGACAGCAGAGCTGAACTCGATGATTTGATCTCCCGTCTCGTTGACCGCCCCGGATCTGCTTCTATCAGCCATGCAGATGGTCCATCGCGCAAAGGCAGCAGACCGAATTCGGTCCTCAGCGCCAGCCAGTTGAGCGGCGATAACACTGAATCGATTGCCCCGTCCACGCGACCACAGTCCATGTCAATTGCTGTCCAGACTGTAGTAGCAGACCCTATTGCAGCTGTCCCCGAACCACAGCAAGCCCCTGAGCCCAAACCAGAAATAGTGACCTACAGCAAAGGTGTACAAACAGATGATTTAAAGCAGCACCGACCAGACTCTCCGGATGGGTCTCAGGAGTCAGAAGATGAGGATGGTACGCGGGGCAAGCGACTGAGCAAAAGAGACCGTGAGCGCGACGAGGAGATTCGGAAGAAGCTTCGCCAGGAGATTGAGGAGGAAGTACAGGCCACCCAAAGACAGGCTGAGGATACTTCAGCGGCGCAGTCTGCACAATTACGTTACCCCCTACGTACGCTAGATGACGACGAGCTGAAGGCCGTGACATCATCCGATGATTTCTTGGACTTTGTCGAACGGTCAGCCAAGGTGATTGAGCGCGCATTGGACGAGGAGTATGATGTCTTAGCAGACTACGAGCTTGGGGGCGTTGATGGTGATTTGGAAGAAGACGAGGAACATGGAAAGAAGAGGAGAGGCATTAAAGAAGTTTGTCAGTTCTGGGACGAGCGATGGAGCAAGAAACGCATGATCAGTGATCTTAGCTTTTCGCCCAAGGTTTGTGGCTCTCTCGACTTCAAAGATACATGGCTGTGGATGTTTCTGACTGGCGTATTCAGTTTCCGGAGCTTGTCTTGGCTTCTTATACCAAAAATCCCTCTGCCCCCCATGAACCGGACGGCCTTGTTCAGGTCTGGAACCAACATCTGCAATCTCGCCCCGAGTACGTCTTCCACTCGACGTCGGATATTCTAACAGCAAAATTCTCCCCTTTTCACCCCAACCTCATCGTCGGTGGATCCTATTCCGGACAGGTCCTGCTGTGGGACACTCGTTCGTCGCGCGCCGGTGGAGGTGCGCCTGTACAGAAGACGCCACTGACCGGTTCTGGCCACACACATCCTGTTTACAACATATCTATTATAGGAACACAAAACGCCCATAATATTTTAACAGTGTCTACAGATGGTGTTGTTTGCGGCTGGACCGTCGATATGCTTTCCCAGCCCCAGGAGTACCTGGAATTGACTACTCCCCCACCGTCTAAAACGGAAGATCTCGCACCAACTACCATGTCATTTCCACAATCAGATCCAACATTCTTCATCGTCGGTACTGAAGAAGGCGGAATATACCCCTGTCACCGATATGATAGAGCAGGTGCCAAGGCTGGCACAGACCATCGCCTTGCATATCGCGGCCATGCAGCGCCGATCATGTCAACAGCATTCCACCCAGCACGAGGGCCTGTCGACCTTGGCGACCTGATGCTGAGTTCTAGTTTGGATTGGAGTGTAAAGCTTTGGCGCGTACGACCTCCAGCCACAACCGCATCTGCAACTTCTGTGACCGCGGCGACGCAAGTTGTGTCTCCAATTTTGGATATCAATCGCGAGGACGTTGTGTATGACGCACGGTGGTCTCCTCATCGCCCTGGAGTATTCTCCCTCGTCGATGGTGCTGGTAACCTCGAAGTTTGGGACCTTTACATGGACACCGAGGTACCCGTCGTGCGGACCACACCATCCAAGGGTCGCGGTGGCATTTTGACGCGAAGCCTGAACAAGGTTGCCTGGGAGGAGCGTGAGGGTAAACGGATTGCAACTGGTGGACTCGATGGTGTAGTGACCGTCTTTGAAGTAGGAAAGGGTCTCAGCGGTACACCTGAGGATGTTCCTGCTGAGGAATGGGCAGGAATGAAGCGATTGATCGGGAAGTTGGAGCAGAAGGATAGGGTGGGTTGATCATCTGGATTGTTTCCCTTCCCTTGGCTTGCATGAATCCCTTGATCCAGCTTGCGTTATGAGTCATTATCTTGGTCTCGATCCGATTGTGCAGTCCATCAGGAAACAGTCCATTGATTGATTCGATATGAAAATTTCTATCCTTTCTGTCCAACAAGCACCGAAGTTTCTTTTTGCGGTGTCTTGTTTATGTTAGCATATACCCCATGGGCACCTTTTGTATGTACGTATCTTCTAGTAATGGATTTCCTTGGACGACCTTGCTTTGCTCAGGATTCCCCTTGTCCAACCGACGATGCTTAGACTTGAACTTTGTGTTCTCAACAAACCCAACAGCATATGGTGTAACAATGGTTGTGCGACGGTGGTTGTTCGTTCTTAGCCTCGTGCGTTGGGTTGCATTCGCCACTTCCAATGTTTTATTCATTCTAGCATTGTTTCTTCTACTATGCCAGCATTATTGGCAATTTTATTACTCGCGAAGTTCATGCTAGGGTCTGTAGGTGACATATATGACGTGGATGCCTGATTACAAGGCACTGCATGACACTTGGAGGTGACGTAGTGACTATTCATTATAAGAAACTAACATGAAGGTATTTTGGAATTGAGGAAGAAAAGAATGTATAATCGCAAGTAAAGGGACAACTGTGCATTTGGCCTCAGGTTACACAGCAGAACAACAGATACGGAAATTGTACAGACAGTGATGCTTTTCATCTGTCCTATTTAAACAGACCAACTTCTGGGCCATTCGAAAGTAGAATATCGCTTGTCATTAACAGAATAAAAAGAAAATAAAAGAAAAGACAGAATGAGCCAATTTCGAAGAGGCAGCACTGCAAGAGAAGGCGTGTATATTTCCCCCTATATTTCATCAAATTCTAACCATATGAATAGTCGGTCGAAGAAGAGCATCAAGTCTGCCAGTCGATGGATTCCATCTATTTCTTCAAGATGAATGGGACTCGACCAAGGAACTTTGTTTGGATAGTTCCTGGAGTAAGGCTTGATCGATTAAGTGTGCTATACTTCTGCTTACCTATTATTTAGACAACATTTACATGACCATCGCCGCCATGTGGTCGACGACAGCTGAAGAGATCAAGAATAGATACAGACAAAAGGCAGCTCAATCGAACCAATCAGCTTTGGGGGATGACTAGACATGTCAACCATGGAAATGAGATGTTCCTAGCTGTGAAATCGAAGGTTTGGTTCCCCGGGATGGTTTCCTTGGTCGCGTCTAGAATCGATCGTGATATAATAATGTCGATGGTCATTTTCATGCGAACAGTCCAGATCTGATATGAGTAGTAGCAGTAAGCTATTCAATACCCAAAATACTTTGAATGACCCCTAGGAGTTCGAATGTGGAAGCAAGCCAGGCTATTGTGGCTTGGGGTGGGTTGGATACTGCCATGCAGTGCTTCACATTATGACATCAACATGCAAGGTAGAATGTTTTCATATCATTGTATTTATTCACCATGAATCATTTTTTCCTGCATAGATTCGCAGTAGCGCATAATCATCATACTACCCTTTCTCCCGCAAGTTATGCCATAATGTCTCTTGAAAATCTTGTAAAAGAGCCACCGGAGCCGTTAATAGCACAACCTCTATTCAACGATATTCGCCATGCTATCACCGAGAATATTGAGGCTCAAGACCTGATATTCGAAGACATCGAACCTATAGCAGGGTTTCAAATCGCCACCTCCTTGTATGAAGACAGAGAGACCGAGCAAATCCATCCGAGGTGAAGAATGTATTGTCCAATGCAGGCTCAATCACTGACATTTCTCAGTGTCCATTATAACTCCGTCACTAACAAGTCTACTGCTGTCCTGGACTGTCATAATGGCTGGATGCGCGATGAATTGTTCCGAATGTATCCTGATTTTCTCACTAAACTGGAATTCAGATTTCTAAATACATGGACCAGCACTAGTCAGTGATCTTCCGGAACCACAGTAAGTATCATTTTACTCATCTAAACAGCCCTTCAAAGCTTTGTCGGCCCCTACGATCTTTCATCAAAAGATCCGGGGCTGTGCCTTCGCCCCAAAGGACAACATTTCCTCACGATTGTTGTTGAGACTGGATGGTCAGAAACATGGCCATACCTGAAAGACGATGCAATTCTATGACTATGCGGGAGTGGCAGAACTGTTCAGCTTGTCATAGTTCTCTGCTGGTCATTGGTAGATGAACGAAAGGTAAACGGGGACATCAAGGTCTTTGAGCGAGACGCCGATGGAAACCCGGTTTTTCGTCAAACAGAGGTAATGACCACTTCGATATATCAGACACATCTGACTCCAGTTAGTCAATCTTCCCCAAGCCTGTAGGGCATCAAAGTCAGGTCATTTCCATTACTCGTTCCCAACTTTTTGGAGACGCTATTCTGCTAGGTCGTAATGGGGATGATGCCTACCACCTGTCAGTGGACAATCTTCGACAAGAAGCAGCTCGTTCTATCCAGGCAGTGGGATTTACTCCGGCTTGAATGAATGTGAGACAGCCTTTGTAGATGGGATGGAGGAGCTGATATAATTGTACCTGGTACCGGCCGAAGACCAAGAGGAACTGGAAAAGAGCTCATGAGGATAGCGAAGAAATGATAATGTCATATTTCATTCAGATGCAACTGCCCAGCCTTCCCAACTGGGGGGTCATATGACTGGGGTGCCTCAGGCTACTGGGTGCGAGGAGACAACTCCAGCGTTACCCCTCAATCTGCGATCCAGTTTCTAGACGTTTGTAGCCCCTACACATCCATCAAGCTCGAGGTCAACTACTAGCTTAATGCTGTAAAATAGACGACCAAGGGTGTCTCGAGACAGCCTAGCGTTAGAAGCCGGGGGATGTGGAATTGGGCTATGGTATTATCATTTCTGAATGCTCCTGAATCAATCTGCTTGATCTGAATACCCTAAAAATGGCATATATGCTAATCGTTAATCTATAAACTCGATAGGTGACTTCATTCCATCACCTCAATAACATCCTCGCCAGCATTTCCAGGTGGCTGATGGAAAGCAGCCACCTTCAAGCTAGCTGATTCAATGAGTTCACGCCACTGCTTTTCAGATCGCTCAAACGTAGCTACTTGAACCATCACCATAATGCTCATACAGGCCGAGGGGAGATCACAATTTCTGTCAGGAAGGACGTGCTCGTTGATGATCAGGCGAGAATAACCTGGTTCCATTGCTTCGGCAAGGTTTTTGAGAATTAGCCGGGCCTCGTCATCGGGCTAGTCATGCAGAATCTAGTGCCTAAAATATGATCGAGCTCCTGTACAAGCCATTGATGTTAGCGCTTTGCTACAACAGAGACAATAATGCTTTGCGACGCTTACCTTTGATAGGCTGTGAGGTAAATAAGTCATAAGGCATCAATTCTGCCCCCTGTGGTGGGTTACTTATGTTTGAAACCACGTGTTGCAAGTCCTGTAATACGACGCGTCCTGGTGTGTTAGAGAATTTCTCTTTGAAAGCATGCAGATAGTGCCCTTCACCACTTCCAACATCAACCAGCAGAACATCTTCTGCGATACTTTTCTTAAAACCACCTAAGACATGACCTTGAAAACCAAACCAGTCATCCCAGCTTGGTGTTGCTCGTTGTTTGAGGGTCATCCATTGATGGAATCCTTTGCGAGACCAGGGTTATTATGAAGCCATTCGAAATAATTGAGGTTAGTGTTCATTGCTAGCTGGAATGGAGTATTCTTTGGAGAGCCTGGGAACTGATTCTGGATCCCACGGAAAAACTCGGGGGCTTTTGCGGTGTAAAGATTGCCGATATCGAAGCTATGATCATAATCTTCGATGAGCAGATACGCTGACATGTGAGAAGAGGGATCACTCACCATGCCCTAGTCGTAGCTTCAATAGTGGAGTCCGCCATCACCATGGTAAGTGCGGATGGTTTATATGCCTGCACATCTTCCTCTATCACATACTTTGATACGGATAGCAGCCTCATGATCTGATCTAATATTGCTCATAGTCAGTAATCTATGACGACCACGATAAAACCCAAGGATCACATATATCAGCATAATATCAAAGACCTTCGGTCCAAATAAGAAGCTGTCTGTTGATCCGTGCTTTAAGTTTCTTGATTCTGGAGATGATCATCGACTCTGAGTGGAACCATGAAGAATGATGATCATTAACGGCGACCCCACGAGAAGTGAGGAGATCACCTAAAGACCTGAAATTTGAGATTCCAAGCAAAGAAAGTAAACTTACCGACAAAGAATGACACTTGCTTTGGATTCCTCAGCAATTTTTTTGGTTGTTGTTGCGCGGGTTGGATTGCTAGCGATCTGCTTGAATACGCCAAATTGTACGCCCATTCGAATCGCCATAAGCTGTGGTGGATTCTGTCCACGATATTAGCATCTGCTCTTCTGCCTTGAAGATGAAAAACTGCAAAAACGTCATTGCTTCAAACATACCATTACTACATCTTGGAGTATAATTTCAACTGGAGACTTCAAGGCGTCCAACAGGCCTTGTGCAGCATTGATTGCTTTCAACCGAGCAGCATCATCCAAAGGCACCTGGTTCGATTGAACTGAACTCGTAAGAGCCGCAATCTGACTTTCGATGGAGTCAGACATGGTGTTCTCTGTGTGTCTAGTTTTGATCGATGATCCAAAGCAGAAAGAAGACAAAGACCACATGTAATAGCACAATGACCCCTCTATGTTCAACGAAGAATTCTTCAACTTTTGTCGGGCCCGAGGTCCCCGCCGGTCATGCGAACACGTGGATTTCTAGGCATCTAGGTGGATGTGCTGCGTGAAAGAAAGACATCTTTGGTCTTTGCTATGTGATTAGCGAGCCGAGGAGGGGACCTGGTATCAAGTTTGAGAGACCCCAAAAAAAAGAGAGAATCAAAGCGTTATGCGCCAACGACCATGTCACTATGTGGGTTTGGCACAAAGGACGATTCAAGCCTTTTGGTGGTTAGATTTGGTACAACGTTTAACATCTGGACCCAGGTTACATAACAAAAGACATCGAAAATCCAGAAGCAGAACCCGATCGAGCCAGTTTTTGGTCTCCAAACCGTGGATACTTAATCTCAAGTTCGCGTGCGCGGATTTATCTGGGTTGGTTTTTCTTCTTCAATGATGCTTTCCCGGGATCTTGAATCGACACAAGCTGCAGATGTGGCATAACTGTTGGGCTATACAGGGAAACAAGAACGAAGCTCACTAGGCCTACTTGCGAAGTTACAACAACAAAACAATATGGGCAGCGATGCGGGATCTTCAGTCCCGTATAATGGTGGCTCTCTGATCGGAGTCTCAATTGCCATCGGATTTCTTCAGATATTGCTTGTGGCAGCCCGATTCTATACGCGATATCTCCGGAGATTGTCTTGTGGCCTCGATGATTATTTGATAATACCTGCGTTGGTAAGACTTCTCAATTGGTTTACTCGACAACAGTGCTGATGTTGACATGGAGATTGGTAGCTTGCCGCAGCCAGCTTTGTATATCGTCCGTATGTATCACTTGTATGCATCGCCCAAAAAGGCAGAGACTGGCAGTCTTGTAAAGTGGACAAGATTGCAGGATTCGGCAACCATTTGGAATATGTCGAGCAGACACCTTGGAAACTGGTCGCGTTGGAAAGGATTTCCTTCTTACCTATCTTGACTTCCTTATATCTGGATGCTAACAATACTAGGGATTGTATGCAAATCAAATACTGGACTTTCTCTTCGCCGTGACGCCCGCCAAAATATCCATCCTTTTATTCTATGTCCGAATCTTCAGCGTTCGAAAGTTTCAAATATTCGCATACGCGGTTTGATTCTTAATAATTGGCCATGGGATTGGAGTGCTATTAGCGGTCATTTTTCAATGCTCACCTATTGCGTATACGTGGGATAAGACCATCCCGGGTGACCCCTGCTTCGTACAAGAAGATTTCTACCGACATGTGTCACTGCCCAATATCGTGACGGATTTACTCATGCTCATCATGCCGCTGCCATTCGTATGGAACCTGCGCACACATTTGTGGCAGAAGATGGCATTGACCGGTGTGTTCTTGCTGGGAAGTCGTGAGTATCTCTGCTGCCCTTTAGAAAAAAAAAATCATAGGCTAACCCTTACCAAGGGAATTGTGGCTAGCATTCTGCGCATGACGACTTTTTTCAAGAACAGCGCCATAACAGACCCGACATGTACGTTGTATCCATATCAATCTAATCCATCCCACTCACTAAAACAGGGAACTCGGCGGAGCTAGGAATCTGGACAATTCTCGAATGTGGAATCATCATCATTGCCGCTTGCCTCCCACCAATCTGGCCACTGATTGCCCGAATTGTACCTCGCTCACCACTCACCAGTTCGTCTTCTAAGAGCCAGCCACGTCACCGGTACTCAAACAGTCAACCAAAGGTTAAGAGTGTGGATGGATTTGCGCGTCTAGGTGATAGCGTGGAGACAGATATTGAAAGCCGTCGAAAGCCGTCGCAGCATGGCCTGGAGAGTCCTGAATCTCCACTGGAAAGCACTGAGACCATACAAATGAAGAATATGGGCGAGATTGGACAGGCATATTAAATTTTTGAACGACATCACTTGTCTTTTTTCCCAAGTATATGTGGCCAGTATCTGATAACTAATGACATTTAATGATAGTTATATTACCAGAAAAAGATGAAGCCAATACCACGGCCAGCATGGGTAATACCTGACCTAGGTAGGTGGTTAATATTCATGAAAATCCATGCCAGGGCAATTGTGGATGTAGACCAACCCATACTGTAGCTTGTGGAAGCCGAGTCCCAGTGAAATTAAAGCCATTCATTCTTAAATGTCTCCTCTAGTAATATATTGAATAGGTCTGGAGATAGAGTGAATACTAGGCAACATCAAAACTGATCTCACCCTCACTTCTTCCCTTTCCTCACTTCCCATCTTACTCAATCCACATTATTGTTTTATTCTGATTCATTCCCCTGGAAAAGAAAAATATAGATCTAAGGTAAGTCGCTGTCTCTGTTTATCTTTCAGTCCACTCCTTATATCCTCACTTTCACTGTGCTCTTTAAAGGCCGAAGTCTGGATAGACCTAAGCTCGCACAAAAAAGACCACTGAAGATGCCTCTTGGCGTCAATACTCAACAGTTGGGGGATTCGCCTACAAACTGGACAATGCCCCAAAGAACCGCCATGTTCCCACCAGAATCACGGCATGTAAGCCGTCCTCGACACCTCACAGCGAGCGACTAGAAAAAGGTGGGATATGCTAATTATCCGATTGAATTTGGTTCGGACGCAGATCAGGCTCCCCAACCTACAGGCACCGTACATTGTGGTTGGGGGAGTGCCATGGATCTCCCAGATAACATGGATCTGCACGCTGGGAACTGCCTGCCAACTTGCTCTTGAAGGTCACAGCAGACAGAAATCAATAGACCAAGTTGTGAAAATGATTGCTTGGCAAGAGGCCGGCCTGAGTGAAGTTTCTTATTGACCACCTATGGTTACCCCCAAATTGGAGGATGGATATATTAGTGTTGTCTTCAATGACGCGCTTACCATGCCCATGAGTGTTCTGAAATGCAATTCTTTGCTCACTCCGTCAAAGTTCAACAGAGACCATCCACAAAGCCATTGTCCAATTTCGATATTTTCCGGCATTGCCAAGCTTTTGTATATGCTTGGAAATGACTCACGCTCACTGATTCCCTTGGGACCTGTACCATGGAATATACATTATTTTTGCACTTATGTATGGCGATCATTTTGTTGAGATTATTCGTTCGACTAAAAGGGTGAGCACCATGATTAACCTTCATGGAATTACTTTTCAGCATAAGCTACAGCCACTAGTACACCATATATTCCTTTCTTTTTCCCTAGGTTCCTTGGTCAGTACAGTGTGTTATAGCTAGCTGAACCACCCAATAGACTTTCGAACCAGCGCTGCCATTTAAGCATGGTTGACAAATCCTTGCAGCAATTCATATACTGCAGGCAGGAGGTTGATACACGAGATTTTCTATCCTCTATCAATCAACCCCACAGCACCGACGACCCAAGGCCCAAGCGAACATGCCCCAACACCCAGGGTTTTGGGAATATAATGAGATGCTTGGGTCCTTGGCTCTCATTGTGGCGCGGGTGATACCATTGAGCGCCATCACCCAGTCTTTGAATGAGCAACGCCCCGTCCAGAACTGGACAATAATAAGGAGCCAGAGGAAATGGTCTGTGATTAATGGAACTGCTTTCTTGTATTCTTTTGACTCAAAGTGGGTATATGGAAATCATTAGTAAGTATATCGGAATCCAGCCTGCGACTCAAGTGTTAGTCTATAGCCTCAAATGTCACAAAGGAAGACAGCTTACCGTGCCTTGGAGAGCCTTCCCATTGCCCCCCTTTCTATTCTGAATATAAAAGTATAACGTAAAAAGCACCACAATTCCGATAATCAGAATATGCGAGCTGGATAGTCAGTCACTTGCCCCGGAGTCAAAATCAGAATGACTCACCCAATAGATACCCAAACCGCAGTCAGATACTGTGGTGCCTCTTGCTGCCGGACAATATAACTTCCTGCCACACCCCCGAGGCCATTGAAGGCACTAGTCGTAGCAGACACGGTAGCTCGCTTCCACTGTCCCACAACATTGTTTCCCATATATGCATTAAGAGCCGCCCAGTTTGATACATAAGCACCGGTAGCAAGGAATGTTCCGATATATCGCACGGTTACTTGGGTTGAAGCGGGGATACCAAGCATAATAAAGCCTGCGATAAGGCATAGAGCGTTGAATATAATCAAGGGCCCACGGATTCGGTAGGTGTCCCCAACTATGGAGGTAAGAACCACGGGAATGACGGCCCAGTAATACGGCTGTGGGAGTTAGACAAGCTTCCAGACAAATAGGAAGCGAAACGTACCGGAGTTGAAAGAATGATAGATGCATTGCTGGAAAACCCCATTCCTGACTGGAGGATAATAGGAAGAAAGTAACTCAAAGATGTCGACACCATGTTCAGTAAGAAGAACATACAGGCCAATCCGTATATCGTTGGATCAAGAAAATTGACGAATATTTTGCTCCACGAGAAAGGATCTGGGGCTACATCACCTCGATCCGCTTGGATTCGCTTCGATACCAAACGAGTCTCCTCCTCGGACAGGAAATAGAAGCTCTTGTGTGCATTTTCTGGGAACTCTATCATCCACCAGTAGGTAACGATTCCAATCACACATGCAATGAGGCCCTGAACGAGAAATATCCAGCGCCATCCCGCGAGTCCAGACCGTCCGTGTAAAAGGTTAAGACCGTAGTTGACAATGTTTCCTGTAGCCAGAATGAGGACGCCCCCAGACTGCAAGAATGCAAACCGAAGCTGCTGCTCCTGTCGAGTATACCAGGTGCTGATGAGATAGGTCAAGCCCGGATAGATTCCAGACATGGCGATACCTAGTAGGATCCGCAGAGCGATCATCTGTTTCCAGGTGTGGATAAACGCCGTACACATCGTAATCAATCCAAAGCAGAATGTGATGGTAGCAAACCAGATTCGTGGACCGACAAATCGTATTGCTACCGTACAGGGAATCTGAAAGACCACACTGGCGATAGTGAAGATGAAGATGGAAACAGAATACCGAGAGCCATACAGGTCCAAGTCGTCGAACATGCTGGTGACCGATGCTGATGACAGGATCATGGAGTCAAGAAGGTCAAGACTACAGAGTATTCCAGCGATGGTGCATAGCCGGATATCCACCTTGAATCGAATCTTTTTCTGGAGATGTTTCAACTCATCCGATGAGACTGTTTCGCTGCCATCACTCACTGTAGACTCACGAAATCTAGGATCGAGCTGCGTAAAACCTGCCTGCTCAGGTTTATTTCCTGTCAACATTGCGTCTGTTCTTTCCTCCACTGATACCGCCATTCATAAGGAATTGATTTTCGATTTTTGAAAATGGCGGCCTCTTCTTGGCTTCTATCCGACGCAGCTTTCCAAAGGCACAGTGTCCTGCCAGATAATCAAATCGTCCGGGAAAAAAAAGGAAGAAAAAGAAAAGCAGATAGGAGTTGTTCACCCATGATGGTTAGCTTTGAACCCGTGACTTGATTCCTGCAGGACTAGCTGGCATGTTGCCTGCGTGTGAACAATGCTGGAGGGGCAGCTGAATCGACCGTGCTGGAACCGAGCTGACATGAGATTATTGGAAAGGAATTTGCAGGATTTGCGCCCGGACGAATTGAGATTGCATTTCAGACGAACTCGACGGTGATAAGCAGAACTATTGATTAAAGTGGATAATGCGCCGACCCGAATCGTGATCGCCCGAGTCTTGTTATGCCGATCAGCGATGGTTTCCGATATCTGCTTGGTCGGCGTGTGATGAAGGCTCTGGAAGTCTGCATTAGTCTGCAAGGATAGACGGATGGTGTAGATTATCTTGAGTGTTGATTTTGATCTGGCAGTGGATAACCCTTCTCATCACCTGGTATCATTCACCGTCTTTGCTTCTATGTTGAATTTGGCCCGATGTCAATTGCGCCATACAAGGGCGTGACAAAGAGTAAGATCGAAACGGCCCCATCATCAATTTCCCATCTTTTTTCTCTTCATTCTTACTCAACTGCCTCGATCTAACTCTTATGAGGATTGCCCATAATTCTTTTGTTTACCGATCAGCTCAATTGCGATAAAACCACACATCATCCAACAGCTGTTGTGCAGTGGGCCTATCCCTGGGATCAAGTTTCATTGCCCTCAGTACAAACTCTTTATCCCCCCGGAAAATTTCTCGCGATGTTGTGAGATGAAAAGGTTTCAAGGTCTCTGGAGGGCTGTTTTGCATGATCCACACGAGAGCCGCCAGTCTTTCCTGGCTTGCAATGTCTTCGTATGAGTCTGGAAATGGCCCAAAGCATCGATGGTGTTTCATGAGGATTTTGATATCGTACTCATCGTGGTCTACAGGGACATCCGGCTTGAAAATATGAAATCCATCTCCATATAGTAGGCTGATTAACTGTATCGTAGCTGACTATTAATATCTTGGGCTCATCCATTATGGAGGTTGGACATACCATTGCGCCAAACGACCAAATATCCGTGGAAGTATCCCATTTCATTTGAAGCTGCGCTTCAGGGCTTCTGAAAATAGGCGTGCCGATAGGGTCACCATTCTGAGCATGGCTAGAGTCCACATAAACGGTACTCTCGAAATCGGCTAGTTGGGCCTCCTTGAACCTGACACCACCCTGGTTATGATTCACCAACACATTACTAGGCTTGATATCTATAGCCCGGTACTATCAGTCGAGCTCGCAGGAGCATCAAATCTTAGGACTACAAAGCATACCAGTATGGACATGGCCCTCATTGTGCAAAACTGAGAGAGCTTCTAGCACCCTCTTCGCAACATATTTAACTTCCGGGCGAGTCAGACGCTGGGTGTTTGAGGCGTGTAAAACATTGGTATCCAGGAACCTCAATATGAGAGCAGGAGCTGAGTCTTCTATCTCATCGATTAATGGGCGAATGAAAGGCGTTCGGTTTTGGAAACGCAGCTGTGTATCTCTTTCATTCTGCAGTCGAAAAGGACTGACACTCTTCGCCACGAATTTCTCTTTATTTTGGTTTCTGTACCAGTCAGATATTGCTGTGATAGACAGCAGCTCAGCGACATACGTGACAAGCCAGATACAATCATGGAGTTTCTTTGTGATGGTGTAAAGCCCTTTTCTACCTTTCAAAGTCTGGCCAAAAGACAGAGTGTTCATATTGAAGACTGACAAAAGATCTCTTGACTGGAAAGAAGACAAATCATCAAAGCGGAGCCAGACAGGAGAGGAATGTGGTCATATGACCTACAACTAACTAGCTAGAGTGTTTGAGTGTTCTTTCACCCAGTGGCTGAGACATTGAAGTGAATGGCGTGAAGTGAAACTGGAAGATGAGCTTGGTTTAAACTGCTTTCTTCTATTGCCTAGACACTCTACATCTTCTTTCATATGATAAAACTTCATCAAGCAGGGCTTCATGTAGCTTTATTCCCCTTCATCATGTGCACACCTTCTTTATTAGCTATGCTTAGATAGACAACACGCATGTCTCTTTGTCAAGTGAGGCCTATATAGCGGCCATAATAGCCGTCCTAGATATTGGCTTGATAGAATGTACACATCGTTTTTCATTGCTCCATCTACACTTCCCTGCAGCATTTTTGAAAGACTTGCCCACCCTGTTACTGTTATGCTTCGTCGTTTTAAGCAAGTAGTACTAACTGTGCATGAACTGGGATTGCCATAGAAGACGAAGAGCTAATACTGTCATATCGTCCAATAGGATCCAGAATGTCGAGCCTGTCGAGACCAGTTGGGTCCTCCAGTCCCAACATTCTGATGGTAATGTTAACAGTCATACCCACATCCGAGGACAACAGAAACCTAATACCGTGTGTTCTAGTACACCCAGCTTCGCGTGTTCCAGAAGGAACTCCACTCAATGACCCCGGAAGACTACGAGGGCAAGGTCAATGGCCTTTGGGGTATACTGTTGTACCATTACTTCCCATCGAGTGAGCTATACGTCCACAGGCCCCAAGACAAAGTATTCCAGGGCTACCTGGACTACCATACGGCTCATTGGATGAGACGACGGGGCAATCAAAAGAAACGGAATGCCTTTTCCTTGTCACGCAGTGCAAGCGTGAGGCGCGAGAGGCTGGCAACGAAGCGTGGAACGAAGGCAGGGAGCAGCTGCAACGGTACCTCCAGGGCCAAGCCCAGTTGCAATCGGCACCGGCGATGTTTTTCGGGATTGTCGCGGTCGGCAATTACTGTACATTCTACGAGTTTGAACCTTGGGAGAACTCATTGCTCGCAATGAACGGGGGAAAGAGGTACCACTTGGTGCGTGATGCAGCAGAAGTACATGGAGAATTGATGCATATAAGAGACTTCCACTAGCTAGGTACCTAGGTAGGTGATTGAAATATACACCTACAGACCAGAATGTCTAACTGTCTATATTGCAGCCGATAAAATCCCAAGACTTACGTGACCAAGTTCATATTGCTTCCCCGTCAGCATAGCATGTAGAGGTATAGGACTCAAAAATAAATACGTACCTTGACTGCGTAAAACCCAATAGGTATAGTTCCAGGCATTATATGGAGAGTATGCAGTGATGTGCCCTTTGGTAACTCAAGAAGCTCTTCATCCCTTCGTGTCCAGATATGCCTTCCACGATTCGTAGAAAACTAAGACATCAGACGAGCAAACTCAACGATGTGATCAACGTACCTTATAATACAGAGGAGTCCCAGATCTAAAGTAGCGAGAAGATATCCTGGATGATTTGTTTCTGATCACCACCTGCACGCTATCGATTCTTTCGCCCCCAGGTCCATCAATCGGAAAACGTATTACAGGCCCATTGTTTCTAGGGACATCTGGGAGACGACCAAGATCGATTCCACGAGTGAAAGAAACTTCACTGCCATAGAAAAATACCAGTTTCCAGAATCGTTCTCTGTAAACCATAATCATCATCTGTGTGAGAGAGGAAAGGCGACTCCCATCTTCATCCCCGAAAAGAGTCCAAACGATAGGTCGATAGCCCGGTACGAGGATGTCTCCTCCTGAGAATGAATCTTCATTAAAACAAAGTTTTCCAGAAGCAATTTTGGGATACCATAATGCGTTTTTCATCATATAGTCCATCCATGAGGGTGGTGGTTGTTTTTTCGCCACTCGTAGGGGTTTGCTGCCAACCGCTAGCTTGACCATTTTATATTCCTGAAAGAAGATGAGTTTGGGCCCTTAAGAGGGTAATTCCACTTACATCAAAGCAGGCTTTCAAAACATCAACACGTTGCTGCATTATGAGACGATGGGTGATGCAGGCCTCCAAGGTTTCTCCTATCCATAACGAGGCTGTGTCTCCATGGTTGATCACCTTGAGTGCGTGAATACCCCTCTCTCCCAAAGCCACCTCAAATCCCTGAAAATGGTGATATCTATTCGCTGTCACACCTCCAGGAACAAGGTGTCCTAGACTTATGACCCTTTTATCCGTTTTAAATTGCAGACCTGTGATGTAGGTGATTTGCATCTCCTTGATTACAGAAACAGCGATTGTCCCTGGGGATAACGGTATGCGAATGCCCTGATTGCAACGGACCTGGACATAATTCGGATACTGAGGCAGTGGAAGATCGTCACTACAGCGCAATTGTGCCTGTACTTCCTTCCAGTCCCAGTCAGCTTCAACCAAATCCTTATGGTACGAGTCATGACCAGATGGAGCCGTTATGAGGCTGATATCTCTGAGCCAACAACAGCGCTGCCAGATCGTCTTTCTTCGATACAAAGATGGAGATAGATTTGATGAAGTACTGCGAATATAGAGGCGCTGCCAGTGCGTCTTGACTTTGAGTTGGCGTGTTGTTTCTTTCAGACAAGAGATGAAGTCACGATCACCTCCCAGCACAAACTTGGATGCCCAGAATCTACGATCAAAAAATAGATCCCCCATGGTTCGTGAGGCGAGTCGTAGATTGTAGAAATCTCTCATTGGTAGGTATTCGGCGATTTCCTGTCGGACTTCTAGAGGAAGGGCCATGAATATCTCATCATCTGGAATGCAACCCTTGGTTCTCCGCCGTGTTAACACTCGACGAGTCGGCGCTGGTATTGTTGCCTTTGCGGATGTCACATCGTTGACCGACATTGGCTCATTTGGGCTATCACGGTCGCCATCATAAGATAGATCCCTCAGTTGGTGCACCATTCGACTCGAAGTCAGCCGAAGCGCATATACCAGTCGGTTCCAAGGTATGGGTACGTTGTAGAAATAGGTCTTCAGGATAGTCCAGCAAGCATCATGGAAGAGGAATGTATCCTTTTTATAGTAATCATAGTTTCGTATTTTTAATGTCAAGAATCTGCCTTGCTCGTCGGCCGGAAGCTTCAAGACATAATCATGATTATCCTGCCCATAATGATACAGACCAACACCGGTAACTCGATAGCCAGTTGAGGTTGGGTAGACTATGTTCTTGGTTATGGATGGCGATGACGACCACAAAGTGGGAAAACTTACGAGCACGTATCGTTGAAGTCCAGTGGATTTCAGCATCCTCTTCATTCCCATAATTTTTCCCGTTGGCATCTCCGAAACATATATCGCAGGAAAACATGGTGGCTTTCTCTGCATGATACTAGAGACAGCAAAATTTGGGGATTCTTTATCATGACAAGATTACACCCAACATTTTGAACCATGGTCCATTTCCATGACCTCCATCTTACTCTTCCATTCTATTTTGATTATCATCCACTATCTTATGCTTTATAATTATTATAATAAACTCACGTATAATAAGGGCACGAAATCACGTGTCTCTATCCAATCCCACGAAGAGCCTCAATTTTTAACACAGCCTGGGCAATTATGATCGCAGTCTAGACACCAGACTAATGCATCTTGATTACGGCCAAGAAGATTGGCATCGAACCACCAATCCACAATAGCCGCACATCATCGCCCACTCCACTCCGCTGACATCCGCCTCGTCTGTATAGACTTGGCATCGTGTCTTTCCCCCTATCTCCGAGCAGCAACTTGCTGACTCTCATGCGCTGTCTTAGCCATTGTGGCTGTGTTGCTGGTGGAGTCGAAGAATGTTCCATAGATTCGCATATAGATATGCCACTTTCTGGTGTTTGGATGGTTGGGTTGATATGGCCAAGCAGCCCTGTGAGAACGGATGACGACTGCCATGTCTCTCCACAACTTTTTGTTGTTGCCTGCTTTGTGATATTCGATTATGATAAGATGTAGATATTTTTGATATATAGTATATATAGTACTCTGTGGTTTTTATTGACCACAGAGTTCATCTGTCTATTGTATCAGCTGCAATGAAGATATCCAACGCTCTAACCACCATATTCAGTCTGCTCTTTATATCTGCTAAAGGTAAGTAGTTCTGCTCTTTTAACATCCTTGATCATAAAGGATAGCTTATAGTGACAGTATAACCAGCGCACCTCGATGCAAATCCATCTCCTTTGCAGAATGCAGTCATCCACACCCCCTCCAACCGCATCACGGCAGCTTCGGAATTTAACATCACCTTTGGTATTAAGGGATATAGCCAAAATTTAACGTTTGTTTTGGAGCCTAATAAAGACTTGATTTCAAAAGACACACATGTCCAGTATTTGGATACCGAGGGAAAGATCAGCCATAGCGATTTAATTACCCCGTCGATGCATCGAATATTCAAGGGGACAGTTTGGACACCATCTGCATGGGAAAAAGTTGGATGGGCTCGCATATTGATGCTCAGGGATGGAGTTGATCCTTTATTTGAGGGTGCATTTACCATCGCCTCTGAGCAGTATCAGATTCGATCACAGTCCACTGTGACAGAAGATACAGGCAATGCAAAAGAGCAGGTCATGGTCTATCGAATTTCAAAGTCTAACCTGGAAGGTCGATCGGATGATAAATCATCATTTCCCCAGTCGATTTGCAGGTCTGGGGAACACCATTCAATCGAACCATCTTTCGCCCTATTGGAACGCCAGTTCAACCAAGGAGACCTTACAGATACTATAGGTAGCACGTCTGGCTGTCCTAATAGACGCAGAGTGGCCTATGTTGGCATCGCAACCGATTGCTCCTACACGGCAGCCTTCGATTCCACTGATGCCGTCCGTCAAAATATTCTCAGCGTGGTCAATACTGCCTCAGTTGTCTTTGAGAATAGCTTTAACATTTCTCTCGGTCTGCGTAACCTGACCATCAGCGATGCAGCGTGTCCTGGGAGCGCTTCAGATTCAACACCGTGGAACGTTGCTTGCTCAACGGGAGATCTCAACTGGCGGTTAAATCGCTTCTCATCATGGCGAGGCTCAATTGACGATGATGACAATGCGTACTGGACACTAATGACGGAGTGTAACACTGGGGGTGAAGTTGGAGTGTCTTGGATCGGAGCATTGTGCAATTATGGGTCGTTTGGGTATACAACCTCAGTAGGAGCGAACGTGGTTGCTCGCGTGGAAAATGCTGAGTGGCAAGTTTTTGCGTAAGTCTTCAGGTTTTCTTCTTCTCATCGTTTCTCCAAAGAGACATACTAATGTACCCAGCCATGAATCGGCTCATACGTTCGGTGCTGTTCACGACTGTAACTCTAATACTTGCGCTGCAGGATATGGTTCGACATCACAGTGCTGTCCTCTGTCTTCTTCCACTTGTGATGCCGGTGGGGAATATATAATGAATCCCTCGGTAGCAATTGGAATGACCCGGTTTTCACCCTGCAGCATTGGCAACGTCTGTTCTCAACTAAGGACGGGAAGTGTCAACACTCGCTGTCTCGTCGACTATAATGATGCTTGGAATAACGGGACGATCAATTCCCCCGGGACCTGTGGAAACGGAATTGTCGAGGATGGAGAAGAGTGTGATTGTGGGGGAGACTCGTGTGAAGGGCGTGATGCTGAATGCTGCGACGCAGCAACATGCCAGTGGCGAGGGGAGTGTAGTTCAGGCAATGGTGGTAATAACCGGAGTACTGGTGATAGCCTGGCATCCTGGGTTGATCGCCATCGCTCGTTGGTTATTGGGTTGTGTGCTGGAGTTGGAGGGGCATTGCTGTTTTTGGTTGTGGCGTGTCTTTTATATAGCTGTCGCAGGCGTAGAAAGACAGTGTAGATAGTTCAACCCATTTTTGTGCGAAGAGCACCTAGCCTCGTTGATGAGCTGTTTAGATTGAAATTAGATCGTTGCTAAAAGTCTTGTCTACCAAATTCTCGTGAATCACTGGACAGAACAATAATTGGTGATGATGGCGCGCTTGTCATGATTGGCGGCGACTGTCACCATTCACCACGGAGCCTTCCAGCCATCTCCAACTTATCTCCAAGATAGATCTCTGTTCATCACTCTCGGCTCCATCGCAATCTCCATCCCCATCTCCAGTTCCTTTTCTCCATGACCAATCTCGCTGCCCTCAGTGGCTCATCCTCGAGAAATATGGCTCCATTGCCGACCCCGCAATGTTCCCTCGAGCCGACCCACGCCTGCATTTCGGGCGAAGGGAGCCACCCATGCGTAGAGGAGTGAACAACTGGTCTCCCTGTTATCATGCAGCTTTAAGGGGAACAGGATTTCTGCTCTTTATCTCCTTGATTCTTATATCTGGGTCGTTCCACTTTCATTGTTCCTCTATTGTCGAATATCTCACCGCAATCGGGCTGTGTTTGTTTCTCCACTTAAACAGAGTCTGCTAAACTGCCTTCTAAAGCTCTTGTTGATCGACATTTGTACCAGTTTCCCTACAATAAAGAGAATTAGAATAACTACGCCATCATAGTCAATATGGTCGAGCTCATTAACCCCCCGGATCCTCGAACTCTTCTCCCTCCTTTGTTGGCATGTCTTCCTCTCGCCTTCGTGTCGCCGCGTCCACCCCCCGCTTTACTTCCCCTCCTTTCGCCTATTCTCCGCCAGCGAGTTCAGATCATCAGCTCAGTATCCTCATCTCCTACCGATTCATGGCTTCGATTACTATGCTGGGATGAAGCCAAAGCAGAGCGTATTCAATCTTTGGTGGATGGAGCAAGCTTCGAACCCCACCCGGTATCGGGCGAGATCGAGCTTCCCGACGAGATTCCTGTGACTTACAAACGGGTGGATGAAGAGACACTTCAGTCTAAGATACTCTTGTCGGATTACAGCTTAAAGACGATTTATCTCTGGTGTCCGGATGATCAAGAGGGCGGAGGACCTGGCTGGCGGGTAGCAGAACTCCAGCCCCAAGAAGGACCAGATGACGACGCCTGGTCTATCTCTATTGGGGAGGCAAATCTGCAGGCAAGAGAAAATCTGGTAGAGGATGCTTTGCAGGCAGCAGAAAAGAGCGAGAAGCAACAGGCACAAGATGCAGAGGAAGAAGATGACGATGCTGATTACTGGGCCCAGTATGATGCTACACCTGGCAGAACACCAAACGTCAAGACACCGGCTCCCAATCCAGTCTCCTCTCTTCAGAATGGAGGCGACTCAGAAGCGTCATACTTCTCTCGGTATGCCGATGTGCAGCCGGCGATGGACAACCACGACCCGTCGGAGGAGCAGCCTGAGTTCGGGCCCTCGTCTCTAAACGGGAATATGCTAGCTGGTCTTCTTCAAAAGGTCAACGGATCAGGTGCTGCAGAGCCACCCCGTACCAACGGCTACTCTGCTGGCACAGCTGCCAACGAGCAAGCTGCCACGGCGCTCAACCACCCTCGACCGTCGTCTGCCTCGTCAACTAGATCCGACGCAGTGGCAAAGCTGGAACATGAGGCAGAAAGCCAATCTGCCTGTGAAATAGGCGTGAAGCAGCATATCAGCTCGAACATCAAGAGTTTGTTCCGTCTTGCCAAAAGCACGGGGATTCCTCGATCGGAGTTTGAATCTTTAGTTACGACGGAATTGGAGTTATTGAAAATATCTGATGGGGAGTAACCACAGGACCCTCGTCCTTTTATGTGTGTTTATTTATTTACTCTTTTCTTGGAAATGTTTGCGGATACAATATCTACATTTGAGAGTTAAGAGCGTTGGTGGAGCCTGTTTTTTCGGATATCCCATACTTTTTGCTTCTTTTTTCTTTTATCTAATTCTCATTTGATAAATATGATACAATATGAATATGAAACACAAAATCCTCAACGTCCACGCCATCTCCATCTTAAAACATCGCCCATTTTTCAGGCTGGCCGCTTGCATCGGTCTGCTTGCAGCCCCCACCGCCTTGTTTTTCCCGTTCCGCGGAGGGAGACGAAGAAGACACGCAATCCGATTGTCCGGCCCTCACTAGCTGATAGCAGGCATATTGTCATCCCATCAACGGCTTCATCTTCTCCTCTTTTCTTTCTTCTGGCAGCCTTTCTTTTTTATCATGCCCATTACGTGACCATTGTAAGTTTTCAATAGTCCCATATTGCCATTGACATTTTTGTTTGTTGAACTTAGGACTGACATCACTTTGTTGGTTCCCCTTTACCAGCTCATTAGGTGGTCTCTGGTCGCTCTCTACATTATTTTCCTTTTCCTTCTCGATCATGTCTCAATCTCCGCCGTCTCTCCGCAAGAGAGGCGGAAAGAAGGAGGTTTATACCGCCCTGCCCTCAGATGAGGAGCCCTCTTTCGTTTCGGGAGAGGCAGCTCCCAAGCGCAAGTCAGAGTGGGATTATAGGCTGGCCCTAACTATTCTGACGGTGCTGGCATTTATCACCCGTTTCTACAAGATTTCTTATCCTGATGAGGTTGTATTCGATGAGGTGCACTTTGGAAAGGTGAGTCTTGCGCGCGCGCGCGTCAATGGCTTGGGATAGGATGATTCGGTCTGACTTGGTTTGACTGAATAGTTCGCTTCTTACTACCTTCAACGTACCTACTTCTTCGATGTCCACCCTCCGTTTGGTAAACTTCTCTTCGCTTTGATGGGCTGGTTGATTGGATACGATGGCCACTTTTTGTTCGACAACATTGGCGACTCGTACATTGAAAACAAGGTCCCCTATGTCGGTCTCCGCGCATTGCCTGCGACACTCGGTGCCCTGACCATCCCGGTCGTGTTCATGATTATGTGGGAGTCTGGATACTCGTTGCCTGCTTGCGTGCTGGCTGCCGGCCTCGTTCTGTTCGACAACGCTCACATTGGTGAAGACAGACTTATCCTCCTCGATGCTACCCTCGTCATCACCATGGCGCTTAGCATCCTGTGCTACGTTCGCTTCTACAAGCTGCGCCATGAGCCCTTTGGTCGCAAGTGGTGGAAGTGGCTCCTGTTGACTGGTGTTTCCCTCAGCTGTGTGATCTCTACCAAGTACGTGGGTGTGTTCACCTTCGTCACTATCGGCTCTGCGGTCTTAGTCGACCTCTGGAACCTGCTGGACATCAACCGCCCCCGCGGTGCTCTTGACATGGTCCAGTGGGGTAAGCACTTTGCTGCGCGCTTTGTCGGTCTCGTCATTGTGCCGTTCTTCTTCTACCTCTTCTGGTTCCAGGTTCATTTCGCGATTCTCAACCGATCTGGCCCGGGTGACGATTTCATGACCCCCGAGTTCCAGGAAACCCTTAGCGACAACCTCATGTCCGCGCAGTCCGTTGGAATTGAATACTACGATGCCATCAGTATGAGACACAAGGACACCAAGGTCCTTCTCCACAGTCACTGGGAGAAATACCCTCTGCGCTACGACGACGGACGTATTTCGAGCCAGGGCCAGCAAGTCACCGGATACCCATACAATGACACCAACAACAACTGGCAGATTCTGCCTACTGTCCCATTGCCAGACACTGAGGCTCAAGGCCACAAGGTGCGCAACGGTGACATTGTTCAGCTTCGTCACTTGGGAACCGACACTTATCTTCTCACTCATGATGTTGCATCTCCTTACTTCCCTACCAACCAGGAATTTACCACTGTGCCGCAAGAACTGGCCAGTGGCGAGAGACACAACGATACTTTGTTCGAGATCAAGATCGAACACGGCAAGCCTGGGCAGGAATTCAAGACCCTTTCGAGCCACTTTAAGCTGATCCATGTCCCTACGCGGGTCGCATTGTGGACACACACCACTCCGTTGCCAGAATGGGGATTCAAGCAAGCCGAGATCAACGGTAACAAGAACGTTCTGCAGTCGAGCAACTTGTGGTTTGTGGATGCGATTGAATCTCTGCCCGAAGACAGCCCGCGGTTGGTCAGGGAGGAACGCAAGGTCAAGAAGCTGTCCTTCTTCCGAAAGTACCTCGAGCTGCAGCGTGCCATGTTCCACCACAACAATGCATTGACCAGCAGCCACCCCTATGCCAGTGAGCCCTTCCAGTGGCCCTTCCTTCTGCGTGGTGTCAGCTTCTGGACCAAGAACGACACCCGTGAGCAGATCTACTTCCTTGGTAACCCCATTGGATGGTGGATTGCGAGCAGTTTGTTGGCGGTTTTTGCCGGTGTCGTTGGTGCTGACCAGCTTTCTCTCCGACGTGGTGTTGATGCTTTGGAAGAAAGTAAGTTTTCTCTTATCTCATGAGTCTAACCAGTTAAGATGTAGCTAACCATTTCTTAGTTTGGGGCGCTGGTGCACGTTCGCGCTTGTACAACAGCACCGGATTCTTGTTCCTTTGCTGGGCTGCTCACTACTTCCCCTTCTGGTTGATGGGCCGTCAACGTTTCTTGCACCACTACCTCCCTGCCCACTTGGCATCTGCTCTGGTTACCGGTGCCTTGGTTGAATTCATCTTCAATGTTGCACCCATCTCCATCAATGCGATTGTGAGAGAAGATCCTTCCGGCAAGAACAAGGTTGGCGCTTCTCCCCGCCGTTTCATCACTGCCTCCGAGCGCATGGGCCGTAAGTCGATGATTGCATGCTGGGTTGCCACTTTAGCTATCCTCGGATTCACCTTCTTCGGCTTCGCCTTCTATGCGCCGCTGACATACGGAACTCCTGGTTTGGATCCCAACGGCGTTAATGCCCGCAAGTGGCTGAACTACGACTTGCACTTTGCCAAATAATTTAGCCATTAGCCATTTTGAAGTTTGGTTAACAGTTGGGAGATTTAGTCCATCATAATGGATGGCAAATTCACACTCCAATCTTCGGTTGTCACCGTCTTATTTCATTTTTTTAAGGATTTGTTCGTGCAGGGATATGGGCGTTGAATTGCCATGTAAAATAGATATGCGATATACAGTTTTGACGGCCCAAGGTCGAAATGGCACACTGGAGTGTTTGGATGGAGGATTGGAGGTGGAGTGATAGGATCAGTGGATGATACTCAATCTGAAGCTTTACACGTTGGGGTTGGTGTTTGGTCATTCTCTCATCTCCTATTCAGAGTTTTGTTGATACCAGCATGCAAACAGTTATAAAATAGATTGACTTTTGTTTTCTTGGGCTCTTGGTCTTAAATACTTGACTAATCGAACCCGTCCAGACAACCAGATCTCAACTAGTAGCACCATTTGTATTTCTAGCCTTTCAATGTGAGCGATTTTAGAGCCCACAATGCTATCCGTTACTCTACATAGCTACACCAGGTGGAACCTTTATCTGAAAAGTTGACTTGGTATTGGAAGTCTATATAACGATCCGGCATTAAGATCTAGTAAGTGTCTAAAATAACATAGAGGAAGAGTAATAACGAATGACTTGTGTCCAATTCAACACAGTTCAAACTCAAAAATCGCTTAAGCAGTCTGGACTTCCAAGTTACCCGTGAGACGAATGTCTCGGGAGCTTGCTCCAACACTAACGGGATACTTGCCAGGGGCCACCGCCCACTGCTGGGCAACAACATCCCAGTAAGAGATATCACGACGACGCAGCTCAAAGGTAACGGTAGTGTGCCCGTCCGCGTCAATATCGACGTTCTCAAACCCACGGAGCTGTCGGACAGGCTGGTCTGCGACTTCGGGGTAGCCGATGTAAAGCTGGGCCACCTCGGAGCCACGGACAGCGCCGGTGTTTTGAATCTTGACGGAGACCTTGCCAACGATATCCCACAGGTCGGTGTAGCCGCCGACAGAGAGGGAGCCGGTGGGGTGGACGGAGAGTTTCGAGGGAGAGTGAATGCTCAGGTCGGTGTAGTTGAAGGTAGTGTAGGAGAGACCGTAACCGAACTCGTAGCGGGGGGTGACGTTGTAGGCGTCGAAGTAGCGGTAGTCGATGTAGTTTCCTTCGGTGAAGTTGCACTGCGCAGTGTAGCAAAGACCGACGTTGTAGTCGCTTTCATTCTTTGCAATGGTGTAGGACAGACGACCGCTGGGGTTGACATCACCGTAGAGGACATCGACGATTGAGTTTCCGGATTCCTGGCCCAGAAGAGATCCGTACAGGACGCCGGTGACATTCTGGTGGTTGATCCATTGGTCGACGAGACGAGCACCGACGGTGTTGATAACCACGACTGTGTTGTTGCAGTTGTCGGCGATTGTGTTGACCAATGTATCTTGGTCTGCGTTGTAGAGTTCGGTTCGATCCGCTCCCTCGCCTGCTAGGGCGTTCAGGAAAACGAGGCAGACGTCCGAACCCGTGGCATACGCGGAGTATGAAGGGGTGACAGAGGTAGTCGAAGACCCCTTCATGACGAGGGTAGATCCCTGTTCGGAGCTGTATGTGTCATTGAGAACCCATCGGATCATGGTTCCATCCCCGCTAGCCCTGTAGGTCAGAGCGGCCTGAGGTGTGATCAAGTAGGGAAGCGAGCCTTGTCCGGATCCCGAGTCTGTGGCAAGGTGGCCATCATACGTAGGTCCGGTTCCCTGGACAGTGAATTCCATGTTAGGACCGGCAACTGCAGCGCGAGCGTGGGAGCCGAAGATGGCCATGGTGTGTGGCTTCTTCAGAGGCAATGCGTTGTCGATGTTCTTCAGCAGGACCATGGACTTGGCACCGTTGGCCCGGATCAGCTTGGAGTGGTTTGCGCGGACATCAATGTAAGCACCGGTATCAGCAGTTGAGGGTTGAGTTCCGTTGTCAAGGTTGACATAGTAGTAAGCCATCAGGTTACGGATAGCCATGTCATTCAGACGGGTCTGGGGAAGACTGCCATTCGACAACAATGCCTTCATGGTAGAGGTGCTCCAGATGCTGCTGGATCCGTAATCAAGACCACTAATCGCAGAGCCAAGGGCGTCTTTCTGTGCCATGGTATCCGGGAACACCATTCCAGGGAATCCCAGCTCAGTCTTAAGGCGCTCGGAGAGAAGCTCGGAATTTTCACAGCTCAATGTGTTGTTGACCTTGGTCATGGCGCACATGACAGCTCCAAGGCCATTCTTCACTGCGTCGTAAAACGACCACAAGTATGTCTCGTGCAGAGTCTTGTCGTCGGCGTTGGAGGAGTACGGAGCGGATTCAGTTTCGGAGCTAGAGCTTCTTTTGCTCGGAGGGCTTCCTGGCATTGATGAGTTGCCTCCTGAGCCACCAGGGCCACCACCGGCACCACCACCCCCTCCGCCGCCGCCCATTCCACTGGTTCGGTTTGTTTCTTGTTCGTTGAGAAGGAAATGCTGTTTGAAAGATCGTCAGCAATGCTCCCGTGACTAGCTGATGATAGACATACCTTGGCACCAGGAATCACACCGGTATCGACATACGCCTTGGTGCTCAGACCCGTCACAATACCATTCAGATAAGGATCAGGGCCGAAGGTCTCCACCAAGCGACCTCCCCAGGGTGTCCGACCCAGCGGCTGGGATGTTGGGCCGTTAACGACTTGAATACCTTTGAGATAGAACTCGGTTGCGACAGCCCTGGCCTGGGCGTACATGGCATCTTTGTCCCAGGTCATGGACAGGGCAGAGGATTGACTGAAAGCCGACACATAGTAGTAGTCTTGGAGACCCATAGAGCCGTCGAGGAACTCGAGAGCCGTGAAGGTTCCATCGGTAGTGTTGACATTGCTGCCGGTGATAAGTTCCAGCTTCTGGGTCGTAGTGAGCTTGGAGACGAATTTAGATGCCTTTTCGTAGGCTTCTTTCCATTCTCCTAGGGAAACTGTAGACAGACGTTAGCATGACGATAAGAATACCTGAAAATAAATAACGTACCTCCATCATCTTTGAGAATCCCCGCAGTCAAATTGTTAGTGGCCAAAGCCGCCCCAAGAAGGGTCGATAGTAACGTAAACGAAAGAACTCTCATCTTTCGAGAGAGGAATATAATGATATAGAATGAGTGACTGTATGTCCTTCATCATGACTGACCCAGGGTGCATTGATCCCTTATATGACAACCGACTACCCACCTGGTGTTGTTGACGTACGCACATGCGGTACTGGTGGAAAGACTAGATGGAGTGTCAAACATTCTAGCACGAACAGACTCGTCATCGCCAGAAAATTCGGGATGCTCAGGACCCCCGGTTTCTATCGCTCCACATTGCGTACGTAGACATTAGACCCTAGATAAGTAAGAAGGATCTTAGTTGCAAGTGCCGTTGGGGACCAAAAAAAGCGATCTGCACGACTAATACTACTTAGCCCTAGGACGACGAACAATGCTGGGTCTTGAATTGGGATTTGCTTATTTTGAAGTTGTCATGAAGAAAGTGAATGGCACTGCCATATCACATGATGAGCACCACGTGCCTCTACAGGATACACGATGCATCCATAGATTCCATAGATTGTTATCTCTTGAATTCATGCAGGATTAAAATGACGAATCTTGAAATTCTCAATTGAACTAAGCCACAGATCCAATTTGGACCCGCCGAAATCGCAATCCTGCTTAAAATCTGCAGCTCGGATTGTTCCGGATCTTCTCGGATTATCCGAATCCCTTAGTATGAGTGTTGGTGATATCTATCCCAAACTTCCCCCCCAACATTGATACGCAATCTGGGTTCCATCAAGAATCATATAAACAGCTACAGTTAGACCTCCGATCCCGAGGCTCTTTCATAATACCAAACTCCCCCTTCACTCTTCGCACAGCTCGATAACGAGCCCTCGACAGATGCATCCACAGGCACTCCCATTCCATCCTGTGGTCGGCCCAAGACGTGCATATAGTAATAAATCTGGTCCAGCACGGTATATCCATCATCCATCGATCCTCGTCCAGCGTCTGTCTCATTGTACCGAGGACCACTGCATCCAATATACGGTCTCGCACCAGCCCCCCGTTTCAGCGCAGACTGGAGGTTAGAGAGGGTGTAGGAGGTGGTGTTAGATGGAGTAATACCCGTCTCTGCGAGCCATTGGTAGGTGGGATGATGGCGGAAATAGAGTAGAGCTGTGGTGAAGAAGTCGAGGATATCGTAGTGGGCCGGAGATTGGGGACCGTAGCAGGGAATGTCGAAGGTGGAATAGCAAGTAGCGTGTTTGGAGAACTCATGGGCCCAGAGGATATTGCTTTTTTGAGCTTGACCCACCCAGTATCTATGGTATTATTAGCGGATTGTCGATGGGTAGAACAAGGCTGATGACTGACTTGTTCATGTATGCCAGTAAATCTTTCCTCCCAAACGGCTCTATCAAGCTGTCGATGCTCGGTCCTTTCCATGGGGGAATAGCAGCTCCTGAACAGCTTAGCACAATAACCACATATTATTCAGACCGTTCAGACCACAACATACCGTTATCCAGAGTACTCGGGGAAGGAGAGGGATCATATTGTCTGCTGAGATCACAGTACTGGGTATACGATCCATTGCAAAAATCCGGCCACAGGCCATGCAAAGTCCAACTATTCTTTGGCAGCACTTGACCCTCTGACTCCAGACCTGTGTATGTATCCCAGAATTGCGTACTCATGACCAATCCACCAAATGTTTCTGTACAGCAGGTGTCGACGTTGGCCAAGGTAGCATTTTTAGAGCAAGAAGGAATAGGGTCATCTAATAAATTAGACATGCTAATATAGTTCGATATTTAATGAGACTTAACATACGCAAGACACAAGAATGGTTAAGATAGCTCTCGCCGTAGAGAGAAGCAGAGGCAATGTTTGACAGCGCAGCAGCCAATGCTGCACATAAAGATAAGGAGTGCATGGTACAATCAATTAAGTGTGTTGAAGAAAGAGTCTGAAAACAAACCAAGAGGGAGAAGATGGTTTTTAAATCGTCCATTGCTACTATCTCGGCATTATCTCGCTTCTCGGATGATAGATTAATTGATGCTGTAACCTCACAATCTGCGCATCACATGCGGATTCCATTGGATGATATTTGCTCTGTGCCCTGACTAGCAGGGATTCATTATCAGCTAGTAGGGTGCTGATAGGAGCCCCACTTATAATACAGAAACATGGAGAATAACCACGTTGTGCTATGCTAGATGAACCGATGTGTAAATACTCAGCAGATATAAACAGTAGACATAATATTATAATTTTGCTCATAATCCTAAACTAACGCCGGTGCATAATACAAAAATCAAACCATCTAACGCATTCTCTTGCCAATATCGCTCTCCCATCCACGAGACTTCTCAAATCCATTGGATGCGGTCTGGTAGTCCAGCATCGCCTGGTAAACCTCTTCTTGGCTGTTCAGGACAAACGGTCCGTACTGGACCACCTTCTGGTCTAGTGGTTGACCAGCCACCAAGATGAAGCGCGATTCCGACTCGGCGTTGTCTGGAACAGATGCCTCGATGAAGTCGCCCTTCTGCTCAAACACAACATTGTGGTATTGCTTGATATTCTGGGTGGAATCGTTGGATCCGAAAATAGTGTTGCCGGACAGTGTGTAGGCGAAAGCATTCCATCCTACCGGGAGAGGCTGCGAAATTCGACCACCAGGCTTGATGGTGACATCCAAGAGCCACACGGGGGTGTATGCCAAATCCCGGACAGAGTCGACGCCGTGCGACTGACCCGAGATGACCTTGACAGTGACGCGACCGTCATCCAGATTGGCAATGGGGATCTCAGAGGCACGCAGGTCACGGTACCGGGGTTCGCACATCTTCAGCTTCTTGGGCAAGTCCACCCACAACTGCATACCGACGTTGGGGCTGCCATCGGGGTTTTCGCGGGGCATCTCCGCGTGCATGATACCCTTTCCGGCCGTCATGAACTGCAAGTCACCCGGTCCAATAGTGCCCTTGTTGCCGGCAAAATCCTCATGGTCTACACCTCCTGAAAGGAGATAGGTGATGGTCTCTTGGCCACGGTGAGGGTGATCGGGGAATCCTGCGCCCGCTCCAATGGTGAAGTGGTCGAGCATGAGGAAAGGACTGAAGTTGCGAAGCTTGGCTGTGCCGATGGAGCGACGAACACGCGCACCTGCGCCTTCAGCCTGCTCAATGGCTAGGAATGCCTGACGGATAGTGCGGGGAACAGCCATTTCGTTAATCGGTTTGACGATGGGGATGAACTCGGTGTCGATGTCGGGAGTAGTGGTAGTGAGGTTGTTCTTCAAGTACTGCGACAAGGTGATAGGAACTTGTTGTTGCACGTAGAAAACTAGATCCTTAAGTTTGTTGGTATTATTGTTATAAGAAAGAAGAATTGCTGTGATGCAAATCAAAAGTGACAGAAGCAGTTTCATCGACTCAAGCGGGGGGTATTTATACACGAGAGACTCAAGCACTGAACTGGGTAGAAGGTTCTTGGAGCAATGGAGAAAATATTGAAAATCAAGCTGTCAGCGTTAGTCAAAATCATTCATTGTATTCTGGATCCAATTAATCATTCTTATATGCATCTTTCTTAGCCCTGAAAGGTGGGGAGAAACCATCGACCACTGCTTTGCGAGGAATCAGTCATCAACAGCGATTACAAAGAAGGGCGTCAGCAATGGTTAAGCGGCGCTAACCCAATGCGGCAGTGAAGGTCATAACCTAGAACATATATGAGAGTCATCGAATGCGATTATTTTTCATTATTGATGATTATGGAATTTTTATGGCTTTCAATCAAAAAATGCATGGTATTGTTAAGAATCAAATAATGATTGCTTAATCTAGACATCCGGACTACCGAAAGGAGTTTGAATCTGCAACCTACATGGAGTAATGCCAGCAATATTTCTCCTAGGAGTATTGAATATACTCATAATTAAGAAGCATAATACAAATAATAACCGATTGAATGGCATAATTATGCCAATATTACTACGGGGTATGATGCATAATTATCCTCTGTACCGTAAAAACACGTGCTGCAACCCCGATAAGGCCACTGAGCGATCCTCCACGCCAGCCGAATAGCACCACTCGGTCCAACCGAGTCTCACCAGCTGTCATGTTGTCCGTCCGGCCTTGCTGCAGCACAATGCTTTCTAGCCGTTAATTATTACAACATATCATGTTTCTTATCTATATTTGATACTGGTTTTCTTTTCTGTAATTGCGACAAACGAACTCGCGTCGCGGGCCCGAAATACGAAGCTTTCGCGATCTTCTAGCCCCTGCGGGGAAGCTCCTCCATCCCAACTGGCTTGGGAAGCACATACCATTTGATCTCATCCAACGACGAACATCATGGGGCAACGAAGGTTTATCGCACCTTTACTAGCGCTGGCGTGCGCTACGTCCGGTGTTTTAGCGAGCAAGAAGGTGTTCAACATCCATGATGATCTTCTGGCATTCCCTCAAGTATGTTTTCTCCGGATTCCCAGTCTTGCAGTCCAATACAGGCCTCACTTCCCTCTAAAGATTGTCTTTATTAAAATTTCCTCTGTACAGTTCCAAGTCCTGTTCCCCGAAAGCTACGTCCTCGAATCGCAAGCAAGGGAGTTGCTACAAGCGCAGGCCTCGACATTCGATGAAAACCAAAAGCATTCCGACAAGAATCCGCAGGTTTACATGGGAAAGGATAGTTCATCAGACCCTTCTCACAATCAAAACGGGGCAAATAAAGATGAATCTGCCGTCACATATGAAGAAATGACCCTCGAAGGACAACGGTATCTCTGTCAGATCCCGCACATCGACACTGGTGATCTCAACCGCACTCGCACGGAAGAATCAAGTGAAGTTGAGAAGCACAAAGAGCTTGCACGGGCCACGGATCGCGGTCTTGAGCTTCTGCGCGACATGGAGGGCAAATGCATGTATTACATATCCGGGTGGTGGTCTTACTCTTTCTGCTACAAGAAGCAAATCAAGCAATTCCATGCTCTCCCATTTGGCAGCGGGGTCCCCAACTATCCACCTATGGAAGACCCAACGACACAATCGTTCATCCTGGGAAGATTCCGACGAGGTGATGATGATGAAATGGATGGTGAGGCTGAGCGAAAGAAGGCAACAACCACAGACCTGGCGGAACTTCAGACGAAAGGGGGCTCGCGATACCTCGTACAACGGCTCGAGGGCGGGACTAAGTGCGACTTGACAGGACGGAACCGAAAGGTTGAAATTCAGTTCCATTGCAATCCCCAATCTACGGACCGAATTGGTTGGATCAAAGAACTTACGACCTGTTCCTACCTGATGGTGATTTATACCCCCCGGCTATGTAACGACGTCGCTTTTTTGCCACCTCAACAGGATGAAGTGCACTCGATCGAGTGTCGAGAGGTCCTGACCCCTGAAGAAGTTCCCGAATGGGAGGCGATGCAAAATTACCTCTCGTCTCAGCAATTGGTCGAGTCAGGAGAGTCGTCCGAGTTTGCTATTGTCGGTGACATTCAGGTGGGAGCCCAGAAGCTGGTTGGGACAGAGGGCAAGAAGATCGAAAAGGGGCGTGTTGCCTCTGCTGGCGAGGAGAAGGTGGATGTGGTTGCCAAGCGCGAGAAAGGGGAGGTGCAATGGCTGTCCAAGGAAGAGCTGAAGAAATACGACCTTGATCCGCAGAAGATTGAAACATTGAAGAAGCAACTCGAGGAGCTGGCCAATGGCAAGGACTGGACACTAGAAGTTGTTGAGGCCAATGGAGAGCGCGGGCTTCGGGGCATTGTGGACGCTGATGAGGAAGACGAGCTCGAAGGAGACCGTGCCTACAAGGAGAGAACCAGTGAACGCCCAGGAACCAAGCCTGCGCCAAATGATGGAGACCAGCCACAGCGACAGGCAAAGGAGACGTCGCAGGAGGCATCAAAGCAGCAACCACAGGAGCGACCTGGGCAGCAGCCCGAGAAAAAGGTAGAAACCCAGGAACAGAAGGAACCAGAACCCTCATATGGGGGATCAGAAAAGGGTAGCGAAGAAACGTTCAAGGACGAACTATGAGTTGATATCACCTTTTGTACTGTACATTCTGATTGCATTTTATCAATTTCATATTCCGGTCAGGCGTTCAGGGAATCTACTTTGTGGGGAAATGTAGATTGGATCTAGAGAATTCTCCCTATTAACCCTTTAAACGATCATCAGAATGCATCAATGTTACTATTCCAAGTGGATCGTCCGATGCCAGGAACCGTGTGGATTCATTCATGCCCAAATACGTCAGACTCTAGGTATTGAGAATGGACACCCTGCTTCAACAATCTGGGCTATCATGATAGAAAATAATAACAATAAATAGAATTATCACCCCGTTCATACTATTCTCCAAACATTAAATCCATCAAAACCCCCCATAGTACTTTTTTATCCCTCACTTCCTGCCATCGTATCTGACAGGCTGCAGAACGTGACCGCCTTCCACGCTTCTTCCGCCCGCCGCCCCTCAAACCGTCCAACTTCCCCCCCAGAAGCTGACGATCCACAACAACTCCCTCCCTCCCTCTCTCTCTCTCTCTCTTCCTTCTTTTCCTTCTCTCCCCTATCCTTGAATCGACAATTTTAAACTCCCCAACCCCCCTCTTCAACCGCCACCTCTTTGCTCTTCCACGTGGCCGCATCTCCAATCCGTCTGCCAACTTCTGGCCAGAACTATTTGCCAAGGCCATTCATCCCCCCGACCGACCCAGTGGAGGTATCCCCAACCTCCGATTTCGAACGGCGACGGCAACCAACGACGACGGATCGATTCCTCCACGGCCCGACAAGAGGCGCTATATCGCAATCTGAATGCTATCCACTCAGCAGCGGTAACGCCAGAAGTGGTCACATTATAATCACTCCCTTCATCGTTATCTGACCGGAACGGTGCGATCCCGGGGACTCATTCCATAATGGGGTTCCTCGGAGTATACACGTCCTTGTACGATTACCACCCTCAAGGGGAGGGAGAGCTGGAGCTTCGCGAGGGCGATTTGCTCTATATCCTCGAGAAAAGCGCCGAAGATAGTTGGTGGAAAGCGAAGAAAAAGGCAGAACGGGAAGACGAGGATGAACCGGAGGGTTTAGTACCGAACAACTACGTCGAGGAGGTAAGGCCAACCTGTTATATTCTATCGATCCTTGTTTTCAGGCCGGATTTCTTTTGGAGGATTTTTCTTTGTCTATGCCGTTGTGCGGCTAGCTACTGTCGTCCGTTTTATTGCGGAGCGATAGTGGTTTTGCCCCTGAAGCAGCCTCCTGGAGGTTGCGTTGGGCTTTAACATCATTGGCGTATGCTAACAGCTCGTTATGGCTAACAGGCTCAACCTATTCACGGTGCAAAAGCGCTTTACGATTACACACGCCAAACAGACGAGGAGGTATCCTTTTCGGAAGATGCAGAGCTTGAGGTATACGACACCTCGGATCCGGATTGGACTTTGGTGGGCGTGAACGCAGATTTCGGATTTGCCCCTTCGAATTATATCGAATTTTTGGAACATCATGCTGCTCCTGCCGCCGCAGCCGCCCCCGTTTCCCCGCCTGTTCCACAAGAGTCCCCCGCTCCCGCTCTTCCGCAACGACCAGCGGTGTCGGAGGTGCAAGAGGACGAGCCCGAAGCCCCAACATCAAGCTCTCCAATCGACACAGCTCAGAATCCAGCAGCTGCAGCAATCGCGGATATTATCCATAAGCAGCACGCATCTGCCGCCGACCCCGAACCCACCAGGGCTGTGCCTCCGCCTCCTGAGCCCGTCTATCAGCCATCCTATGAACCCGATGATGAACCCTCGCCTCCACCGACTTTACCACAGCGACCACCGTCTGAACATGTTGCCCCGCCTGTGCGCCAATATTCTCCCCCAGAACCCTCTCCACCCCCACGGCCGCGGTATCCCTCAATCAAGGACAGTGACCGAGAAGGACACGTGCAGGAGTCCCCGCCTTTCAATAGGGTTGGCGGAGCCACCCCGCACTCTCCTTCTGGTTATCACTTGTACAACATCAACGAAATGGTGGAGGCAATGGGCAAGCGGAAGAAGATGCCTACAACCTTAGGTATCAACATCGCCACCGGTACTATCTTCATCTCTCCGGAGGGCGATGGCAACCAGCAGGAATGGACTGCGGACAAGCTTAGCCACTACTCCATCGAAGGGAAGCATGTTTTCGTTGATTTGGTACGCCCCAGTAAGAGCATCGATTTTCATGCCGGCGCAAAGGACACCGCAAGGGAAATTGTGTCCGCCCTTGGTGAAATCGCAGGGGCCTTCCGGGCCGAGGGTCTAAAGGAAGTTATCGCTGCTGGATCTGGCGGTGGTGGACAGAAAAAGGGTCAGATCTTGTATGACTTCATGGCGCAGGGTGATGATGAGGTGACTGTAGCCGTTGGAGACGAGGTGATCGTCGTGGATGACACCAAATCCGAAGAGTGGTGGATGGTTCGTCGGGTGAAGAATGGACGAGAGGGAGTGGTTCCAAGCAGCTATGTCGAGATAACTGGAACCGTTTCCAAAGAGCCCACTGGAGTCGAATCAGGCCTGTCGTCGGTCGAGAAAAACCGATTGGAGGAGGCGCGATTGACTAAACAGGCATCGCGAAAGTCCAAAGCAGACTCAGTGGACTCACCCACCTCTGAGGTAAGCAGAATTCCTTCGATAGTGCTATTTGAACCGCTTAGGTATAGGATGATGCTAACAGCCCTTCACAGCGTCAGAGCAAGCGCGATAGTAAAAGCAGCAGCAAGCCAAGTAAGCCCTGAAATATTTTCCCATATAAGAATCTCTCGTGCTAATGATGTTAACAGAGCCGGACCCTGGTAAGACGAGATCTTGGACAGACCGTACCAAGACATTCACTGTGGACGCGCAATTCATCGGTCTCCAAGACGGAAAAATTCACCTGCATAAGCAAAACGGCGTTAAAATTGCCGTTCCAATTGCAAAGATGTCTATTGAGGATCTAGAGTACGTTGAGAAAGCGACTGGGGTCTCGTTGGATGAAGATAAACCACTTTCCGACATTCGTCGCAGCCGTACTGAGCCGGAGACACCCAAGCCAGAGGCCAAACGATCCGGCGCGGCTATACAGCAGTCCGACTACGATTGGTTCGATTTCTTCCTGAAAGCGGGCGTTGGTCCGCATCAGTGCGAAAGATATGCCCAGAACTTCATCAAAGATTCCATGGACGAAAGCATTCTGCCAGATATCACGCCAGAAACTCTTCGAACTCTTGGTTTGAAGGAGGGTGATATCTTGCGAGTCATGCGCTACTTGGACACTACCTTTAGCCGTACAGGTGCCAAGTCATCTAAACTGAGAAATGTCAGTTTTGGTGGAGAGGAGGTTATTGGTAATGGCGAGGAAGGTGGTCCAAGTGGTCTCTTCTCCGGCCCTGGCGGTGTCTTGCGCAACAACACTCGTAAAGGCCGTCCATCCCCAGCCGTCCAGACCGGCGATGTAGTTGATCCGAAGGCTTTCGAGCAGAAGGACACTCCCAAGTCTCCGGAGCAGAACGAAACCCCACCAGTTTCTGCTGCTGCCGAAAAGCCTGTCCAGCGCGGGTTTGACGACGATGCGTGGGAGGTAAAGCAGCCAAAGCAATCGGCAGCTCCTGCGCCTGCACCTGCACCTGCACCTGCACCCGCATCCCCTCCGGCCGCGGTGTCACCCACAACCACCCAGCCGCCAACCCAACAGCAGCTGACCGGGGCTTTAGCGGACCTGTCTATCCTGCATCCTCCCCTGCAACCAAACGCCGCCCCGCCGGCTCCAGCCATCCAGGCCCAACCAACGGCTGTCCCAGCGGCGCAGCCAACACCCTTGCAGCCACAACAGACAGGAGCTACTCCCGGCTTTTTCGCTCAGTTGGGACAGCCCCAAGGATTCAGTCCCCAAGCGACCAGCTTCCAACAGCAAGCAAGACAGCGTCCTCAGGCCCCTCAGAATTTGAGCCAGAACTCTCTCCTCCCCCCTCCCCCGCAACGACCGCTGTCAGCACCTCAGAACTTCCCTCAGCAAAATTCCTTTGGTGCCACTCCTTTGCAGCCTCAATTGACGGGAATCCCTCAAGCAGGTCCCCCAGTTGCTCCTCCGGGGCAAAGTCTGGCCGAGTTGAGCCAGCAGCGGTTCCAACAGTCAATCCAACCCCAGGCCACTGGATTCATGCCTCAAAATCAGTTCCAAAATGGATTGATGCCACAGCCAACCGGTTTCCAGCCGCAGTCTCAGTTCGGAATTCAGCAGCAACAGCAGCAGCAGCCGTTTATGAATGGCCAGGGCCTTGCACCCCAGCCGACAGGATTTGGAGGCTTCCAATCCCCGGTCCAACAGCCAATGCAAACTGGTATCAACTCTGTCCTTCCTCCGGCATTGCAGCCTCAGCCTACTGGTATGAACGGCCTTACTGGAACACCCTACACCACATCACCTCCACCAGTACCTCCAATTCCTCAGCAACCGACTGCCGCGCCCCTGCAGCCACAAAAGACCGGACCACCTCCTTCTGTTCGATTCGGAGTCAAACCCGATGCTCCCAAGAAGCTCGCGCCCCAGCCAACGGGTATGAGGGCCAACCTCGCGCAAGCCAGTAAGCGTATCCAAACTATGTATCAAAATTTCAAGTTACTAACCTATCCCCTCTAATAGCGCCTCAAAACCCATTCGGCTTTTAAAACCAAACGGTGTATATATTTTCCTCACATTTTGCAACACATGACTGTTCTCTATTATACTTTTATCTCTCTCTTCCCTGTTGTCGGGAATTGCACGACATCTTATTCCGCCGCTTTTAACGCTTTCATGTGTACCGCAATTTAGCCATGGGTTTGGTCACTTCCACACAGCAAGTTCTGAAGAAATGCCTTGAGTGTCTTGTTTCTTCATGCAGCTTCAGCGACTTAGAACTCTTTCTTTTCTTTTTGCTTCGACATCGGTTCTGCTCAATACGTAATATTGGAAGACAGTTTCCTTTTCTGAAGACCTCACCTCTTTACTGTTCCCGATTTCACCACGGTTTTCTGATCAGGCTGATTCATCCCCGTTCCCACTTATTGTTTTGTCCATATATTTGAACGGCGGCTACATGATTAGTGTAACCGAGTGTTTCTCTTTCTTTTTCGTAACTTGAAGACAATAAAGGTCATCCAAGGTTGACTACATTGTCTATCACCACTCTATCTTTGGTCACAATTCTCATACTGTTATTTTGGATTTCTTTGTCTACTTGGCGTTTTCATTCCCTTTCTTTCTACCTTCTCTTCTCTTTTCCTTGTTGAAGTGTTATTGTGCTTAATTAACTTTACTCATGCCACTTTCTTTTGTTATTCTTTCTGCTATTTCAAAAGATGTATTTACGGTACATACAGGTTGTCGTTGGGCAAAATATACTATTATCCAATTCCAACTGGATTTAATGTATATATGGGAGATTGAGAAATTGAATATATATAAATGTCACCTCAGCACAGTAATTACAGATAAACGCCAACTCCAAAGAACCATCCGTCCTTTGGGGAAAATGTGGGAATCATAAGTGGTCATAAAAGATCATCACAAAGGGAATCTATAGCCCCCCGGCCGTGAGCTTTGTACATATTCTGTGTTCTGTCTTAGGGTGTCAATTATACAGTTCTTTACCCAGACAAGAATAAGAGGATATCGATGTAGATTACGCATCCTCCCAAATACCAAAAACCGGCAGATCTTCAGCCATGTAGAGAAGGCCATTATCTGGAAAAATCACATCGGAAAGTGGTGTCTGGCCTCGAACCTCTGGGCCTGCCATCCCCGTCCTGTCACCCAGTTGGCCAGAGGGAATGGTGCCTCCAGGCGAACAGCCGACGGGGATGCCTGTTGTGGTTAGGGCCGAGATGGCACTGGCTTCGTATGGGAGAGTTGGGGCGCCAGCGGTGCTACCATAAAGAGTGTCCCAGACGTCAGTGCCAGGTTGGGCAGGAATGGTGGTGGCAGTAGTGGGTGTAGCAGTAGGGGCAGTTGCGATGGGGTCAGAGGGTTGAGTAGGGAGGGTAGAGTCTCGAGGGGTGAGCTTCTCTGGGGAAAGAGGGGATGGGACCGTGTGGGCGCCGTTGCGATTGGGGGGTATTTCATTGTTTGAAGTTGAAAAAGTTGAAGGATTGGGATTATTGCGGTGATTGTTGTTATTGTTTAGTCCGACGTCGCCGAAGAGTTGGTCGACTTGTCTACTGCGACGTTCCATCCATTGGCGATTTCGTCGGCGGACGAACTCTGCTACCGCGGTACGTAGGTATTTGATGATTTGAAAAAAGCGGCATGCATGCGGATCGTGGGGGACGAAAATTTCGAGGAATTTTTCGGCTTTCATCATGCCATCTTCCAGTGGGAGAAGATTGTCATAGTCGGCGAAGAAGGCTGCTCCGAGGACGACAGCAGAATTGAAGACGGAGTTCATCAAAAAGGGCAATCTCTTGGGCAGGGAAGAATAGCGAGAGAGATCGTTGGCAATGTCGAGGCCTCGTAGTGCCGAATAGACACATGCATCGGCAAAGAGGGCGATACGGGAACCACCAGCCTGGGAGTCTGAAGAATTGGGCGATTCACTTTTGGTTTTTACATATTGAGACACGCGATATATGAGAAACGGCCGGGTTAAAAGAATGATTGACCAGTAGTACGAAGCGAGCACATGGGCGGCAGATAAGCTGCCCTCCAGAGTTTTGGTGTCGAGTTGCTCCGTCTGTGTTTTGAGGAAACCAGGCAAGCTTCGAACCCAAACACGATGCTGATTCGAGATTGTCTCTGCAACATTAATTGATATGACTTGCTTCATATACACATCGGTGAGAATGCGTTCGAATATGCGGGACAAAGAGATGACAGCCAGTGAGAGTTGCTCTTCTGGTGGTAAACGCTGCTGTTGTTCCCCTGAAGTCAAGGCGTCCTCGCGAGGGTCGTAGTCGAAATCAGACGTTGCCGGGGGCCGTCCCAAAGACGCGCTGAGAAACAGATCCATCATCCGCAGACTTTTCCATACACGCTCGCGAGCCCGTCGCTCCCGAGTACAAAAAAGGGCATTTGCGTCTTTCCGGTGTATACCGACCGCGTATGCGGCCCGTAGCGCAATGCCGAGATTCATGAACGCGCCATTGCGCCGGCAAGCGCCCAGCATGTACATAGAAATCAAGATATATGACTGGATCGTGTAGAGACTAGGTGTTTCTGTAAAGGCGGAGAATGCGAGCTGACGACCGCTAACAAAGTACCGCTCTGCCTGGGTCTGGTTGGTATTGGATACCTGGGCGCCAATAGCAAGAACCATTAAAAAGATAGAGCTGACAGTGTCTTCATCGCCAGTTGGATTATCGATCCAGTTGGCTAGGCGCGGGTGGAACTCGTTTAGGTCGAACAAATCCAGCAACGGACTGGTGGCGAGCACGTATTGGCGAGCCAGGCGTTGGGCTTCGTCATTGCTAGGAGGGTCAATCAGTGACCCTCGCTGGCTGCTAGGATTACTTTGGAAAGCTTCAAGCATCGAATGACGCGAGTTATCTTCCGTAAACTCACACCGGCCAATGGAGGAAGATACAATCCGCCGCACACTCTGCACAAAGGACAAGCTTGCGGAGTCACCAATGTACATGAATTTGCCTTGACCATCGCGCAACAATCGGGCAACCTTTGGCACGGGAGCAGTTCCATCCCGGTCGTCTCTTGTCTGTTGTTCCATATCCGCGCTATGATCCTCAAGCGAGTTCAGAAGATGGTCCATGGCCGTCTGTCGCTGCGGGGTGGGAGCCATCTGTTCGCTAAGCAGCATCGTTTCCTTGGGGCCACTGGGCTTGAGCAACCGCGCCGGTTTGTCCGAGAAATGGCATTCTGACTCTTTGCGACGTTGTACACAGATTGTACACGGTTGTTCCCCATTGCATTTTTGTTTCCTTCGCTTACAGCTATCGCAGGCTCGTCGACAACGGAGTCGTGCTCCAGGCGTTGTGCTGGCTCGGGGCATGGCGGATGTGGCAGGTATACCGGATATCTATCCTCCGTTTCTAAATTGACATTTATCAAGACCGAAGAAAGAATAGAACTACTGGCCCTGACGCCGGACTCAGGTCAGTATCTGCCACTGTTTGATAGTCGGCGGGAAATCGAAACAGAATCCAAACCGGCTAGCGCGGGGAACTTGACAGTAACCGGAACATTCCTTCCCGGTTGATTTGATGGCCGCGATGGATAGAGGTAAGAGGCTGGCCGTATAGACGACGCGATGGAAACTTGGGAGTGAAACGAAGATGAAGTTGTCGCGATCGACCGCTTCTTCCCCGGACTCGAATAGTGTGGACTGCGGAGGAGCTCCGCGGCTGACTAAGGGAACCGCTAAAAAGCTTCATTTTTCTACGTAGATTAAGTGATCGACTTCCAAGATTCCTAATGGGCTTATCATTATCTTAGTGATTATGATATATCACACTACGGGGTTTATCGATTTGATGATATCTACAGATCAGGCAGAAGATCTGCAATGCATGCATCATACATACAGCGGTACTTGTCTGATTAAACCGTCAAATTCCATTTAGATATTACTTTGCTGTAGCACGCTATCATATTAAATAAATTTAAACCCAGAAAAAGCATTTTCACTCTGGTCTGAAGGAAACGATCTTGCCCCAGGTGTCAGCTGTTCCCCAGATACCATGACGAAGACATGAGAGTTGCACGATCTGGCTGTGGTCGACGAACAGGTTCACATCGATACCAAACTCCCGAATGTACCAGTTGTAAACCTTGGGATCCGCGGCTTCGAACATGACGCGCTCAGAGGGGAGCTCCTTCATGATCTTGGATACAACATCTGTCCGCCACGTGTCGACGTTCTCGGTGATGCCCTCGGACTCGATCATCAGGCGCTCAACGCCAGCGTTGAGGAATTTATGGCCCAGGTTCACCAGCTTGCTGGGGTCAGAGGTGCCAATGGCTTCCAAACCAGAGGCTGGGGTGTCACCACCAGCGCCGAACTGAATACCCAGCTCAGGCTTAGCTTTCAGCTTGTATGAGTGAACCTTGTCGACGAGACGAAGCCAGTCGTCTTCGGGGAATGACAGGAAGCCGGAGGATAACTCGATCACATCGAATCTAAGGGGAAGGAAATGTTAGCATTATGATTGAAAAGTCAGGTAAGTGGGGGAATCGACGAACCCCAAGTCCTTGCATTTTGAGAGGTACTTGTCAAAGACGCTGTTTGGGTCTGGGTGAGTGAGGAGGTGCTCAGCCCAACCACCCTGTTGTCGAGTTTCTCAAGTCAGTCAAAGCCTCACATCACTGCGCCTGACATTGCATACCGTTGATACGTAAACACCATGCTCATGTGCAAGTTCGATCAATTCTCTCAACGGCTTTTCCTGGAAGAGGGAGAAAGATCCTAAACTGCGGGTTAGTTCATGTACAACCATGAAGTAATCAGGTCCAGCTAACCTCCTGCAAACTTGAGACCATCAACATGTGTTCCCATCCTACAAGCAATCATCAGTGGCCATTCTTCGTCTGATGCACTGTACAAAGCCTTACGTTTCGAGCACGTCCGCCAGATACCGCTTCCCCATTACCTACGTTGTATAAATCAGCCTCCATATTCGGTCCACCACTGGAGAATATGACATACCGAATAGTATGGTCCTCTGATTTCGGTGACGCCCTTGGACCTTGGCTTTGCAGGTCTGGGGTTCGATCTAGCAAATCCGAAGCCATCATTCTTATCCTGGAGGAGAGTGATATCCTTCTGCTGGGAGGGCGTGGTCGAAAGTCCTCTAGCTCCTGTCAATACTGAGGTCTTGGGGATCTGACGAGCAGCAAGACCGAAGAAACCTCTCGACGAGGTAGAGGTGAGCTGAGGTGCGAACATCTTTCAAAGGCAAATTAAACAGTCTTCTGTGACGCTTCCTTGAAAATTAAGCTTTTGATTATCGCAAATCTAGTTGCGTTTGGATACTGATAACGAGAGAGGATATATAGCATTTCCTCCAGTGAACTAGTTGATCTACATCTTGCTGAACAGGACAAGGGCGAGTCGGTTATCCATCAACAACCATGGTGTGAGGCAACTTGACGTAACAGATATTTCATCCGTGGAGTGACAGGTTCCAGTCACTACGAATGATATAACGTCTCTCCGCAAGATACTAAACAGAACAGGATGAACGTCGTGGTTTGATTTCGGATGAGGTCAACATGGCGACAGTCGGACAGATTCATGACGTCAGTTCATGTGAAGTACCGATTGTCGGAGGTTCAGTGTATCAATTTAAAAGGAGTCCGGGTATCTTCACTTTCTGGATAAATCAAGGGTATTGGTGTGACTTGAGTGAATATATCCACGTCTCACAGGACCCATTATGCACTCATGATCTCCATCGCATGGTGTTTATCTGCGAAATCAAACGCTAATTTTGATTGGCTCGGTAGTCGGTGTTTACAGAATCCGTCTGAGTAGCACGTGATTTCTGATTCTTATCACGGCAAGTCATCGCCTGACTCGCGCAGTTCGTGGCCGTATGAGGCATCGAAGACCGAGCTCCGTCGATGCTGTGTTAGACCCAGGCCCGTGTGGATATCTCGGACGTGAAAAAGACTGCAAATTCCATCTCCAACACCCCATTGATCTGCAGCACACTTTTGATATATTCTGTAGGCACCAATTTTATCCCACTTCCTAAATCACCCGCATTCCTGCAGAAAAACCAAAAAATAGAAAAGCCAAGTAGTGCCAAGCTGCCAAGCTGCCAAGTGTCTGATTAGTAAGCGGAGCGGGAGCGGCCTCGATAGTGCGTCTTTCCAGCCGGGCTCGGAGTCGAAAATGTCCGAGATGGAAGAATAATTGGATGGGGATCCATAATATTAATAAAGGGATGCAAGAGATGGCTCTCGCCTCAAACTAGGGAGATAGTCCTGTGGTTGTTTGGTTGCAAATGGCTGGCCATGGAGCGTTTGATTGGGGCCGGAGATAGTACGAGGACCGGGAGTTGCTAGGTCTAGGTGACTACCAGGCAGCTAATGATGCGAGGGTATTCAGCTGTAAGGCCCGCTGTGCTTTTTCTTATTTGAAATAAGCACCCAAGATAAGAGACGTGTTTCTTCCGTGGCATAGATACACCGATTCTGAAAGGAGACATATGAAGCGCTCATCAGGCCTACTGCGACTGTACATGCTGGAATCTGCCCATAACCTTAAGGGCTGTAGGGCTGATCCACATCCAGCTAGTTTGTTGATCGTCTATCCAGATCTGAGCAGTGTTACTCAACGTGGTGTACATAGTAGCACAATACACAGAGATAGATAGCGACATCCTGAGGGATTCCAGATGAAGCACTCTGACACCAGGCATACAATATTACTAGGTACACCATATTCAGGCTGCACCTTGCCTGGCCGTTGTTTTGAAGCAGTAGGCTCAGATCATCGCCCGAGATATCCGAACAACCCGAGCTCGTATATCGTATAAGCCCGGCACATAACAGGCACTATTATACTCCAACAAATCACCCGGCTCCATATTAATGCAATCCATTATCAAACGGACCAGCAGCTGTCCGAATCCGACGGCGCCCCAATCCTCCCGGATCCCAGATTCCATCGCCATTGGCAGCCGCCAGTGGCAGCTTCTTTGTTTTCCCTCTGCTCTCTGCCCCATCGCCAAGATGAGCCCATTTGGCACCGGCTCGCAAGACCCTGCTGTGTCTCCAATTCTCATCTCCCCTAATCTTCGTTGGGCTGAAAATCGGACTATTGGTAAAATAATTTGTTCTGTTCCTCCACCACGATCAATCAGATACAGCTAAAAATGTGACTTGTTCGCTGCAGTCACACGACCCCCCAATGTCCGAACGAATCCCCTCTTTCGTTCTCTCGTTATACACCGCCGCATAGCCTCGCGTCTAACGCAGACGACGTGCTTTTTTATTGCATTTTTCTTGTCCTGTATTATCTATTCCCCGTCGTTCGTTTAATCTTTTCCCATCCCGGTGGATGGTGTCCTGATCCATTCTCTCTCCCCTACCCCCATCTCACTGGAGATTCAACCATTCATTCTTTCATCATGGGAGTGGGAGGTATCCTAGAACCTCTGGTCGTTGTCGTTCTCCTCTTCGGAGGTACATGGATCAATCGGACCAAGAGTTCCTCTTCATATCCAGCCAGGATTCGTCGAAAATCCGTCGATTATTCCCGTTCTCCGTCGCCCGATTATCTTGAGTCGGGTCCTCCCAGTCCAACTGCCAAAGATGGCTTGCTTGGCTCGGGATCAACATTGACGTCTGGTGAGGGTCGATGGCGCAAGCGCAGAATCGGGTTCTTTTCGTCTACCACCGAGGTCACGACTCCAAACACTGCTGTCTTTCAGGACCGTCTTCTCAGTCGTCTGCTTAGACGGCTTCCTTTCCTTGTCGAATGTTGGTATTGGGCATTGGTTTACTGGGTATGTTAGTTCTTCTCCAAGTGTCATGTTGTATCTGTTTCGTAAACGGTTGCTAAGACTGGAATTGCAGACATACCAATTAGGTCGAGCATTCACAGCGGTCACCCTCCAAGAAGGAACGGTCAATGTGGCGAGGAAACATGCGTTGCAAGTGGTTGAGATCGAGCAGAAATTAGGTATCTTTTGGGAGGTTCCTATTCAGCAATTCTTTATGCGACACCCGCTATTGATGACATGGATCAACTGGATTTACTCCTTCATCCATATCCCTGGAACCATCGCCTTCCTCGTCTGGCTATACTATTACACCACCACGCAGAACAGATTGGGCGAGTCGCAACCCGGAAAGCCTCGAGGTGAAGCGAACGGTTCTCCAGCAGGCCCGCTCCTATACCAAGCCAGACGTCGCACGCTAGCCGTCTGTAACCTTCTTGCCTTTGTGGTTTTCACTCTATGGCCCTGTATGCCACCCCGTCTGCTGAGTGATGAGAGTGTCGAGGGCCCCGAGGGAAAGTTGGCCCGTAGTTATGGCTTTGTCGACACTGTGCATGGTGTTGGAGGTGCAGGCAGCGTTTGGACCCAAAATCGATTCTGCAACCAATACGGTAAGTCTTCCTATTTGCTCTTCTTCTTTGACGGACGCTGATCGAGTGCTTAGCGGCCATGCCATCCTTGCATTTCGGATATTCCCTTATGATCGGACTCACCATCATGAGCATTCCGCTGCCATCTCACCAACGCCGGGCTAGCTCGCGTTTCCGGGTGCTGGGACTGCAGCTCCCATCCTGGCGTCGATTCGTATGCCTCGTCGCAGGATTCTCATACCCGTTCATCATCCTGGTCGCCATTGTCGCAACAGCCAACCACTTCATTTTGGACGCCGTTGCTGGGACAGTGGTCTGCGCCTTGGGCTGGAGATTTAACCGAATGCTGTTGAACCTCATCCCGCTGGAAGATTACTTCCTCTGTGTCGTCCGGATATATAAGCCCGACCCTGCGGTTAGCGAGGTTGAGGATGCTGACGATTCCTGATTATTATTCTTCCCCATGATTCGATATCCTCAATTGGCGTCTTATTCTTATGCTTTATTCATCTTGGGTTCGAGATGCATAATTTTGTAATGACATGACCATCTTCATCTTTCTTGGTTGTGAGCCCACCATTGGCTTGGAAGACATGGTGGCACTCCTTTCTTCTTGCAATATTGTTATCGTGAACCGAAGATATATATAGACATTCTGACTGTTCAGTATAATATGATAATTCTTCACCTCATGGTTGATCTCTGGGAGTTTCTTGGGTATTTCTTTGGTTGATCTCACTGTCTCTGAGTGACCTCATAAGTATAAAATATGCAGCCTAAGGTTAGAGCGCCTGATCAGATAAATATCTCAGCTTCTTCCATGACGAAAAGGATGATAAGATGAAATATATACTATATGATGATTGGAATAGAAGATATATGCTAAGCAAAATAGATGGAAATTGAGAAAAGAGGCTGTGGCGATGGTATAGTAGTAGCGAATATATGTTCCCAAATCATAACGCCATAAGTGAAATTTATCATCAGCATCCCATTTGAGGTATTCGGATACTTTGACAAAATAAATGAAGCTTCTGAAGAGATAGTCTTTTATCACCGACTCTTCCTGCAAGTTGGGCTGTCAGTGTAAAGCTTGTCGGGTGTCTGTTCCATCATCGACTCTCCCCACCACCAGCCACTTTTCCCCTCTCATCCTCGCTCCGTACCTCTTCAGCTCTCTTCCACGTCTTCTAACCGCGTCTTTCCCCTGTTATTGGAGCCAATTCATTCTTCACAACCATGAAACTTGGGCTTTCATCAATTTCTGAATCTCTTTCTTCTTCTATGTAATTAGGTACTTATCGCGGTGTTCGTTGGTGCCTGGATTTCAAAAAAAAAAAAAAACTCGGCTACATCGCAGCACCAGGTCAGATCTTCCCCATCTATCTATGTGTGCTGAACTGTTGTCTGGACACGGGCTACTTATAATCTTGCTACAGAGTCTGTATATAATGCTGCTAAATTATCAATATCGTTTCTTTGCTCCAACTTTCCGTCTCAAAGCGACGAGTCTTCTGCGTCGCCTGTCAACTGTTTCTCATACGTACTTTTGCTTCATCCGTGGAGTCAACAGAATCATCCTGGAATTCCCAACGTCTCTTGATGTTTTTCGTCTGCTGCAGCAGTGATGCAGCTTTAATGCTTGCCCTCTAACCTCAGGGAGATTGATCTTTTGTTCAGCTTGCTTCATTTGAATTGAACATAGTATTTTATACCCGTACCAGACAACGCGATTGCGGTCTACTACCAGATTCGCGTCGCTTGCTAGCTATCTAACATTTATTTCGTCTCATAAGAGAATATCTCCTGACAAAGAAGAAACGACGCGTCAAGCTCTTTGCTACAGTTTGTTATTTCCTATCCTACACTATTCTCGCGATGCAATGCTGACGTGATTGATAGGTAGTCTAGACAAGTCTGGCAAGATTGGTGAGATTCAGTTCATAAATATCCCCATCATACTCATAATGAAATTGGGATGAATGCGCGCTGTATAGAAACTATGCTGTGCGTGATCACGAATGGACACAGTACATATTCTTTTTTGATATGCACTCAGATACCTATGTAATGGGATCTTAAATAGCTCCAACTGACGGGCCGTTGGCTTTGCAAGTCCTTCAATGGGGATACCAAAGACTGGCAATGAAGTGGGATGCAAGCGCTTCAATTATCGGGTTACCCTATGTGTGGGGGTTGATGCAGAGATAATCGATTTGAACAGGGGCTGCCTTTCATCTGATTTTAAGTGAGACCAATGTGCCATTTGGGCATACTCGAAGAACGCGGAAGTGGCCCATCCTCATCAAGAGGTGGCCTAGCAGGAGAGTCGCGCAGGGTTCAGCACTGTGGCGGCCTGGTGGCTAGTGCGGTCGGCCGGTGCTGGGAGAGTCGCCATGCACTCCTCAACCAGCCAGAAAGGGTCTTTGGGAAATTGAGATGCGGTACAAGGATATCTACCCTGTTCGTATCGTGCCGGTGATGTCCCAGGAGGTCCTGAGCTGTTGTTCTGATGATCTGGCTGGGCTCTACAATCGCGTGGGAAGGGGTGATTCTACAAACAGTCGGTAACCAGACAAGGCGTGATTTTGTCTTTACTGAGCAAGACCTTTGACTTGTAGCTAGAGATGTCTGGGAACAGCAAGACTTTATTTAACTGTATATGGAGGTGATGATGATGATGTAACCATGGGTTCGTGAGTGCACGCGTTGTTCGACTTTCCCGCCTCCCGTCGCGACCTTCTCCACCACTTCTCTCTCTCCCACTGACAACCACCTCGACACCCTTCCCATCACCTCCACCACCCACCCCATTGATAAGCTTCGACCTCTTCCATCCGCATCTGGGCTTTGTCTCGTCTGGTCCATCTCGACATTTGCTGCGCATCATGGCTGAGGACAAGCCTGTTACCTCCACGCCTGCTGCCGACGCCGGCGAGCCGGCTGCTGAGCGCGCTCCTTCTGCTGGTCCCAAGGCGGGCGACGCAGCGCCAGAGGCCCCTCAAGAAAAGGAGACTGAAAAGGCCAATGAATCTGAACAGAAGGCAGAAGGTAAGAGCTTGAGAAAAGAAGAAAAAATTTTTGATTTTCTTTTGGCTTGGATTTTTGTTTTCTGGAGCTTTCGGGAGCTGTGTTACACAGAGCCCGCCTCCCTTTGGCACTTGGCATCTCTAACTCACCGTCTTTCAATCCATAGAACAAACAAATGCCGCCGAAGAGAAGAAAGAATCAACTGAAGCTCCAGCTGAGGAAGCCAGCGCGTCCGCTGAGACTGCCGACGCGAAGAAACCCGAAGAGAGCGCCGCTGCGCCTGCAGAGTCTGAGGCCGCTCAAGCACCGGACGCTAATGGAACCACCGCGTCGGCCAAGAAGGGTGGAAGCGCGAAGCGCAAGTCCACTGGCGGCGACCAGAAGAAACTGAGCAGAAAGAAGTCGCAAGTTCGCGTCACCCAGCTTCACGCGAAGCCTGGCGAGTACTATCTCGCACGCCTCCGGAGCTTCCCCCCATGGCCTTCGATCATTTGCGATGAGGAGATTCTTCCCCAGACCCTGCTCAGCACGCGTCCGGTGACGGCAATGCGGTCCGATGGAACCTACAGGGAGGACTACGCGGATGAGGGCAAGCGAGCTCACGAGAGGACTTTCCCCGTCATGTTCTTCCAAACCAACGAATTGTATGTGGGGAATAGTTTTTCTGCCCCCCCCCTTTGGTTTTCGCGAGTAGCATTTACTAACAGTCTATGACAGTGCTTGGATTCCCAACACAGACTTGACCCCCACTACCCCAGCTGCTTGTAAGGAGGTTTCTGAGAAGGGTAAGTCGAAACTTCTCTTGGCTGCTTTCGCCGTGGCTTCGGAGGGCCATGACCTTCAACATTTCAAGGACCTGCTCGCAGACCACCAGCGTGCGATGCAGCAGGAGGATGAGGAAAGAGAAGCCAACGCTGCCGCAAAGGCCGCTGCTAAAGCAGAAAAGGATGCCAAGAAGAACAAGCGGAAGAGCATGGAGATTGTCGACGATGCAGAGGATGTCGACATGGAAGACGCAGAGGAGACTAAGAAGCCTAAGAGCACAAAGAAGCGAAAGAAGGACACCGAAGCTGACGCTGAAGCTGACAAGGTGAGAAAATCCGTGACTTCAACTTTCAAAGCTGTCAACTAACATTATGCTGTCACCGCAGCCGGCCAAGACCCCCAAGACTGGTACCAAGTTGAAGTTGACTACCCCCAAGAATCCCGCGAGCGAAACAAAGAAGACTCCTGCCAGTAAAGCAAAGGCTGGCGGTAAGAAGAACAGTAAAGCAGCTGCCAGCGATGAGGGCGAAGACACTGGTGCCGAGTCCAAGGAGCCAGAGAAGCAGATCGATCCGCAAGAGCTGAAGCAAAAGAGAGAGAAAGAGAGTAAGGCACATTTGGATATTCTATGGCTGTGGGTAAAGGCTAATCTGTTACAGTTCTTTATATCCGCCATAAGCTCCAGAAGGGCTTTATCTCCCGTGACCAACCCCCCAAGGAGGAGGAAATGACCACAATGTCCGGCTACTTCACAAAGCTGGAACACTATGCCGATCTGGAGGTCTCGATTATCCGCTTGACTAAGATCAACAAGGTTCTCAAGATGATTGTCAAGCTTAACTCCATTCCTCGCGATGAGGAATTCAACTTCCGACGACGTGCCGTGGATATTCTGTCCAAGTGGAAGAATGTGCTTGACCCCGCTGATGAGAAGGACGATGCAAAGCCCAAGGCTAACGGTGTCCACAAGGAGGACAGCGTCGATACCCCCGTTAAGGCCGATGCTGAGGAGGAGAAGGAAAAGGAGAGCGAGACTAAGCAGACTAAGGCCGAATCGGCTGAGCCCCAGGATGAACCGATGCCCGACGCAGAAGCTTCAGAAAAGCAGGCCCCTGAGGCAACTAAAGAACAATCAGAGAAGGAAGCGGAAGCTCCTAAAGAGGCTCCTAAGGAGAATGAAAAGACGGAAGAGAAGGCGTCGGAAGAAAAGACAGGAGAGGAAAAGTCGGCAACGGAAGAAAAGAAAGAAGAGAAGACTGCAGAAGCAGCAGCATAAACATGAATCTATCTTCTTCAAATTGTTGTCTCTGAGCACTTTTCAACTATCTGTTTTTCGAGTGCTGCCTTATCGTTTTCATTTCTTTTATCCAATGTCTTGGTTCTCTGCTGGTCTATTGTGCGTTGTTGTTCACCCCCGTCTGTTTAATTTACTTTTATTCTCCTTGATTTATTTTTGGTATCAAGCGACGAAGCTGGGAAATGGAGAAATACAAAAAGCCTTTATTCCCTCCTTGCCCCTCTGGGTTCCATCAAAATTGCCATTGTTTTCTTTTTTGTACATCTACCACTGCTGTATGGCAATGGGACTTTGTCGGAGGAGTGAGCGACTCTTTCTTTTCATTCCGATTTTGATACGAGAATGATGAAATAAGAAGTGTTCTCTATATCTTATACTCTTATTTAGGATGGTAGGGATGAACTGCCGATATATCAGAATGGCAGTGAGAAAGGAAGTGGTAGACTCTTATTATGCCGTGCTGGATATGATATTTATTGGGTGGTGTTTGAGTTTTTATTGCCCTCGAGGTATTCCTTGATAATTGTTGTTCTCGAAAATGTAATTTTTTTTTTTCTTTTTTTTTATCGTTAAATCTTTTTCTGCTAATTCGGATTGTTTATGATGTCGAGCAAACGAGTCGATGGCATTCTAAAATCGGTCTATCTCGATGATTCTATCTGTTTCGTATTGGAACCGTAACCAAGCACTTTGTATCGGATTCATATCACGCTTTTGAGTCGGTTAGACAGCCAAGGATGATTAACTAGGTATATATAAAATAGGCAGATAAATCAGAAAAGAAAAGAAGAAGCAAAAGGGCAATCCGGCATGTATGTATCCGGCTCAAAGCCCATGGCCCTCCTCCACGGCCACGACGATCAACACGCAGATATCATCTACTTTTCCGCCCCGATACCAATCACCGGGGTAATAGCGTTGGGCCTCTTTGGCGAAGGGACCGTCCCGGCGGAGATCCATACTTGCGAGTTTGGCTTCGCGGGCGACGCTGGCTGCTAGTAACGATTGCAGGGCGTATGTTTGGTCTCCTGAGCTGGTGTTGGTTGGTTTCGGGGTGTTCTCTGATGATTGAGGTGGAGGGGGTGGGGGAGAGGGTAAAATCGAAGCTAGACCTTCTGGGCCAGTCAATTGCTCGAGATTATCCGACACCGTGATCCTTTCTGGGGTTGCGTTCCATGCTCCGGTGAGGATCATTCGATTGGTGATGATCTTCAGAATGTCCTGGTTGTTGAGATTATCAAAGACGCCATCTGTTGCGAGCATGAGGACATCGCCATGTTGCATGCGGACGTTGGTGACGGCCGCATCACGAGGGAAGTCCTCTAGGAAGGCACCGCCGAAGATGGATGCCTGTTTGCGCATGCGCGGGGGGATAATGCTGAGTTGGTAGGGGGTGTTGAAGCCATGGGTTTGCGGCGTCGAGTAATGATGCACGGCAGCGAGACGGAGGAGAACGGAGCCCGAATCGCCCAAGTTGGCCAGCTCAACTCGGCCGTCGTTCGTACCCACGCCGACGGAGGCCGTACTTCCTCCCGCGCGAACCGAGTCGTCCGCGACTACCTGATCGTAGCCCATTTGGAGGAGGTTCTTTGCGCGCAGCTTCTCCGGGGCCGAGTCCCAGGACAAGGCGGATTTGGCCATATAACTGCACAGGCCGTGGGAGAAGTCCGCAGGGTCGACTTTGGATTCCGTCCATCCACCCACGCCGTCTGCCACGGCGAAGGCGACGGGGCCTGGGTCTTTCCGTCCGACTCTGCTCACGAAGAAGGCATCCTCACCGCTGTCTGGCCGGTTCTTCCGTCTCACGGCTGGGTTTTTATCCTCCGTTACCAAACCCAGGGCATCTTGAACGTAGGGGTCGAAATTGTAGGCATTCTTGATCGGGTGGAATCGTCGGCCCTTGCCGGATGAGGAAACGGCGACGCGGTAGGAGATACGCGACGGGGAATCGGATCCCAGGGAGGAGGTTGAATGAAAGGTTCTTCGAGAGGGTAGGCGAATTGAGGCAAGGAGATGAGGATTTCGGTTTCTAGAGAGAGAGGAGGAGAGCCGGGGTGATCGGAGACATGATGCCGTCGAGGAGACTAATCTATCTCTTGTAACGGTTTGTAGGCTACTGCAGGCTGGACTGCAGGCTCTACCGGGGAGAGTCAGTGGGATCATCGGCGGAGATCGTCACCGGAGGGCCCTGTCCCACGCAATTCAAGACCCTCCAGCAATAACAGTGATACGAAGAGGCTGGTCTGCCAGATCATTTAAAGCTGAACGGGAAGATAAAGAGTGTTTGGCACAACCCAGGCGCATAGGATGTCCGGTTGGAAGCGGATGAAGCTCAAGGAGAAGATAGGATGCAGAGGATGTCACGGAGAGGATGAAGACGACAAGGAACAAGATCGGAGAATCTCTGGCTTATCAGGAAAAGTTCGTTGGGTATCGCAGAATTTTTTTTCTTCTTTACTCCATCGCCCCATCGCCAGCTGGAGAAAGCAAGAAAAGAAAGATTGACGGGATCTCCGACCGCCTGGCGTCATTCCGCGTGGCAGAAGAATCCTCGACAATTGGAAGATGGAATGGCTTCACGGCTTGAAGTCGAGTAAAGATACCCACGTGGGCAGGCGTTTTTTTTGTTTCATTAGCATATTTGATCTAAATGTTGTATTCATGGAGTTTGGTGTGGTTGTTGCGTATTAAGATGCACGGGCTGGTAGCTCGTCGTTTGCTCAAAAGCAATCACTAATACGGAGTAGAAAGTATTCAATTCAGATAGAAATGATAAATAGCCTCAATAACCCTGAAATAGGAATAAGCAATCTCAAGCGTCGTGGTCGATCATCAGTTGCCGTTTTCTGCCGGTAGCCAAAAAAGCGGCTTTCGCGCCCACTCAGTCTTTCGTCTTCTTCCATCCTCCAACAACTTCATCTGCTTCTCATCCGCCTCCTTGTTCCTACTTGGCAGACGAACTGGGCCAGAATCAACGGAATAGTCTACAAGAAATATTTCGATACTCGTTGATAGTGTCAGGCCCATTCGTGATAACTCCATCCAACCTGAACTTCGCCCAAGATGATGCACCCTTCGAGACAGGCGTACGTGGAGGAGGCGGAGGTAAGAAGAATTCCCTTCTTCTACTGTTTGACAATCCAATCCTTCCATGATTCGAGTGGAAATTCAATATTCACAATATGCTCTTGAAGCTTTCTTTCAGGCAAGACACGAACTGACGCCATGGCTCGAACTACTAGGATACGGATATGGGCATTGATCTTGCCAACATTCGTGAGTGATGAATACTGTACTTTTTTTTTTGGCTTTTTGACATTCTAATATGTGAAATCAAATATAGCCCTCGACCGCGATTATGAGATTCCATCCGGTGCAGCCGGTATTCCGGCGGAGAGAGCATCTGCGATTCTATCCCAGTTCGAACGAAAGCGAAGAGCAGCCGCCATGGCAGTACCGACGGACGATAATCGAGTGCGCGCACGACTGCGAGAACTCGGCGAGCCCATAACTCTATTTGGAGAAGGCCCTGTGGACCGGAGAGATCGACTGCGCGAGCTCCTGACCGACCTTGCGGAGAGACAAGAGGGAGCAGGAGGTGATGTGGACATGATGGAAACGGATGCGGATGAGGAAGCTGAAGAGGAGGCTGAACAACAGGAAGAATTCTATACGGAGGGCACCGAAGATCTGCTGGAGGCACGGAAGGCGATTGCGCGCTTTTCTCTGCCCCGCGCAAAAGCGCGCGTGGCCAGACTGAGAGAGGAGTCAACTATCCCATTACGGACGCACATCAAACATCGAAAGGCGATTAAGGAGAAGCTGAATGGTTTCGATCTCTACGGGTCTCAGATTGCAGGTGACCGTCCTGTTAGCATCTGCAGGTTTGCGCCAGATGGCCAGACCATTGCGACTGGAAATTGGGGCGGAGGCATCCGCTTGCTCACGGTGCCGAATCTTGAGGAGAAGGCCAGTCTGAAGGCGCATTCGGATCGGGTGGGTGGCCTATCTTGGGCCCCCGGTGCAACACTCCCAGAATCCAACGTTTCCGAATCATCTGTCAACCTTGTTTCTGGCGGCGGCGAGGGTAATGTGGCCCTCTGGTCTTTGGACCGGGATACACCATTAGCTACACTGTCCGGTCACTCTGGGCGTGTGTGTCGGACGGAGTTTCACCCATCCGGAAAATATGTCGCATCGGCTTCATTCGACACCACCTGGCGATTGTGGGACGTGGAAACGACTACGGAGCTCCAGTTGCAGGAGGGTCACTCGCGGGAAGTGTATACAGTGGCATTCAACAACGACGGTTCCCTCCTGGCTAGTGGTGGTCTCGATAGTATTGGACGTATTTGGGATCTTCGGACAGGGCGAACAGCCATGATCCTGGAGGGTCATATTCGAGAGATCTTTGGTCTTGACTGGGGTGTTGATGGATACCGAGTTCTGTCTGGCTCCGGTGATGGATGGGTCAAGTGCTGGGATTTGCGACAGGTACGGAACTCAGGTGGCATTGGAGCGCATAAGAGCGTTGTGTCGGATTTGCGATGGTACAAGGGCACCGAGTCGGCGGCTTCATCATATCTGCCGTCATCTGAAGGCCAGAACGGTGGGATGGATGTGGACAGCGCGACGATGACTTCGAGCGAACAACCGACACCCGTGCAACCAAGAAAGTCAGGCACTTTCTTTGTGAGCAGTGGATTCGACAAAAATGTCAACGTCTTTAGTGCAGATGACTGGTCGTTGGTCAAGACGCTGAGTGGACATTCCGGTAATGTTCTCAGTACAGATATCAGCAATGATGCACAGTGGATTGCCAGCTGTGGACATGATCGGACTGTCAAGCTCTGGGGCATCGAGTAGATGTTTAGGGTGAATTTTATCATCTTACAATCGATACCCATGTCTTGCTTGGCCCTCTATATTGCTGGAGCTGCCTACCAGATCGCATCATGAGATATATACAACCACTATCTTGTTGATGTCACCGCACACTCTTGACTGAGCGAAAATGAGCATTCCAAGCCATTGACGGCTCTTCGTCTATGACCAGGCGAAGTGATAGAAAATACCTCCATACCATAACAATCATGTAAAGTAACTGAGATAATGGAACTACCAAGAATGAGAACATGCTTGATGTCGGAAGCACCGATTTTTGGTGCTCAGTTGATAGATACAGTTCGCTGAGATTTAGTCAATTACAATGTCTATTTATTCCACCATGATGGCATATATATACGTAGATATTGTATATAAACATATGAATGGCTTTCGGCCAATATTCACTCTTGATGCACTTCAGTGAAAAAGTGAAGCTATTGGCAGACTTCAGATAAATGACGTCACCCGATCGAGAAGTGAAGATGACTCAGCATTGTAATTTACCGTATTGTAATATGATTTCGCCTCCATCGATTGAGCTTCCGGGTTCTTTACTTCGTTTAACATCAACGCAGACACATTCATGATTTGAAGCATCATCACACACATCTATTTTTGCACACAACACGGTCTAAAAAGGATACAAAAGAAACAACGAGGCAATGACAACCCCATTTCGATCGCAGAGGCTCGTTCAGCGTCTCTCGCTTTCCGGAACGTCCAGACCAACAACGACAAGACTCCAACCGTTCCCCTCTTCAGTATCTACGAACCAAAGGGCTCCTACACCTAGCACTCAGTGTCAATATAGATGGAGCAGCACAATTCCCACTCGACCAGGTCAAACCCCTCTTCACCCGCAACAAACCCGTCACTACGCCTCTGAATCAACCACCGGAAACACCCCGGATATCACAAACTACTACACCATTTTCCCCCAGACCATTCCATCAGGCCCTCCACCTGCCTCTCCCTTCGATATTCCACTAGGCGATCTCCGTCGTGAATTCCTTCAACTTCAAAATGTCACCCATCCCGATAAGTACCCCACCGGCGCGGCCAAGCAGCGCGCCGAGGCCCTCTCCGCCCGCATCAACGAAGCATACCGCACTCTCTTCGACCCGCTGAATCGCGCGCAGTATCTCCTTCGGGAACTACATGGGATTGACGTGACGGCAGAGGACGGGGCAGCCAAACATGCTCTCGACCCCGAGACATTGATGGAGGTGATGGAGGTACAAGAGACGATTGAGGAGGTGGGGGCAGAGCCCGAGGGAGGGGAGACGATTGCAAAGATGAAGAAAGAGAATGAGGTGAGGGTTACTGAGTGTGTGAAGGCTTTGGGAGAGGCGTTTAATAGTGGAGATATCGAGGCTGCGCGACGGGAGTGTGTACGGTTGAGGTTTTGGTATAGTGTTGGAGAGGGATTGAAGGAGTGGGAACCTGGGATGATTGAGATTCGACTAGTTCATTAACGAGTTTTGATAGATATATTAGCTGGTCATGGTTTGTAGGCCAGGATATATGCTTGCATCTTGGATAGCTGTATATATGTTTGGTCTCATAGAGAACATGTTAGAATAGAACGATATATTGTACCAATAAAAGTCTCCTGTCTGATATAATCCAGTCCGCGTATATCAAAGCAAGGCGCATAATCTTCGTCTACTATATATTCATCTCACAGTATTGTCTGACTTCAAGTAGACCCTCTTGGACAGCGTGATTAGCAGGATTTAGAACCACACTGACTGGCACAGAAAATGCCAATAATGGATGCAATTTCCACATCTCCGATAGCAAGGATTCCTGGATTCTCCATCTGCTTGACTCATCTTGTCTATCAGATTTGATGTGATGACGTCCCATTTGGGTATAGCGCCTTGACCATGTCAACCATAACGCTATACCGTAGTAGGATTAGCCCGACTGCCATCTGATTGCACATGATCTGGAATACATGCCTGAGGCAATGAGAAAGACGGTATCCCCAGTGGCAACTTTTCCCATCCTCAATAATTCTACAGAAGCCAAGTCAAGGTTACCCGCCTTGTTTTTAAAGGAAGCAGCTGTGGATATTAAGGACCCTCTTTCAACATGGATATTCGCAGACACAGCCACCGTCCGCTTCAGGGAGCTCAGCGTCAAGTCCACAACCATACAGAGAGGGCGAATAATCATCACGAAACCGCAATGGATCCATACTTTGACCGCCAGATCACACAAATTCCCGACCTACATACGGAGTGCATGTTTGACTGAATAATCGCAGCAGGGACAGGCAATTAGAACCACCAGTTCAGTCTCAGGAACCACGGTGAGGCCCGCAATTGGGTCCTCAGGGAGGCTGGGAGTCATTTCATCGGGCAACAACCCAACCTCCATCTGGTGGGGGGTTTCTCACTTTTGCAAGAGATCTAACGGAATCTACAACAGGCTCCCCGTCGAATGTCACCGTATTCTTTATCATGACTCCATGAGGTCCTGTATGCCTGTTTATTAACCTGCACCATCGCGTGACTCGCGTCGGTGCGTTGCATATCGGCGCCTCTGCGCTGTCCGAATCGCCGTCATGGTGGTGATGATCCTCGGGTCAAAAGCGACTGAAGCCAGCGCCCGGACGAGAATTTCTGCAGTAAAATGAAAACACGATGGCTGGTATTCTTCATTAGCTTGCTCTCTGGAAAGATCTCTCTTTGAACGGGATGCTGGATGCTGCCATCAGCGGCAATAACGATACTGCGAGTCTGGGAATAACCCCAAAAGCTGGCGGTCAAACCTCGCCCCAGAACCCCATCACGGCTGCACACGTAGCCCGGCAGTGACCCAGATGGGTCGCCTTTCGCGCTTGTAGCCCTCTTTTTTTCCTAAAAAAAAATTTATGACTACTGTGATTATTTCAGGGGCGTTAGAAAATATGCTAGATAAAAAAGGTTAAAAAGGCGCCGTTTAAAGAACAGAACCTTGAGCGGAGGACGATCAGGTAACGGGGGGAAGCGTCTTTGTTTCCCTGGACACTTCTCGATCCTTATATTTTTCCATTGAAGAAAAATAGACAAGAGAGGAGCTTTTTCTTTTCTTTTGCTTGCAGGACGCAAGACAGACCGCAAAATGGAGTCCTGGGCGAATTATAGCAGGTATGTATAATCGATATCGTATACCGACAGTTGTAAACCAGCTGTCGCCCTTCTGCTGGCCTTCTCTCTGTTTTCCACCTGCATCCCCCTCGAATCGGAAAAAACCACAACAATAATCCACCGTTTCCACTATAGTGATGCAGCTGACGCTTGCAATAATGGTTTTCCTGCCTACAGCATCGTCCACTCTCTGCCCTTTACGTTCCTCGTCGGCCCCAACCACACAAAGCTGACGATCCAGTCGGGACTGGCTCGCCATGTGTCGCAACCTTTGGATAATCTCATGAATGGCGAGACGCGTGAATCTAAGCATCACTGCGCGATTTTGGAAGAGGAGGATGTCGAAACTTTTGTTGCCTTTTGCGAGTATGCGTATACAGGCGACTATAACGTGCCTCCACCGGGGTTTCGCGAGGACTATAAAGAGAAGATAGTCAACAATCCTTTCAAACGGATGCTCCATGCGGAATCTGGTGCAGTGCCTCCGCCAGCTCCATCCCCTCCTCAATCAATTGGGGCACCCGAGAAAGAAGAAAACACCTCTCAATTTGGTGGATTCAGAACCCCCGAATGGGACCGACCTGCTGCTCCGGAGGCCAAAGAAGGCCCCGAAGGAAGTGTTGGAGCTGGAGAGGATTTCAAGACTCCAATTGACCCGCACCATGAGTCTGCAATTGCTCCTGAGGAACCAAGTGAGCAGCCCCCTTCAACTGAGAAGCTTCCTCCAAGTGAGCAGCTTCCAAGTGAGCAGCCCCCTCCTGCTCCTGCTGCTGAAGAAGCAGAACCTTCGGACCCCAACGCAGGAAACGCAAAGGGCAAGAAGGGAAAGAAGGACAAGAAGAACAAGAAGAACAAAAAGGGGGCAGCAGAAGAAATCACATCCACCATGACCCCTCCATCCACGCCCCCGCCTGAGAAACCAGCGGATCAGGCTGATAGCGATCCTGCTCCTGCCCCTGCCGAAGCACCTGCCGTGGAGGAAGGACCTGCACCGGACGAAGCCCCCAAGGATCCCGAGGCCGCTGAAGCAATTGAAGCGCCTGAATTAGGCGAAGCACCCGCAGAAGAAGCCAAGGAGGGCGAGGGTGAAGCAGATGAGAATTGGGGGGAACCCGGTCCCTCTGCGCCGATGACTGAGACTTGGGAGCAGCCTGCACCCACGCCGCCTGAAGCCGATACGGCCGTCAAGGAGAATGAGAAAGAACATGAGGGTCGGGCCCGGCAGCAATCGAGGCCTTTCATTGACACGTCGTTTGCCAAGCAGCACTTCGCCTCTCCTCGCAAGACGGGCTTCAGCAAGTGGGAGGAATTCCAGATGATTGAATATGTCGACCAGCGCGTACCCTGGGGGACCCGACCTCCCAGTCCACTTTCGATGGATTCGAGAGCGAGCAACTCCGATCTTCCGTATCTCACTTTCCACGCCAAAATCTACGTTTTCGCGACGCGCTACCTGATCCCGGCTCTGGCCCAATTGTGCCTCCGGAAGTTGCATAGGGACCTTCTACATTTGGGATTCCCCGATGGATCACCGGATTATGAGGATGAAGAAATGGCGCTCCTGTCAACGACCAAGGCGCGGATGGTTCTGGACCTGCTCCACTACACCTACAATAAGTCCACCCGTCTTGAGCCGATCAATCCAACGTCGGCTACTCAGCTTCGAGACAATGAGCTGCGCAAGCTCGTCATCCACTACGCCGCTTGCAAGGTGCAGGATCTTGCGCGATACTGTCCCCCTGTTGAGAGCATGATGGGCACCCCTTCCGGCCAGCCGGTGGACATCATGTCCGAGAAGCCGTCGGCTCGCGGTCTCCGGGCTCTCCTGGACACCACGACGGAGTTGGCTTCAGATCTGGTGTACCGCATGATGTGAATACTGTATCTTGTTTTCTTTCCATTCTATCGATTGGCATATATATCAACAGCAGAATGGACACCAGCACATTCGCCACGACATCGACCTATACGTATATGTGCATGACCCGGGGTATGATATGAATGATGAATGTTGTTACAAAAAAAATGCGGTCATGACTGGAGCTATGGAGCATGAAACTAAATGTCATTTCTTTCCTGTTTTTTTCTATTTGTTGTTTATATTACTCACTTGTCTTACTCTCTATTGATAACGAATTTCTTACGCGTGGTTTGATTTTAAACTATCATTTGCTGAAACCGTCCGGACGATCATTTTCAGACTGTTCCACTCTCACAAGGATTGTACTGATTGAGCAGTCTGACCGGTCTTCAGGCTCTACAGTCTGCATGTTGATCCCTCTGCGGTAAAGACAGATTGCTCGACTCATACTACCTCTGCATTATTGCAGGATACTCTTGGCTCGCTTTTCTTGGGTTTCATTTCGTTCCGCTTCGTTTCATTTCATACTTTCTTCTACTGTCACAGATATACTCAAACTCGGATGATTGGGCGTCAATCCCAGACTGGGCCGAGACTTTGATCAACAAGTCTTGTTCTAAGTTCCCATTTCCGTGCCCGATCTTGATTTCTTGATTCTTGCCAATGTTCGGATAAACACCGGTGATGCCTAGAGATATAGCGACAGAGCAACAACAGCTATTGATGATCTACTGCTGCACGCCCAGGCGTCCAGACCGAATGGCTGTGCAGTAGAATGCAGGATCCAGAACGGGGGCGTCTTGGAAGAGTTGCAGCAGGGTATATAGTGTCGTAGTAGTGTATGAGTAGCCGATCCCAGATGCCGCTTAGAGTGAAGACGTGGGGGTAAGCAAGTTTCAAGGTTGGGATATCAACTATTTTTGCTTTATTTTATTTTTTATTTTTTTTATGTAGGCGAGGATAACCTGCAGGTTTATATCGCTCATCACTCACATGGGTGTTGGGATAATCATACACCCGGAATCATGGTGTTGTATATGCCTCAGATTTGAGGCATCTCCGTTCTCCGTACTCCGTACCACGGTTATACTAGCACAGATGATGTCAGTCGCCATACAACGAACGGATAAGAATGGCGCAAATTGAGGTCGATCAGAAAAATGGGTTATTTTCTGTTCTTCTTGTCTGCGGTGGAGTTGTTGTCTTCTTGGCTGGGAGGAAACAACCTTCTTGGCAGATGTATAGATGAGGACATAAAACTAGGTGGATCCATACTGGATGTAACGCGCTGGATAAACGTTATTGGAGATTTGGAGATTTGGAGATCAAATATTGAGACAAAAAGAACAGCATGGAAGGATGACTGCAGACTGACTCAGGGAAGGGTGATAGATTAACTCTCGAGTGACAGTGATTGTCAACTGCGGGCAATGGATACTGTGCCATGGGGTAGAACAATTCCCCGACAGCCAAAATGTATGGAAAGATGATCGAAGGGGGCGATGGAGATCGGCTGACAGCGAGTGGATGAAGCATTCAGAGGTGCCTGGATATCACAGCCTCTCTTGGCCGCGAATAGTTGCATACACTACTATATATAAATTATATGCAGCGTCTACCATGGGGCGCCACAGCTGGCGTCAACCCAACCACACCAGATACATAATCGCATCGTCAAATCGAATGCCACGGACCAATCACCACAATGGCAATAATCGCATCGTCTATCGCATGCCAAATCACAGCCTGTGCTCACTTGTTCAGGGGCAGATCGAGATGCATCGCCCTCGCCGCCAAGCGCGACTAATGGGCTTGACGACTCGGCGGTCTCAACTTTCTTCGCTTCTGCTGCTTCCTTTCCTCTCTCTCTCTTTTCTCACCTCACATCATCGCTTCATCATCCATCATCACTATAGTCATCCACGGCTTCACTTGCGATGTATCTATTTTCGTGCGGGGATCGTTCCTGCCTGCATGCGACTTTTCCATTGACGGATGCCTGGACATGATGCTGGAACAAACACAACCACCAAACATTCTGCCAGACAGTCTATCCCAGTCTCCAACTTGGCATCTTCAATGACCAGAGCTCTCCTCCGCCAAGATTCTCCCCCCCAATTCATGGGATTCCTCCCTCTCCTTTCTTTCCGTTTCCGTCTTTTCCTTATCTTTCCATCCTCGTTCCAAGGTAATGTCCTCGCCACAACGAAGCTTGGCAGCGGGCCTTCCGGGCGGTGATTTGCAGTCGATCTCTTTCTTGGCCGGCTTCTTTGGGCGAGACAAATCGATCGATGCCGCGCACGTTTGGGAAAAGGAGCGTAAGGTTCGGGGCCTTTCGGGATCAGGATAGGGAGGGTTACAGAGTGCACAGAGGACAAGATACCCCTACAATCCAGCCCAAGAGCGGACGAGGCAGACAAGCTACCTACTTCCGTGATTTCCTCGTCCCACTGCCCAGAAATCACGTCTTTGTACCACTGTCTGCCTGCCCCCTGCCACGGAGTATTGGCAGTCGAGGATCCCACCTCAGCGTGACTCGGGCCGAAAGACACGGCGTTTTAGGGGCTGTTTGCTGGTTGCCACCTTCTGCAATGAGCCGATGGAGACCGTAGCCGTTGAACCACCATCGGCAACCGCAAAGACAAGGAGGCAAATATACCCTCTCGTACTGAGCACTCCGTACTGCTTTTTTTAAAAATTCCATCGGTTGGGATGTGACATGTATACTCTATAAACACATCGGTTGGATCTGTGTTTGATGAACAGCAACTGTGCACCGGCCTTGTCATCTCGCTCACGTATGCGTACGTATGGGCTCCGTCGACACTGTGGCTTGGCAGTTTGAAGTCAAAATGTCGCTATCTTGAAGATCATGAACGCTTTTCTTTTTTTGTGTTCTATGGTCCGCTGGTACTAGGCATCAAGGTTTACTGACTTTACCCGTCACGTCCACTCTGCCTAGAATTCCACCCTGGATACCGTGGATCCTTATTCCACCCACACACCCCCTTTGTCATTGCCCCTGATGTACATCAGGTCCGGAACCTACTATGGACCAGCCGGTTTCTTGGTTTCTTGGGTTACCCTCTTATCACTCTCCCACGTCTCGATATGGGGGCATCGCAGCTCCACAATCCATTTCTGGGTCAATCAGAGTTCCTCAGCCTCTGGCGCATCGCCTGGTCCAACCGCAGTTGCGTCTCATTCTTTTCTCGTCATTCTTGGCTTGATGATAGACGAGATGAGGGAGTGTCGGCCCAAGACTGCGCTGTCCTATGATTTCAGCATGTGGGGGACAGTATATCTATGGCCTGTTCCACCGGAATCTGTCACTTTTTGGTCCAACAGACTTCAATTGGATCAATTGCATCCATCCCACCTCTTCTCATCTCACTTGTGTGACAATCTGATTCAGATAAACGTTTCAATTGAAATTCTATTTTGCTTGGACAGACTCATCTGTTGATCTCTGTGATATAAGTTACTTTCCTTGAGACCCAGAATATCATTCCAATCCATTCTTCATCATCATCTTCTTCTGGGTTATAACAATACATACATCTCTTCCTTCCTCTATCTATACTCTATCTATACTTCCTCTTTTGTGGGCCAGGTCCCAAAGACAACCATCATGTTCGACAACCACGGTCCTCCCCCAAGTTCTTCACAGTCAGACGCCTCTATGCTCAAGCACGACCCGGAGAAAGGAGTGAACCCTCGAATGGGCATGTGTGACAGATTACGACACTTCACCTGGGCCTGGTATACCCTGACCATGAGCACCGGTGGATTGGCCCTCCTCATTGCTTCTCAGCCCAACACCTTCAAGGGTCTGAAGGAGATTGGCTTTGCTGTCTACATCATTAACCTTCTCTTCTTCGCCCTCGTCTGCTCCATGATGGCTATGCGATTCTTCCTCCACGGCGGTTTCCTCGATTCCCTTCGCCATGAGCGTGAGGGCCTCTTCTTCCCTACCTTCTGGCTTTCTGTTGCCACCATCATCACAGGCCTGCACCGCTACTTTGGTGATGAACCTCAAGAATCTTACCTCATTGCTCTTGAGGTGCTCTTCTGGATCTACTGCGTCTGCACCCTCGCCACCGCTGTCTTCCAATACTCCTTCGTCTTCAGTGCTCACAAGTATGGTCTGCAGACCATGATGCCCTCTTGGATCCTTCCTGCGTTCCCTGTCATGCTCAGCGGCACCATTGCCTCTGTTATTGGTGAACAACAACCTGCACGTGCTGCGATCCCCATCATTGTCGCCGGTACCACCTTCCAGGGACTGGGCTTCTCCATCAGCTTTATGATGTACGCTCACTACATTGGTCGGTTGATGGAATCCGGTCTCCCCGACCGTGAACACAGACCGGGAATGTTCATCTGCGTTGGTCCTCCTGCTTTCACAGCCCTGGCCCTCGTTGGCATGACCCAGGGTTTGCCTGATGACTTTAGGCTGCTCAACGAGTCCACCGCCGTTGAAGATGGTCACATCATGCAGCTTCTGGCAGTCGCCGCCGGCTCCTTCCTCTGGGCTCTGAGCTTGTGGTTCTTCTTCATCGCTCTCATCGCTGTCATCCGCTCCCCTCCCACTGCCTTCCACCTCAGCTGGTGGGCTATGGTCTTCCCCAACACGGGATTCACCATTGCAACTATTACTCTTGGCAACTCGTTCAACAGCCCGGGTATTCAGGGGGTCGGATCGGCCATGTCTATTTGCATCGTCTGCATGTGGGCATTCGTCCTGGTCAGCCATGTCCGTGCCGTTATTAAACAGGACATTGTCTACCCGGGTAAAGACGAGGATGTCTCGGACCACTGATTCAATCGTTCGCCCGTCCATCTTATCCGTTCTCTTCTAAGCCCCTTTTTCATTGTCTCTACCCAAAATACTTCGTCCGCTGCCTTTTCCTTTTATCTTATGCTGCTTCCATCCTTTTCTTTCCATTTTGCCTTTTGACACAAAATTTGAACTAGCCGTGCATGATCTCATTGTTCTCTTGCAAGGCGTTTTAACGGGTTCCTACTTACTAGCGCTTCGGGATTTCTTTACCTCTTATCCTTCGTCCTGTCTTCTCCCACCTTTTTTTTTATCTCCAACAATCTTGGCATCTTGGGCGTTTGGGTATACCATGTTGTTTCACATAGCCTGTCTCATTTCCTTTTATTGTCTTGTTACTCCTTCGTACTTGACTTTCTGTCCCATCTGTCCATTTTTTTATTTCTGCTATAGATGTTTAGACTTAGATTTGGAGAGAAAAGTGGGTTGAAGAAATGCTATCCACTTGTTAATAATATCTCTCGTATTTCAGCCTTTGACTTCTCTCGTACTGAATTTCGGATTCCCTTCAGATCGACATTGCAGCTGTTTAAGGTGTTCACCCCCTGAGTAAGTCCTCGTATTGATCCAAGTGATTGGTTGCTGGATGAATGTAGTTTTCAAGATATTTGCATAACTGACCGATGTAGATTCCACCTTATGTAGAGGATGCATCGCTGCCTTTCAAGACATGCGTCTGACTAGGACCTTGCGTAGTGTCCTTGCATAGCAGAGTTGAGGGGTGCAAATCTATGCCGGAACCTAATTCGACACCATAACCAACTCACTGGGTTTAATCAAGGCAATCGAGTTGTTGATCGAACACAAACATGAAGAAGACGGTGTGTAATTTCTATCTACAAGAAAAGATTTCACTCCTCTTCGACAAACTGACAGTAAAACACCTCCAAGTCCCCCCATTCGGGTTGAGCAGGCCAAGGGAAAACCCTCCCCGATTGAGGTAAAAACCTTGACCAGGACCATACAAACCACAGGCAATCTTATCCAAGACATGATCAAGAAGATATTATCCAAGAAAACATGACAAAAAGACAATCTGATCGAACAACAAAACAAAGATAACAGGACCAATTCCAACACACCAGGACCCCTAACCATGCCTTGACCAACCCAACTGTATCTCCAATCCAACACAATCTGAGGACATGAAACCTGAACACTGCAAAGACTGATAGATATAAAAGTCGCACAAAGATGAAACGCACAAAGATGAACGCGTAAGTGTGGTCGTGCAAGTCGGCGCAAGTCTGATATCTTGTCAGCACCAACCCATCGTTAATCGAGAGAATCAACTTACCTGTACTGGACGTCACGGTCGCTTTGCTGCGGGGGGCGTGGAATTTTCTTCTATTTAGCCAGCCTAAAAGTGGTAAAAACGGTAAGTAAGGATCTATATATGGCCAGGAATACTTACAAGCTCTGTCGCATTACTGGGCTTGGGCTAGCGCATGGTGCAGCTGTTTGACATCTACTCAAGCATCTATCATGGGGCCTAGAAACTCCGTCAGTCACACGATACAGTACAAAGTGAGCATGGAAAGCACCTACAGTATACGAAGTCGCTTATCACTCCACTGACGGTGCAGACGATTGTTTTTAGCCAGCCTAAACAAGTAGCAAAAATTGTCAGCAAATATTCATATATGGCCAGGCGAACTTACAGGCTCTGTCACGTTACTGGGCTTGTCCGCGGTGTCAGATATGTCAAAATGGAAAGGAGCAGCAGGGCCGTCGGAGGAGGAAATGGCGGAGAATCCTAGGTGGTGATGGAACGAGCCCTAGCCCAGTTAGTAGATAGTTTTCAGTAGGATCAGTGAGAAGTATACGTACATGAGTTATCCCGGAGGGGTCGCTGCGGTGCGGGCATGTCTTTAGCCAGCCTTCGTATGTGATACCTTAGCGTCTATCAATCAAGTCATGAAGCGCGATGGTACTTACAAGCTCTGTCACTTACTGGGCCTGCCCGCGGTGCAGCATAGGGCGCTCAAATGGCGGGGGGGCGTCGGACCGTCATCTGTGTCCTGTTAGCAGAGTGAACGTATACCCACCGAAGCAGGTATACGCCACTCGATGGGGATGTGAGCGAAGAGGGGGTGGGAAGCGCGTGGGAACGGGAAGGGGAATCTGTGATACAAGTGAGCTGCTATGATACATGATGAAGGGGAAAGGGGATGAGGGAAGGCCGGAGAGGTGAAAACATCAAGTTGGCGACTGGATACATGGCCGCCCGGGAGTTGTAGGAGGAGAAATCGAAAACGAGCGAAAGGAGGGCGGCGCTGGCTTTTATAGTCGTCCTGGGAATTGATGCAACGGCAGGAGCCGACGCTGCTCCTTCCAGACCTCGCTCATGGCTTCTCCTCGGATGCGTTCGACGCCGGATCGTTCGATAAGACCAGTGCGATGCCTGAGCCGGTCCCTCGTACCTACCTCTTCAAGCACGACTGGTCATCATGATATAGCGAACTCGAAGCGTTTCGCAGGCCGTGATGTCGACGGGTCCGTACGATCCGAAATGTCCCAGGTCCATAATGGAATAATGGTGTCGTGATTCGGTTGGATATTGCTGGCCAATTGGATCTAAATCAGACTGGATATGTCATGTTATAGAATGAAGATCAAAAACTTCCCTTTTTGGCGGGGAGGGAAGCATCCTGTCTGTTATCATAGTTTCAATCGTAGGGGCGTTACCGACGACGGATTCCTTGGGTCGGATATATATTTGCTTCAGTCATCGCGAGTGTCGAAGGCCCTATGAGTCATTATTGAACATCAATTCGGTGAGGGAGGGGTTCATTGATGACATGGGGAAGATCCACACTCTATATATACTAAGGAAAGCCAAAAGGGCGGTGTGGGCCAATGCAATATGCAATGCAGTGCTGCACCAAGAAGATCCAAGACAAAGCGGAATGCTGGGAAGAAAAGAGTTCGGTATTCAGGGTATTTTATATACAAATGGAAGATCCTCTCCTGTTCGTTGACATCTCATTATGCTAGCTGTAGTGATGCCCGTCGGGTACCAGCCAAAAACCTAATCCAAACTGCCAAATCAACCCAGTCATCGTACATCACTCCAAAACATTTGTTTCAGATCTCAAACAAGGCTCAGACAAGGCTGGGTATCTGATGAAGGCGAAAGAAATACAGCGTGTTCTGGAGAACTGTTGCTCGTGATGGGTTGAAAGCGCCGCTGAACTCCTCCGAGTGCGGTGTAGGGAGACAGCTGTCGGCGTAGTTTCACATCTCGACCACGTGTCGTAGGGTCCGTTGTAGAACCGACAACTTGGTGGCTCCAAGCACCAATGATCCAATTCCCGAGGCCATAAACACCTAGGAGTCATAGATGACGCTGTACAAAATCAAACCATTATGCGGACTCTCGAAATAACTCCGATGTCATCGAGATACGCAACTGTCGCTGAGGGTCGACACCAATATTGAAGCTGCCTCAGTTCGCTTTGCAAACGCGTTGATTCCCAAGCCCCAGTATAATGCTGAGTAGGGAAACGATAATAGCCAAGAAAGGGGCTTTGCCAAAACATGAGAAGACCTGCTCTCATCATGCGCTTGCACTCAAGCAACCTTGCGTCCCACATTTCCAATTCCACGTCCCACCACACTGATAATTACATCTGTATCATTGTCGCCGGGGGCATCTCGAAGACCCCATCCTGGGGCACCAAATTTGACCAAATCCCTTGCCAATTGAATAATATTCTCGTCCGCAACAACCTCGCGACCAACTTGCAGACGACCAACATCCTCGGACCCCATCGTCATCAAAGCCAGCATTGTTGGCGCCGCAGCAGGTGCAACACATCCTCCCTTGGAGATGGATTCGAGCAGCTGGTAGGCGCACTGCTTCCCGATATCCTCGGGGGTTTGGCCTCCTGCAGGGGGGCATGTCACATCGGCAGAAAACAAGCATCCGGTTGAGGATTCTGCAACGAGGGACATTCCAAATCCAAGACCAATCTTCTTCTTCGCTGCGGGGTTGTTCTTGTCGGGAGCAGGCACCAGCGGGGCGGATGATACGTCGGAGAAAACGTAGGTATCAGGAACAAGGGGGTTTAGGATACCACGGGCGGTTTCAATCATTCTTGCATTGTTGGAGCCTGACACACCCACAGAGTATGCCACACCACGAACCCTCTTTATCCTACCCGGATTCATCAGGTGAAGGGTCTTTGGGAGGCGAACTTGGTGGCCGAAGACCAATTGCACCTCACCTCCACCTCCCCGGCCATTGGGGCCAGGATTGGACCTCCGTAGGACACGAAGCTCAATGTTGTTGAAAATACCGAATTGTTGGTAGAGGGGAAGGATAGCAGTCCGAACGCTGTCAACAGACATGTCACCCGTCGGAGTGGCCGAGGTAATGACTCCAGGACCCGTGAAAAGAACCTTCATGGGAGCCTTGGAGAATGGAGCCAACAGGCATAGAGGAATCAAGAAATAACTAACTCCACGGGTACATCCGGCCGGAAGCTCATGCGTAATCACACCACCACTGCTAGCTCCTGCGCCAGCAGAGCTTCCGGTAATAAGACCTGGCTTATACACGCATATTGTTCCCGTATACGAAATTTCCATTTGAGAGCCATTGGTGACTGCTTCGAGAAGACGAAGGAACGAAATCTCATGAGGAGCAAGACCGGGATTGGTAGGCGACGAGGAGCGAATTTGTGAAATATGCACCATACGACCAGTCAACGTAGAGAGGACCAGACGAGTGGGGAAATTCTTGTGGGAGGTAAGCCGAACAGGGGGCTGCGAAGTGGTCGCCATCTTTGAATGGCCTGGACACTGTCCGAGAAGAGTTGCTGAATGAAAATTGTCCAAATTTCCTCCGTTGCGACGCCTTCAAAATGTTGTCTTTCGCCGATAGAAAAAAAGCATTTAGAGAAAATCTGCCGGAGACAGGTTCTTCCGTTCCACCGCATTTGGCTGACAGCGGGCTTAAACCCGAGCTATCTCCGTCATAAGGACCCGCCATTTCCCGCGCAGCTGAATATCATCATTGATTTTGCTGATCGTTCTCCGGCACATATTGACAATATTTTATACGAAAAGACACGAGTGCAATAACAGAAAGGACAAGATACAAGATGCTTCCTCCATCTTTGAACATCCCTAAATGGTACTACTCATTTCTCTGAAATCTGATAACAACATACAATAACTACCCCTCCCCCGCATGATTACATGATTTCACAGGCACAAGCAAGATCGGAATGTGATTATTGACCTGTCATTTTTCTAGGCTCGAGGCCAATTCCCATCTCCTCCAGCCACCAGTAAACAATTACTGTGTATACCATCCCTCGTCCCCGGGTACAGCTGGCCATACCGTCATGATCGTTGGAGGTCCCAACGCACGAACCGACTACCACATCAACTCAACCCCAGAGTTCTTTTACCAATACAAAGGATCGTTGCTCCTTAAAACAGTGGACACTTCAGTTTCTCCGCCAGAATTTCAGGATATCCCCATCCATGAGGGATCAATCTACCTTCTGCCGCCGAATACCCCGCACTGCCCCGTGCGGTTCAAGGACACAGTAGGCGTGGTGATGGAAGTTCCTAGGGCACAGGGTGCAGTGGATAAGATGCGGTGGTACTGTAAGAAGTGTGGGGGGATTGTATGGGAAAAACATTTTGTTTGTACGGACTTGGGGACACAGGTGAAGGCCGTGGTTGAAGAATTTGGAGCCGATGAGGAGAAGCGGACATGCAAGTCCTGCGGAACGATCGCGGAGACCAAATATCAAGAAGGGGAAATAGTCCAGCCACCCAGGTTTGCAGAATAGTGACTGACTGAGGCCTTTGTCGGTAGCAGATAATAGACTCGAGATATCATGTACATATTATGTTTGAGATTAGGGTAGATCAATTTGGATATGGTGTATAAAGGTATAGAGTGAGAAATCAGGTGTAGGTTACAGTAAGCCTTGGAAAAAGGGTCTAAAAAGACAATGAAAGAAGGGAAAATATAAGGCCAGATTGAAATGAACAGAGACCGAGACGAAGAAGGTTAAATAAAGAAGGGAAGAAGAAAGAGAGAAGTATTAACACAGGATCATCGCACCCAAGTAGTCGACAAACGCCCAAAAGGGTTCCGCTAGTGGCACATAATGATGAACAATTTGATCAAAGAATGAATCAAGGAAAAGCTGATAAAAGGAGAAAAGGACAAAATCGGACCATGAGATATGTCCAGGTAAAGTCCCTTAAATATTAGAAAAAAATAAGCCGCCGTAGAGAATGAACTCATTCGAGCCAATTCAGAATTGCCATGAAAACCGTAAGAGGCGAGAGGCATTAAAAAGAATGATGGAATATCGGAGGGGTCAATGCATATCGCAATTCTTCATCAAACCGATCACTCATCAAAAGGACAATCGATGCTCTCATGACCGTCTCTCTCGCATAAAGCACACCACTTCGTCTCATCAACGACTCCTGAAGCCTTCCCTGCAACAGGAGACATGGACGCAGTCACTCCGCTGATGCCCTTCAGTGCTTCCAGGCCAGCCTTATGGGAGTCGGAACTTGCTTCATAAGTACTATTACTGTTATGACTGTCATGACCATCGTGACCATCGTGGCTCTCGAGACTGGAGTAATGTGTGGGGGCAGCCGAGGTTTCAGGTGTGGTCTTTGCATGACTTTCATTCTGCGGCTCCTCAATGGCGTGCACATCCTTGTTCTTATTGTCAGCACCGAACATGTTGGTGCAGCTTAAGATATCATGACCGCCTTCTTCGCAAATCTCGCACCACAATGAGTTACCGTCATCGGAGGAAGGGCTTTCGGATTCATGCATGGTCTCCAGACGGTGGCGTGACGATTCAGAAGCCCCGCGGCGATGAGAGAAAGGATGGTGTTGGTCATCCATGCCAGGCTGATCGTGCCAGTCATTGGGGACGACGGTGCGGTCAGACAGACGATGAGCATGGTTAATGCTATGCAGGTTTCCGATGTTGCCAGTCGAACTCGAGGGCTTGTGGTGCTTAGCTGGAGAGGCTGTAATGGTGGAACTGTGATGGCGACTATGTCCATTCAGCTGCATCTGTCGGAGCTGACGCTCGAGCTCCTCGATCCGATAAGATTTATTATCTGTAATGTCCTCATATTCCTGGATGCGCTGTTCCAGATGAGCAACATGCTCCGGATCAGGACCGCCAGATAGTCCATTTTGAAGCGTAGCTAGATTGGGGTCTCCTCTACTTAAGGAATGTATGATAGCTTTCAGACCGCGTATCTCGTCATCCTTCTGATCGAGTTCCTTGGAATGCCCTGGTCCGTCCACACCTGAGTGGGCATCCTGCAGAACCGCAGCGGACATATCGCGCTCCTTCTTTAGTTCAAGTTTTGTCCTTTCAACCTCGCCGCGTAGGAACTCAACTTCTGCTCTTGCTTCGGCTTCTCCTCTTCTTGCATCCTCAAGACCTTCTTCGAGCTCAGAAACCAGTTCTTCGAGCTGTTTGAGCTGCCTGGCTACGGCTTCAACATCCTCACCGCGTTCATGCAGTTCTTTGTTCTGTTGCAGTAGCTCTTCAAGACGCTGCTCGTAAACCCGCTCGGTTTCAGATGCGGCGATTTCCAATGTGTCAAGGGTGCTCCTGAAATCTGCTCGATGTAAATCAAACTCGGACGTCAACTGCACGATCCTTTCATTCTTCTCACGTAGTTGCGCGCGGATCGAAAGGGCGTCCGATCCCTCCAGTTCCTCCAAAGTGTGTTGGAATTCCCCTAATGTGCTTGCCTGCTCGTCCAGTTGCTTGTCACGGTCCAGCAGCTGTCTCTCCAAACTCTTTATTTGATCTTTCAAGTCCTGCAGCTCTGCCGATGACACCCCCCGCCCAGCATCCGACGTTCTCACCGATGAATAATCATCGTCCACACTCACTCGGGAGGGTGGTCGGTCGGATAGCCGAGACGGTGCCTTGATCGGGCTTCGAGGATAGCCATTAGGACTGGGACCAGTCCTCGATCCCGTAGATGTTGTCCGGAGTCCATTCAGTCCCAGCTTGGACGGCGCTACTGCCCGGGGGGATTCAGCTCGAGGTAGGGACGGGCGTCTGACTCGTGGTCGGGAAACGGTAGTACCGGGACCAACGGATTTGCTGAAGTTGACAGGTCGCGAGGGCGTCGGAGGACCCGTGCTCACTGTGGATGCGGCAGAGGATCGTTTTGTCACGTACTTGTTGCTGTTCATCGGAACGAAGATACCAGACCCGGGGACGGAGGTGTTGAAGTATTTCTTGCCCTCCACGTCTCCGTTATTCTTCCCTCTTCTGGCATGCTCCGTGGCCAATTCTATTCCTGCGAACTTCCCTGGCTTTCCAGCCACACCTCCCAAATATTTCACGGTCCCATGCATGCCCCCGGGGACATTGACCAGGTCACCGACCTGAATGTCGTCGAGGGGCGCCATCGGGATATCGGCTGCCTCACGTTTAGTAAAATATTCAGCTGAGCGGGACGAAGAAAGCTGCGTTGTAGGAAGTAAGACGACCTCCAAAAAGATGGAAGAACTTTGGACAAGGGGATGGGTCGGGAGGAAAAAGAGTGGGTGGTGGAGTAAAGGAATGATCGAGTGATCATGGACTCATGGCGTTGAGTAGTTCAGAAGCGATCGGAGGGTTTTTTCCTCTCATCTGCTGTTGTTATTTGTTGGGCAGAGAAGAAGCCCGAAGAAGAACATGGCACACCAAGCCAGCACAAGAGAAACAGAGACTGCAAGACGAGACAAGAGAAGGAGGCAGATATCAAGGCCTCATTTGTATTACCTCTGAAATAAACCCACGGCCAATGAACCTGTCGTCATGCATCGTCGATATAGCGGTCTCTCTCAGCTCCTAAGAAAGGGGCATAAACAAATCGACGAACCATGGGCGTGTGCCAATGCCGACCGCTCCACCGCTGGCTGCGTAATTTTGGACAACCTCCATTGCTTAATCGACACTCAGTTGACTCTGGCTGTCAAAGATTATCCTTGCTGTTTTTGAATCTCTCCCTGCTACGCACATTCCACGGCCTTACTTGAACTCCAGGCCACATTGTCTCTGCTCACGGCCCTCCTGCAGTCGGATCTCTCCACCACCGTTGGAAGCTGCAGCGTAACGGACACCGTCGCCTTCGGTGGAGCCGGACAGTCGACGACTTCGGATTACGGACAGTACAATCGCAGTCTCCTGCATAATTTTTGGCTTTACTCGAGTGCACGTTCGATCATCACAAGAACCATGGCTCAATACTTTTTCGATCTTCTTTACAATTTTACGGATTGCATGTGCTGCTTTCCGAGCGCACCACAACTGAAGATCAACAGCCGTAGCTTCAAACTGCTACGTCTTTTGGGAGAGGTATGAGCGGGTTGACACGATGGACACTGACGGTTCAAAGTGTGACGTTGCTAACATTGTCGATCTATACTAGGGTGGCTTTTCCTACGTTTACCTCGTCCAAGATAAATCAACGTCGGAGCTGTTCGCCTTGAAGAAGATTCGATGTCCGTTTGGCCAGGAATCCGTCTCCCAGGCGCTGAAAGAAGTGGAAGCCTACAACCTCTTCACAACACAATCCAATATCATCCATTCGATAGATCATTGCGTCTCGACGGAATCGGGCTCGAAATTTCGCTCTGATGGTGGTGAAGCGGGTTCGAAAACGGTTTATATCCTGCTGCCTTACTACCAACGCGGCAATCTCCAAGATGCTATCAATGCCAACCTTGTCAACCATACGAGATTTCCTGAGAAGAGGCTGATGGTCTTGATGCTGGGCGTTGCGAATGCGCTCAAAGCGATGCATCACTATCGTGTTAGAAGCGGTTCTGGACCAACGCGAAAGGCCAAAGCGGTTAGAAGGGAGGGTGAACAAGCCGATGCGGATTTGGCCATGCAGATGGGGAAGCCAAAGCGACGAGCAAGCCAGCGCGTCGATAAAGAGTCCGAGAATGAGCCTTTGATGGATGATGAAGTTACAAGAACCCAGGAGGGCGTCGACGAGGGCGGTTTGCGTCCATACGCGCACAGAGACATCAAGCCTGGTGAGTTCCCTGCGATGCATAATGACTTCCACACTTTCCAAAGTGACTAACACGCGATACTATAGGTAATATCATGATCGATGATGATGGCCAAAGTCCTGTCTTGATGGACCTTGGTTCACTCGCCCCCAGTCCCATTGCGATCACCTCCCGATCGCTCGCCTTAGCAGTCCAAGACACTGCTGCAGAACACAGCACAATGCCTTATCGAGCACCCGAGCTCTTCGATGTCAAGACCGGATCTATCATTGATACCAAGGTCGATGTCTGGTCTCTGGGATGTACGCTATACGCCTGTTTGGTCGGAAAGAGTCCCTTTGAAGCTCGCAGCGAAGAGACAGGTGGTAGTCTGAGCATGTGTGTTCTCGGTGGGGACTGGCGATTCCCGGATGAAAAGTCCGGTGCTGCCAAGGGCAAGGGCAAGACTGGTGGCGGCCAAAGCAGCCCAGCTGGAGACAACGGAACGTCGATCAGTGCACCAGTCAAAGATGTTGTCCGAAAATGTTTGCAGGTTGAACCCTCGGACCGACCCGACATTGATGAACTTATCCAAATAATGAAGGATGTCATCAGTGATCTTCCGGAAGACGATGATGTTGCCGGCGGCTCGGGCTGAGACCGAGTCGACTGCAGATTTGGCCTTTGTATGCTCTACGAATACCACTGCTTTCGGGGTTTCTTGATGATCATTCTGCGTTTAGCCACCACATTGGATTAGTTTCGTTACCTATCAGATTCTGCTGGATTGAACTGTGTGTCGTGTTTGTCTTCTACGGATTGTACAATATTAGTCAGGTACTGAACATATTTCTTGAATTGGCATCTCATTAAGCCTAATATGGCTTCGACTACCTAGTAAAGTTTTCATATTCGTTGTGTTTGGTGTCGGATGGTTCTCGACATACGTAATTTGGGCAAGCTCATGATGACGAAACTGAGCATGTCCTTCTCCTTCAACACCAACTGGACTGCTCTTCATACACAGACCAAAATGAAATTCCTCAACTGCTTTAAAAAGGAGCACCCAAGCACGGAGCCATCAATTGATCACCAAAACAAAATGGACACCCGTTTTGGAGCCGAAACCAAAGGAGTCGATGTGGTGGACGCCTTTGCGGACAGGGTGAAGCGGCGGCTATGTAGGTCATATATCACAAAGCTTGTTTCTGAAGTCTTTTACGCTAATACTTAAACCCTACCCAGTTATCATGACAGCACTAGGCCCAGGGGAATTATCAACAGTGACAGGCGATGCCCTTGCGAAAGGCGATGCATCGGAGATAATCTTCATCGGCAAGTCCGGGGTCGACAGCCAGCATATCATCAACGAGATGAGCCACAGGTATCCCCGGGTCAACATAATCTTCATCCAGGCAGACTTCACCGAGCTGGCCTCTGTGCGTCACGCGGCCCAGGTAATTAAAGAGCTCGATGCGCCTATTGGGGGGATTATAGGGTTTCCGGCTTTGGTGGCGGCGCCGTGGGAGTTGACTTCAGATGGGATTGAGTCTCAGTTCCAGGTCAATTATCTCAGTCACTTTCTGTTGGTCAATTTGCTTTCTGAGTCGATGGCGGACGATGCCAGGGTTGTTATGGTTAGCAGTAGTATCCGGCCTGAGGCTTCGGCGCCAAAGTTTGATGATATCAATTTCTCTGTAAGTGCAGCTTTGGGGTTGCTTGAGGCTGGCTAGGCATGGAGCTGATGAGATGCAGAATGGTGCGACGTATCATCCATTAGATGGATATGCTCAGTCAATGCTTGCAAATATCTTGTTCGTTAAGTCTTTATCAGTGCGTAGATCTCGCAGGTATACGGAAGCAGTCGCCGTGAGCCCAGGAAGTGAGTATGGTTAGCCGTGATGAGCTGCAGTTGCTGATGATTTAGACACCAAAACAAACTTGCAGACATACGTATCTCCAGAGCAGGTTGCTTCATGGCTTCAGAAAAAGAAAGAAAGTGTGTATATCCATCCCTGTACGCTGGCCCTTTTCTGATGATCAATCCAAGCGGGTGAGGACTTGCCGTTTCTTTTACAACAGGCTCCCAAATCTCTGTCACAGGGAAGTGCAACCGTTCTTAGGGGGCTTCTGGATCCAGCGTTGAAAGGTGAGGAATATCCTTCACTGGTTTATACCGTACTGATCTCGATGATATAGACCAGCCTGGTGTCTTCCTGGACAACTGCCAAATCCTGAGTTTGCCCAACATTGACTTCCCTGAGGGACAGGAAAGCGCAAGGGAATTATGGAAGCGAAGTGGGAAGCTGGTAGGAGAACAGTTCAAGTGATTGGGCTATGATGGGATGTTCGCGATAGCTTGAATTTGATCGACAGATGTCGGGTAATCTTGTAGTATTAGGAATGCGATTCTCGATCCCTGCTATTATCAAAGAATGTTAGCATTCGCCTATCCCAGATGAAGCACTCGTTTAGCTTTGAACTGCACCGCTTGGGATGACTGTATTAGAGGCCCAGATCCACTGTTAACGGGTTGTTTGTGCGGGGAAATAAGCTCACTAGGTTTGATCATCGTCATCACCATTCGTTGTAACTCAACCGGGATGAAGTCCGGACTGAGAATGAAATCCACGCAAAGAAGAGAGAAAGGGGAAAAGCAGAAGTGCAGACAGGCGGACTTATCTCCGCCGCCTTGACTTGTTCTGGCCGTCGCCAGCCAATCTCCCACCAACTCGCCTGCTTAGCTTTATCTCTTCTCCTCACTTGCCGGACGAAACAGGAAATGTTTTGTCGACTGGCGATGGCCGCTTCGAGATAATGACCCACCTCGTTTCCATCATCCACGCGGGGAAGGCTGCCTATCACCGGTTGCTTCTCTGGCGATGTGACGTTCCATCTCATTATCTTATCAGGAATGCTGGACAACAGGTGACGAGATCCCTTGGATGGCGGAAGTCTTCCGACCTTCTTCGCGTTCTTGTGTCGCTAGCCATGCTTATCAACAGATTATCGCATCTCGCCTCCTCTTACGATTGACAGCAAAGCGGAGATGATAACTATCTTGTGGGACGCTGGGTGATCTGCCGGATACTTAAGGCACAGATGGGATGCAGACACTATTGGAACTAATCTTATGTTACCTCACGTGTTCTGTGAGATGCACCTTGCTGCACTGTTACAGCACTTTGATCCTTTATTGATCTGTTTATCATTCATCTGATTAACATTCTATTTATTGCACTTCCCTTCGGCTGGTGCTCTCAACACCATGGCCCCGAACGTGGATAGGTCCGCCATTCCCGGCACTGTCACTTTGGTGGATTTGGAACATGTCCTTGAAACACGTCATCTCAACAGCGGCGATCCTGACATTGTTTTGATTCCTGCCCCTTCCAGTGATCCAGATGATCCGCTGAATTGGTCGCCTCGAAGGAAGCTTCTATCCACCGTGTGCACCAGTGTGTGAGTGCAACTTTGATCTTGACTCCCTGCAGTTTACTGATCAATGCGATCCATCAAGATACACTATATTTGCTGGTATCGCTTGTTCTGTTGTTTACTCCGTGTTAGTTCCCCTCTCTGAAAGCACTGGAGTTTCTGTTGGTACTCTCAATGAAGGGACTGGGTATTTGTTTCTGTTTGCAGGATGGGGACTCCTCTTCTGGCAGCCTTTTGCGATGCAATATGGCAAGAGATTGACTTATTTGCTTTCGTTGACTGGGATCCTTGTAAGTTAATTCGAGCCGTACCATGACCAGGGCGCTTATATCTAACTCCTATATAGGGTACTTTGATGTGGGGGTAAGAGATCAAAACTTCCGAACTCTAGGCTGCACTTACTGACATAAATCAAGTCCCTATGTGCACGGCAATGGACAATGGATTGCTAGAAGCATTCTGTCCGGGTTCTTTACGGCCCCGATCGAAGCCCTTCCAGAGATATCTGTCACGGATGTGGTAAGTACAGCATCACGGAAGAAGATGATTTCCTCTCATGCAGTCGATAGTACTTTACACATGAGCGAGGCACCTACATGGGTCTCTACGCTTTCTGTCTAGCTGGTAGCAACTATTTTGCTCCTGTCATTTGCGGATTCATCGCCCAGTACCAAGGCTGGCAATGGGTGTTTTACTGGCCCAGTATTTTCTGTGCCTTTTCTATTGTATTCCTTTTCTTCCTCATGGAAGAGACCACCTACGTTCGCGAACAAGTTGAGATTATTGACCCAGCTACCCCGATCGGGTCGTCTACCACCGGCTCCGAACACGGAGGCCAAGAGAAAGCTCTACCACCATCTGAACGTCCTCGTTCGACATCACCAGCATGTGGGGTGGTCTACACCAAGAAGTCATATTGGCAGAAGCTCGCGCTTTTAGGCCCCAGGCCGCCAAAGAACAACATGTTTAGGAGACTTTGGCAGCAACTGTACTATTTGAGCTGGCCAGTCATCTTCTACGCAGGGTATGTTGATCTACCTTTGGGTACCTGGATTACATATCCTATCATATGATGAGAAACCTCTTCTGATACGAATTCTGATGGCACAGGTTCTCATATGGCTCCTATTTAATTTGGTTCAATGTGTTAAATGGTACCGCATCAATCATCCTTGGATCTGCACCATACAATTTCAGGTAAGAGTAGCTTCAAACAATACAGGGTGATAACTAACTCCACAATAGCTCAGCCATGGTTGGTCTCAGCTATGTCGCATGCTGCCTAGGAACGATTGCTGGGTAGGTCCCTTCTAGTGTATAAAGATCAAGTATGACTGCCAACACCCTTCAGATCACTCTTCACCGGTCGATTTAGTGATTGGCTCACTATCAAACTCGCTCGACGCAATAATGGAATCATGGAGGCTGAACAACGTTTGTGGCCATTCATTGCATGCGTGTTTATTCTCCCTGGATCGTTGATGCTCTGGGGAGTCGGTGCTGCCCATTCCGTACACTGGTTTGGGCTCATCTTCGCCATGTTCATGATAGCCATCGCCAACACCGCCGGTATCACACTGAGTGTGAACTATCTAGTTGACAGCTATCGAGAGATAAGTGGCGATGCCTTGGCCAGTGTAATTCTGGTCCGCAACACTATGTCTTTCGCCATTGGTTATGGGTACGTTATTTCTTATAAAAAAGAATAAGCGGATTGAATTCTAACGGGGTTGATTTAGCATTACGCCATGGGTTGATGGTCTGGGCTATCAGAACTGTTTTATCTCGGCTGCATTTATTGGGATGGCCTGTTCTGCCGTGTTTCTAGTGATGATAAAATGGGGGAAGACGTTCCGAACTCGTTCTCGCGAGAAGTATTGGAACATAGTCGTTGAGAATTGGGAGAAGGGAATGGGTCATTGATATATACTAATACATAGCCCATAGAATGGACTTCCTTCTTAATGCTCAGTTTATCCAGTAAACATATCAAAACCCAACCGTAACCTCATACCCATCATCCGTCGTCCGTACACCGAACTTGACCTGTCCAGTGCAATCCCCATACTCATACGGTTTAAACAAACTCGGAGATCCCGCCCCAGGCGTTCCAGTCGAAGGTTCTCCAAACGTGGCGACCGTACGTGGCAACGAACCACACTTATGGCTCGACTGCGAGTTCCACGGATAATACTCAACAAACCCACCCTGACTTCCTTTGATGCCGCCCGTCCCAGAAGGCAGCGCATACGCACCAATATGAGTCGCGACCCCCGTGACCGTGTCCACCAGCGTGCCTGTCCATGTTGTCTCGGCGGTATTCTCCACGACGAGGTTATATTTATGTGCGTAGGTGGCGGGGATTTCCACGGCGCAGCTCACGCCCGCTCCGCCATCGGCTCCGTTGTGGCAGTTATTGTCGGTACTGGTTGATCCCGGGATGAAGCTGGAGAAGACGGCGTGGATGATGCTCGAGCCGTCTTTGTCGGGGCGGGGTTGGAGGCCTGTGTATCCGACATCAGAGACACCGTTGAAAGCGAACTGTTGGGCGAAATAGAAGCCTGCTTTGTGCGGGGCGTTGGCGATGGAGATGGGGAATGTGATGTTTTGTAGACCGGAAGAGGAGACGTTGGCGACGCTCCATTGTAGGCCGACCAGGGCTTCGGTTAGTGGGAGGAGGGAGGAGATGGTGGCGAGGAGGATGGAAGGGGTTTTCATTTTGAGGAAAATGATAGAAAATGTTTAATGCAAATATCACAATGAGCAATGCCAGGTGCCTTATATACCTCCGTCCGACAAGGTCGGATCAGCATACTTCGGCTAGTGGAACACTGCCCCTATGATACCATATTGTACATTCCAGGTGTCAATGGTATATTCGAGACAATTAAGAGCTCAGACCGTGTCGATCGATCGCTTAACCAGGGAACCCGTTCTCTCTATATGAAAATGTGACATCGGCCCGTCTATACGGATCGCATAGACGGCGTTCCTGTTTCACATCGTCTGGATGTGGATCCTTTAATCTACCCCAGACTCTCCACATTTAAAGGGTCCACCGTCAATCACGAAGCATGTTGCATTCCTATTGCAGGCGAAGATCAAGTTGAATTATTCTGCATCGAAAATAATAATCAAATCCTTCAAGTAGACCAATACACACAACTACTGAAGCAAATGCATCCCCCCCTCAGCATCATACCCCATCTCCCTCACTTTGACAGACCGCAGATGATCAACGCCTCCAGACAACTCGCAATCATGATAAAATAGATACCATCTCCCTCCAAATTCCACAATAGAATGATGCGTCGTCCATCCTTGTACCGGCTCCAAGATTCTCCCCCGATACTGAAACGGGCCCCATGGATTATCCCCTGTCGCGTAGACCAAGAAGTGCGTGTCTCCGGTAGAGTACGAGAAGTAGTAGGTCCCATTATACTTATGCATCCAAGCTGCCTCAAAGAACCGCCGTTGATGATCGTCGGCTGTGATTGGAGAGCCACTTTCATCTAGAATCATCAATTCGTGGACCGGTGTGTTGAAGGTCAGCATATCGTTGGACAATTTGGCGACACGGGGATATAGAGCGTTGATATTTGGACCGGAAGGCTCCTGGGGACCGGATTTGGATATGTCAAAGGTCCAACAATTCTCTTTACTCTCATCTTTCGACCAGCATTGCAATTGTCCACCCCATATACCCCCGAAATATAGATAAGCCTCTCCATCGTCATCAACAAACACCGCCGGATCGATGCTATAACTCCCCGGAATAGGTTCTTTCTCCGGCAAAAATGGACCCGCTGGAGATGAAGACACGGCTACCCCAATACGAAAAATTCCCTCTTTATCGCGAGCGGGGAAATACAAAAAGTACTTCCCGTTCTTGTACGCCGCGTCAGGGGCCCAGAGCTGTTTAGATACCCAGGGGATATCGGCGGCTTTGAGGACGACGCCGTGGTCGACGACGGGACCGGTGATGGTGTCCATGGAAAAGACGTGGTAATCATTCATGTCATACTGGTCGCCATTGTCATTGAATTCAATGGAGGTTTCGCGGTCGTGTGAAGGGTAGATGTAGAGTTTGTTGTTGAAGACATGGGCAGAGGGATCGGCGGTATAGAGATGTGTGACTAGCGGTTGGTTGGCCATTTTGTTGCAGATTGATGGAGACAGACGAAGGTCATCTTAAGGAACGTAGGTGTTCAATGCTTATATCGATGTCCTTTAACCGCCACAGGCTAAAGTATTGGAAAGATAAATGCCTAGGATTACCCCGCAAAGTAATGACGGCTAAAAGAAGCCCTGTATTACGGATATATTCGAATACAATCACGATGGATATTGATTGGGGATGCTATTGGAGAATACTAAAAAACGTTCAGTCATAAAACGGCAATGCGGATAAGGACATGAAACACAATATCTATACGCACTTTGTGGAAAAGAAATAATGCCACCCCTTGGGATGAGCTGCATGTGTCACTGGCCTCCAGCCTTCCATCGAAGAGCCATCTCAGAATCCTCTTGGCTCGCCCGCTGGAGACATTCTAGCCATTCTCTCTCCATCCGTACGAGCATCTCATCCTCAGTCTCTTCCTGAATCACAGACATCTCAGGATCTGAAGTCTCAACAGGACTTTCGCAACCTCGAAGTCCAATAAATCGCCCAAATCTTCGTCGTTTGGTATGGATGTCAACCGTAGTTTCGTGATCCGTGCCCAGCCACGCAGGAAAACTGACCGGATAATAATATGTTGCCGAACATGGCGGCCATACCTGGTGGAAATGTCGGGCAAGGTCATCAAGTTGCTGTGATGTGAGGAGATGATAGGCGAGAATTGTAGTGGGGAAGTGAGGGTGGTGAAGGCCTGTAGTTGCAGATACCAAGGGGCAGAGGGGGGTGCGCATATGTCTAAGGACAGAAAGAAAGGAAGGATGACGTTTTAACAGCTGGAATTCCAGCTGAAGGCTGCTCGGTGATACAAGTGTTGACGCAGTGGAGAGCGGCGAATATAAGTAGTCCATTTCTGTGGACTCTGGTGTTGAGGCATCCACAATGATGCGTGGAGGAGAAGGACGGTCCTCGCCGAGCATTATGATACTTGAAAAATATTGATGCGAAAGGGAGCAAAAATCTGAATCAATACTTTTCATGAGCAAGCTGACAGCAAGAAAGGAACACTCAGCTTGGATTTCAAAAGAATTTAGTATAGGTAAGAGACGGTATGCAGCCTTGTTGATGGATGATGAGTTGGCAGATAAGAGAGCGTATAGGAAAAAGCGAGGCATCCAGTTCATATACCAATGCCGCCGAACCGCCAGGCCTGAAGCTGCTGACCGACTATGACAATAGACGTTGTTTCCATGAAAAGCTGAAACACCACCAAAAATAGCATTTTTTTTTGTCATTTCGAAGCCAATTGTCAGATGATGGTCACACAATGATTTGTTGGATGGTGTGTTCTTTGTTCCCCGGGGTATGGGCGGTTTCGGTGTATAAAGAACACAAGCAAGTATTTAAAGCCCGAGGAGCGCAGTTTAACAATTCTTTGAAAATAGAAAAGGGGAAAAAAAAAAAAAAAGAAGAAGAAAAGAGCAACAGACATGACTAAATTGCATATAGAATCAACAGCACCTATATAAAAATTCATTATGCACAGACTGAATAGCAATAGTAAAAGCACGCTTATTCCCCACAACCAACCTTTCACATATTCTCGAATTAAGAAATGGACGCGCTTGCAACGCGTCTCTCTAACTGCTCCTCATTGTCTGAATCAGGGTTTGGAAGCAATGGGAGTCCGACATACTTGTTAATCCAGTTGATAACAGTACGATGCCACAGGAGAGAGTTTTCCGGCTTCAAAACCCAATGGTTCTCGTCGGGGAACGTCAAAAAGGCGCTGTCAACCCCTCTAATCTGGAGAACATTGAACGCAGAAAGTCCTTCACCTATCGTCAGACGGTAATCGAGTTCATTGTGGATGATCAAATGCGGTGTCTGCCAATTTTCGGTGAATCGGGATGGATCCCATTGCGCCCAGTTTTCAGGAACCTTCCAGATTGGGCCTCCGAGATCATGAATAGGGAAGTATTGCTCCTCACTGGCAAGTTGACCGGTCATGCTGAACACACCGTCATGGGTGACCAGTGCCTTGAACTTGCGACCAAGAGGGTGGCCTTGAATCCAGTTCACCATGTAACCACCGTATGACGCACCAAGAGCCACGGCTCGCGATGTGTCAACATATTCGAGGTTGTTTTCAATGTATTCAAATCCTTTCACGAGGTCAATGTACGGCAGTCCACCCCAGGAACGGCGAATCTCATCGGTGAAAACTTGCCCATATCCAGTGCTGCCTCGCGGGTTGGGTGTAATGACGACATAGCCTTGCTCTGCAAAGACTGCAGGGTTCCAGCGTGTACTCCACTGATCATTCCATGCTCCCTGGGGGCCTCCATGAAGCAGGTATGCCAACGGATACTTTTCACCGGGCTTGAAGTCTGAAGGCTTCACGACGAACGCGTGCACCTTGGCACCTTCGGCTCCATCAAACCAAATCTCATCCACTTGAGACGATGACAATCCGAATGTACTTCCACCTTTACCGATTGATGACACAACCTGCACGTCCCTCGGGGAGGCCGGGTCGATGATGGTCCACAGACTGTTGTCCACCAAGCTGCTGCTGGAGACGAACAACTTGTCTGACTTGGCAGCTGCGGGGTAGACATCCGACACATATCCGGTGTGCGTCAACTTCTTCAGCGAGTTGACAGTGACTTGACGGAAGTTGTCGAGCGGGAGCTGATACAGGACTCCACGACCTGTCTCTTCAACCTGAACAAGCAAAGACTTATCATCGTGTGCGAAAGAAACGGCAGAGGGGCTAAGCTTCCAGGCTCCCTTTCCATCACTAGACGGGAAAGCCTCAATCATCTCACCGTTCCAAGGGTTAGGGACGTAGAGGATTCTGTTCTTGTCGGACTCGTAGCCATCTTCCTGCATCGCCAACATGGCAATGGAGCTTCCATCCGAAGAAAGAACGGGAGACGACATGGCTCCCTGAAGGCCTGCAACCTTGCAAATGCTCGATTGTGACACGCTAATGGCCGTCCATGAGAACATAGGGCAGTAATAGCACGAGCAGGAAGTGTGCGTGGCAGGATTCACATCTGGATCCTTACCAATGAAGACGATAGCAGATGGACTGATAGCGAAGTCAGCGGCACCTCCGAGTGGAGGAATAGGTGATTCCACCCCATTCAATCCTGAGACTGAGATGAGGTTGGTGAGTCCTGAGATGGAATATTTCCCAGCCAATCTGCTAGCTGGGGACAGGGGCGCCCGCTGGAGAAGACCATAAAATATGGAATTCTTCTGAGGTTCCACATAGGCGTCCCAATGTCTGACGAAGAGTGAGGTATACACTCGTCCAGAAGTGAGAGACTTCTTGGCATCATGCGGGTTGAAAAGCGACCCATCGGTATTGGCCTTACCAGCCACGGCGAATCCAATCTTGCCCTGCTCGACGACAGTAACCTTAAGATCTGACACAGGCCCAGGAACAGTGCCTGCCGTGTAAGTTCTGTCCGCCTCACGAGCATCTCCAATGATGAAGCTGGTGTTACCATTGGCCTTTGTTTTCAACCAGATCAACTGGTCGCTGTTGTCCAACCATTGTGGGTTGCTGGCACCTGTGTCATTTGTTACCAAAGCTGATCGACCGGTTTCGATATCCAGCACGCGGATTTCATTTGTCTTGGAGTGAGACTCGAAGGAGTATGACGTCTGCGTGTAGACAGCAAGGGTGCCGGAGGCGTTGGGGACGGCGCTGGACCGTCTGGGGGCACCGAGAAGCACCCTAGGCGATAGGGTTAGCCGTGCCATAATAAATAGAAAAGGGAGAGAAAAAAAAAAAAAAAAAGGAAGGTCTGCAGAGTTTCTACTTGGATGGAAACCTACTCGGGAGTGAACTTCATCGGTCGGATGGTCATGACAATGCAGGTGAACGGTGATCAGAGATAAGAGAGCTGTTGATTAAGCTACCCCGAGCTAGGGATGACAGGTGAATGGATGATTTCAACGAAGGTTTCACAGCACGAAGATAGATAAAACGCCACCAATGAAGGTCAGAGGCTGGACTGGATGAAAGAAGAGCACGGATGATGGAAGACGATGGATGGAGGGTGATGATGGATGGGAGTGGTGGTGTGCTGGCAAGACAAGCGGGGAAGAGAGCTGCTGGAGGTCGGCCGATCCCTATCCACTCTTAGTGACTCTTCACCGAGTCACCGGGCGGGGTTCCCAAGGTCCCTTCTTGGCTGGGGGTGATCGACTGGCGGTGACATCGGTGGAAATCATCAGAATAGAAACAAGTTATGGAGATCGATTCATGCACAATGATATAATAATTAGTGAGATGGATTTGATCTGAACTCCCCGTCATCGTCAACCATATTTGGATTCGACATTAGAGCAATATAATTACAGGAACAAACCAGATAGATGCAACGGTAACCAACCCCTAACACAGACAAATTTTGGTTTATAAAACAAATCACTCTTCCTCTTCTTCTTCACTCTCATCTTCCTCCATTCCTTCTGCCGCAGTAATGTTAAATGTAGGTGCTTGATCCACACCAACGTAGCTGTCACTCATCAGGTACAATGTCAACTCATGATCTCCCGGTGTGGGCACAACGTATTCCAGACGCAACTCCAATTTGCGACCGATCGTAATACGCTTGATGGCAAGAAGGCTCTTGGTCTTTTCGTCTCCCACAACCAACCACCAGTTCTCCATCTTCTTGTTGGGGTAGAAGGGCGCGTGAACAGTTGCGTCAGGCTCTTCATCCTCTTCGACTTCCCGCTCGATCTTGACCTTGAGGTATGCTGGCTCGCCGGAGGTGATGTTCTCCGGGTCCTCCACCTGGAAGTCGAGTTCAAGGTTGGGATACTTCTCGTTTGTGAAGGCCGCAGCTTGCGCCAGCTGCTTGTTGTCGAGACCAAGTCGCTTAACCAAATTAGCGTAGTCCTTGTTCTCGGACGGGTCCATGGCTTCCATAAACTCGAAGATGTCGTTAATGCTGCAAGAAGATAGGTTAGTAGAGATCGACTGGTACTGGTGAGAAAAGGATACATACTTGTATTCGTTGGCCACGTTAACGACCTCGGGGCTGAAGTGGGGGATCTGCTTGAGAGGACTGTCCCGATCCCACATAGCTTGAACCACCATTTGAGACATCTCCATCGCGTTCATCGCATTGATGTGTCCTTCCGACGAGAGAACGTCCACACATGCGCTGAGAAGGTTGAGAACCTTGCTGACAATGATCTCCTGATCCTTGGCAAGATCAATGGGCAGCTGCATACGCGAGAAGTGGGCTTGGAGGAGAACAAAGGCCTTGAAGTGCGGCGAGTCGTAGGAAACCTGCGACATCTTCACTGGCACACGGTCGTACACCCGACGAAGAATGTGGTTTTCATGGCGACGCATCTGGATAGATTCGAACTCGGTGGCCGACGTGACGATTTCCAGAATGCCCTTGAGCTTTGTGCGAGCTGACAAAGAAAGAAGGAAGGTCTGCATGGTGATGAAGGAGATGTTGTAGTAGGCACCAATCATGGCAGCATTGAGAGGGGAAATGCTGTCATCCTCTTCGTCGAGGTCGATAATCTTGGCCTCAGTCAATTCCTTCAAGGTATTCTCGACCAACTCAGACAAGAAGGTGCTTAGGCCTTCGTGGCTTAGATCACCGAGACCGTAGAAACTGGGGTTAGCCAGGAGACGACGGTAGAAGTAAGAGTATGTCATCAAATCGACGGCATCCTGTGTAGACGCGATCATTCTCGTGCTGATGTCTGTGACGAACGCATCGTGCAGGTAAACCTGCAGGTGACTCTCCACAGGAAGGGCCTCGTTGAGGAATTTCTTGTAGTATTCACGCTTCACAGCGGGCACCATCAGCACACCGCGACCAATCTTGTCTTCCCCAGGGCGAGAGGCCTTGCCAAACATTTGCAAAATCTCACTGATCGGGTAATCGATATAGCGGTGTTCCCGACCCTCGAAGAATTGTGTGCCCATGACGATGACCAGGTGGGCGGTCAGGTTGAGCTCCCAGCAGACATCTCTCGAGGCGAGCAGTACCTGAATCGCACCGATAGAGAACAGATGCGAAACGATACGCTTATCAGTGGCGCTCAAAGCCTCGTGGTAGTATCCGATACCGTGGGAAAGCGACTCGGCCAGAGTGAGTTCCTGGACACGGCTGAGAAGGGGTGCCAGCTCATTGACATCGGCATTCAGGAACCGATCCTCATCATCATCTGTGGCGCAAGCAGCCAGCAGATCCATGGCAGTGGAGCGAGTCTGTTTGCGGTTGGGGACGAACACAAGAGCGGGCTTGTTGGGTGCCAACTGCAAAATCGAGTGGTAGGCTGGCTTGGCCATTGCCAGCATCAGCGAGGGGAAATGAGGAATGGTGAAGGACTGAATGTGGAGTTCCAGAGGGACAGGCCGGGCGTGGGGACTGAAGTTGTAGATGGTGTGCTTGTTGGCGCCAATCCACTCGCCAATGTCACGAGCATTGGAAAGAGGTACACTCAAGCCAACAATGCGCATGTCATTCTCCATTTGGAGGGCGATGTAGTGCATGCGGGACACAACAACCTCATAAACATACCCATTGTAACCTCCGAGCATGTGAAGTTCGTCCGCAATGAACAGCTGAATGGTCTGGACATTCTTACGCCTCTTCCACTGGCGGGACAAGACATCCCACTGCGAGGGAGTAGCAACAACAAGATCCGCTCGCTCCAACAGCTTCAGATCAGCAGTTGCCTCGCCAGTGAGCTTGACAATGGTCTTGCCACCTCCCAGTTTACCCAGTCTCTTTTCCCAATCCGCCTGTCGTTGATCAACCAGTTCTTGGAATGGCGCGATGTAAACAGCTCGTCCACTGTCCTCCTTCGACCAGTGACGAAGCAATGCGAGTTCAGCGCAGATTGTCTTGCCACTACCAGTAGGGGCACCAATGAAGACGTTATCATCCGTGTCAAAGAGCGACTTGAAAGTCTGTGTCTGGATCTTGTTGAACACCTGCCACTCGGGGTACAGCTGTTGGTATTCATCACGCTTCAGCGCCTTCACTGGAGCTCGCTGCATATCGAGGAGAGGAGTGTGGGGCGGGAAGCGCTCAGGAAGAATCAGTTTCTGGAAAGAAACTGCAATCTTGGTGTTGGAATGCATCCAACGGTCAGACACCAGAGAAATAAAGTAGTTTGGAGGCATTGGTTCGGAAATGGGGACTGTGAATTCCACAAGATGTTCATTCATTTCGGCCTCAGCGTACTCCCTACGAAGCACAAATTGGTCGTGGAACAAGATCTCTTCTCCATCGCAATCCTCTACCAAGATCCAGAAATCCTGTGCATTTCCATGCACAGCTTCATCCCAAACGAAGTTTGGAGTGATTGTCAACTCGACACGGAGCATTGAACGAGTGATGGGCTGAACCTGGGCTTGTACTTCCAAGCGGGGGAACTTGGAGACAAGGTCGCAAACAGTTCGTCCAGCCTTGGGCATGCCCAGAAGCTCACCCATGCGTGGAGGGTCAAGGTCAAAGTAGCTGGCCCAAGGCACATCGATACGCTCCGCCTTCTGCAGAATGTCGCGGGGACAGAATGGGAATTGGCGAAGTGGCGACATTGTTGGCCACATTCTCCTCTCGGCCATCTTACACAGATCCAGAGCAGTCTTGGCTACAGACGACCAGCCCTTCTTCAGGCAGATCTCGAAGATCGCACGGATGATACGGCCAGCTGACTGGGTAACATAAACCATATCTGCCATCAAGGCCAATCCCTCGAGCTTAAGTCTTGAGATATATGCTTGCAGCAAGACGTTAACCTTGGAGTGCGGCTCCTCAATGCTTTCTTTCACTGGAACAGGGACACGGCCAAGGAGTTTGGCCAACTCGAGTTTCTCATCCTGGCGAACGGGAATGTATTTAAACTCGTCACTGAGCGCAAAAATCCGGAAGAGTTCGATGGTGGTAATCGATGGCTGGAGGTGTTGAGAGTAGGTCAACATGGAGCTGTGACCAATGTAATAGTGCGAGGCAATTCGTCCAAGCTCGGTCGATTGCAGGCGGCCAGTCTTTCTCTCGTATTTGACAAGACCCGCTTTCTCCAGGATCGCTGCGGCGGAGTGAATGAGATCAACACGCTTTTGCTCCAGCGCATCATCTTCTTCATAGTCTGCACCGACGCTGTAGAGACCTGGCGAGCGTAGCATACGGACGAACAAGTAAGTGTAACCTAGCCATTCAACACCTTCATCACGATTCCGGACGCTTCCAAGGACAATCTCAGCATTCAGGTTATCAGCCAGTCTACTCATAAGTTGACTCTCAATGGGCAGCTGCTGGTTCATCAAAGAAAGGTAGTACTGGATTTCAGTTTGCGAGGTGATAATGATACCTTCACCAAAGGTATCATATTGAGGTCGACCAGCACGTCCCAGCATTTGGAGGACGTCTTGAGGGCTAAGTTCAACCCAGCTACCCTTCTCTGGAGAGTAGATCTGTGTGCCCTTAATGATGACGGTGTGCGCGGGAAGGTTAATACCCCAGGCGAGAGTGGCGGTACAGACAAGCACTTGGATACTGCCATCGCTGAAAAGGGCCTGAACGGAGTCACGGTCCGCAAGACTCATTCCTGCGTGGTGAATACCGAATCCGTACGGCAACAGGTCCTTGAGAGACGCATCGTCGACAGAGTCTGCTTCTTCAGCCAGGATAGCTTTGCTTGCAGCATCACTGCGCAGGATTTGGCCAATAGTCTCCATCTCAACAGCCTTGTCCCTAATGTATTTAGCAGTTTTGGCGGTTTCTTTTCGGGAATGGACGAAAATAAGCATTTGGTTTCTGCGCTGGCCAACCTGTTCAAGAACCTTGTTGTAGCAGATATCGTTCATTGTCTTCAACTGCTTGATGGCCTTCTTGTCTGTGACACCGATGAACTCCTGCTTGAGCGGGCACGGTCTGTAAGATCCATCGAAGTGGAACATGCCCTTGGCAGGATCAACCCGCAAGAAACTTCCCACATCACGGTAGTTGGGAAGTGTGGCACTGAGACCAACGATTCTGACCGGGTCGCCACTCTGCTCTGCCCGCCGAATAGTCCGACTGACAATGCTTTCGAGAACAGGGCCACGGTCATCGTGGAGAAGGTGAATTTCGTCGATGATAATGAGACGGACAAGCTTTGTGTAGCTGGTTTCAGACGCTTTTCTCGTGATGACGTCGTATTTCTCGGGTGTCGTGACAATGATCTGAGTGTCGGCAATTTGTTGCTTCGTAAGTTGACGATCACCGGTCAGTTCAGATACTCGGATACCGTAAGGCTCGAGACGCTTGCCGAGATTGCCAACTTGTTCCTGGACCAGGGCCTTCAAAGGGGAAATGCACACGATCTTGAAATCGTCCAGCATGATTTCCCCGGTCTGAGGGTTACGGTTCTTGCCGATTTCACGGAGAATGCTCAGCATCGCAACGTTAGTCTTTCCAGATCCAGTAGGAGCACAGACCAGCAAGTTTCCATCATCATGGAAGGCTGAAGGATAGCATTTAGTCTGGATACGGTTGAGCTCCTTCGCGCTGCCAAAACCAACACGAGCCCACTCAGGCAATTCGGTGGTGGGGAGGTTCTGTTCGCCGGGTTCTCTCTTTGCTTTGGGCGGCGGCACATGGATTTCCTCGTATCCCTTGAACGTCCGTTTTGTGGATCCTTGTGGTAACTTGACGTTAGGGTTGGTCATCAAATGGTTGCCTTGGTGGAAGACGAGGTTCTCCAGGTTGATCTGTCGCTTGGGTTGCAACCCTCCTACAAGACCACCATCCGCGGGCTTCTGCTGCTCCTCGGGTACGGGTCCACTTGGGACATCGACATCCATCAAGTCAAGCTTGATCTTCTTCTCGGGTCGACCAGCCCCTTCATCGCGGGCTGCCTTGCCACTGATGTCGTCCAATATCGATCGGTAGCCAGCTTCTACCATCTCGCTTTCGATGAGGTGGCGAGCATCTGCGTCTTCGGCTACCCGTCTCCAACGAGTCACCCAGAAGATCTTGCTACGGTTGGTAACCAGTTTGGCGACGAGGTCAGGATGATCGTAATCGAAAAGTTCCATCAAATCGTTCTCCACGTCTCGTAGTGGTCGTTCTTCGCCGTCTTCTGTCTTGCCGCCAAGGATTTCAAGAGCATCTTTGGCCTTCTCGTGTTGGGTATGAGCGTCTGAAAATGCTGTGCCGATTTGACGTTGAAGCCAGTATGCATCGATTTCCCGAGCAGAGATTTCCATTCCCTTGTCGCCTTTCTTGTCATCACGGTCTAGGCCACCATCAATAACCATTTCCTCGGAATCGGCAAGATCTTCGAGACCAGTTCGTTCAGCCTCCTCGCCATCGGGCTTTTCTGCTTGGTCGGCCTCATCTTCGTCGGATAGCTCGTCATCGTCGCGCACCTCATCGACGGTGCCCATGCGCTCATCGTCCTCGTCTTCTTCGTCGAAAACAACCGCAACACCCTGGCGTTCGTCGAGTTCTGCACCTGCTTCGCCTTCCAAGCCGCCATCCATATCCTCATCTTCATCTTGGGCGTCGTAGTCTGTAATCTTCTTGCCCAAATTCACGAGCTCATTGAACTCCTTGGGGTTCATCGAGCTACCAAGCAAGTCGTCGATCTCTTTCTTCTTGTCGAAGTCTTTCAGATCTTCGTCCTTAAGATATTCTAGAACAGCATCGGCGGCACTTCGAACAACTTCGTGAGGAACATCGCCAAGGTGGCTTGCGGTCATTGTGAGGATGAGGTCGTAGGTAGCCCGGGTGGCGGGAGTGCGAGGTCGATATCTCAATCCCTCGACAAGAGCATCAGCGGCGGAAAGGATACCTTGCCCCCGTAGCTGTGCAGGTTGTCCCTTCTGACGTTTTCTTTGCTCACGGGCGAGAACATCCTCACCCTCCCGGATCGCACCTCGCTCAATATCTGTCGGGCCAGCTGCTTTCTTTTTTGATTTGGGCGCATCATCACGCGCTACCCCGGAACCCATCTCTCGGATGCCAATACGACCGGCGAGGGACTCCGGGTCTCCGGTGGCTTCATCGTTGTTGCGGGAGGTGAAACGGCGGTCCGCCTGGAGAACCAGGTTGGACATCGCCGAGTATTTGTACTGCGAGATATTTTGGTCCGCCATTTTGATAGTAGAACGCTTAAAACAAGAACCTAAGAATTAAGATAAAAAAAGAAAAGGAAGAAAAAAAAAGAATCGTGTCGCGACTTGAAGAAGTCGTCGGGGCTCGATGGAGCTCAGGATCAACCGGCGCGTCGAGACACCTGTAATGGCAAATGAATTCTGCAGTGATGAAATTTCCAGATGGCTTCACAAACCTGGATCATCCTCCTGCAATAGGCAAGCTCGCTCGTGAGGGGGGAGGAGTGGTGTGCAAGCTGCCGGTGTTGTTTGGAGGTTTGACGGAGAAGTCGCTGGCGAAAGTCGGCGAGGTTCTTTTCCAGATTTCAGTGGCGAAAGCGGAAGGTTTCGCGAGGGGCCTTTTTCTGCCACGTCCAGAGAAAGCAAGCCTTCCGCCAACGCGATTGTCAACAATTCGACCAGAATAATAATGCGCATAAATGGGACTCATGTTGTATCTCAGCTGATTCCATCGCGCCCGCAGCTCGCTGTCAGGCATGGCGCATTCTTCACTCATCGGTGTCATGTTCACCGAACCATCTGCCACCATGCCCGCCGTCCTCTCCTACGCGTTGGAGCTCCGGTTCCCGGTCAGCATTTCGACAGAAGAGGTGCAAAGACAAAATCTACAGTGAAGCTGAAGGATATTCCGCAAGGAGCGTTAAAGCTGGAGCCATATGACAATGGAACGGATGAAGCGCCTCGATACCCCACGGTTCTCCAGGGACACAGGAACAATATGCAGAAGTTCAGGAACTGCGTCGTTTTGACGAGAGTAGGAGGCTTCTACGAGGTACGAACTGGGTTGAAGTCTAAGCCTAGATGTGTGGAATAGGTTAATAATACCTGACCTGAATAGTTGTACTTTGAGCAAGCTGAAGAATTAGCAGCATCGCTCAACATTAAGCTTGCCTCCCGGAGAACCAGTGCTGGGCCGGTGCCCATGGCCGGGTTTCCTTACTTCCAGTTAGATCGCTTCCTGAAAATTCTTGTCCAAGATCTCAACAAGTACGTGGCTATCAGCGAGGAGTTTGCAAACGGTGCAGAAGATAAAGCACGATCGGGTGGTCTTCTCTTTGATCGCAAGGTGGCCAGGATTATTACACCTGGGACATTGATCGATGAGAAGTTTATGGATCCTACGGAGAACAACTTTTTGCTGGCAGTGTACCTCGATGTTCCGGCGTTGAAAGCACAATTGGAGCGGCAGGATGGATCATCGGAGCAACACGTATTGTCGTCTGCATCACAGCACGTAGGCTTGTCATGGCTGGACCTGTCAACCGGTGATTTCTTCACGCAGCACACAACGGCACAGATGCTCCCATCCGCCATTGCCAGGATCGGGGCTCGCGAAATCCTCGTGGACCAGAAACTTCAAGACTTGGTTGGACAGGAGCTGCAGCTGCTTCTTGGGCAGGAACATCGGTTGCTTACCTTCTTCCAGCTCCCTCAAAAGGTTGCCCCAATGTCAGAATGGAGTTCTATGCTGGAAACACCAATTCCTACCAAGGCCATCGATTCCTTCACGGTTGAAGAAGTTGCTGCTGGCTATAGTCTATTGGAGTACATTCGGGTTCAGTTACAGCGGTCAGATATGAAACTTCAGCCTCCCCGTCGTCGCCACTTGGATGAATCGATGAGTATTGATCGGAATAGCTTGAGGGGATTGGAGATTGTAGAAACTGCTCGAGACGGGTTTGGGAAGGGCAGTTTACTTCATGCTGTCCGGCGAACCTCTACTAAAAGTGGGGCCCGCTTGCTGAGAGATCGTTTAACATCTCCTTCTACTTCGCTACATGTTATCAATGAACGGCTTGATCTCGTCTCCTCATTCATGGAAGAGGAAGACCTACGTGATGGTGTTACGCAGTTGCTGAAACGCAGCTATGACGCCCAGCGCTTGGTTCAAAAGTTCACTCTAGGCCGGGGAGATCCAGATGATTTGATTTGCCTTTCTAGAGCGATAGAAGCTTCAAAGGAGATTAAGCGGGTTTTATCATATGCAAGCTCGGGATCCAATTCGCAGGTGAATGAAAGCCTGGCCACCATGGTTGATCGACTTCATCTCGATGGGCCTAGTGTGTTGGCAGATCGTATCTCGGCCGCCATTGATGAGGAGGGTCTGCTACAGAAGCAGCGCATTGAAGATGACACCGCTGCTGAAGCGGCAATGCTGGCGCAAAAAGTGACCATCGACGAAGGCATGCCAGGGGATCTTGAGTCTTTACCAAAGAAAGTGAAAAGCAAAAACAATGAGCGTACAGGATCAGATGATGGTGGAGCTGTTGACACTTGGGTCATGAGAAGTGATGCAAGCCCGGCTTTACGTAAACTTCATCGGTCACTTGAAAAGCTTCATGATGATAGGGCAGCGCTGACTCAACGTCTTCGCGACTATGTGGGTTCATCAGCCATTTCACTCAAATGGACACCTGGACTGGGGCATATCTGTCACGTCAAAGGGGCCAAGGTTTCCCAGCAATCTCTTGAGGAGCTAGGCGTGACGCGGAATGTCTCATCGACAAAGTCTACTAGATCGTTCTATCTCCCGGCATGGACAGAACTGGGTGGTCAGATGGACCAAGTCAAGCTCCAAATACGTCAGGAAGAGAACGCGATTTTCGAAAGTCTACGTCGCGAGGTGATTCTGAACTTGGTCAAGATCCGACGCAACGCAGCCGTGATGGACGAACTGGACGTGGCATGTTCATTTGCAACACTAGCTCAAGAACAACATCTCGTGCGACCTACGATGAACAAGGGAACCTCGCACAAGATCGTTGGAGGACGACACCCAACAGTCAAGCTGGGACTGGAAGAACAAGGACGCAAGTTCGTCAGCAATGATTGCTTCATAGGCGACCCAGAACGAATCTGGCTCATCACCGGTCCCAACATGGCGGGCAAAAGCACCTTTCTCCGACAGAACGCGTTGATCACGATCCTCGCGCAGGTGGGATCATTTGTCCCTGCAGCTTACGCCGAGATAGGCATTGTGGATCAGATCTTCAGCCGGATTGGCGCAGCCGACGATCTCTTCCGAGACCAGTCCACGTTCATGGTGGAGATGCTTGAAACAGCCGCGATTCTGAAGCAAGCCACGGCGCGATCGTTTGTGATTATGGACGAGGTCGGACGGGGGACGACGCCGGAGGATGGCACGGCAGTCAGTTTCGCGTGTCTGCACCATCTGCATTATCGCAATAAATGCCGGACGTTGTTTGCCACTCACTTCCACGCTCTGGCTGATATGACGGATGACTTTGATAGTTTGGGGAGGTACTGTACCGATGTGAAGGAGACTGCGTCTGGGACGTTTTCATTCATCCACCGACTGCGGAAGGGGGTGAATCGCGAATCGCACGCCTTGAAGGTAGCACAGCTGGCAGGATTACCCAAGGAGACGATTGAGATGGCGCGACGAGTGCGGATGTATCATAGTGTACAATAGCGAACATAAACCTTGACATAACAACATATCATACATTCATAATCTGACTTGACTTTCACCTCAGCAATAGCAGCACTCTATAATTTAGCTCTCTCGCCACCCTTCAATCCCACCACAATTCCCTCCCCGAACTCCGCCTCCTGACAATCCTCCTCATCAACCCCATTCGCAAACTGCACAACGACAAAATCCACCCGTCTCCCCCCCAACACCACCATCGGCGCATGCCAAGTACCAACCCCATACGTAACGGCCTGACCCCCCGTGGCCAGAAACGCCTTCATATTCTTCAAATCCGGCGGGTCACGAATCGTCACACTCCCCCCACCAGCAGTCGTAGCCGTCACCGTCTCGCCTTTCAACGACGGCGCAACAATCACGAGAAACTTCGGTTCATCTTCCCCGGCAGCGCTCAAATCAATCGGCGTAAACGTCTGCGTGGTAAACGGGTGTCGCTCGAGAATCCGCACATCAAACACCTTCTCCCCTTGCGCGGCTCGTAACGTCCTCGGAAAACAAGCAAACATGCTCATTCTCGCTGCGGAGGCCTTTCCGCTGGCGCACTTCCGACTCGCATATTCATCGAGAACCGGCGATATAGGGCTATATTTCAGCGCGGAGGACTGGTTCGCGAGGGCCGGGGCCGGAGCGTGGTGCTGCGCGGGGAGAGAAGACAGATCGGCCGGGGCGGCGGTGAGGGTGCGGGGGATTGGGGGGATGATGGCGGTGCCGAAGGGGGCGAAGGCGGAGGGGGTGAGAGGTTCGGGGGTGAGGTGGAGGGAGGGAGTGGATGGGAGGATTGGTGCCATGATGTCCACTTGATTGATGGTAGATATGTGATGAGGAGGAGGATGGTGGTTGGAGAGAGTGGGTGGATGGTTGTTATAAGGGTGTCTTTCGGAGGGCGCCGTTATCGACGCTAAGATCCGGAGGGGGCCGTCAATGATGCATGCATATATTCTTATTCAGTCATTTTATACTATTTTATATTGAGCTGTATACTTGTGTTTGAAATGCAGTTTATTGAATGGATATATAATTATTATCAGTAATACTATAAGGTATTGATGTCATTGGAGAATGAATGGACGGGACTCTAGCGCCAGTATATATCACATCAACACAAGACCCATTGAACGACTAACAAAAGCCAAGACATAAACCAAGAATAAAAACCGGCATACTATTCGTCTCTCAATGGCAGAAAATAGCCCAAACGAACCAATTAGCTTGTATACGATTTTCTGCGTCTGCCCAATCCAACCCTACCTAGGTAGGTTGTACTCTCAGCGGAAGTGAACCACAGCCTCGCTGGCAAAACCAACACAAAAAAGCGTAGAAAAGTGCAGAAAAACACAACCAGCGCTCAGAGTGCGCCCGGCACTAATGGAGGTGATTTTACTCGAGACTATAGAAAAATCTTCCGTTGTAGACAGTAGACACAGCAAAGTGGCAGTGTCGATCTGCGTCAACGTCGCATATCGCGTGATGAGATTCAGCTGCATTGAGGCGCCCCAATGTGACGGGGGATTTCCCAAACTGGAGTCGGTCAATATGGATACTAGAGCAAAGGTGGAGTGTTCTGTTGAAGATAGATGCCAGGCCGAGTTGGGATGGAGGAGTCTGCGTTGGCCAGCAATCAAGAATTCGCCACCAGCCAGCCTGGCGAGTCAGGGAGTTCTTCACTTGACGCCATTGTTGGTCGCATGGTTCGCAGACCGTATGCAGGTGAGATGAAGGAGAGAACAAAAGGGAAACTGACTTCAGCAGGCAACTGAATAGGACCGAAAGTGAAGCATCATTCTATTTGAGAAACACAGCCTAAGCCTGTGTGGGATGTCTATCAGACTCCCTTGTCACTCAGATCCAGAGATTCAAGATCCAGAATATTGCACAAATTACAAAACACCAGACATCTGAGTCGAATATCGAGATCAGTTACGAAAAACATAATTGACGCTGCGACGTGTATCCTTATAAGGGGATCGAGGACACCCAGGCTGGGTGAAACCCTGAAACAGCCCCCTGTCAGCCTGTCTGATTGGGAGTTCAGCTTCAACACCGCTTTTTTGGATACTCGTGAACGTCAAGTATCCAGGAGAAGAGCATTCATTAATGCCTGTTTCCCTTCATCTGGTGTTTGTCAGTTGGGCTATCTGGAATAAATATAATGATGGCTCTCCCTCGTAGTTCTGATGGACTTTAAAAATATTCTATCCTCACTCCCCACTATACATACATACATCTGAACAACTGAACAGTACCCCATCATGCCTACCAGACAAAACAACGACGCATTCAGCACAAAAGCCCAGCGAGGCAGTCAAGTGGATGACAGGGTCTCCGACCCATTTGACGATAACGACACTACAAACCAGTAAATTCAGACCCCCCGATCAGTTTGAAAATACCCTAACCATCCAGAACGACTTTCCCCTCTGAGTCCGAACGCGAGGCCGACTTCGCAGGAATCGGTGCCCACAGTCCGAGTAACCCAGCGACAACGGCGGACCAGTTGGAAATCGACGAGGAAGAGCAGTAGAGATGGATGCCTGGTGGCACAGACAGAATACACAGGCTGGATCTTGTGCAGGAGAAACGTGAATAATTAATAATTAGAGAGCCTGATGCTTTAATAATGTCTATGATCTACAAGGAGCACTATGCCTTGTCGAGTAAATGATAATATCGTTTATTATTATGTTGTAAAGATGGATCAAGACAGCCTAGCAATATGAAATATCCAAACATACGAAAAAGAAAAGAAAGCTAACAAAAGCAAAACAACCGACAGACAAAAGAAATTATATAAAAAGTGAAGAATGGGGCAAAAGTATAGTGGACCCATCAAAGCCCCCGGAAAAGCGACCCAATCTCCCCGACGACAAAGTACTGAGCTACATACAGAGATTGCTGATCGAACTGCTGATCGGATCGAATCCGCCGTTTGGGGAGAAATTGCATCCAGGGTCAAAGCGATTCGATCTGCTGCTTGTGATTCATCCAGTCCAGCTAGTCAGGGATCGGCCTATCATCTTCCTGGATGGTACCGCGGCAGTGAATCCGCGAGATGGGACTTTTGCTGTCTGCCATGCTGAAGTACAGCACAGATACTGATGAAACAAACAAATAGCCAGCAGGGATGCAAAAATCCTATACCATCACGACTACAATGGATAGGCAGACACCTTGAGGGCAGAAAGAGATAGGAGAATTGTCAGCTTGTCAGTATTTGTAGATATAAAAGGATGTCCTCACTATGCTTCTACCCCATAAGTCAGATCAGTCCTCAGTCTCAGTCCATTCCGTTTATTCTATCTACATTCCATACAACACACTCTATCAACTACAAGATGCCTCCCAAAACCGAGAGAAAGTTTGGAAACTGCAGCACAAAAGCACACAACGGCAGCCAAACCTCCGACCACGAAGATGTCTTTATACCGACCGAGAAGCCTTCTCCAATCCAGTATGACCTTCATGCTGCACCTCCTGCACCATACTAACTCTACCAGAACTTCATTCCCACAAAACCCAGCCGAAAGACAACAGCAAGACCTGCTCGGAGTTGGATCCAAGGCCGAATCAACCTGGTCGGCATGGTACAAGGCTTGATGAAATGCGCCAGCAGAAGAGCAATAGACGATACATTGACGGTGTCGTAGTGTTGCACGGGGATGGCGTTGGTACTTTTGCATACATGTTACACACTTTTGTATTTATCGAGCGGAATTATAAGTACTCGGATTAAATAAACTAAGTACATGCATCTGCACCCATCCATATCATGTATCTATCGTCGTACTTGTGACGGGGAACCGGACTGTGTTACCATGTATGCATGCAGGAATTGCCTCCTGCAGGTACATTTGGCCAAAGGGTATACGAGATATAGAGTAATAATATCATTAATTATCAAATACGTACTCAGTTTGTACGACTCATGACTCGTAAGCCACGAGAGTCTCATCTAACTTTGTCTGCACATAATTTCTGCCCCAGTTGCTTGCGTCCAGAATCCACCGGAAAAGGGGGAAATTAAAGAATCGAAGCGAAATGAAAAGAAAACAAAGAAGAAAAAGACAGCAAAAAAGCGGTGGCAATCCCTGCACCTCCTGCAACGCACTGACAAGCTCAGCCTGATAGACAACACCAGCTGACTACAGCGTCAAAAGTACCACATTACTCAAACACCCAACACTCCGGCTTCTCCCGTAGTTCTTCATTTCAAATATACCCTAAATCATCTATCCAAACTCTACTCCAGCGGTTCGGATGCAGATCCCCCGGCGATCGCCATCAGCCTCATGAGACCTCCGGGGTGACGTGGCTGTCTATTGTTTTGGATTTGTTGGGATTGCGAATTGCGATCAGAGCACGAGGTTGGCTTGAATGGGCGTTGTGCAGGAATTGGGGCTTTGACCTTGTTGATCTGTCCATCTGTCTATGTAGATAGGTATAGCATTGTCTGATATAGCTCTGTGGTGTCATGTGATCTGCCCCTTAGCAACTTCATCTGACAGTCTCTTCTCAACAACCATCATGCAGCGTTTCAGGAGAGCATTCCACCTCCTGCCCAGGGCGCAGGCTAGGCTAGCTTCCTCTTCAGCCCTGAAATCAGATACCCAGACTCGACCAGATGACTTCTTTCACTATACCTCCGGCCGTTGGCTGTTCGACGAACAGCAACAGTTGGCAAAAAGACACGTCAAATTCAATCCCCAAGCCCTCCAGAAAGTGGCTGGCCAACTGCGCAACACTCAATGTGTCCAAATGACCAAACTCCCCGAGGGGATGCATAACAAGGTCTTTTCCTTGAAGATGGAGAATGGCGAGGAGATACTCGCCAGAATCCCAAATCCTAATGCTGGTCATCCGCGATGCGTGGTCTCGAGTGAAGTGGCTACGCTTGATTTTGTAGGTATACTACATCTCTACACTCTGAGTCTATCAAACTGACTCGATAGCTTCGCAGTATCCTTGGTTTACCCGTTCCTACAGTCTTGGATTGGAGCTCTGTTTCGAATCCAGTGGGTGCTGCGTACATTCTCATGGAGAAAGCAAAAGGCCGTCAGCTGAGTGAGGTCCGGGATACCATGTCCACAGCCCAGAAATTCGGTTTGGTAAAGAGGTTGGTAGAGATTGAGAGACGGCTGGTGAGCACCAGGTTTGCACGCCATGGTAGTCTGTACTACAAGGACAGCTATCCAGATGGGAACGACATTTTGGATTCGACTGAGATGCCTAAATCGGAGATGAAAGCTATCTCAAAGTTTGTAGTAGGACCAACCACAGAGATATCCTTCTGGGAGGATGAAAGACGTGAACTTGACATTGATCGTGGCCCATGTACGTTTCCACACTCCACACAGTGGCAAAGCTGACAGTATGAACAGGGAAAACAACAGAGGAATACCTTACGGCTATTGCACATCGCGAGATTGCTGTTATCCGAAAACTTAACGCCACTTCCTGCCTGGATAAAGCATCACCTGAGAAACATATCCAACTCCTTGAACAATTCATGACTGTGCTACCGTATATACTCCCTTTCGAAGACGTTTCCAATCCTGTTCTTCTACACCATGATCTTCACACAGAAAATATTTTCGTCGATGAAACCGATCATACAAAAGTATCCAGCATAATTGATTGGCAGGAAGTGTACGCAGCTCCATTATTTCTACAAGCACGGTTTCCATCAGTATTTGACTGCGATGATCCATATCCATGGGGTATTATCAAGCCAGAACTGCCCGATGATTTTGACATTCTTTCACAGCCCGAGAAGAATATGGAGGAAGAGAGACTTGACAGGTTACGACTAAAGAAATTTTACGAAATAGCATCGAGGAAATTCAACCCAGCTCTTGTCCAGGCTATGGATGCCATGGCAGATGGGGATGATCCGACGACATTCATCTTCCATCTCATTGGACACTCGGCTGCTAATGGTCCGATTCCTCTTCAGGAGCTTCTTATACAAATACATGAAAAATGGATTCAGGTCCTAGCAAGGCGAGGAATATCAGCGCCATGTCCAATTTCATTTTCAGAAGAGGAAAGTGAGAAATATAGACAGCAGGTAGATGAATGGGCAGAGGCTTATAATGAGTTCAACAGTCTGCGAATAGAAGTCTCAGGGAAAGATGGATGGGTTTCACACGAAGAGTACGATGAAGCGATGGAAAAATTTAAGCAGAACAGGGCGAGGTTAGAAAAACTCGAAAAACGGTTAAAGGGGATTTATAGCTGTGTATAAAGCTAGCTATTCTATCAGCATGCTAAGCCTCCACAAGAAGGCTGGGTGCATGCACAGCCCAGCATGGAAGCCTGATCAACGCCACGGAAATTTCTACTCTCATCTCAGACCGATCACACTCTATCATGCGCGACATTTACCTGTCTATTCTCCACAGCCCCATCCTAACCAAGTCTTGTGCTTCGCTGTCAGACTTTACTCTCTACGGAGGCGGAAGTGATCAACTGGACAGCTGCCAAGCGCCACGTAGCTATCCCTGATAACATGATTATGATAGCTTCTTGCTTGTGTCAAGCTTTGACATCATGTTCCATCGTGATTGAGGCTGCACACTGATAAATTCAAGCCAAGTTAATTAGCACCACCTTTATAGCCGATAAGGATGGCGCTATGGATGCCTAGTTTTCGTGACTATCTTGCCGTGGAAGATGGAAGACCTGCCAGGGTTATGTATCGCTTTTTTCAACTATCAACGATCAAAGAAAGTCAGGGTGACGTCGGTTCGCATATCCACGGTACGAACATGCAGCATGCCGATGCAGTCAGTAGCCGAATCAAGTGGCGCGTGGAAAAACCAAAGCCGATGCGATGATTTGAACAGCTCTTCCCTGCCCAACACAGCCTACCATGACCTTCCCAACTTCTGTCCCTGTCAATCTTTACCACAGCCTCACCTACGCGCCAATCAGTGATAAGTCGCAATAAAACACACCGTGGACACCTCCCTGACAGTCGGAAATATCCCTGCAAGCCGAGCATGGCCTGGAAAATACCACCGATAGCTTCTACTCCTCTTGCGCCTCCGCGTCGGCTTCCTGATAGGTTTACTCCAAACAGCCGCCAGTGTCCGATTCGATGCTTCGTCTTACTGTCTAGAATCACCCACATCGTACAAAGTTTCTGGGCGGTTTGTCGCTAGAAAGTGGCATCAACAGTGGCGGTCTGGATATTTTGCATCCCATTGACGAGGTAATGGAGTGAGCGGACCCGAATGTAGCAGTTCGAATCCTTCTGGTGCACTGAATACCGCCACCTAGTAGTTGCCTTAATGGCTTTGGTCTGTAGTTGAGACTCTGCTGTGTCCAGTATAAAGAAAGCCATAACCTGCCGCGTTTGACCGGCAGTAGCATCAAGTCCCCGATATTCCGTTCTTTATAACTGGAGCATTAGATTCTAATCTCATTCCTCTCTGATTTAGGTGTTTCCGGCACTTGTATCTGCCTATCTTAATCATTTCCCGCCATCTCAACCGTCTTCTGATCACTGTCACTCCATTACCCATCTTTGTTTATTCTATAGCGTTGATATTCTATCTATTATCTGTTCCAGTCTACCAGCTGTCTAATTAATATCACTGCGCGGCTATTATCTAATATGCCTCCCTCCCAACCCAAGTCATTCAAAGGCAGTAGTACGAAGGCCTACAACGGAAGCCAGAACTTAGACCACGCTGATATATCTTTCAAAGAAAAAGATTCCAAACCCAAGTAAGTACTATACCCATGTTACTAATGCAATAAGCAACCAAGCTAATTGTGTATTCTAGAACGTCTTTCCCACAGACCCCTGCAGAGAAACAACAAGACTTTGCTGGTATTGGCCTCGGAGCTGAATCGACTTGGCATAAGCGTTGATTTGGGATTTATTTATGATGAGATGTGTTATGAATGTATTGGATAAGGGTTATGAAGATGTTTGATATTCGCCATGATTTGTGCTAGCAACATGTACTACATAGTGTCTATGTTTTATGAAATGTTCAACATGAAATAATATATTCCAGTATTAACAAGTATTCCTCTGAATATAGCACTCCACTATCGTTAGCACAGCCTCATTCTAGAACGCCCGTCGAAAAGCCTAGAAAAAGCATAATGCCAATAGCAGTTACAGTGGAAATAAGTTTCCGTGCATGCATGGACATGACGGGTATTCCTGATTCTGCAAAAATGCCAAGCGAACAGCCAGGAATGATGAGACAGAAAGAAAAATCAAGACAAGATCATCCCAGAGAGTGTTGTGCATCTTCAATAATCTGTGGCTTATGGTCGGTTCATAACGCCATTTTGGGTTAGAGCTGTTGGTGGAGAATAAAACCAGGCAATTAAGGCAACCAAAAGCAGTCAACCTTGAGTTTGAACAAGTGAACATACAAGCTGAAAGGATGCACTAGTACGATGACCAGACGGAATGTCTTTTAGGTTCCCCCCGTCCAAGGTGTTCGGCATTGCCATCGCGGCACGCAGGCATTGACGAGTAAATCAATAGATCCTGTTTGCTTATTCCAGGGGAACCCCGGAATCATACTGTTGTTCAAGACTTTGGTGTCAATTGGCTGTACACAAAGCTTGAAGCAACAATTTTATTGTTTCATCTTTATTTATTTTCCTTGGCTTGCTCAGCTTCCGACCTCCACTGCATTGCAGGTACTTGGAAGGTCATTGTTAAATTCCTTTAGTGCATACATAACCATGCATGTGCAATTATCATATTGCTCTCTTGGCTAACTATGTTATCACAACTTGGAATGAACAACAAGAGAGATAGAGCTAGAGCACAGATAGAAGCGCCCAAGAACCAGCGGTGATACTGACACCCGTCATCCCTGAAAATCCCAACGCACAGACAAACTCTCCCAGGCAGCTTCATTCTCACTCTGGCGGGTAGAAGAGTCGTTGCCACTGAACAGCCACTGAATTGGTGTTTAATCTCGCCATCATAGCACCTATCACCAGCAAACTACCAATGGTCGACTGACTTAGGGGTACCTTCCTCACTTCCGCGCGTCTAGCTCCGCGAGAAGCGCATGCCAGACACACCGAGCCAATCCCATCGTGGAATAGAATGAGGAGCTTCTCTTCACACTATCTATCCTTGCATCCCCTGGATGAACTATTGAAGTGGAGTGCCCATATCTTTATTTTTAGGGGGCGATCTCTCTTGTACCTCTTCTCGCTGACTGGTTTACTTTCACACATCGTTACGGACGTTGCTGCGTAATGCTGCCTCTGTCTGCCCTTCAGAGCGCCGACTCGTTCCATATTTGATGGAACTAGTTGCTGCTTGCCCAATACCGGGTAATAGAAGATGCTCCACTAATTCTCTGATGCCAGCGAACACCTCCGAGGCTCCATCTGCTTGAAATATACAGTACTACAGGGCTAGACCGGAAAAGTCAACAGAATTGTGGCTTGAAAGTACCCACCATGACGAACGGCATCGATGGCTCATGTCAAATGATCAGACAATCCGTCAATGATGAGCGACCAGGCCTTCGGAGTAGATAAAACATTATCTTAATACATGGTAATATTGAGTCTGGTGAGCTGATCTCCTGTGCTGGAAAATGGCATCTTCAATGTATAAATGTCGTCCTCTTCGCCTTATTGACAGCCGGATATATTCATCACACACTGTCTTGACTACTTCGTCTATACTGGCACCTTTTGCCATTTGTCACTCTTATTACGCATCTTGGTGCGTCTCCGAGCCACTGTCATCTGGTCGTCACTATTCTATCGTTCCTTAGCCAGAAACTATACCTCATTCATTTCCCTCTTTTGGCACTGCGGTCATTAACCCACTACCTGCATTCGCTCTTAATATACCAGCAATCAACATGCCTTCGCGCCCCCAGCCTGAGAGGAATCTCGGCAATGCCAGTGTAAAGGCGCAGAATGGAAGTCAAACATCTGACTATACTGATACTCTGCTGAAGCGTGAGGGGAATGACTCTAAACCTCGGTAAGTACTCCACCGTGAAGTCCACCTAACAGGTAGGTAATAACCATATTAGAACATCCTTCCCACAGACATCTGCAGAAAAGCAGCAGGACCTTGCGGGGATTGGCCGGGGAGCTGAATCGACTTGGTGCAAGCATTAATATGGGTATGAACTTATGATAAGATGTATTAGGCATGTATTGGGATAAAGGTTTACAGGGAGAGAATTGGATATATTCGGAATTATTTCATACAGCACATAATGCATTGGCCTGACCCTTTTGCTATTCTACCCCCAATCAATTTATTAAATTTGATGTTTATTAACTGGCAAATTTTAAGATATCTAGCTTGAGGGATGATGTGGATGCCTCAGGTTGATTGCTGCCGTGTGACCTCGCCTATGATTATTTATCTCAACTATAGGACTACGAATGAAGCTATTCAGAATATATTTACATCGTCTACAGCGATGTCTTTATATATCTGTACCGGATATCCACATCACGGAGTTAGCATGGCCTTTGCATCATCATAATATGGAGTGCCTCTTTAGTCCGGGGACGTCCACCACCTATTTATCCCAATATTCAATATCTCACGATGAAAACCCTATATCAAGACCGACGCCTCCCTCTACCTCGGCTGTTTATATTTCTTTTGATATCGATCATCGTGCTTATACCAGATAGGGTGTCGATTAGCTTCGCCAAGAGAGATCGCCAGCAATACGAGAAGCTAGCAGAAAACACGAGCACTTAATCTGAGATACATCTATAGCTCTGAGTCGCTAGACTGCTTTCGAATACAATCTGCGAGAAAGCTTCGTGTTGTAGTTAAAAATATGCAGCAACGGATCTCTACACTACACCCCCAAATACTATAAATATAGGCATCCCGCAGTCGTTCTTTTCTATCTTCCTTCCATTCTCATCGACATTCCTTCTCTTTACTTACCTCTAATCTTCCATCCTCGAACCCATCCAACAAAATGAAGTTCCTTTCTACCGTCGGTCTCTTCGTCCTCGGCTGCGCCATGTCCGCCGACGCATTCAGCCTCTACTACGATGGCAAGACAATTGTCCACGACGCGCGACGACAGATCTTCCCCTGCCAGAAACAGACCTTCAAGGAAGGCAACAACCTTTCCTTCTTCAACAGTAACGTTGACTTGGCCGACAATTGCCACCTCACGCTCTACGATGACTCGGAGTGCAAGAAAATCGCTGGGTCATCATATGGAGAATGGCGGAAGAAGTTGAGCCAGAATGTTTACTCCTGGAGTTATACCTGCTAGATTGCTTTGGATAGGTAGGCTACTGCAATGCGTACTCTCTTAGAAGTTTGTGATACTCATGGATTATAGGAACTCGACATATCGGGGAAATTCTGGCGTGTGATTGTGGGATTTGTGTTTTTCTTGATAGTCCTATCAAAATTCAATTAGATCATCTAAACATGACTCTCTTGACCTTTCCCGGCTCAATAAAGAGGAAACCATGATATATGGTTACTAGTCATTATGTTGTTTTGCTTAGATTAGCCATATTTGATATTGGCGAAGTGAAATATCAAAGATATAGCAATGCCTTCTTTCTGGCTGTAGAAATCTATCAAGGCTGGCTTGTTTAATTCATTCAGAAACTTGGCCCGATCGAACCCTACAGCTCGAGACCAATAATAAGCTCTCAGCCAAGATCTTTTATATGCAATGCTAACCTACACAGTGGAATGCCTAGCCTATTAATTGAGTGACAATAAAATAATACTCTTTAGCTTAAAGCCATGGTATTTTGAGACAGGTTGTATTGACGTATGTTAGGTATCTATAAATCAGAGCGTTGCAGACCCATTGTCCTCGCCCACTGTCCAAAAAATATAATCAGGCTGATTAAAGTCCCAACATTCGAATGGATGCTGTAAGGCCATTTGTTCCAACTCGTGATCCGGAGGGACCGTAAAAGAATTCAAGTTTGAAAAGATTTCTTCGTTTTCAGCTCCAGTGCCACCAATTGGCTCTTTGCTAGCCTTCTGAGAATCAGAAGGGGAATAATCTCCATCGGTGTCTTCTTTGTCGGCATTGTCACTCCCCGCTATTCCCGAGTCAGAGGCCTCGACAGTGCTCTCCGAATAAAAGGAAGGATACAACAGCGGCCCTCCCGACTGCTGTGGAGAGTGGAACTGACTTTGTCGCCTTTCGCTCAGGACGCGATGAAACACTTGAGCGTGGGTGGTGTACATGAGACGATCAAACTCTTCAATATTGACACCTCGCATTGCCTGGGGAATAGCATACTGAATTGCAGTCCGCACGGCAGCGGGCGCTCCATCCAGGAATGCCTCTCGCACGATGTTGACTTCCGCTGATTCAGTAGAATCGAGATATGGACTCTCCGGTAGTTTGTCCCCGGGGAACAAAATACCGTAGATCTCATTCCACTTGTCTATGTCTGTCCTACCCTTACTCCGCCTGCCTAACATTCGTAGTTTCTCTGCAGTCGCGCATATCCACTCAATCTGTGGTTTCACAGAACAGCTGTTGTCACGAACGTGGGAATCGCGCTCTCTCTCATACTTGAAGACTGCCGAGCACCGTGGGCAGTATATCGGGGGTTTGTGCTTCCTGTTTATATGAAACTTGACACGAGATGGTGTCTCGTGGTCCGACATTCCACAGAGCTTAAAGCTATTCGGGTGTCGTTTAAAGAATGGACAGGCGAAACGCCGTGGCGCAGGCTCCAAAGATCGCGGTTTCTTGACAGGCTGTGAAGGATCGAAACGATCATCATCATCATCATCATCATCATCATTTTTGTCTTCATTGCTACCCCTGTCCCCTGAAATCTGGTCGGCCTTGCGCTTTCCCTTTGAGGTAGAACGGCTCCTGGAGTCTCGACTTGAGCTAAACTGCGAGCGACACGGTGTGTTGTTCGCTGACCCTGTGCCATTCCTTGAGCGAGTATAGGTGACTTGCCGATATATTAACCAAAACAAGCAATTGGCATATAGCATCTTTAATTGGTGAGTCATTGACGGAGAAAGACTCTCCTCCAGGGGTACATGCTGTTCGTCCCCGCCAAAAATTGAGTCACTTTCTCCGTATATTGCGGAGTCTCCTGAGTCTGTGGTACCACTGTCAGATTTCGGGATATCATATTCAGAGCTGATTTCAGTAGGGGTCGGTAAGGATAAGGGGCTATCTCGCGGGCCCAGCCTAGTGCTATTGTGTAACACAGCCTTTGGCGACTCCTTGAAGGAATTCATGGCACGATGGCAGCTGCCCGGTTCTGTCCCGGTGCTGGCCTTTTCGTCTTCACTACAGCCCTCGGCTGCAGGTTCCAGACCATGGACTTCCGGATCGGGGGATGGCTCAGCTGAGCTGGGCTCGCCAGTCTCTTTATCCAACCTGTGCCAATTCATTTCTGGAGCTCCTGCGATGAGAAAGGGCGATTCCGTTATGGATATGGCTGAATCATGCGATGCCTCAAAGCGTCCATGGTTTGAGAAACTGTTTTTCGCTGGACTGGCTCCTAGCGGTTTGGAGTGTGTGGGCTTCGGTTGAAAATCAGTCAGTGGAAGAGGCTCATGCAATGCTGTAATCTCGCCGGATGAGTCCTGGCTGTCCTATATCAAATCAGTTAGATGTTATAGCCCTATATCCTGACCACCCCTTTGAAAATAACGTACCATGGTCTTGTTGGATGATGATGGCATCTGTAGGGTATTTATTAGGAGGATTGGACAAGAAAAAGCTTAAAGGAGGAATAACATACACTGCCGTACCCCTCATCCTCTAACTGTGTGTCTGGCTGCAGCCCAGATAATGGATCCATCTTGAGGAGTGGTCAAAGCCTTTTCTGGTTGCGCTTCGGAGATGGAAACTGCGATAGAGAAATGAAAGGAATTTCCATTTATTTAAACATCATCAGAACTGTTGAGCACAGCTGTGCCCAACTCAGGGACCACACAGCCTTGTTGACATAATCATGCAGATTGCGCTGATTCGCCTGGCGTTGAATCAGGCTGAGGCTATCGCCAAATCACAACACCTGTAGCTGTTTATGGGTGTCATTATCGCTGTTAAGCACAGCTGTGCTTATCATAATCTCTTCCATGGTCATTTAATAATCATTAAATATAAATTACATTCCTCTAGGAGCACCGCTGTGCTTGACCAGCATTTGTGATTAAACATTTGACAGTCAATGCCGATTCCCTACTATCGCAAAAAAAAAAAAAAAAAATGAACAATATATATAAGTTGATCAGATATGCTCAAGACAATCTTGGACAGTCCATTTATCTACTCAATTCCAGCATCCTCACATGGGCCAGGCTATAGAACAAGCCGCTTTAGTACTCCCAAAGCCCCCAGTCTCTACTCATGACGGTGGTTACAGGTCCTTGAGGCATGATTGCCCCCAATGGACCCCTCCGCAGCGACCGTTACTTCCTTCCGTTTCGGCTATCCGGATAGTGCTCCAGACTGCAGATAGGGGATATCTCATCAAGCCCATAGATGTATGTCTAGGTTCAAATGGAGAATTGTTTCTGCAACAGTTCTTGGCCTCTCATGGTCCGTATTTCATCAGAAGAGGAATACTACAGGCTATGGTGGATCTCCTTCTCATGAGAAGGAGGATCATCACTAGTGTGGCTATTTCTACGGTTGGCCCGAGCCATGTATACTATGATTATGTCTATAGTTCCAGAGGCTAATGGACTGTGCAGCTCCCAGGGCGATACAATTTTTCCCAGTCTTTGCCAGTCGTCTCGTTCGAAAGTCGCGCCGTTCACCAGCTACTCACATCCGCTATGTATAATCCCTCTCTACTTCGAAAATGGCCCGATCTCGCTTCAGCCCTTGCACCATATACCATACTCGATTTTCAAAGACCAGCGGACTACTCGATGCCTGTGACATACCGGGCTCTTATGATGGATACTGCATTGAGCATAAAACGGCTGACCATATGGTCATTCATAGCATTGAGTATTGCCGTTGTAGTCGGGCTTGGAGGGGGCGGATGCCTTGCAAGGCAGAAGTGTGATGTTGACTTTTCTTTGGATATTGGGAGTGCTCTGCTTTCTGTGTTTGTTATGATACAGATGATAATCTGTATGCTGTATCAGAGGGGACTATAGGTATGATCATGTAATCTGGATGTACTTTATAGTATGCATTATGCAGCTGCCAAGCAATCACTTGCATTTTGGACGAGATGTAGATAACCGACGACAGAACCAATCGGCAAATATCCCAGGCATACTTATTATCAATGTAATAATGTATCCAATAATGGATAGGAATGGACAGATTGACAGGGGAACTGCGTACCCCTCAGCGGGGTGATGGCGTGAGAGTATGCCCCGATAACACAATCACCTCCAATTCCCATAAAACAGCCACATTCCTACATTTTCTACATTGTCAATTTTCAACGATCCATTGTGTCTGAATAACAAACAAAATGACCAAATCATGGATCCTCAACGCTTTCGCCATGTTTTCTCCCGGCCATCTCTCACCAGGCCTATGGAAACACCCCTCAGATCGCTCCGGTGACTTTACCGATCTGTCCTACTGGATTGAACTGGCCAAAGTACTGGAAAAAGGAAAATTCCACGGTCTCTTCCTGGCCGATCATCTGGGTGTTTATGATGTGTATAAAGGGCCAGCAAATAGAGATCCTGCTTTGTTGTCCGGGGCACAGTTTCCAATTGGGGATCCTTTGTATGCACCTCTTTGTATTGATGGTCTTGGTGATACTGATGAGACAGTCTTTTGATTTCTGCAATGGCATCCGTGACAGAGTCGCTTTCCTTCGGAATTACCGCATCAACAACATACGAGACATCGCCATACGCATTGGCCAGAAAATTCTCCACCCTCGACCATCTCACCCGCGGCCGAGTTGGCTGGAACATCGTCACATCCTTCCTCGACAGCGCAGCCAAGGCATACGGATTCAACGAGCAAATCCCGCATGATGAGCGATATCTCCGCGCAGACGAGTACATGGAACTCACGTATAAACTGTGGGAGGGGACGTGGCAAGACGGAGCTGTGGTGAAAGATGCTGCGTCGGGGGTTTATAGTGATCCTGCGCGTGTGCGTGCGATTGAGCATGATGGGAGGTATTTTAAGAGTACGGCTGCGAGCCAGTTGCCTGCCTCGAGGCAGAGGACGCCGTTGTTGTTTCAGGCGGGTGCTTCTTCGTGAGTACCTTGAAATAATATGATGGATGGAGCTGATGAAGTAGAGCTGGAAAGCGGTTTGCTGCGAAACATTCCGAGGTCATGTTTCTTCCTGGCTTAGAGCCGGAAAAGACAAAAGCTGTTGTGGATGACATGCGGTATGTATACCACAGCTTTATCAAAACCTGTCTAATGAAGTAGAAAACAACTCATCGAAGTCGGCCGCGCACCCGACAGCATCAAGTTCATCGCCGGCATCCTCGTCATCGTCGACGAAACCGACGAAAAAGCACAAGCCAAATACGAAGAATACCTCGCCCAAGCTGACCTGGAGGGCATGGCGACTCTCTTCGGCGGGTGGACCAACAACGACCTCTCCAAGTTCGAAGACGACGAAGACTTTGCGTTCACCTCCATTGGAGGCATCCAGTCCATGGTGGCTAGCTGGTCCAAGACAGTCCCCAACTCGAACGGGCTGAAGTGGACGAAGAGGCGCGTGTTGCAGGAGTTGGCGCTGGGAGGAGCGCATCCCAGGGCGATTGGATCACCGAGTACGGTTGCTGATATTCTACAGCGATGGGTGGATGTGGCTGGGGTAGATGGGTTTAATTTCTCGTATGCTGTGTCGCCAGGCACCTTTGAGGATATGATTGAGTATTTGTGGCCCGAGCTGAGGAGGAGAGGCGTTATCTGGGATGATTATGAGGTTAAAGGGGGTGCTGCTAGGGAGAGTTACTTTCAGGATGGACAGGGAGCGAGACTGAGAGATGGCCACCCAGGAAGACAGTATACCTGGGCTTGATATTGCTTTAATTAGAGTACAAAAAGCCTGTTGCGACAGGGAATGATGGTCTCTGAAGGAAACAACCTCGGGCCAAAAGATGCGAATCGTTCAAGAGGATCCTCATCTACCTCCCAGATCCCTCGTGTTTCTTGATAGCCATCTGGTAGCATATTCCTCACCAATTTCACGATTCTCTCTGGCCCATTGTACTCGACCTCGAATACAGTCTCGCTGGATAGATATTGGCCAAGGCAGTCCAATAAGGGCCTCATCCAGAAGACGAACCAATTCTCATCTGGCGTAAACCAAGGATCACGCTCATGAGGATACACCGGAACCCTGCAGAGTTGTCGGTTCAAATTCTCATCTGGGGCATACCAACGATCGCGTTCACAAGGATAACCCAGGATCAAGCGGAGTTGCTTCAAATCCGCAAGGAGTGGCACCCACAGAGAAGGGTCGTGAGGCGATGGACGAGCACGAAGGTCGTGGCAGCAAGGCCACGCAGGCATGACAAGTAGATGGCGGATTCGGGCTCGATTGGCCTCCGTGATATATTCAATGTAGAGTTGTGGTTTTCCCCAAAACTGAAGCACGAAAATGTTCTCTCCGTAGAGAATGTCGAGGGTTTCCTTGCTGATCAGTTTGGACACGCGGAAAGGCTCATGCTGGTTCCTGGCAGGACTCGGACGACGTCGTAGGAGAAGTAGGCAAGCCATTGTGTGGGGATGTAGTAGAGGTAGATCTGGCGGCGAATCTCATATGAGAGATGGAGGAACCCCGTTTTGCAATACATGCTGTTGCTTGGCTGACAACGAAGTGAGAGAGGAGGAAAAAGAAAAGAGGGAGGGGGGTATTTATAGGGGGACAGCAGAAACCTGTTTACCTTCCACCTTGTATACGGATTAGGCAGAATCGGTTTGCTACTTGAAGACACCATTCATATAATTGATAGAAAAGAGATCCGGCCACAACATACATGATAGCGAATTTGATAATATCTTAATTAAATACAAAAAATACAAAAAGTCCCTTGCGGCAAACGATCGCTCCAGGCGAAGTGTAAAGTAGACTCTTGTGCAAAGGACATACGTGGCCGAAGAAACTCCAGTCATTGCCCAGATGTCCCCCCATATACCCTTGACATACTGCTTCGCGATACCCAACTGCTAGATACTTCCTGATCAATTCCCAACTCCCGTTATGCTCTACCTCCACGACAGTCTCATGAGACAGATGACGACCAACACATACCAAGAGGCTTCAATCGATATATCCCGCAATATTCATATTGCTCGTTCGTTTTCGACCTGCTCGAGTTCTGAAGGCATATAATCCTTGCCCAAGATGAGGTAAAGCTGTCTCAAATTTCAAGCATCGATGCCCACAAAGGATTATCTTGTGGTGGTTCCCAGAAGCAACGGAGACTTTGACGCCATGGTGTTGCTTGAGCATGGATATCAGAGTGAAGGCAAGGCACAATGAAAGGAAGAGGAATATGGAAAGAAGAGGAGGGGGGATATTTATCTGAGAGCATCACTGACTGACATCCATTCACTGTCTTTCATTTTTGATCCACCTTGTCTAGGATTCAGGCAGAACCTGAGTTCTACTTGAAGAAGGTACAATAATACAATTTATGAAGTATTGTGCCAAAAAAAAAAAAAAAAAAAAAAAACGCCCCGTTTGATAACCTTTAAAACTAGAATACAAAAAGTCCCTTGTGACGGGGAACGTTGCGGGAAAATGAGATAATACTCTCATGCCACGCCACTGACCTGTTTATAAAACCTGTCAGGCGAGTATCAACGATAGTATCGAGTTCCCTTTCCCCCAGATCAAAATCTATCTTCTCACAACTGTCCGGAAGATATGTTCTGATCATCGTCTGACTTGGCTCCCTTCTGTTATGTTCGACTTGTACGACAGCCTCACTGGGAAGGTATTGTGCAAAGCATTGTAATAGCGACTCAAAAGAGCCAGGCCAGCCAGTGAACTCTGCAGTGTGAAATTCATCGCGCTGCAGTGTCAGGAAGCAGAATTGCTTCGGGTTTGGAAGGACTGATGCTCACAGGGAGACATTGAGAGGGAGGGGGAGTAACGATATTTAAATAGGGCAGAAGCGAATAAAGCCATTCACCTGCCTTGGCTTCTGACATCCACATTTGGCTGGCGAAGAGACAGGATACAGATATTCCCTCGAAAAAGTTTGGTTGGTCCAGTTATTTTCCAAGATACGATGATAATCCAAGTTGGTATTTCATCTTCGATGATAGAATGCTGATGTACATACATCGCATTGGAAAAGAAACATCAGTTGACCAATACGCTAATTAGAATACAAAAAGCCCCTTATGATGGGGAATTCTTTGGCAATACCAATAGTGAAGCCGCAAGCTTCATGTCTGTCGACGAAATCGGGAAGAAAATCCTTCATCCGATCATACACGATTTCGTCGAAAGCTGGCAAATGCTTCTTGATCAGTGTCTGAGTCGGTTCTCCTGCATCATGCTCAACTTCAACAGTTTCACTGGATGTATCTAGTGCAACGCACTGTAAAAGCAGCGTCATCCATTCAATGAGCTCAGGCGACCTCCTGCTATTGTACACCTCCCGAGTTCTGTCAAAATCAATCGTGACGAGGCGTAGTTACTTCAGGTTTGGAAGGATTAATGCCCGTGCAGTGTGACTTTGTGGGAATCAAGTCGACGTATATTTTACGACGAATCTCGTGTGGCAGGTTGAGAAATGGGGGGTTCGATTCCATGGTTTCTTGTAGACGTAGAAATGGGAGTGAATCAAGTGAGAGGTTAAAGAGACATGAAGATAAAAAGGCGAGAAACAAAGAAAGAGAAGAGAAATGCTATTTGTCTTGTGCCATCAGATATCACGTGTTATAAATGAGACTCATTGCCTGATTTGGAACAGCACAATCTTTCCAGGTCATTTTCTGTTTCTTTTTTTATGTAACAACAGCCCCTATGAGAGATGAAAAATAACGGACACAATCTAAAAGACACCAGCAGCAATAAGAGTGCCCACAGAACCCCAGTATTTGTATTGTAGTCATCAAATGACCAGTCCGACCATCTTGCGGAAAGGATCCAACAAAGCCATCAAAATTCCATTAATGAAAAAGCATGCATCTCGAATAATTTCCCAGAGAGCTGTTTATTGTTTGGGCTATCCAGAATGTCAACATACAGCCCCAAAGCATCTTTACAATGTCATCAGAACAGAACTTTGCGAGAAGCATTGATGCCACTTAAATTCCATCTTTCTGGAGCAGTCCGCTCCATCCATATCGACCAATCTCCCCAGAACGCGGGTCTCATGATCTGCGCATACTCCCAATAATCCGGATACCAGCCTGCATACTCCCAGTCGATAATTCCTATGATGTTACCGTTCTCATCAACCATGATGTTTCGAGGTGCGATATCCCCATGCGCGAACACAGCATGGTCAGATTTCGGCAGCATGTTGGGTAATTCGTGCTCGTACCGACTACCCCCGCAATGGAGATAGCGCTCGTAGATGCGAGCCCGTAGGTCTGAATCGCTGGTTAGGGGTCGGGGTGGTGATTGGAGATTTTCTAGTAAGGGGTCTTTTGAGGGGGAGCCATCTGCAGCGCATTGCAGGCACGGTGGTATATCTAGAGATAAGTCTCATGGCCTCAGCCTCAGCGGGACGCACCCCATGCCCGGATTTAGTCACAATCGAGAAATCATATTCAAGGATAATCCTGGCCATTGGTTTGGCAAGCACAGAAACGACCTCTTCGTCAGGGGCCAGGTCGAAGAAAGTGGAGGCGTTCACGGAGGATGGACATGGGAATAATGTTTGGCCTCTTTTGATATATCGGTTTCCTTCGTGAAGATTTTGTTTCGAAAAAGGGACGCCTTCGGAGAGATCGACCATCTTGGCGGCAGATGCGTAGTTCTCGTGGTGCTACAGATGTCGGTGATGCTCACATTGGTGACGCAAAGACGCTGGGAGTTGTGGTGCTTAAGACTTGCAAGAACACCTTGCTTATGTGGTGCGTTTTGATTGGCTACAAATGCCAACAGCCCTTTATGCTTACGGTACAACAGTTGCTGCTAAACTATGAATTAATTCGGTTTTATCTTTCTCCGTAAACGGTCAACATATCAGATGGAAAATAAAACACGAAATCTAAATAACACCAGCAGCAACAAGAGAACCCGCAGAATCTCCAGTATGTGTATTCACCGTCGTCAAACGCCCAGTCCGACCATAAACCAGGGCCAGCCCGGTCACCACAATCTCCCGAATAACAGCCTCATTCAAGTTGAAAAAGATGTCCACCTTTGCAGTGTTATGACACCAATCATTGATATACTGCGCAAGAGGGGTGCCATTCTGGTCGACCAATTCGAAATCGTAACCTTTCATGAGGCTCTTGGTATTCCATTCAAGGGTTGTCTGGAGGGTACGGGAGGTGAAGTTGGCCTGGTGTCTGAAGCCACTCTTCAGGTTGAGGACGGTATCTTGGTTGTCTAGGATGATGTCGGTGTGTGACGAGAGGGCGTGCAGGGTGACTGTTGCGAATTGTGTTTCCGAGGGGTGGGTTTTGAAGATCATGTTTGGTTTTCGTGTGTGTACATCGGCAATGTAGAGGGGGGTGTCATGTTCGGTGACTTGGATGTGTCGGCATGACCAGCTGGTGAAGCTGATCTTGAAGGTTCGGGTTGGCTGGTCTGTTAGTACATTCCGTCTGACAGGAGACGTAACGTACCTGATGCATTTTGTATTAAGCTGGATATAATATGATAATGAATATCTGAATGACCTCGTATAGGAACTGCCGACTTTAAATACTATGCCCCATCAAAACACCCTTAACCCCTTTTGGTCATACCCTGCGCCTGCACGCTGATTGGCCGACACAGCCACGCTGCTTAAATTAGGTGAGAAATAAGGTTTGACACGTGGGGCGGTGCCACGCTAACCCGTTTTGGTCTTATCTGCCGCTGTCTGTATAGCCTCATTTTTGGCATATAAGGAAGTCGATTCTCGAAGTGATTCTTGTTCATCATCATCAAAATGTCTTCTCTCTACCCCTACACACCCAGTCATGTGCTACCAGTGGTCTTTGCCATTTTGGTTGGCATATCACTACTACTTCATGTCTACCAAAATAAGCGCTACTCCTTCTGGAGAGTCACCTTCTTCATGGTCTGGGGTAGCATCGTCTACCTAACTGGCTGGATACTTCGAGCTATCGCCAGTTACCACCCATCCAACCTCAACCTCTACATTGCGCAGACCATCTTCATCTACGCCGGGCCTCCCATCTACTCTGCTGCTGCGTATAACCTCGTGGGACGACTGATGCACTACCTTCCCATGTTCGCTCCACTGAATCCCAACCGTGTCGTTTACTTCTTCATCTATCTCGGCATTCTCGCGGAATCACTCACCGCAGCTGGTGCAGCGCGCATGGCTGCCTCTGACAGCGACATGTCCAAATTGAAATCCGGCGGAACACTCCTTTCTGTCGCCATCGTCCTCCAAGCCGTCGTCGAATCACTCCTAGTAGCAATGGTCTTCAGTCTGCACCGTCGCTGCATTAAAATGGGAATGATACCGCCCAACGTCCGTACCGTTATCTACACGCTCTACGGAACGTCGACTTTCGTCCTGCTACGATGCATTTTTCGCGCTATCGAATCCTTCACTACATACACCACCACAACCTGCACTTCAACCTGTGCCTCAATTCTCCATCATGAATGGTACATCTATGCCCTCGAAGCCGCACCAATGGTCATTTTCACATACTGGCTCAATCTCCTCCATCCGGGCCGCTACCTCCCTTCTACCCGTGAAAGATACCTCGATGTAGACGGTGAGACTGAGCGCCTCGGGCCAGGGTGGATGGATAGGAGATCTGTTTGGGAGACATTTGTCGATCCATTCGATCTGATGGGCTTGATGAAGGGAAAGTCGAATAAAGATGAGTTTTGGTTGAGGGTTGATGAGTGGAGGATTTGCGATGATGGTTTTGCGAGGGGAACGGGGTCGAATGTGAAGAGGGGTGGGTATCAGAAGGAGGTGGTTTGATTTATAGATCTTTTATTTTTATTTTTTTTTATTTTTTACGATCATTTAGATTACTATAGATTTAAGCAGCATGGATAGAGTGAATAACTGATTATCTTAGGGCTCAGCATGGCCAAGGAAAGTTCCGCCCCCACAGCTGGCAGCCAAGTATAAATATCTCATGACTTCATCAACCGCTTCATCCATCACCATGAACTTATCCTTGAATTCTCCATTATAGTAAGTAGTCTAAACACATTGAAGCAGAACATACTCACTCCCCAGAAATGTCAATAACCCGCTACACCGTCCCCATCCCAGCCGACACCATAATCCTCGAAACCCTCGATGACGTGGACATCTTTGTCGCAGCCCACCCGGACACCTGCGCGTATGAAGAACACGGGGGCTACTACATGAAAAATGACACGGGGGTGATATTTGCCATCACCTCGGATGAGCTGAGCGAGGAGTTTGATAGGAGAATGGCGGACTTGAGGGCGAAGATTGAGTCGGGGGAGCTGTCAGAGTGACCGATATCGCCACTTTGCCAGTGTGGAGACTTCATCGACTAACAGATGCCGAATGGCCCAGACCGAGAGCCGATGAGATCCACTGTGGGGATATGCGTTTGTGAGGCCATTTATGTTATTTGGACATCTCTTTATTATCAGTACAAAGTATTAGGAGAGTTGATTAATATAACTCCAAAATGCCATCCACTGACTGGTACAGAATGCCAGTTAGAAACATGCGAGTTTCCGTTTATCTTTCCGGCTTAAGAACCATGACATCAAAAAATATCCAGAGCATCTCATTTCCATGGATCCAAGCTATGTAAAATGAAATGACGCTTCAGCTCAACTGCGGTACATCAGTTGTCTACTATTCTACCCAGAAAGATAATCTTCGATGACACCAATGCACCGCACAACATCCACGAACGGATCAAAATACCCTCTCAAGACAACGCAGTCGATGGATCTGTCCTTGTCGCTGAATACAAAAACTCTACATCACCAACCAACCATTTCCCGATGCATCCTATGCTCCCAGAATTCTACTCGCCGCTGCTGCGCCCTCCCAAGACGAAGCTATCGTCTCTCGACTCTGCGACCTCATGAATGATCTCTCCACGCCACCACCCGAGATAAAAGAAGAGCGGAAGGAGAACAAAGTCATCCCTGCTGCCACGGGCATATCATAAAACCAAAAGAGTCCTCCGACCCGGACCTGAGGAGAGAAGTGAAACCGAACTATCAATATCTGGAAGAATCAATGTCGTTCTTCACGCTATTAGCCTCGGGCGCGATAGAAGCGAAAGAGAGGGAACTGGGACATGAGATTGACGTCGTTCGCGAACCGGTGCTCTGCATGGAGATCCTCGCGAACAGCTACCTCAAATCTCCCTTGTCCAAGGCGTTAGCTGATATCTTGAAGGTCACACGCGGCGCTACGAGTACATTCACAAACACCTGTCCCAGAGGCGAGGTGCACACCCGGTTCCTGACAGAATTGTCCCAGGACTTCTCCTTCGAAAAGGATGCGATGAAGTATCTGGATAGAATGCTCACTCAATTCGTGGACTTCCCTCAAAGACGTCAAGGTCGATACTGATCAGAAAATAGACTTCATTGTGGCAGCAAGCTGGGTTCCCTGTGAAAAGAACAGGATCGCTGTATGAAACAGTCATGCTTCAGATTAGATTGTACCTTATCGAGATCGGACCCAGTCCTTCAAGCAGGCTGCCGGCCAGAGTGACGCTGAGAAGAAGACCACGCTGGAACTTCAGTATACCATCGAAATCTGCAAGTTGGTAGAGCGAAGGTATCTTCAGTGCAGGGAAAATTTGGATGAGGCGTTCCGATGCATCGATCGGTCTGGGGTTGACGAGTTTCGGAGGAAGGCGATAAAGTCGATGTATGCGGATGCGCGTTAGGCATCGGTTGGGATAGTCTTAGATTAGTACTGTGCTCAATCTATTCAAGGAATCCATCATTCCGTTCTGAGGCAGAAATTTACCATGTACGACACGCAAAGCATAGACAGTGCTACACCAGTCATGTTGTTTGCCTCAGGCACAAAGGCTTCCAACGTGGTTGATAAACTAACCCAATTGGGATATCGCCGAGTTACCGGTTTAGGATAGGCGCTATCATTGCCTATGCTAGCTCAAATCGGCTCTCATCGGTCAGCTCCCATCAGCCGAAGACTAGCCTATATGGGTTAGCGCCATACCCTTAATCATAGTTCTCATCACATGATCTCTATTAGTATCTTTATCATTAAATCAATCCAAAATTTCTAAATCAAATCATAGAATCAAGCATTCAATCAAGCATTCGCTCAAGCAGTTAATCTAGACTTACGCTTATTTAAGGTGGCGAAGGCGTCAGTCCGAGCCCGCTAAAGGAATAAGCTATATAGATAAATATATAAGACAGAGCAAAGCTCTGCTAATGGAAGGATAGTATACCATACAGCTACGAATACCTATACTATCTACGGTCTGCAGGCCTTCCGCGGCCACCAACGAGCTTGCTTACTAGCAGGCTGGGGACCTGGGGGTGCCGTGCCCCCTAGTATGGCCTTACATGACTTGACCATAGTCCAGGGACAAGAATATGAGCTGTTACTGCTACCTCTACATAAAAGGTTTTTTTTATTAATATTAACATTATCCTATCCCTCATGTGTAAAATACAAGACCATCGCGAATGTCATCCGAGAGACTCCGCATGTCCAAAACGCTTCCATAACATAAAAACCATTATACCCATACCTGCATCCATACAGTTTTCGTGTCGAGATGTGGATTAACTAACGCTTGAACCAGGTCGATTCAGCACCAAAGCCAATCCCAGCAAAGTCCTGCTGCTTCTCTGCGGAGGTCTGTGGGAGGGATGTTCTGATATGGTCGTTAGCTTGTGAGGTGGCTTCCGCGCTGGAGTGCTTACTGAGGTTTGGGTTGGTCTTTTTCTCGCTTCAGCATAGCATCAGTATGGTCAGATGTTTGGCTTCCATTATAGGCCCTGACGCTGGTATTGTCAAATTTCGTCTCTGGCTGGGAACAGGAAGGCATGTTGGTTGATGTAATGGCAAGAATGAATGTAGCAAGTAGAGTTACTGGGGTGCCAAAAGGGGGTAATGAGTAGTATGGAATTCTTGGTTCTTGAATGATATAATAGTAAAGAGTGACGAACTGCCAGTCGCAGTGAGAAGGACTGAGGTGCAATAGGATGCGTAGAAAGAGTGACAGGGACTTCTTGGAGATGGCAGAAAGTGCCAGTATAGACAAAGTAGTCAAGAGAGTGAGTGTATGGGAAAGGCTATCAATTAAACCAAGGAGGATGGCCGTAATTTATACACTGAAGGCACATCAGAAGTGCTCATTTTCCAGCACAAGTGTGCGGCTTTCTGGGAGCCAATATTACATTGTAGTAAAGTGGTTTGAAATACTCGTCTGATGGTCTATTTACTGTTTGAGCGTCCCTTTGACAAAATGTCTGACACCAACACGACGTAATTTAGTTGTGTTGATAGGAATTAGGTGCGATCACCTGGATCCAGCAATCCCTGCTGCAGTAGTGGCTTTAAGCAGATGGGACGGACGTTCCGCTTGATGATGAAAGGTCAGTGAGGCTCTTCGGTCTGGAGATACAAGGCAATCAGGTCCGGCTAGTGAATCTGATGTGGGGTCAGCGCCTGTTCCGAGCAAGGGAAGGGACTGCATCGCCTTGCCTTTGGAACTATCTGCGAGAGATTGGAATATTGAGCCATTAAGAAGAGGGAAAATGATCCAATTCAGTCGGTGACGCATGCAAGAATGAATAGCGTGAACGGGAATGAAATCCTTCAACACCGTCCAGTATGGGATTGGCTTTTGCCTATAAATATTCTATTGCCCTATCGGGCGGTTCCATTCCCATCACAACATGTCGCATAGCCGATCGAGGCCCATCATGCAAAGACGAGGTCGCTATGAACGTCAGTGAAAGAATCTATATTATGTGGTACTTTGCAGAAGGTCAATTGACCATTCCTAGTAGTTAGCAGCTAGAAGAGAATAGTTTGCTGCAGGATAGCGAGAAAAAGATGAAAGCAGACGCTACGCATACTGCAAAATATGAAACAAGAGGTATCGAGACACCATGGTAATAAAACATGTTCCACAGACGATGATCAGAAAAGAGGGGAAAAGAAATTGGAGAACAGTTTGTCGGTGGGGCCCTTTCAGGAATACCCTGTTCTAACTCGCAGACGCTAGGCTCTATTCTTGTGCGTGGGTTTTGCTTTTTTATTGTTCTTTTCTTTTCTTTTCTTTTCTTTTCTTTTCTTTTTCTACATATCTCTTCAAGTATCTAGTTCATACCCAAAAACCTTCGGTGCATGGACAATACTCCGTAATTAGTTAAAAATACATCCTGGATGCACGAGTATGGGAGGGGATACACCAGCGATCTCATGCCTTGTTCGTCATGTAACACAGTGTGCATACATGAGACGGAGATACAGGATAACCAACGGTTGACTGGGTGGATGCCCGATGGACGAACGATTCACTACATCGATTCTTGAAGAACGGCATTGCAGGAGGAGAATATGCCTCGTATAACCGGGCGATCCCTGAGGACCTAGAATGGTCTGCGATGATCAACTCGATGCGACTACAGTAACACTACTCTATCTCAGCTGTCCGTCTTTCAGCTCAGCTGGCACTGGCCAAAACTTTAAACCGGACCCTTTCTGACTCGAGCGGAGAGAGAACCTGGAAGGCATCCCAGCAGAAAGAGTCTTGGTTGCCTGACCATTTGTGCTAACGCATTCTGGCTAGGCCCCAGCGTTTTCGGCCCAATGCGACAGAAGCAAACTGCATGAATTTTTCGGCCGACGGCGGTACTTTTATAGAAAACAGCCAGTGGTGCACGATTAACTAGCGGAGAGTTCCGCGGGGATGGGGGCGACGGATCTTCAATGTGACTCCTAAACGGATCCGCCGAGATCCAACGTGTGTCACTACAGAGTAATACCGATACCTTACCTTGCCACCTCAGATACTATTTAATTTCATATCAATATCCCAGACTGCTATTGGCTAGGTACCTGGATAGAATGTAATTTACCAAATAACCGGGAATATCACCGTACTTCAAGTCTACCTAGGTGGGTCCATAAGTACGCCTCACGGGGCTTTTTTCTTTTCTTTTCTTTTTTTTTCCCCTCTGGGAACAACTGGCAGTCATCCAAATCCCAATTGCCATCTCAGTGCTCACTCCTCAGCAAGTCATTAGGACGGAGAATTTGCACCTTTCCGCCATTCCCCGCGGCCCAGGGCGGTTGCTGGGGCCGGATTGCTTTTTCCTAGGATGTTCAACGGGCGGTGTTACGGGGGAGGGTGGCGGTACTATGCGGCTGGAATATAGGCATTATTACAATTAAAAAATGGTCAGACTCAACACTCTCTATCCAGTTTGATCAGTTTGTCTGGGAGGGCATATATACACTATGCCAGGTATGTTGCTGAAACTCAGCATCGGGAACCATGTAGACGTCTATGTATCCGGCACACGTTTTGAATGACTTCATGTGTGGTCAACTCCATTGGTTGGATGCCCGGTTCAGTTAGAAGAAAATTAAGAAAATATACTCCGTATTTCACACGATAATGCGCGCGGTCGGTTACGTGGCAGCCATCAACCTAAGTTATGTGCTAATGCAAAGTACACCACTAGACCATTGTCTATCCCTGATGGTGGAATAATATTGTTATTCAACACAACGGTGTTAAGGGTGTCAATGCATGGGATTGTACATGGCACACAGACCTTAACACGGTTGTGTTGGTCACTCGCAGGCGGCAATCTTACTGACCGCCAGTCGAGACGGGAATCTGTAGGATGTGATTCGAGGATGGCATGTCGATCGGCAAGTGATCACACAGATCGTGCGGCTCTCGAGTTGACTGACTATACTCGGGAGTGTTTAGCTCCCATAAATGGCGTGGAACCAGCTACATCTTTCGAACATTCGAATTAAATCAAAGAAGAAGAAACAAAAGTCTCTTTGGTCTATTACAATGGACAAAGTGGGCTGGAATATCGACTTCAATTCTTCCGATATGAACATTAATCCATCCATCTTGCCGTTCTGTGACGTAAGACCATTTCAACAGGGTCCATCGAGGGACAGCAGCATCGTAAGTCTCTTGACACGGAAAGAGGTCGGGGTCCATGAAACTGATACATCTTATAGCCGCGTTTTCCAGGCATATCACCCGATCCAGGCGCATTGGATAGCAATCATCTCAGGGCCCCAAAACCATCCCATCTACCGCCGGTTTGGGGGGTCAACCTGGTCCTGGAACGGCCCGACCCGAACCCACCGCTACCACCAATACCAAACCCACCACAAGAGAACGGTCCCACGTATAAATGCGACTCCTGCAGAGGGAAGACAGGGAAAGTCGGGGGATTTCCGACAAAGCAGGACTTCCTGCGCCACAGGCTCGTATGCCGAAAACGCGCTCCGGCATCGACAGATCAGAAGACTCGGGAAGAGCCTCGCGCCCGAGGCGAGTCCTCTACGGAGCGGGGAGATGTAAGGAAACGACAGGCCCTGCCTGTAGACCACGAAGTACCTTCAAATGCATGCTTGGGTACGGGGCAAGAGGCTGTCCGATCATGCGACGAGAGCGACACTGTCCCCCGTCTGCAGAGTCATCCGGTGTTCTCTGCAACAGATCCACTTCCCGAACAAGACCTTCCCAAGCCGTTTATCGAGGCCTTTTCTGCTGAAAGATCTACGAAGTCCGAGTCTGATGGCCCGGCTAGCAGGACTCGAAGTCGCGTTGAGGCTGCGGAGGTGAGCGACGTTAACTGCGCCATTGGGCTCAACGATCGGATCGAAGTCGATGTGAAACATGATATCGTACAGGACTTTATCGAGTCGCCAAAGCTGGTATCTCAAATTAATGCCGAGGCCACCGCTCAAAACGACCGATTCCCAGAAGGAAGTGCTGCTCCAACTAGGAAATCGCGATCGGACAGTACGGCCACCGACTCGAGCGACTCCGAGATGTCCGATGATTCTAATTCGGTATTTGGCGATGACGAGGGCACTCTGTCTGTGGACCAGGATTTTTGTGGCGTGAGCATATATCGGATAAAGACATTGTATGCCAACTGTCTCTATCGGTTGATCTGTCGCCAAGTCTTCAATGACGGTCAGACCAACTGTACAGACTCAAAAAACGTCACACCCGGCACCTCGAAGTCCAGCTCCAGCTCGAACCCACAGTCGCGCCCAGCCCCAAAGGGCAAGCGTAGAGCTGACCAGATATCCACAAACGTGAACATTGGGAGTGAGGATGGGGATGGACAAGACGATGACGACGATGACGATGATGGAATCGACCCCAGACCAACCAAGAACGCGCGAAAGGATGAGCCCAAACCACCGCGTCTGGCATGTCCATTCTACAAACGACACCCCGATATATTCAGCAATATATCCAGTGGCTGTGGACCGCGTGTCTATGAGAATTCATCTCGGGTCAAACAACATATCGAACGGAAGCACAAGCCCCCTATATACTGCCCGCTATGTTCAGCAGTCTTTGAATCCGAGTGTGTGCGTGATTCTCATACCCGAGAGAACATCTGCGCGATACAGCCGCAGAAGGAACGGACTTGGGCGACTTCAGAACAGCTACAACAGCTGAAAAGTCGCAAGAGGGGCGGATCCGGGACAGAAATAGAGAAGTGGAATAGAATCTATGGCATTCTGTTCCCCGGTGATAGACTACCGGACAGTCCATATCTCGATTCTACTCTGTCAGCGCAGATAAACGTCTTGCGACAAGAATTCCAGAACGAAGCACCAGCTGCTGTGTTAGCAGCAATTCGATATGTTATTCCTGGGCGGCTGCGAGACATCGATGCTGAAGAACTTCTAGGCATCATGCGCTCGACACACGACCAGGTATTTGATCACATCCTGAGCAGGATGCGATCCGGCCAATCACGAGATGCTACCGGGGTCTCTGATTCGGGGATGGGAGCAAGTCTTGACAAGTCAAAGGAAGGTTCACCCCCCCGTTCTCAGGAGGTTGAACAGGAACAACCAACGGCTGTTGATTTCAATAATGAAGGCCTTTTGAGCGCGGTGAGCGGACCTGAACCACCTCCAGTTGATGAATTGGAACAGCTGGACATATTTCCGTTTGGGTTTTTCGACTTCAATCATTCTAATGGTGATTTTGATGACTGATTTTTGAGATTGGAGGTATTCGCAGCGCAGGGAAAGATTGGCTTGATTTAATGTATCGTACCATGATTTAAATGCTATTTCACGTTTGTTCTGTTCATTTTTATCTTATTTTTTGGGCAACTGTATGGACCAGGGATCATGTGAGATCACGTGACAGTAACAGTAGCCATGACTCAGCATCTACATTGGGTTAGGGCTGGGTCAGGTGAACCAGCGACATGTGAATTCAGTGCCTCATTCTCTTGTTATCTCGAAGTCCCCTGGAAGATGTCCAGGGGTCGCTCATCATACTTCGTAATTTCTTTTTCCAGTTGAAGACAATGTCGCTGCCGCATGTTACTAGTCAATCTAGAACCAACCTCGGTCAGTCAATCCATACGGGTTCGAATGCAAATGATGACTTTTTGCGCGGCACAAAAGGGCGTTTGGCCGCGAATGATAGTCATCAAATGACATAATGTGACGTTGAGCTCAGTATGAATCAACTCGCGAGGTATGCTACTTAATTATCGGCTTCGAATTGTAGAATCTGCCCGATATATTTATTATTTTTCGAACTCCACCCAGGCCTCATCTTCATCTATGCACAGCATGTAAAATTCTCTGATCAAGACTTTTCAGGCAGAGTCTCCGAATGCCTTTCCTCCTCTACCTCTTCACTCTTACTAGTCAGCCTCTTCCACGCCACCCTCCCAGCCTTAGCCAGAACATGCCTCCCGTCATAGACAGGATAGACACACGCAACAAGAAGACAGATAAATAACCAGATCTCCGCAACAGTTGTCCATCCCTTGAAAAACTAAAAAATCAGCACCATACACTACAAGGCTAAAAGAAAACCCACCTCAGCAGTAAATATATAATCCCTATACAGCGGCAACGGCCACACAACCCATGTAACCGCCCCGACAACTACACTGAACACACTGGCGATAATAGCTGCACGATTCATCCTTTTCAGCTCGGATGCTGGATAAGGATGCTGCACGTTATCGAGATCGGTGGTATCTTGCATAAAGGTTGTGCTGGAGTCGTCTTTGACTTGGTTTAGGAGGAGAAATACACGCCAGTCGAAGTTTTCGGGCTTCACCCGTATTAGCTGAGGCCAGCGTATAGTGTTTTGGATAGGTGATACCTTGATGAATGTGATGATGATGGAGTATATAGCCGACGAAAACGTGGATGAAAGCGCACCCCATAGACACGGCAACTGCGCTTCCGTTGAAAGAACCGTCAACTCGCCACTATACGCATATGCACTTCCCAACCATATCGCAATTCCAGTGATCTATTCTTGTTAGAACGCTCTAACAATAACAGGTGTACTCACCAAACCAAGAATCGGCGCAATCGTAGCCGCAGCCGCAGACTGCCTCCTCCACAATATCGTAAACGCCAACGGAAACATCCCCGGACAGATGATTGTAGCGAGGAAATATCCAATCCAGTTCAGATCAATACCACCATAATGCAGGGCCGTCGCAAACGCAGACGCGAATATCCCGAACAGAACGACCGTCCAGTGCGAGACGCGGATGACCTGTTTATCGCTCGCGTGTGGGTTGATGTATGTTCGGTACACGTCAAAGGAGAAGATACTCGAGACAGCGATGAATTCGGCAGACGTCGTGCTGGTGACGCACATGAAGACGACGAGGAGGAGAGCCCAGGCGCCTCCTTTTCCGGCGATGGCCATGACGGTGTATGGCAGGACGTAGCCGGCGTTGATTTCGGCGGTTGTCATTTTCTATCTTGTTAGTATTTATTGTACATGGCTGATGGGGACATACTCGTGGATATGTTGGGAAGATGGATGTATTTTCGAGTCCGATTGCCGCGAGGCCAGCCGTTGTTCCGACCTGTTTATGTTAGATGGTGATGTAGATAAAGTTGAAAGACTTACAGCCCATGGAACAGCAAAATAGGCAATTCCTCCTAGCATATATCCAGGCTAGAGAGTCAGCTTCCCCCTAACTATCAGATAGACAACATACCATCGTTGCAGCCGTATCAGCGGCAAAACCTATCCTGTCAGTATCATCATACACCCGTGACCAGGATCTATGGGGCATACCCTTCTGCCAGAAACTTGTATCCATAATCACCAAGGCAAAATCACCAAACGAATGAACCAGACCAAATATAATTGAGCTTTTCGACTTAAACGACAACACTGATCCTTGGTAGTTCCCTTCGATATATCGACTTTTGGACGCCTCGACAAGGATATTGTAGAATGAGTCGAGGTCTTTGATAGCTGGGTTGGTAAATGCTTTGATTGTGAGGAAGCATAGGATCACCATGACAATGAACGTGTGTCTATCTCGTCAGTATATGATGTCTAATGAAAATGGATACTCACACATAGTCAGTGAGAAACGTCGCCTTCAGACCACCAGCGACTGTATAAACGACGACACCCAAAGGTAGTAAGAAGGTAGATGCGATGATATGCATGCCTGTCAATGCTGTAATAACACCGGCCGCACCGAGAATCATCGAAGTCACAGACAGTAGGTTCGTCACGAAACATAAGAAGATATAGACCAGATGAGCTGATGTTCCATATCGCAGACGGACAATTTCAAGGACTGTATGTCCATTCCTACTCATATTAGACAGATTCAAAGTAGCAACTGGCAACATACGGAACTTTGACCTTGGCATGAATAGCCAAAACGGTCATCAAGGCAATCTGGATCGAACAGCCAGCAGCATACCAGAAAGGCGCTGCAATTCCGTATAGATATCCTTGAGCGACAGTCCAAATGATAGCAGTTCTACTTTGTCATTATAATTCAACGTATCATAAGGTGTAGACATACGCCCACATCCACGAGGAAATCACCGCCGAAGCTGTCAACCCCGTCCCAACACTGCGATTGGCAACCATAAACCTACAATAGTTTAGCATCTGTTATATTCAAGAGAATATAAATAAACATACATCTCGGTATGATCCGACCGCTCACTCATAAACCTCTCCAAAAACCTATTCACCAAGACCATACCGACCCCAAAGGCCAGGCCTATCCCTACCACTACACCATATCCAGCGCCTTGGGAGAGGGGGACAAGGTTTTCTGCCATGTTTACTTTTTATATATTTAAATTTACTTTTTCAAAAAAAGGTACAGAAAGTGGTTTTATAAGAGTGTGAATAGCACATCATCATGCTCCACTGTTGGCTCATGAAGCATTTATCACTGGTGAGCTATATTGCGCCATACGCATACTCATTGACCAAGATTGCTACAATGCCATTATTGGTCAATTGTAACTGATAATGAATGGATAATGCATACTTACTAATTATCCACTGCTTAGCAGCCTGATCCTTGTTGATGACTTCATCCATTGCACAGCCTCACTGGACTATTAAGCAACACAATAAGGGGGCAGATACAGCCAGTCAGGATACAATCACAACGCAATATTCTGAAACCTAGTGCTTATAGTCTTGTATACAGTTACACAAAGTGTGGCTGACCTGTAGGCGTTTTTCAGCTCAACACCTCTCTGATGATCATTCCCCTCATTGTTACCCGATAAGATAAGATACCACAGGACAAAGCGAGAAAAAGGAAATTCACCAGGGTAAAAAAAGGCAAAAACGCCCAAACTGTGGCTGATGTGTCGTCGCCGGGGCTATCAGGGCTACATCACCTGCTCTAATATGCCCTGAAGTCTAATAAACGCGTCTTTTGCCCAATTCCACCAACAATTTCTCTCTATGACTCGATAAATCTTCATCTGCCTGATTGTTGCCTTTGCCTCTGGCTGTGCAGGACACCGCGGGAGTCGGACTGAACAAAAGTACCCCTCATCACCGTCATAGTAAACTGTTTCAGAGGATTTGGGCAAAGGCAAGTGCGACGGACACAGGATGATGGAAATACGCCTTGAATGGATTTCGTCTTGGCATTTGATCATTTCGATTCTCGAATTTGCCCGGTTACGTAGATGTTTGGTGGATACAATTACTATCCAACATATAAAAAGTGATGATTCCTCTATTTTTTGGACTCATCATCATTCAGACAATTTCCTCTCAAGTGAATATCAAAGTTCAAGTCGAACAGTCAGGCTATAAGCTCTTAAACTCCACCAATATATCTTCATCTCCATCGCAATGGCCAACGGCAACGACAGCAAACCCCCAAAGATCGCCACTGTGGCGCAATCTGGCTCCAAGGGGCCGTCCAACGGGTATGTCTTCACTCTCAAGATAAAGCAAATCTTTCTAACATTGATAGGGTATACACCGGCAGCGACAAGAAATCAAAATCCAACGATCGCTCGTACCAGATGGAGCGATTTCTGTCTCAGGGCCGTACAGACGAACCGTGGAACGCGTATACGCGGTTGAGTCGACCGTAACCGACAGTCACTGGCTGTACCTTGGTCGATTTGTACAGTATTTATGGGTTATGTTTGACGCTTTGATGCTTTGATGGATTATTGATATTTTACGGTTATTGATTGACTATGTTGGATTATGGGATTATGGATTATGGAGTGTTGGGATAGGGACGGTGTTGGATAGAGGATTTGCGATTCCGCCTTGGGAGTTTTCATTTTCAATTTGTATGAGTCATCAAGGCAGATTGTGATTAGTTAGGAATAGTGCATTCATTACATGGCGCAGTTGAGGGATTAAGTAAATGGGCCTTGTGCCTTGTAGTGACAGCCTTGCGGTGTTTATGCTGATGGACCCTTTTTCTGATTGTGTCCCTAGGTTATACCATATCGGGAATTGTGGAGCTGGGCTATACCCAGATAGGATGTAATAGGGGACAGGGACATAAGCTTAATTGCATAGTCAGAATAAATACCCCCACTATCGTTTATAACGTCAAGAACAATCAAAAGAGCCTTTGAATCGCAGACCAAAATGCTGATCTCAACGAGTCCCTCTTCACTGCCCTCTGGCTGAGCTAGAGACATCGACTCAATTGTCTAGAGGTGAGAATGATGTGTTTAGAAGAAACTCTTGTCCTGAATTGAGGCGTATCTTTGACGGCTGGCGGACTCTGTCTTCAGGTGGTCTTTCTTGGGCGGTTCGCCCGGCGGGAAGACAGGACCAGAATGACATCGCGATTAGGTCTAGTTTATGAAATTGTGGCGCCGTAGGAACCATTGATATTTCCAAAGTGTGGGATGGTGTGCATGGGTGTTGCGGGAGACGCGAGGCTTTGAAGATTTTCAACTAATTTGACATATTGAGTTTGGTGACTTGCATTGGATGTGATGCATCACCTGTCGTTGCTATCTTCTAGGTTAGGGTTAGGGAACCCAAGCTATGTAGACAAAAAATAAATAAAGTACACAAAAAGAAAAGAACCCCATCGGAACATCCAAATCACGTCAGATAATCATCCAAGTCTAGTCCCTGCAGTGTATCGTAGATCTTGCCTGCTTCAATCCGCATATCGTTAAACCAACGAATATTCCTGCATGCCTTGCCACTATAGCTCTGACAGTTTGTGTAGTGGAATTGACGAATGCAGTCATACATCTTCGATGGGCTGAGGGTTTCTGGATCATTGTTATGGATACCCTGTGTGGTACGATGCTTGACCAGAAGCCCAAGGCACATGGCATCACAGGAAAAGCAGCACTGGATGTTTGTATCGCATAGACAGTTGAGGCCGAGTTCGAGGAGGGAAAATAGCTCATTGCGTGCGTTTTCCTGTGTGTTTTCAAGATCGTCTATAGTTGTCAGAATAAAGTGAACAGTAGAGGCACACGACGAGAAAAACTAACCTCTGATGCGAGCTGGTATAGGCAAGCAACTATCGGGTAGGCTCAGCCCGTATTGCTGACAGTGCATTGTCGCTTTCTTGAACGTACCATTATCCCTAAAGGCCCAGCCAATCGAGACCAATGAGGCTTCGTCTGATAATGGTCCTTGTTCATCTTTCGCGCGCTGAATCCAGATAGACGCAAAAACCTCGACGACCTCATGACATTGCAAGTGTTCCACGACCGCAGCAAGGTCGAGTAAAAGCTCGATACTAACAGATCGTGGCACCTTGCTGTTGTATCCGTGGATGATGTTGAGAATGATGAGAAGCGCGTCAGGGTCGCAGTCTGAGAGGCCGAGGTCGACGGAGTCCTGCTCGCTACCTTCTGGTGGAGGCTTTGTGATAGTCTGCTTGATATACTGAGGAGCGAGTATAAGATGCTTTGAGGATACCCTGTACCGGAATTCAGGCGATTCACTTTCAATGGGCGGGTGCTGTGCTGTGTTGGAGGAATTAATCTCCTGCTTCACGTCTGGCTCGGAGAGGGCTGCTTTAGTATCTTGGCATCGTTGAAACGATAGGCCCAGGATACCATCACCATCTGGGTCGATATCGATAGTTCCGGACTTGGTGCGAGTCATACTGAGGTTGGGAGAAAACAAAATCTGGAAGGTGGGTGAGTGTGTTGGAGAGGTGACAAGGAGAAGTGAAGAGGGGAGGGGTGTGAGACGCGAGAGTTGACGAAATTTTCAGTAGGAGGCAGGCATTTTGGGACCCGTCAACAAAGGCTGGGTTGAGCCAGATGGTTCAGGTGGATTGGATGGGATAGACATCTATATTTCATAATATCATCTTGTACACGCTTACTCAGCTGTATAACCGTGCATAACTATACCTGTCACTTGCAGACAAATCCTTCCACCTGACCTTCTATCGCATCCCACTTGATGTCTGGAAGATCCTCCTCTTTGACGCTCAAGATGATACAGTATTCATCAATATTTTACAATGGGCATAACCTGGCACTGCAAATTGTAAACGAAGTCCGATATTGAACCATCCTCAAGACCATATCCATCTATTGGTCTAAATAGTCGTTCAGGCTAAGTCCTTGCAGCTTCTCCTCCTCGTCTTTTGCATCGCATTCAAGATTCACAAACCATTTCATGTTCTGGCAGTCTTTCCGGGGGCACAATCTAGGGCTCCTGAACTCAGAGATGCACTTGACCAGATATCTCGGGCACAATCTGTACGGGGGGTCAGGGGTAGGACACGCAGTGTTTGTACGCGTTCGATGTTTTAGCAGAGCCCCCAGATACATGCTATCGCAGTCATAGGTACAGGAATTTGGTGTCCCGCGCAGCTTCAGCTCGGTAGTATCAAGAAGTGTGAGCAATTTATCACGAACTTCGGATTGAGCATTCACGATATCCTCTGGAGGCTAATGTCAGATACGATAATGGGGATTGGGGAACGCAATGGTGGGCATACGCTTGATACGCGACGGAATGGGCGGGTTGAAACGGTGCAAGGAAGAAGACTTGTGTCGCTGAACGGACTTGGTGGCCATCTGGAAAGCCTTGCTGTCCCCTAAGACATAGCTGGCGTATACCCAATCAGGTACTATTGCTTTTGGATCCTGGGCCTCTCGGACCTTCTGCAGCCAGATGTACGCAAAGGTATCGACGACCTCTTGACACTCCAAATATCTAACCACATTGGCAATATTGACCAACACCTTGATATCTAAGGATCGAGGAACCTCCCTGTTATATCCGTGGATGATATTCAGAATGATGACAAGTGCGTCTTGATTGCAATCCAGCAGAGTTACTTCGGCCTGACCCGGAAGCTTTCCATCGCTGCCTGTGATTCTTTTGAGGGATCGTTTCATATATCTAGAAGCAAGAATCATGTGCTTGGACGAGACTCTGTACTTTGAGCGTGACGACAGATAGCCAACAACTGGATTATCTAGCATTGTACTTGACTCTGGGGACTCTTGTTTCACTGGTGGTTGAGCAGGGGTAGCAGGGACAAGACATGTATCGCGGTTCTCTCTTTGGGAAGATAAAACTAGAATGACATCCCCAGTGGGATCAATATCGTGGATTACTCCGCTCATCCTGATTAGAAGTATGCAGGGTCACATCAGTGCGTGATAAAAAAAAAAGAGAGAGAGAGAGAGAGAGAGGAATAAGTAGGTCGCAATCCGGGATAAAAAGATTTTGCAAACTCGCGGTCCGCGCTCGGCCATTATTACTGTTCAAAAGAATACCCCTTTTTTCGTGCCACTTGATAAAGCAGTACGAAACCTTATCTACGCCAACTACACATGGTTTCCCCACTCCCGCATTCCATTTCATATTGCTAAATCCTACGGTTTTAAGTACTCTTCATGGAATTCAATATAATATTATTTTGGATAATACAATTTCAACCTCATTAACCGGACTGGGCAAGTAACAAAAACTTGAACGTGCATATATAAGTCCGTCGATGATACAAAAGACATATATTGTTGGGTTAAATAGTTTGAGGACGCATTCCAAGCGAGTACACACAGCTTCCACGTCGGTCTTCAATATATTCCTTCCAGCCATGTTTTGCATATGGCCGAGGTTATACGGCTGGTGCTTACTGGGGTTTATTGGCGATCATTTTTGACAAGAATAGTTTTATTGCAAATCCTGGACGCTACTAATTTGATATTGCATCAAATATTGGGCAAATTCAATAGGTAGTCAACCAGAAAACAAACATCTTGGCTCTCGGAATGTCTCCATGGATGGTTCGGTTGGTATAGGGGCGAAACACTTCGTATATCCCCTCGTATCATGGACGCCTGGAGACTTGGCCACTCAATCAAATCGACACCTCCATTTCCAGGCCCCCAAAATCACTTGATCGGCATTGGGATCTACCTATTAGACGGTCTATATATAGCCGCCAAGTCGAATAAGGCTGGATATATCGAACTTCATGCTGGACTTCGTATTCGTTGACCAATCATGAAACAGAATTTGTGGGCTCTGCCACCGCTTATTCCTTGGTTTTCTTTTCTTTTCTTACAGTGAGCGCACCATTTCTCTTGATTGAGTTTAGTTTAGTGGAGGTCGAATATATAAAGGTGTCGACGGACTGTGTTGTTAAAATCATCAGACTTCTATTTTATTCTCAACAGCCAAACCACAACCCAGCAAGACACCATGAAGCTCACAATTTCTATCCTCGCTGCTCTCGCCAGCATCAACTCCGTCCTCGCCCAGGACGCGACCTGCCAGAAGGACGCAGCATTGGTCAAAACCTTCATTGGACAGCCGTACAGCAGCGAAATCGTATGTTGTACATTACTCCTACAATTAAATCTGCTAATGTGACTAGTCCACCCAGTTTGAATCGGAAAAGGTTCGGGTCTACCATGAGGGTGACCCTATCACCAAGGACTTTGTTCAGACTAGGTATGAATACCCTCATGGATATTGGTTGTTATGCTGACAAATTTAGATTGAACATTGTTCTTGAGAAGGACAGCCAACTCATTCAGGACTCTGGATGCTATTAGAGCAGCACATCGATTATACCGGGAGGGTAAGATAGTATATAGGTATTGATATGATGAATGAAGTCGGGATTGCATGAGATTGATATTTGTAAGATGCGTTTTAAATAATTGGCCATACATTTAGATAAATACATGCAGCACCTTCGAACCTCACTCTGCAATAAAATGCATGTGCTATGTCTGTCTAGAGAAACCTTAACGTAAACTTAATCATAAATTTATTGCGGCTTTCTTCTCCCTTATTCCTTGCTTCTCCCCTGCTGCTGGACTCCGTATACATTTCAACCCCAGCCTTCTTCTATATTCGGTCTACTCTATTTCGCCTCCAATATTTAAACCTCTCCCAAGCCCATACTCAGAATCATCAGACAATTCTTCCTCAATCCCAACTCAACCTCATCTCAACCAAAACCATCACCATGAAATTCGCCCATTCCTTCCTCTTTGCTCTAGCAAGCATCCACTCTGCCTTTGCAAACAAGGTCACCTGCAAAGCTGATTCAGAATTGCTCAATGGCGCCATCGGACAGGTCTACTCCCCGGAACTCGTATGTATGCGTTGATCCATTCCAGAATCTTTGCTAATAGCACAGGTTGTCGTTTCAACACCAGCCAGCGACGTTCGGGTTGCTCATGAAGATGACGTTCTCACTGCTGACGTTCATGAAGAAAGGTTTGTGCGGATCTTATTATTTTTACGTATCCATTGTGCTAATCATAAATAGATTGACTATTATCACGGATGACAGTAACCATATTTTGAATGTCGGGTGCTATTAATCTGTATCATTGCTGTGGGATCGATTGAAGGGTGCATGGATATATATTGATGTAGTAGATAAACCCATAGCCCCCTGGTACTAGGACATGCTTTGTATACTCAGATTGAAAATTTACTCTATGCTTTAACTCAAGGCTACTCTGTGTAGTGTTTTCCATGATGTAACGTATTTTCGTCTTGATGATATTTTAATATGCTAGGTGTGCATAAAATATAAGCAATGCGCACATTCCTCTTGCGTCCCCAAGAAAATCCAAATCTCGGATATGCATGGTATATGGAATTGCCTATACTTGGAAACGCGGAACGGCACGACGCAAGGACTTCCCCACATCATGCAATGCAGCGATGAAACAGCTTAAATATGCATCTGCAAACATTTCAATTTCATTCAACCAATCGGATTCATGCATTTATCCCTGTTTATCCCTTACTCATTCCACTGTTTGTACGACATGCCTAGACAGTGCTTGATTAATAAGGGTTACCCTGGAAAGCCGTCCACCGATGAGATGGTATGTCGCTCTATTCTGAGATCGATCGGAATACTTGCTAATCAATCAGCTGTCCAAGCACTGGAATGGGGTTATTGTCGGTTCTTCAGGTATTTCTGTTCCCATTGCGCCCATTTCCATTAGGTAAAGTGTCAACTGCGGTGGAGCAATGTATTCAACCGTATTGGAACTACACTGAATGAAGAATGCGATCAGGAAGAACATTGAAGAAGGTCTGATCCTCTCAAGTTCTTGAAGAAGCAGGCAGTATTTATATCAATATTGAAACTATTAGTAATATCTCGCGAATATGAGAGGATATAATGTAGTTAAACCAGAGAATCCGCATCAATACTGCATACAAATGAGGTCTTATCGCTGCAGGTTGACGACGATATGATATATCGCTAAATGGCTTCAACAGGATTGTCGATATGAGTCGGAACTGTACGACAGCGTAATTTACCTGACAGAATCGTATAGTGTGTAAGACTAGGTAGCTAAGCTGCCCAAAATGAAGGGTAGTTAGTATCCAATCCATGTCTGAATTCTCTTTGTACATTCTTTACTTATTGTATTACATACTTTAAGTTCCTTCCGTCTACCGCACTTCGCTTAGCCTATCCAGTAACTTTTATAAAGACGCCTGAACTCTAATCTCCTGCTGGAATCTTCAGCATCCTTTTCTATTTCCTTTCCATCAAATTGAATCCACTTAAGAAACCCATCAACCAATATGAAGCTCACCTTCTCTTTCCTCTTCGCCTTGGCAGGCCTCCACTCAGTTATCGTTCAGGCCCAGAGTCAAGAAAACTGTGAGGCAGATGCCAAGGAGATCAATGAGTACTACCGCGGAGAGCCGTACGATAATGATGTGGTATGATAGAACATAATTACCTATATCTGGAATATATGCTAACGGATCAGACATCCTGGCTCCAATCATCAGATGTTCGCGAGATTCATCCGAATGAGCCTATTACTATGGATTTCAGACCTGACAGGTGTGTAAACACGTTTTACTGTTAGTAGTTAGTCCTAATATGTACAGACTGAACGTTCTTCTTGACGATGACGACAACATCAAGAATGCTGGATGCTATTAATCTCGTTGTATCTGATGGGACAGATAGGATGTATATCTTGATTTTGGGAAGAAGGTGAAACGATTGGATACATTATGTAGTAATCGAACATAACTGAACTGCAGTTGACTTTTGTATGAAATTCTATATACTCGGGTGCAGGTAATCCCGAAACTTAATCAGACGATGCTCTGCAGTGTGTAATATAGCCTGGATCTCGCGATCAGCGATCAGATCATCTATTGAACAACACCCCTAGACTGATAACTCAAATAGTCCACTTCGCCTCTCGGGATTAGCTCCTACCGATACTTCCCATTATAATAGACTTAGACAGCAGTGGCAATCACATAAGCCTACTTACCCATTCTGCTGCTCGACTGCAACTTTCCCGCATTAATTGGGATGTATCCCGTTGATTCTATTCTATTGCTTTCATGATTTATGTAGCTTAAGATAGAGAGAACAATGTAGCAGTTATTTATGGAATATATATATTCTGAAGTTCCCTAAATGCCGAGGCTCGATTACTATATTTTTGCGCTGTGCCATGTAAGGCCTCATTTGTAGCAGAATGAGACCAATGTATGCTGTCTTAGCTATGTTAAGAGCATGATTTTCAAATTTAATTCAGCTACCCAGCTTCCTGGATTCATCCTGTTCCATGTTCATATTCCTTACTTATCATACTGTACACTTGGGCCTGGGTTTACCTATAGCCTGGTTAACTTAGTAACTTTCTCCTATAAAGGTATCATCCCTAATATCAACCTTTTGCATAATTCTCATCTTTACTTTATTCACTCAGTTAAGATGAAACTCGCTCTCCCTTTTCTATTTGCTCTAGCAGGCATCCACTCAGCCATTGCACAGAGTTCAGACACGTGCGAGGCAGATGCAAATACAATTAATCAAAGTTTTACTGGAGCTCCATACAATGAAGATGTGGTATGTTATGACATTAGGAATATTGAAATTATCTACTAATAACAATATATAGTCATCTTTACTCAGCACAGAAGATATTCGGGTGATTCATTTTGGTGATGAAGTTACTCTTGATTCCAAACCTTCTAGGTATGTATATGCACACATAATTGCCGATGGTTGGTACTAATAACTATAGATTGACTATCCTACTTGATGCGGATGGGAACATTAAGTCTGCTGGATGCTATTAATGCATTCTTATAGGATTCTATGGTCATAGGATTGGGTAGTTGAAACTGAACTTTATAACCCAGTTACCGCTGTATTGGTTTGATCAATATCAAACGGCTGCAGGAGTAAGGGCTCTTTTTCTATATCCTTGCATCCATGCACAGTTTTATCATTTGCCACATCGCTACCTTTGTATCAATTATTCCCATGGCTTTACTTGAATAGAATAGCTTCGATTCAAGATGAACTCACCTCGCTTCGTAAATCCTTCATCTAAATAGCGTCTAAGAACACCAAATTCTTGGGCTTTGGAGTTAGAACTGGCAGTAGACTGGTAATAATCTGCAGCATGCAAGGGGCAAGACGAATAGTTTCAAATGTACATGAACCCCGCCATTCCCCAGTACCCCTTGCCGGACGTATGCATACTCGCTGCATTTCTTGTTATCTTAATCAGCTCAACAGTTTCCATCCATATCTCCAGCATGAAACTGCCTACAGTAGGTGATATTATACAATTGCCTAGTCTAGCACACTAGTAGTAGGTTGCAGCTGTGGCTTTATAAAACTCACTCCCCTGCATGCTTGCTACTTACCATATAATATGCTTATGGATATTTAGTTTTGTCTTTTATATAAGAAAATGGTCACTATTGCCTTAACAGCAGCAGATTCCTATTTTATTCCTACCGGCACCCCCAAAAGCATCTCAACCAGCACATCAATATGAAACTTGCCTTCTCCCTCTTCGCCCTGGCAGGCATCCAATCTGCTTTTGCTGACTGTAGGGCAGATCGCGAGGCAGTGGTGCCATACATCGGAGAAAAGCTCGATAGTGATGTGGTTCGTATACCTTTGATTTTTTTTTTAAGGATATTTACTAATAGGACAGTTTGATCTCGTCAACTCAACTACGTTCCAGTTTCTTACGCCGGACAACACAGAGGCTGATATTGAAGTACATGAGGACAACCCTGTGTATGTATACATGAATACTCCTTCTTATCATTGGGTACTAATGCGTGGTAGGTTGACTTTTGATGTTGATTTTGATAAAACCATTCTCATGGTTTATTGCTTCTAATTGTCTTATATCCATTAAGACTGTAAATTGCGGGTCTGTGAATTACTGTATATAGCTAGCTACGGCGGACTATATGTACACATATAAATATGACTGATTGTAACAATCGAGAAGAGCAAAGCGATCACCTGGCCGAAACGGTAGAAATGAAGCTTCGGGATGATAGACGCGGTGACCAAGGCCTCACATGCCTGTTGCACCGTTATCTCGCCGTTGTATAGGAAGGGGCATGCAGTATTATGTAGATTGCAAGGATTATAATCTATGAATAATATGCAGCCATTTCAATGCATAGATCCTAGCATGAAAAGCATGCACATCGCGCTCTACCCTACATATTCCTTGCATGCTACTGCAGGCTTGCCGCAGATTTAGTTTACTATACTTTCATCTCTGCCATATAAAGACACGCAAACCCTAATCCTGAAGAATCATAGGCTTTTCCGAAATTCCTAGTTATATCTCCACGTCAGTTCATCTAGACATATCGATATGAAATTCGCACTCCCCCTCCTCTTTGGCGTGGCAAGTGCCCAATCTTTCTTTCTCGACGAAGAAGCATGCCAAGAAGATAAATACTTTCTGAGGTCGCATATTGGAGATCGATTTGATCGTGACTTAGTATGCTATATACTATATCTTTAAGTCTTTGGAAATGTGCTAAGAGTGTCGATAGATGGCAGAACTCGACTCGAGTTACATTCGGATTTTATACCCCGGTGACCATATTTCCCCTATTCAGCGTGCTGATAGGTATGTAGACAAATTTTATCCTTTCAAAGCTAACAACAGATAGATTGAATATTTTCTTGGATGGGGATAACAAGATTTGGTTGGTTGATTGTTTCTAGTTTATCCTCTGTTGGGTTGAATAATGGATATATCGGGCATTCTCATTTGTAATGGAAGTAAATCATACCTATCTATAATATAGATCTCTTGAACAGCAATACGGTTAGCCCCTGGCAGCATGGTATGTACCTACTTGACATTCTCACTGATTCTTCTGCCGTGGTTGAATAATAATATTGGGTATTTTACTGCTATTGGTATAATAAATAATCAACTCATCGAATCCTGCTGCACCTTTAAGAGAACCTCCAGCGCCGTCCCCATCTCTGGCCCTGTATATGTCACGCCGATTATGTCTGACTTTTCAATTCCCATTCCCTCGCATGGCTGGTCACACGCACGTAATGTAAACATGTTCTTCTGCTCTGGATAGTTCTTGATGGCAGTGAAGAGAACGACTTCTCCCGCCCCGTAGAGCATGTTCAACTCGATACTTTCTAATCGCGGGAACTGGGCTTGCATTTTGTGAAGCACTGTCAGCCAGCCAGCCGTTAAGCCCGTTACGCCCTCGAGGATGAGTCGTTTGAGACTATGTCGTGATTGATGCAGGATGCGGATGAGATCGTCTGCCTGGATGGCTGTGAAGGATAATGCGACTCGTTCGAGGTTGTTGAGTGTATATGATCTGCTGAGGTCGGAGAAGAATTCCATGGCCAGGTCTTTCGGCCCGAGACTGAGGTAGAGTTTGCGGAGGTTGGGGGCGTGGAGGATGAGGTCCATGAGGAAGGAGTAGTTGTATGGCGTGAGTTCGTGTTCGAGGTGGAGGTTTTCGAGGCTCGCCCAGGCAGTTTTGAAACCAGGATGGCTGAAGAGGGATTTGGGAAGTCGTTTGATGTTCATCACTTCGGACGTGTAGTTCATGCCTTTGCCGTACCAGAATAGCTTCATGGGCAGCGATGCATCGGCGATGACATCGAGGAGAATACCAGCGACATCGTCTGGGTTGAGTTTCTGATCATCCGCCTTCGCTGGTGCATCACCAACCACCGGCGAAATAATAAACGACCGACAATTCACCAATCTCTCTGCCAGATCATCCCGAAACCTTTGAATGAGCGGCATATTCAGTGCGTTCTTCACATGGCCAGCTGCACTCCACTGCCATGGAATATCGCCTCCCAGGTATGGCTCTGGCGTCATCACCACCAATCGCTGCACATACTCGCGCATCACCTTGTTACTGGCAATCGCATGGAGATGGTTCAAACTATGCTCAGAAAAGTCCAAGTACACCTCTGTATATCTCTCCGCGAAGCAATTAATCGTTAATCTGTATGCATCGCGACAGGATCCCACCAACGAGGCCAAGTCGCGCGTGTTGAGCTCGTCGCAGATCATCTCGATGATCTCCAGCGGGAGAGTGGGGAGGATGGGCGAGTGCTTTGTTTTTGGGATTGTTTTGGTGGAGGTCTCCATTTTGGAGGTGTGGAGGGTGTGTAACTGCATGATGATAGCGTAAGATAGATGAAATAAAGAAGAATGAGAGAATGGGGAGCGGAGAGGATGAGGTTATAAAGATGGAAGCAACAGGGTCCCTAAAGTACCTTGGAGGCACACCGATCACACAATGATCTTCACCCTATCTTATCGGCTATGTCTGCATTTTATTCCTGGCTTTAAGATGTCAATTCTATTAAATTTTAGATTAAATTATATTGATAGATTGATGCTGCATCTATATGCATGTTCTGCAGGTTATGGTGATCAGTTGGGGAAGGCACGAACCAGCGGAGACCCCGCATTCCGACAAATATATATTAAGTTGGAGTATCATAAGAACAACAATCACTATAGTAAAAAGATAGTTATTAATAGGTGTCATATCAAATATACCCCTCCTGTATAAATCTGTCTGTTTCATGGTCAATCGAGTATTTCGATAGTGTAAAGTATAATGACGTCATTGGAAGTATGAAGTAAACAATATCGATCTTCTTCATTTAGCTTGATATATGATAAGGATATATAATCTGCGCTCAAAGATTGAGTATTTTCTTAGAATATTCTGTTTCTTTCCAGTAACTGATAACCCCACTGTAGAAACGTGCGTCTGCCTGATTGGTGAAACGCGACAGGGATGTCACCAACACGATACCTGAGGCAACTTCAAGGATGAACTAATAATAATCCAAAGCCCCCTATGACACACCATAGCATTCATGACAGGACCATCTTGACACAAGATGGAATGCTTACAACCTTCCTGTCGAGAAGGTTTTGAGATCGGGATAATATGCGCATTACCACTAGAATACGACGCTGTTTGCCTCGTGCTGGACGAATTCTGGGATGAGCAAGGTGACCCGTACGGACGAGCAGCAGGAGACCAAAATAACTACACAACAGGCCGGATTGGGAAACATAATGTCGTCATCGCGCTACTTTCGCAAATGGGAAAGGCTAGCGCCACGAGTGCTGCCCACAGTATGCGGGTCAGCTACAGTGGCTTGCGGCTTGTTCTGCTGGTGGGGATATGCGGCGGAGTGCCGTTTATCGGGGACAAGGAGGTCTTACTGGGCGATGTGATCATCAGCAAAGCAGTTGTGCAGTACGACTTTGGTAGGCGATACCCGGGGGAATTCTCGCGCAAAGATACACGAGAGAGTAAGCCTAGCAAGGAAATACAGAACTTGTTGATTACTCTTGAAGCAAGCTCTTGCCAGCGGAGGGTCCATCGGAGAGCCGCTGCCTTCCTCGGAGAACTTCAAGCTAGAGCTATGCAATGGAAGATGGAAGGGAGGTATGACTATCCTGGGATAGCCGAGGATCGACTCTTCGAGTCAGATTATACACATCACCATGTCTGCGGAGACCGCCATCTACCGTGTGATAAGGTGGCATGTGATAAGCGGTATTTGGTGACAAGGAAAAGACTATCAGGCCCTAACGTACACGAGCCTTTCATTCATATTGGATGCGTCGCATCTGGCGATACAGTGATGAAGTCTGGAGAAGATCGGGACAGGATCGCCAAAGAAGAAGAGGTGATTGGATTCGAAATGGAAGCGGCGGGCATCATTGAAGAATTCCCGAATTCTGTCGTCGTCAAAGGCGTCTGCGACTATGCAGACAGCCATAAAAACAAAAATTGGCAGGATTTCGCAGCTGCCACGGCTTCTTGTACGATGAAGGCTCTCTTGGAACGGTTCATCCCAGAGGAAAAGACGATCCGTGAGTGAGATATTCCAAAATTATTCGAATCGCGGCTAAAGATCCCATGTCTCCCAGCCAGGATAACCAATGGGTGTGCGGAATCAAGTCTGCTAGCCATGATGAGCCAATTTGCTCAAATAATGCCTCCGCAAATCGGGCCAGCAGAGCATGTCACGGTAAATGATGCACGCAATCGACCGATCCGATTCTTTCTAGATACCATAGACTCTCTCGAGGTTCGAGGCTTCTCTTCTGGCCATTCATATAAGAAGCCGCTGATAGTTCCAGGCCTTCACTGAACTTCTCAAATAGAAGTTTAAAGATCTTGGCTGGCGGAAGATCGAACGAGGCGAGTGGTTTCTCCAGGACCACTATACAGGGCAGATGCTTGATCTAAGAAAGCCCTGGTTATCATTGATAAGGGTATGGCGTCTGGGAAGGCATATAGATGGTGACTGACTCAACTAGCCTGGCCAAGTCCTTGATATGACCATGACATTCCGTCGACGCGATGTATCCTCGACCCAGTGTCCATCATGTCACTTTGAGAACGCGGGAAATTCCGAGTCGCAAGTCACTTGGTGAGTCACGAGTATCATACATTGACCAGATAGCTTACCCAGTGTAGTGGCGTGTGCAGATTGGTATATAGACGAGTTGAAGAAGTGCGGGAGATACTCGTGTCAGAAGATATCCCATCCCAACCTGAAACGGAAATTCGAAAAGAAGAGCATAACCATACAGTGCCTTTACAGAAACAAGCGGTTCCCAAAACCGATGTTGACGGCGATGATATTCATCATTACAGTAGGGTGCAGGTGATTGACACCAACCTCCAGATCTCAAAGGCCGACATGAACAAGATCATCAACAGTCTGGCAACTCTTGATGTGCGTGACCTGGATGATGCGGAACGCATCGCAGCACATCTAGCAAATGTATATGGTCTGTCCAGGACCGATTGTTTACTTGCATTAAACGAGTGCGAGTCGCAACTACAAGCCGTTAAAGCTGAAATTCAGAAGCGCAAATTCGACAGGAAATCAGTGGAGCAGCTGCTTCTATGAACTCTCTTGCAGGGAACCATCAGGGGTCATTAATGATATGGAGTGGTGTGTTCTATGTGAGCATGATGGCTATACAGGGATTAATTGCCCCTTTAATGACTAATCGGTTTAATGAACAACACTGAGATGCATTCTTAGCGTTGGAGATGTATTGGAGATTTGATAGATAGGGATATTATAGACAAGGACAAGGATCTTATCATATCTTATCTGATGAACGATCATCCTGTACTATGAATGGCCCGATCAAACTTCGTTCGACATACCAGCCATTGACGATTGGACAAGTTTCATGATTGGCGATCTGGTAGACTATTTCACATTTCTTGGCTCAAGCTATGGTTACCAGAAACATAGAACCTGTCCTCATGTTGATTTTCTCAGGAACATCTACTATCCGCAGGAATCTATTCCCATAGTTAGTTACCACCAAGAATACAGTTTGAGCAACCTGACCTAGCCTGGAGGGTGACAGTGGGCCTCATTTATCTTGAACGGAAGCAGAAGCGCCAGATTCAGAGTGCGCCATCTCCTGAGTGCGTCGCTCCCGTTTTAAATGATACAGCGCCTGAGTTCGGAAGAAGTAGGTCATGGGATCCATATTCTGGGTGGCAAGATATTGCGCCTTCTCTGGTGTTATCTTGGACAGCATTGACCCAATCAGCTGGATATCTTCGGCAGATGTCTTTTCCTGCATTTGGGTGGCCAGTTGGCAGACATGGTTGAACTCTTCGGGCGGAAGAGTGCTCAAGTCAACTGGGAGGGTAGGCTTGTCTGTAGGATGGGTGTTATCGTCCATTCTGGTCGTACTTGAGGTTTCTTCGTAAAATGGGGAAAACTACGATGAAAGATGTATTTATTTTTATTTGTGGCTGGCGGTTGACGTCATGGCGGCTGTATCATGATCCGCCCCGCATTTATTGTCGGATACTGCACAGCCACTAGACAGGCGAGAGTATTGCCATAGCATATCTACAAGGTCATCCAGTAATGGGTCATTCATTATTGACTAAGTATTCAATGGTTGCAGATATCTGACATCCTTCCACTGAGTTTTACATGATAATGGCAATCCCCCAGATGTCTCTGTGGTCTTCGTCTTAGTATTAAATTGTCTCTGGACCGCCCCCTCTTCTCGAGACGCTTTTGGTGTCCTCTGAGACTATTCAGATCCTGGGTTTGACAGAAGTAGGTCATGGGATCCATGTTTTTGCTGGCAAGATACTCCCCTTCCTCGGCTGTCATATTCTGCAAGTTTGTTTCGATTCGCTGCAACCCCCCAACAGACGTCTTCTCACGCAATATGGCGGCCAGTTGATATACATGATCAGGCTTATCAGGCGGGTGACTGCTCAAGTCAAGCGATGGCTTTGTTGACATTTATAGTTCATACTCTAGCGTGCAGAAAACCGAGGAAAGTGATAAAGCATTCTAGTGGGGGGTTTCATCGATACCACAATACCCACCATTGGGACAGTCTGCACATTGGAAGATATAAAACAACTTCATGTTGATAAATGAACCAAGAAAGAACATTGATCAATTGGGTCAATGGAAAGGGCACAAGAGCTGATAAAGCTCGATGATGTGTAATGTATGTGCGTATGATGTGGTATTTATATTATTAGACAATGAATGAAATAATCAAGACTCTGAAGTGTACCCCTCGCCAATAGTCTAGTCGTAGTAGCAAGAGCAAGTGCTATCGCCTGTTAGCTTCGATAAACACTTTGACTATACGGTGAAAACTTACTACCACATCAGACCACCACATTCACCTCTCTTGTAGTATCCACTGTCTCCATAGCACTTCTTGCACTGTAACATCATTAGTATTTATAATGCCTTGTTCTCTTGAGATTGACATACGCGGTCATTGCACAGATCCGAACCCCATCCCTGGCAAGAGTCGGCAGCACCGCATTCACGGGCAACGAGGGTTTTGGTCTCAGCAGACCGGTCAGTCACCAAGGCCGAGGCGCAGGCGGCGAGAGAGACGAGAACGAGCGAGAGCTTCATATTGACTTGATTGAAAAGGATTGTAGATAGTTGGTTTGAAATGATTGTGCTGGACTGAATTGCTCAGGTGGGACCTCTTATTTATGTCTGTCTGCTTTTAGGCTCCATACAGGCAGTAGTAGGCAGAATACGAAGTATATTGATCCACTTCGACCAAACGCGTGGTGATCGTCGAGCCGATCTCGCACTTTCCCTCCTAAAAGCCTATGCTCGAGATGAAGATCTGCCGGTCACCTCGTATTCGACTTGGCGTTTCCGGGAAGGGAAGGTCGGCTGTCGGTGATTAAAGATCTGACGCTGTTAGATCTCAAACGAGATGATCTTTATATAGTTTCAGAACTAAGAAAAGATTGTGGAGACGGAAAAGAAGAAATAAGAAAATGAGCCGCAAGTTGAATGCGCATTGGTATCAACGAAATGAGGCCAAGATTGACAGAATAAAACGGACATTAAGCGAGGCAGTCATCGCAGATATAATTGGATTACCTGTGTCAATAGAGTTGAGTAACAAGCGACGTGCATCTCAAGACCAGTCAGAGCTGAAGCCAATGCTCATCCATCGCATACTCGAACAATCTCATCCCGTCACGCGTCTTATCTCGGCAAGACGAACCTGGAAACATGGTTTCTGCTCTGGATCTCTGTGTTTGATTTCAGATGCAATAACCAATGGTCAAATGATCAATTTTATCCAGATGACAAGTTTCTTGTGAAGATGCTCAACTGCAAACAACATTGGATGTGCACTGCAGACCTACTGACGGATATTGACCAGATTCACAACGATACAATCCCACGCCAACTCTCTACAGCGCGCGCTGTAAGATCCGGTGCAGGGTGACGTCTGATGGACTGGGATTAAGACTTCATTCTGTTCTGTATTTGCTGAACCCCGCGGTCCTTGAGAATACCTTCTCCGGCCACTGGTGAAGGCGCTTTCGCTGTGCGACAAGAGTCCTTGTGGCATCCGGCAGATGCGGTTTGCTTTGATGTATCGCTGGCAATTGGGAGAGTTCCATCGCACCAAAGATCAGCCATGTCCATAGATGATGAAGGACCTACCTTTCCACGATGAGCTTTACAAGTCTGGCAACCCACAGAAAAAAGGCATGATGTTGATGAGTCATTCTCATCCAGAATTGGGGGCCAAATGATATCGTCGGCGTTAAGCTATCGAGTACATACAACTGTCCACTACCACGGACACACGCCATCTTTATGCACAAACAGACCAACATCAGCATCACGCTGTCCTTGAATAATATCAAAAATCGCCTGCGCAGGCACCTCCGGATCCTGCGCTGCACCGCCCCCCGTACGCGCCTCCTCACTGGTGCCGCGGATATCCGTCCTTACCAAGCCAGGATCCAAGGCGAATGTCTTGAGACCTTTAGTGCCGAAAAATGCATATTCTTGGATCATAAGCATGTTCAGTGCTGCTTTACTGGCGCGATAGGCCTCGACGTTGCTGAAGCTGTTGTACGTTGGCGAGGTAGGGTCGGCGGCGTCGGTGAGTGAACCCAAGCCACTGCTCACGTAGATGGAGTAGGGATTCTGCGATCGCAGGAGCAGAGGGCGGAAGGCGTCTGCGACGACAGCGGGGCCGACGACGTTGACGTCCATGTTGGCCTGCATGCGGGTTTTGATGTCGTCGTCGCGGCTCATTATGCCGGCGTTGTTGATGAGGACGTCGAGACGGCCGAATTGCTGGTCGACCTGAGCGGCGGCTTGCTGGATAGACGATTGGTTTGTCACGTCCAGCTGGATGGTGGAGAGATTGTCCGAGTTGATGTCATTCAAGGCTTGTTGGGCCTTGTCCAGTGAACGACTGGCGATGATGACATGGAAGTCTTTGCAGGCATGAGAGATGAACTTGGCCGTTGCAAAGCCAATACCGGCATTGGCGCCTATAATGTCAATGAGATGAATGAATAGTAGGATAGAAGACATACCAGTGATGAGAACAATTCTTGGTGACATTTTGACTGCTGTAGATGGGGTATTCAGAGATGTCACACGTGGTACCGGTTTTTATAGGCAATCTGACATCCATGGCATGATGCTAACCGTTAAAGGATGCCACGGTGTGTCATAGCGTGCCTTTATATAAGCAGGGCTAAAGTACTTGATTGGTCAATCTAGATATATTGGCCAATCAGAACTGACCATCTGAGACAGCATAAAGACACAAATTGCCACTGTTTACGCACATTGTATAAGGCGATCATTACCTGATCGGGTTCTACATAGATTAGAGATCCAGTCGGATATATTATCCTCATGTATTAAGCATGCAATAATATATACACAATCTCTCAGCCATAGATCACGATCTACTTATAAACAGCCGCAATCGCCTGGCTCACCTCCTCCTTGGCCGTCATACTCTCTATCCACTCCTTGACATGCGGGTACGCATCCTGATCATAATCCGCCTTCTCCAACATCCTCGCAACCCCCAACTGCCACGGAATAAACGCCAAATCCACATACGACAGACTATCCCCAACCAACCACGCACTGCCCGTCTTCTCCTTCTGACTCTTCAAATGTCCCTCCAACACCCCGGTCACCCGGTTGATCTCCTTCGTGTACCGCTCAACCGCACTCGGGACCTTCTCCGAGTGGTACCTGGAAAACCAAAACACCTGTCCGTAGTACGGGCCCTGTCCGGACATTTGGAAGTGAAGCCATTGCTTTGCCTGGTAGAACTCGGGCGACCCGTTGGCGAAGCTGAGCTTGTTGTCCGTGTCGTACTTGTCGACGAGGTATTCGATAATCGCGCCGGACTCCCAGAGGGTGAGGCCGGTATTGGGATCGTGGATAGAGGGGATACGGCCGTTGGGGTTGACGGCTGTGTATTCTGGTTTCTTTACGTCGGAGAAGGGGACTTCTTCGACTTCGTAGGGGATGTTGAGGAGGTTGAGGACGATCATGACTTTGAGGGGGTTGGGGCCGATGTGGCCGTAGAGTTTGATTGGGGAGGTCATTTTGAGTAATGCAATTGGAGATTTGATATGTGAAGTTGATATTGATATAGATATGAGAGGGAGTGACCTGTTTAAATATGATTCTTTGTATCCAGGTACCAAAAATAGAAAGATTTGATTGGACAATGCAGTCTGACGTGGGAATCGCGAGTTTCCCAGAAAGAGTTTAGCCTAAGATCAGATTTATAAGCTCGTCATTTCGGAGGCCGACAGTCATTATTAATCATGAATTATGACTTATTATGAATGACAGGGATGTATAAACTGCTGGAAGGTTCTACTGATTAAGCGCATAGATTGGCTGCCTTATCTGATAAGTTATCATAGTGGACTGTTATTGGCTAGATTATATGTTCAGTGTATATACTTTATTCTACTGTGTGGAATTTTTTCTCGCTATGATGCTTAATATATACATATAATTTTATTATGGATCACTCTAACATCATAATTTAGACAGTCTGTCCATATCGACATGTGAATGAATGGTCATTCACTTATGCCAAGAAGCGGGGTCTAATGGATACCCACGACTTCTGCTGTGACTCCTGTCCTACATGACAAGGCTACTCATAATGGCTCCAAATTCAGACAGTTCAGTTGCAGTAGTTGTTGCATCTGCAGATGAAGATCTTCATGGCAGACTTCTCAGACTGGGAGTGTCCTGAGCTGCGGGTGAATCGGATACGGGAGGTGGGAGCGGAGAACGACTCGATTTGTCTCCCGCTGGATCAGTTCCAGGTGACGGGGCCGAATGGGAGTCATTTCTGCTTTGTGTATCCGGTTGCCGGGCCCAAGGTGTCGTGTATTCTGCAGGAGTTTGAGGAGCCAGATCGCGTGTTAAGGAGGGTGGGGTTGAATGCTGTCAAGGCGATGGTGGCGCTGCATCGGTTTGAGATCTGTCATGGTGGTGAGTTCTTATTCTGTCTTGCCGAATGTATCTGACAGTGTAGATTTCACACCGTCGAATATCCTCCTGCGCGTATCTGGTCTGGACGGCCTCCCAGAAGACCGAGTTATACAGATCCTCGGACAACCAAAAACAGTCAACGTCGTAACCAGCACCGGCGAGAAACCATCCCATCCCAGCGCGCCGCAATACCTCGTGCATCCCGTTGACTTTCAATCCGTGCATCACCGCTATCTCTCCGATGAAATCTACATTATCGATTGTGGAAAATCATACCATGTCTCCCTTCCCCCGGACGATCTCGATATCCCGCAGAATTACTACTCGCCTGAGCTCATCTTGGACGGGCAGACCGGTATAGGAAGTGACTTGTGGGCATTGGGATGTACGCTCTTTGCCATCCGGACGGGAAGAAGGTTATTCGATCTCTTCGATGATGATCGCGATGATCATCTCTACCATATGGTGATGCTACTGGGCATCCTCCCTGAACCATGGTGGACGAGCACATGGTCAACGCGAGAAGATTACTTTGACGACCGTCCATCTTCAAATAACCGCGCAGTGAAAACTTTTGAAGCCCTCGATGAACCCGCAGAACCACACGAACCGCGCTCGATTGAAGAAATGCTAGACCATGGATTGGTATATATCGAGTCGCGGACCGGGATGATTCCAAAGGAAGTCCGACGGAGGATATCAGCAGAGGAGGTGACGATGTTTGCTGACCTGCTGGGATTGATACTTCGATATCAGCCAGAGGAGAGATTGACGGCGGATTTGGCGCAGCATCATGGCTGGTTTAGTATGTGATTTATTGGAGATGTCATTTACATTAATACTAATTGCAATATAAACCACCATTATTAATGGTCTAAATGTATAATGTATCAAGAAACCCCCATGCACGTTTCAATCGGTTCTCTATTGCTTTAGTTGGCCAGTAATTGTTGTCTCGGCTCATGTTGATCACAATGTCCATGAGCGCTTCTTGCTCGGTGCCATTCGTAAAGCGATCACAACACATAATAATAGCCAAACAAGCCGTACGTAGCAATGTTGGCGATTTTCGATTCGACAGCGCGATCCCACATATTTCCAGAACCGTAGATCTGACACTCTGATCCACAGCCCGTAAGGCCAGATTTCTGTCTGGCCCAATTCGGGCCGTTTTGGGATTATACGATGCAAGCACAATATTCGCCAACGAATGGTTTGGAGTAGCTGGAGAGTCAATATACTTGTCTCATGTTGCTGGTATGGATGTACTTTTCCCTGGCATCAAGCGCATCCTCCCGCGGAATCAGTCCTTGACGAATAGATATCCATCTTCCTCTAGTCTCGCATGCATCTCATCCATAGGCAGAGAAGATGGTGAAGCATACACCCAAGCTGGTCTGGCTTATGCGACCGCCGTTCTAGGCGAAGCCATAGGGCAGGAGGGCGGAGAGGCTTTAAGATAGAGCAGGATTCATTGTCGCTTTTGGATGGTGGAATCATCTTGACTGGACTGTGTGAGGATTTTTATCCTGTCATTTCGTCAGCTGGTTTTAAGATTTATCCATCGAGAAGAGTCCCTCCGCCAATTACATATTTTGGACAGACAGAGTAGAGAAATTGAAGATCATCGATTCTCTTGCTGTATCTGATATTTCGCGGCGCTAAGCAATTCTGGTATACAAAGTATACCAAATGGTGTTCCTTGATTAGCTGCCATCAGCATATATATCCACAGCATTTCATTCAATCTCGACAACAGCCAAGTTTTATTGAGTTCTCGTAAGCTCCACATCCCACCAATGCTTCCTGTTCTTCGTATCGGACCGAATGCGCTGTGCTATACTGATCGGGCGCTATCAAGGACATATACAGCCGTGGCGGCAAATACGCCAAAATATATTCTACTCTACCCTACCATCTCGTTTATTTAGACGACAGACAAACATTCCAGGAAGCGAAAGGTCTTGTCGCGTGCGCATGACCCCGCAATCTGGAGAACTGAATATAAAGTCACTGGTATGACAGAACGGCTGATTAAAGCATTCAACACGTCGTGCAAACCAATAATAGCACTGTTGACCATCTCATGTGGACGAATCTCTTCATCATATCTGCTATTCCTAGGATTGGTCTGAGTGAGGCTCTCAATCATCGACCAGCGCAGTGACTTTGTCACTTCGGAAGTAATGGACGATAATATATTGAAGAGATGTCCGCCTTTAACGGTATATCAAATCCGACCTTATTGTATAACTGGTATGCTACGTTGTGCCGTATAACTACCCCGCTCCAACCCGACTAAACCGGTCCACGAGGAGAGAAACACTAGATTGTTTCTTCTGTCCTCATGGATGACAGGAACGATGCTTTGTATAATCTTGAAAGAGCGAGATTCTTGCCGCAGTAAGCATCACGAGGAATGGGGGATCGGATACAACAGCCATCGTCATGACCAGCATCTTGTACCATCTCAAGAGTTTGTAGTGTCTCCAGAAGCGCAGAGACGAGTGCATCAACGACAAGGCTAGCACCTCCCTTACCTCCGCGCCTGTCTGACCGAAAGCATGCATCTCACCCCTGCCTTATTCCACGTTCCGACTGGACCCCCAACTGAACGAGTACCGGCTTCGCTGGCCAAATATCAGTTGGTGTCTCTGCGTAGGATGTGCACCGAAATGAAATATCTTCCCAGAACCTCTGCCGTGGTCGCTCCGCTCGGTGCGTCATCGACTCCGATACCGAGGACCACGACGCCGAAAAGACAGCCGAGGTCACCAAGAACATCTGCGATGAGCTGAGCAAGCCCATTTGCTACTGCAGTAGCAAAAACGTCGATTCCTGCAATACCAGAAACGACGACCTCCCTGCATTCGCTGAAGAGTGCGAAAACCAGGGAGGAACGACCACCATCGACTGTTAGGCTATTCGAGGTATGTTTCAGAGAGAATGAAGTGATATGAGGCTGATGGTGAGCTATAGATACGACCTTGACTATACGTTCTGGAGATTCGGAACAATAATTAATAAATACTTAATTAAAAAAGAGTTCCATCCTGCCTCAAGTGGATGTAATATTTCTCATATAACATGGAAATAGTAGACAACCTGACAGTCCAGATAAATAGTAGTACCCGGCAAAGTCCGCCTCGTCCGCAAATTCCCACTTATCGCTGCAGCCTGGTGATTTGGTGTGGCTGGAGACATGGAATATATCCTGTGAATAAAAGACTATTCAAAGAAGTAACGATTTCTTTACCAACTCGAGATAGCCCCTTTATATACCATGCACCTCCCACTCTTACTCAGTTCTATCATCTTCCCAGCATCTACACTTCAATCCAGTCGTCCTTTGCTATCGTCTATCAATATTAAGAGGTTGCTTCTAGCAATCTTGAATCCTCAAACCACAATCGCATTTCGGGACGATTGTCGAACGCGTCGCGGTTTCACATATCCCAAATACGGTGTGGACAGTTACAGAAGACTGTAACCAGCAGTGTAAGTCTACATCTCAGTGCAAGCAATCCTGGTTTCCCCACTAACGAAAGCAGGCGAATTCGAGGTTCTATCTCTGATTTTAGAATATCGCGCCGGACCTACCTGGAGAGACATCGTCCGTTCTCTGTTTCGACACCGTCAGGAAAATTTCACCATCCAGATGAACGAGTCATGTAGACTCCCTGTTCATATATTTTCAGCCAAGGCTGTTTTTGGTATTTGTTGAGATCATCCGTTCGACTAAAAAGATGATCACTATGATTGGTCTTCATGGAATTATTATTTCAACAGTATTCTCAACGTTGGCGCGAAATTATATACTACGGAGCCATAGAAGATGGATAAGCCTGCAAATTCGGACATACGCTGTATCTAGTGAAACTGGGTAGAACCATGACGGACTGTAATTGCAAAACTGAACGTGAAAACCATTGAATCAAGGAAACTTCATCTCCACTGCTCTGTCGCCAATACCCCGTAGTCAAGCTCGAATAAGATCGAAAAAGAGAAAAACCTATTTCCTCATCTTATCCTTGCCCTCCTTCCTCTTCTTAATCGCCTTCCCAAACATCTTGGACATCGTGACAAGAAACTGAACCGCACATTCTTCGCTCGAGGCAGCCACAAATCTCTCTCGTTCAACCTTGCCAAGAACTGCCTTCTGGCCCTCTGGGTTGATCCAAAGGACTTGTCCGGTCGAGGAGAGGGCAAGGATATTGAGAGCGTTTTCATCGTTTCCGGTTACCATGAGTTTGATGATTTTGTCGTTGACAAATCCTGCGCCTGGGATGATTGTATCTGCTCATATCAGTAAATGTCTTCGATTCGGATACTGACGACAAACCTTTCCATTGGTTGCCAGACAATGTGAGATGATGGACCTGATTATTCGAATCAATGTAAAGCAGGTGGAGACTCTCATCATCTCCGACAAACGCCGTGTGGGGAATAGCCGACGAAGAGGAGATGGAAGTTGGGGTGAGGGACTCAACCTCTCCACCGGGTTGAACTCGCATTCCTCGAAGCCGGCCTGATGGATCCTGGAAGACGACAATCTGGGTGTCTTCCAGCAAACAACCACTCAACCGACTCTTCGGGTGAACAGGAATAGATTCGCCATCCCGAAGCAGGACGAAATTCCATTCTTCTTCATCTGCGTCGTACTCGTAGCATTGAAGGTTATGCTCTGCGTCAAGGCAGAAGATCCGTCGCTGGAGGAATAAGCAACTGTCCAATGGAGAATAGACCATTGTATCTACTTACACTATCCTCGTCAAGCAGATAGACAGCAGGAGTAGACTCCTTGACATCCGCAGCGATAAAGACCTGCTCGCGGACTTCATGTCCCGTCCACAGTTTTTCGATCAAGTCTCCGTCTTCCTCGGAGACGAGATACATTCCAGAGCCGTCAGGTGGCATAGCTCCGGTGGCCGCAGTGAAGTAGAGAGCGAGATCGTGAAGAGTAACATCCATTTCGTCTGGTAAAGATATTCGATTGAGGTGGATTGGTGAGAGACTGCTTGCTCGTTCAGAGGACTGGCTTCTTATAATCTCGCGAAACCATTCAGCATGTCCGATATCAACTGCCGAGCCAACACAGCCACGCCAACATGCTTGATATCACGCTCCATGATTGCTTTTCACAGTTGAAACACATAGCAGAAACTAATGCATTGTTGTCATATACATCTTTCCAGAATCGGGCACGAGGTTCACTCATCGATGTAGATCACGGATTGATCGGATTCAAAGTTATCAGATGACACTTTAGATTAGGGATAAAAGAGCCAGCACCTCCTCATTGGAAGGAGTGTGTTCCAGATTATTCTTCTTCATAGAACGTGGCACTGTTGAAACCCTAAGCTGACAACCATGGCTGAACACTTCACCTTGGACCCTGCGTTCTACGATATCGCGTGGGACTAGCACATCGAGCCCGAGGAAACAGGCGGTCTGCGATTCTCCCGCGTCCAGAGTCGGGAGAAGTGGGTTGTCAAGTTGAAATTCATCCAGCAAGGTTCGCTTCCTTCGAATGGTCATTGATTCCATTTGCAATCTAACACGTGGTAGGGCAACTGAACTTCGGAACGGGCTTCTTTATTAACCTTCCCGACGTGAACTTCCATGTGATCCTGACGGCGGGTCATAACCTGATTGACTCGAAAGGCAATCCGTCCGAGGGGTTGAGGATCGAACAGTTGCCTGGTGATCAGCCACAGCCGAACATGCAAGATCTGCGCACGCACGTGTGTCCCGAGTATCAAAATTTTCCGGACTCGGCGAATCTAGAAAACGACTATGGCATTATCCTGGTCCCAAAGGCCAATGATGTGCCTTCACGTGGGTTTGGGTTTGCGGTGAAGCTTGGTCACGTTGATCTGCAGAATGCAAGCCTGGAGATGTGTGGGTACCGGGCAGGTTCAGAACCCGGCAATTTGGACACCAGTAATGGGAAGTGCAAGGGGTCCGGGAATGGAAGGTTGACATACGAAATTACCACGGAGAAGGGCCTTAGTGGCTCCCCTGTTTCCATGCCTTACAAAGGACACGAGACAGTTGTTGCTATCCAGTGAGTCACTCGGCCATGAGATCGAAATAATCATGCTAAGCAAAGACCTCCAGTAACAACGCGCCGAGAAAGGAAGGGACAGGAAGCAGGGGTGCCCGTTTGAATACCAGAGTTCTCCAGCAGATCTTCAAATGGACTGGTTCGGTGTATGAGAACCAATCACTCAGAGTGTGCGACAACGAGGCACCCCCGGAGGGTCTCTATCTCCGCTTCATCCCAGAAGACGAGTAAGGCTGGGTGCGGTTGGGAAAGGAAGGACTCGATACAACGTTTGACATTTTCCCTGCCTATGCGCCTACGCCCAACGTTAACAACAATCCGTTGTATGTCTTTCGCCATCGATCTCCGCCAGGATGGCCGCAATCTTCGAAAGAGCGGTGGGTGCTGTGGGATGTTGTTCAGAAATCTGTTCGCTTGACCAATCATCTACAAGAATTCTGCTTTCCGCGCATTGTGCGCGATAAGAAAAATGAAGGTGGGGTGCGAATTGTGATGACAACGTTGGGCGGGAGGATGAGCAATTTGATGGAGTTTCGCATGAACTGTGAGGAAATCGCAGAGGAAGACAAAGAAATGGGCCACCTTGACACGCCAGAGATTTCCATCGAACGTCACTTCGGAAATAAACAAGCCAGGGTATGTATTGGTTGACCGGGTAAGATCTGATACTGACGAAGATGTTTAGTTCAACAGCTTTCGTTTCGAGAAAGGGGAAGGAGGGACATAGGGCGAATGGAAACTTGACAGTTCGGTATTCTGGGGATTGCGGTTAGCTAGACTTGTTTCAGGATTGCGCAATATGACATACTCGTGCATGATGCAGTATCAATGATTGACTACATCTCACACCGCCGAAACAGCGGGGTAACCGACATTCAAACTTGCAACCCCTCTGCAACTTCTTCAGTCCTTCGTTGGGTAAAGATTCGTTGTTTTTTCACCCACTCCCGGACAGAACCGTAGATCCTAAGTCTAAGCCACTGAAATGTTTGATCAAACCCGGCGCGAACCAGAGCCCAACGGTCAGGGATTTTCCGGAACTGTTCTTCGACGTGGGCGAGTATGTTGGGCCCCGCTTCAAAGACACTGTCGATGAATATGACGATACCAGCGACCAGGGGTATCAGCTGTCCGGGTGACTGAAAATCGTTCAGCGGCGATAATTGATTCCAGTAAATGGTTGTTTCAACGGCGATAATTACCAGAATCCATGCCAGCCAGCGTAGTATCGCGATTCCCTTTCGATGGTTTTCCCAATCGATCCTTTCAGCAATCTGTCGGTATTTCTCCTCATGGATCTTCTCTCCGTCTTCCTTGCTGATTTCTGCATGATTTTCGCGGTACAAGCGCCATGATATTTCGATGACGCGCGCCACCTTGTACACATACGGCAGGGAAAAGAGGGCATCAACTGTGCAAACAACCAATGCGACATATTGAAACCAGCCAGTAATAGACACCGGAGCGAAGAAAAAAATGATATTGGGAGTTTGCAGTCGAGGGAGGGTATGGATTAGACGGGCGAATGTCCACAGTAAGGCAGCACAAGTTCCCAGCTCAACCAGGACCAGGGTTATCAGGCCGATCGTTTCCCCGACGACATTCCGTGGATTTAACAGGGTCACTTTTGCGGGAAGAGACAAACTCATCACGATAAGCAGCACCATAATAGCCTCACTCGGACTAAACAACCCTTGGGCGGCAAATACATACCACGACGCCAAAAGGGAAAGGGTGATGCTACCCGAGGCTATCTTCAAACCCTTGCCATAGTCTTCCTTGATGCTGTAGTTGTAAAGAATCATACCTAGCGCTTGGAGATAGAACCCCACGCGCACACCGATCCCATACAGATCCTGAGCTGCATCTGAATTACCGACCGAAGGGTCGCGGGGTAACATTGTAACTGCTGCAAGTGTCATAGTGGGGGTAAATTTTTTTTTTTTTTTCGTCACAAGATAGTCGCAAAATAGAGTTAAAAGGAATATCCTGTCAGTCTGCAAATTTTCCCCGAGAAATACCCCAAAATTGGGCAACAGATATGTATGTGACGAGGCTGTATGTAAACATTGTGATGTGACGTGTCATATCGAAACTGCAACGGGCAGAGAAATGTCGTCCAACATTTTCGGGCAGAACTAGAATCACTCTGGAAGGGTATTCTTGCGTATGATCTGCCAGTAATCGCCCCAGATGTTTGTTTGTTGACTCATTTCAAGAGTCAATTCATCATGTTCATTTGGTTGGCCCCACTGGTGGCATTTGCAGTGCGGACATGCTGGCTAGTAGTAGTTACCAGGTCCACAGTTCCTCTCAGGCATCACGCCGCGAGGCTGAAAAAGGAGGGGTTGGCGTGGGTGAAGCGAGCACCACTAGCCTCTTCACCGAGGTTTCTGATGGAGGGCGTGGGATGGACCAAATGAAAACAACAATTTTCCATTCAGCTCGTTATAGCGTGCTGTCCTTAGTGACTTGGTATGTTGGGCAAAGATGAAGCGAGACGAGATGAGATGTTCGAGTGTGGTAGAAGAAGGTGGTGGATGAGATGAGCCCCATGCCATGAGCTGTCCTTCCTATCCCAGATATATCAGCGAGAGAGAGCATGGAATTCGGAGGGAAACAAGCAACTCACCAGCGATCGATCCATCATGGATACTATCTACCAACTCGCGCGAAACGGCACCCTCTCTGCGACAGACCTCGAACGAACTGATCGCAGTGGAATCGATTTCCTCGACCCGAAAAGCAGTCTCACTCCCCTCGGTGTCGCCGTCTGGCACGGCCATGTCGAAACTGTCAAACTGCTTCTCCAGCACGAAGCCGATCCCAACGGTGTTGAAGGAGCACGGCCTCCTCTCTGGGTCGCCGCCGCGAGAACGCGGAAGAATGCTGGTCGCCTTATCCAGATTCTTCTGGACAGAGGCGCCAATGCTGCGAAACCGTCCCCCGTGCCCGGTGACAGAGGTTCAACGCCACTGTTGAGCGCAGTCAAGAATCGCCTGTCCCCTGAAATTATCAGCGAGCTTGTCGATCACGGAGCCGATCCAGACGAAAAGATCAACAGGCACTCTGCACGAGATATTGCGGAGGGTAAGCGCCAGCGAAAACTCCTCCAGGCGATGCGACCGCGGAAACAGCGAAACACTACCCGCATACTCGAGGTTGGCAAGATACTTGCTTTTCTCATTTCCGTGGTGTATTGCGCCAATATGTGCATCCACGGTGCCGCTGCTGTGTGTGTTGAAGTTGCAACTGTTGGTGTGGTGGCTCATGATGCTATCAAACGACGCTTCGGAATGACCGGAAAGCTGGACGATCAACTCTCAGAGGTAGGTTGACACTCTAAATAAATTACCATCGTCGAGATTATGTGACTGACTGGCTTTTTAGGCCATCCTCGAACAGAAGGAAAAAGAAGAGCTCCTCGAGGATATGACGAAGTTCATAAACGATAGCCACTTGGATCTTTTTTTCCCTCCGGAACATTCCTTCTTGAAAACTGTCGTCGAAAAGGCTGTAAATTTGAAGAAGGACCCGGATAACACGTTGGATACAAAAGACTTGACCCGGGTGGCTCTTTACCAACCCGTCCTGTACTGCGGTATGAACTTTCCTTCCGAGAAAATATCATCGAACCTCATTGACAGTTCGATCGATGCAGATGACAGTGGATCGATGAAAGAAGGCCAACGGATAGAACACCAGAGAGATGTCGTCCAGCGCATCACCAACATCACCACCCGAATCGTTCCAGACGGAGAAGGTATTGAACTACGCTTTATCAACGAGCCAACCACACCCGAGATGACCCGACCATCACTCGACACAATCGAGGCCATCATGGGCGGTGTGCCCTTCAACGGATGGACAGAAATCGGCACCAACTTGAGAAGAAGGGTTCTTGAGGATGCCGTGTACGCGCCGCTCAACGGCGACGGTTTACAGCGCCCGGTACTTGTCTCTATCATCACGGATGGCTATCCGGTCGGGCCTCAAGGCACTCCGGAAAGGAGCGAGACGCTCAAGGGAGCGATTTTGGAATGTGGAAGGGTTCTCAGGCAGCATGGATATCATCCAAATGGTACGTCATAGTCATGATGGCCGATGTGGTTTCTTCTGACGAAAAGAAGTGGTTCGCTTTCAGATCAGTCAGATCGGCAATGATCCGGAAGCCGACAGGTTCCTTGCGGGTCTCAGCGACGACCCTGATCTCGAAGATGTCCTGTACTGCACCACAGGTAGGTAACTCTCTCTTTTGAGATGAAACTAAGCTGACGATGTGACAGAGCGATTGGACGATAAGTTCAGAACAATGAGGAATAACGAAGCGAGACTCGAGCAATGGGTATGTGGCGATATTTCCCTCCTTTCTCTCCTTTTTTCCTTACTAACTTCTTCCAGCTTCTTGAGCTATTGATGGGACCGATTATCGATGGGGACCGTGTGTGATGGATATATATATGGGTCGAATTTGTTGTGCTTCGCTGGCGAGGCAACAACATACTGCGACACCGATGGCGGCGAGACTTCATCTCAAAACGAGAGAATCGTTCCCTCTTCCAGATCTTCTATTCATCGTGTTCGACTCATTCTTTGCGCTGCTTTTTCTCTTACTCAGAGATAAGAAGGCTTCCTACCACCGTCAATTTCGCAGATGCTGCTGCAATGGACTTTCCTTTTTCACCTTCTCTCTCCTATTTGATTCAACATATTGTTTTGCATTTATCGCGTTCATAACAGATTGACATTTCATTGTTTTCATTCTTTTGTTGAGCAATGCATTTTCAGGTTTGACTAGTTTAAACAGTGCGACTAAGGATTGTTGTTGGATTTGAATTTTGGTGCAATATGATTTTGTTATCGACTATTCTAATGCATTCTTTGAGATTTTCCGAGTTGTACTCCGTGGTCATGGTGTGGAAATCGCAAGTCCGCGACTAAGCGATGAGTCCCTGCATTTCCGGGCAATCGTGGCGCTATTCTGTAGGGCCGGCGACGGCGTGGCTCAGTCCTGTGGGTCTGGAGGGACGACGCCCAACATACCACCACGGGCGATATCATACGCGTGACAGATAGCTGGTCGGGTAGTGAACATGCGAGTTTATCCTTCCGTCATATCGAGACTTGAAATACGATTGGTACCCATGGTGAGAGGCGTTGCGAGACGTTTTCTCTGCCATAGGTCGCACGAAGCCGTCACCGGTGCTACATTAGTGTAGGCTACTGCCCATGTCTATTGTGCTGTGCAAGTAGACGTAACGGATAACGTGTATGTCGGTCGGGAACCACGATTCGGATTCGATCATGTGTACAGCTGGGCGGTGAATATGCCCAACGACAGTTCGTTATTTATGCACCCACTGCCCCTACGGCATTCTCGTAGTACCGTTTATCCATACCAGCCTGCAATCGAGCCTCCTCGTTGAAAGGTCCTCGAATAGGCCCACGGAAATGCTTGGAAACGTTTGTCCGGAAGACATGCACGGGGTCGGTGCCTTCTTGCTCGCAAATCCACGTAAGCCATCGATGGCCGGTTGTGACATGTGTGATCTCATCATTGTGGATAACCTCCAAGACTGCGACACTTTCGGGGTCGCCGGCTTTGCGGAATTTCTCAATTGTCATGGGATTAACATCGAGACCGCGAGCCTCATGCACGAGAGCAATTATACTGATTCTCGATCGGATATCGTGCGCCGTTTCAGTGGCCGACAGCCAGAGACCGTGGTGGACGGGGAGAGAACCGAAATGAGAGCCCATTTCTTCGATTCTTGCTCGGAGGATGGAAAAGTGTTTCGCTTCGTCGGCGGCGACCTTTAACCAGTCGTGGAAGAAGGTTCGTGGTAGTTCCCTGCCGTGTCCTTCTGTCTGGAATTTTGAGAATCTCGCACAAATGTCAATTGCAAGATCAATCGCCCACAACTCGATATTTGCGAGGGCATGAAGCATTGCAATCCTACTCTTCAGTGTTCCTCCCTTTCCAGGTCTAGGCATGTATTGGGGTTTGACCTCGGTCAATCCTTCGCGAGGAGGTTGAGCTGGCGGGCTAACGGTACCTCGTCCGAGCTCCATCGGAGAGGACGAAGCCTCCCTGCTCGTGAATGTAGAGAATAGGTGGGTAGTCAACTCGATCTTGTGTTCTGGATGAGGCGTGTTCAGGATGTGAACAGCCCAGTCACACACCGTCGCATTATCGTCGAGGTATCGAGCGACTCCCGGGTCTCCTGGAGAAGTAGGCACAGTATTCTCCGCTCGCTGATTCTTCAACTTGACCTTTTCACTCACAGGCTCCAACTTGACCAGTCCGACATCTTCAGCAGGGTATCCCAGCGTCACAAACTCGCCCCGAACATCAACCGGGAAAGTGCACGCGGTGATCCCGACGCTGGACTCGCCCGTCTCTACGTTGAAATCGTACGCATGCCAAGGACACGAGACGACGTAAGCGGAATCCTCAATATCGACCGAGGAGTCAGCCATGGGGCCACCGGCGTGAGGACATTCCGCCTCCATGGCAAAATACGACCATCCGTCATCGGTCTCGTTAGCTTTCGATCTCGACGGGTCGATGGACGGCAGGCGGAACAGCACCAGGCGCTTGCCGGTCGATAGGTGAATCACATATCGCGATTGTTTGAAGTCCGACAGCACACCGAGTTTGATCGACATTGTATCTGTGGAGCAGCAATGAGACGGTGGCGAAAGGAGAGTTCAGAAGTCCAAGGCGTGCTTTTTTCGTGTCGATTTTGAGATCATGTGATTTGGTGGGCTGCCCCGCGCTAGTCCAGATATGGTTAGGCCAGGAGAACGCCGACGCCAAGTCCCTGCCAAGACCTCCGCCAAGATCGAAAAGGAAAAACAAAAATAATGCGTTTTATGAAGATTATTAAGTATGCAGATATGCATCTGTGTATGTATCCTGATGCACCATGTCGAGTCAGTTTCTGTGCTGTTTATCGCTGCATTATCCCTGGTGCATACGCAGACCTGTCAGACATAAGATAGGAATAAGACGTAATTGATAGTACTCGGTCAGCAACATCAGGAATCAGCTCGGAATCAGGTGCAACGTCTGGACTAATTAATGACGCACTGAGATACCAACTGTTCGATGGAATACTCTCTCATTCCACGATACGGGGCCTCTCACATGGGAACAAGTATCAACATCCACATTTATTTATAATAATCATCTAGCAACGCAAATAGCCACGACTAGGCGGAACTCTGCGGTGGCTCAGCTCCGCTGCCCCTCATCGCATCTCGCCCTGCCCTCCCCTATCCAGATCCCTGACATCATGGCCTCCACAGCGTGGGGCGTGCCCTACACGGATATGAACCAAGCACCAAATCACAGCGCCACAGCCCCCCGCCGATCCACCATCGCAACCTCAGCTCTCCATCCACAGGGCGATAATCTCAACAGGGCCAGCCTATCAGCGGGCGTACACGTGTCTCGGAATTGCATAATCGCAATAACGGATGGGAGTCTCACCTGAGAGTCAGCCCAACCCACCGCTGATCATGCTGGTTCCAGCATGAGGGACGGGAGCTGAAGGGCTGAGAAAGGACATAAATACCCCTCTATTCCCCTCCTCGTTCTGTTTCCCATCCACAAACAAACACTTTTCTTTTCCAAACCACTCCAACCCTCATCACATCTATTCAAAATGACTTGGTTCGGTATGTCTTGGACTTTTCCGCATCTTCTCATCGAGTCAATACTAACTTGACCAGGCGACGACCACGAGAATGCCCACCACCACAAGGCCGTGAGCGAGGCTCAGGGCCACGAGGGCCACCTCTCCCACGATGCCATCGGTGGAGCTGCCGCCTACGAGGCCATGAAGAAGTGGCAGGAGCACCAGGCTGCCAACGGTACGGTCCCTCATACCTGACTTTCCATATCATCATCTAATGCATCTACAGGCAAGCCTTCCGACCACGCCAAGGCCAAGGAGATCGGTGTCGGTCTCGCTACCGCTGCCGTCACTCACCTGTTCGAGACCAAGGGCCTCAACGCTATTGACCGTCAGAAGGCTGAGCACCGTGCCAAGAAGGACGCTGAGGAGGCTATCGCCCGTCAGTACTAGAGGCTTTACTTTACCTCTTGATATGATTGCGATGAATATATAAATCAATTCATACCCATTTATGATTATATCCATGAACAGCTAAATGTAGTGTTATTCCTGATTCTCATCGTAAACATAACTTAATCGGAGCTGAGGGTGAGGACATCCGTGGTTATCAGACATTCAGGGGCAGTGCGGGGTCTGCCGATCAACGTGTATCCATGGAACGACTTCACATTATCTACGATATCTTAAAGTTGAAATAGTCATCCCTGAAGATCCATCAGAGTGCTAACCTTTTGTCCATGTATGATAAACACAAGGAATATCTATGCCGAGAACGGCTGAAGAGCTTGGCAATTTAAATGATACTCTATCTGTATCTGAGAAATTAGTTCCTTTGCCAATATTGTGAATATATATTCCGATGCAGCTGTATAATTCAATCAGTCATCTAAACCCTTGATGTCTTCCATGCTGGACACTAAATCAGTTCGTTTACATTCCTGGAAGTCTTGAGATAGCAGTGGACAGATATGCTAAGTGGCATCTTTATCGGGTGGGCACCAGAGCTATACAGAAATATTAAAAATCAGGTCACATTGCATTACTTGAATCGGATACAATCAAGGTAACACTGTGTGTGCAGTTTTACTTTATATTCCTTTGAAATGACCATACTTAAGACCAACTATATTATCACAGGCCAGTTGAATGATGGATGTACAGAACTGTTGTTTAGTATAGAAAAGCCCAAGTTTGTTTGTTTAGACTATATACCTGCCATAGACGTGACCATCGACATGAGAGTAAAATCAAATAAACTTATCATAAGTAATCATAACGATGAGAGGAGAGAATTCTTGTCTAGTCATACAATTTAATCCCTGCAGCAAGTCGACTTCGTCACAGACAGTCGACAATAACAGGAAGCAGCAATAGCCACGTCAGCACAAGCCATCGCGATATCCCGCTGCATCTGAATCAACAACGCTTCCTCCTCCTTACCACCACGCACCAAACACTCATACAACCCATGCAATCCCCAAACATTATTTGGTCGAGCCTTTCGCCGGGGAAACGATTTACTCAGTCCGAGGTCTTCACGGTAAACCGTCTCTGCCTCGGTTACGTGCCCTTGTTCGAGGAGAAGCGCACCGAGAGCATGTCGAACGGGCTGCATCCAGGGATGTGGATCAGAGTATGGTAGTGCATCTTCCAATTCGACTGCCTTTCGCAGAGAAGAGAATGCGATATCATAGTTTCCCTTGCGGTATTCCAGTTCGCCTTTCAGCATGGCTCCTCCGACGTTGAGGACGTCGCTCTCCTTGGTCGGAATGCTATTCAGACGTGTTTCAGGGACAGCAGCACGGGCGGCTTCAAAGTGGGTCAATTCTGTATCAGCCTCGTCAGTTCGACCGAGTACGCTGAATGCAATGCCACGCGCGTAGTGTATCATAGCTGTCGTTGAGCAGAACAGTTCCTTATCAGTCGGCAATTCCAGCGAGAGAATCTCCTCCCACCGACCAAACCGAACTAGCGCATGTGGCAATGCACCCAGGAAGCTTTCTACCCAGTCGGCCATTGGGGGACTGCGGATGGACAGTAATGGCACGTCAACAATATCCCACAGCTTCTTTGCAGCGCAGATGGCATCCTTGGATCGACCGGACATGATGGCTGCGTACGTCTTCGCGTAGACGTTATGCGCACGATACATGGTGTAAATCACCGATCCTGTCTCCCTCGCAAAGTACTTGTCGTCAGACACCATGGCTTCATGGTTGGAGTCGACTGCACGGCGGTAATCGCCGCATGCAATGTCGATATGCGTGGGCATGTGCAGCATATGCGAGCCATCGGGAACAAGACGACGTAACCGATCAGCGCCGGGTAGTGCCAGTTCCGCGAATGGTGACATCTCCATGAGATGGATATACAGATGGGGAAAGGCTGGATTCTCCGGGCCATCTGTATGCTTTGCCATTGCGGACTCGAGAATCTCACGGGCTTCAACAGTGTGAGGGCCGGTTGGCTTTCCGGTTTCTAGACTCCAAAGTGCTCGAGGACTGATGCACATTAGTGCTTCGACGAAGAGCGTGATGACTTCTAGGTCATTCGGATAGGCCTGGTATACCGGACGAAGGGCATCGGCGTAGGCCAGATTCAATACTCCTAGATCATCCGGTATGTTTCCTACCGGGAACCTCGCAGAGAGTGCTTTGATGATAGCTTTCTCAACAGGAGTCGCCTGTTCTGCTAGTTCAGCAGCACGACTCAACGCGGAAGTGGCTGTCTCGATACTGGCTTTGAGATCTTGCCGGTCAAATCGGGACCACGCCTTGTTGTAATTCGGACCGATAGCGTAGGCGATACCCCAGAATGCCATGGCGCAGTTTGGATCGGCCTCTGTGGCTCGAATAAAGCAGCGCTTTCCTTCTTCATGGTTGAATGAGTAGGACCAGACGAGGCCGCGGTTGAACCAGGTCTGAGCCTGTGGAGATGAGATGGTGATTGAGCGGCGATAGTCGCCGAGGTCATAGTATTCTTCCATTTCTATACAAAATGAGGTTTATGATAGTACCTAATGGAGAGCTCACTGTCTCTTAAATATTGTCCATCGGAGACTTATCGATAGAGTCATGCAATTCGGACACTTTTCACTGTCAGTTATAATAAACAACATCCAATCATGAATCTGACCAAACACCGAGAATGATCCGCATCGGCGATTGCTGACATCCAATCGGATATTAATGACAGTCTGACAGGGATTGTGATCACATGATAACCCCTCATTTCCACCTTAAATACCCCTCTTTATCTCACTATCTTCAACCAGTTTCATCAACATACGCCGAAATGTCCGCCAAGCCCGTTCTTCACTATCTTGATATTAAAAACCTCGGCCGTGGAGAGGTTGTTCGGTAGGTAGCCAATAGAATAATAATCCTGTTTAATTGTTAATATTTCTAGCCTCTTTCTCCACGATGCCGGTATTGATTTCGAAGACAAGCGCTATCCGCTCGATGACAGCTGGGCCAAAAACAAAGCCGACCTGAAAGAAAAGGGTCTGACAGTCACTGGCTTAGTGCCGTCGCTGGAATACAAAGGCGTTGTTTTGACGCAGGTTGGTCACCTTCCTACGACGTCATATAAAAATATTAATGGTGCAGCACATCCCCATCCTGCGATACCTATCCCGCGAACTCGGCCAGTATGACGGCGAAACCAACTACGACAAATGGCTGGTTGATGCTGTTTCCGACATCTACATTGACTGGAGGGTACGTCGTCTTCCCTTGAATGTTACTTCTCATCTGACAATGCAGGACAACTGGGTGCGAAACTTTTTCAACCCCTTCCCCGAGTACAAGACCGAGACGGCACCGGCCTTTTACAAGAACATCGACCACTACTACTCCAAGGACAAGAGCGGTCCCTATCTGCTTGGAAATACCGTCAGCTATGCCGATTTTGCGGTGTTTCAGGCGATTGATAATGATATTACTACTGGTGGTATTGCACAGGTATGGATATTTTCTGAGTTGATTATAGTGATGCTGACGATGTAGGATGCCCTGCCCGAGTCATTGGTCGTGTTGAAGAAGGCCATCGAAGGTCGTCCCAATGTGGTGGAGTATTTGAAGACTAGGTAGATTCTGTTGGTCTTAGGCATTGCAGATGGGTAGTCGAATCGTGAATATTGTACATTCAAATGCCAACTTGGGAAATTATCATATCAAACTCATTTATCTGTCTAACTTCACCCCTGGTAGTATGTGTGCACTAGACATCATAGTTCAGAACAAATTTAACGTAAGCTAAAGAGGGACAACAGAAGCAACTATCACAATGATGAATGTAACTCAGTCCTGACTCTCAGGCACTCGCCGTGCCATCCACTCAGGCACTTCAGCCATAAAACACACAGAAGAGCAAATCGTCGTGAAGTCAGCACCCGTGGAACGATCGACAATACTGAATGCCGGACCAAAGTGCCTCGGTTTATTCACCCGATCAAGATGACCAGACAGCCAAGCAGGCCATTGCGCCAGAACCATCTCTTGTATTGGCCATGTTTCACCGTAGTAAGAGACGTTCGTATTACGATGGAACTCATCCCCAATCAAAGGCTCTTCGTCTGCCTCTGGGTAATGCAGCCAGAGATTCATGGACGGTGCCACGAGGAAATCAGGAGATAGAGCTTTCAGGCTAGCGGAGAGGACGAGATCCGATCCTTTAAACGCTCGGGGGAGGAGGTGCTTGGCGTACCAGGTGTTGTGGGGATAGGCATGGGCGCAGTAGATACCTACAGTGCCGCCTGGAAAAGTGTCAGATATGGATTATTATGATAGGGGGTGCATACTGACCCCCTTGGTAAAATGAAGGCATTCCGAACAGACCTCGTAGGTATTCGTAATACGGAAGAGTCTGGACATCGATGATGGGATTATTGTGGCTGATGAGACTGCCAACCGGCTTAGTGATGTAGAGGCGACATACAACCGTGACTCGATATCCTTCTGTGAATTTTCGTATTTGCTGTTGGCAGTCATTGTAGAAGGCATCCCATTGGATTGTCGATGTGCTCTGCCTGCTTCAGTTGAATTTGACCTGATTGTCTTGTACCGGATGGCCATATCGCCCCCTTTAAACGTTGATGGTAGACAAACTACCAGAGAGCCGATTTGATGCTGTGAGTATGGGACTTTTGTCGGTCCAGACATTACAGTAAATTGATAAGGCTCTGCAGTAACTCTGCAGAACTCCAGACAGTTCTACAACTCACTCAGAACAGTCGGGAGAAGCGTCTGTTCGATACTATGGATAATCCCCTAATCTGCCGGATGGAATGTACTCGAAAAGTGATTCGCATCAATACTCCCACCAGTGAAGGTGTCCTGTAATTCCCGTACACGATTCACGTCATCACGACTAGGCAAATTCAGATGTCGAGAAATACTATTCTCCGTATGCCAGTAGATTCGAACCGGAGGGGATGTACGCCGTGTCTGTTCGGGTGTAAATGTGGGAGTGCCAGTCGAGGCGATGGGCATATTTCCTCCACAGACGAATGTGGTAGATTTGGGATTTTTTTTTTTTTATCCATTCTCCCAGCAGGTCGAGGATTTTGTAAAGGGCTTATTCTTGGAAAGATGGGATGGAGTCGCTGTCTTCGTTTTCGGACATGATGGCTTGCGTGGAAGGTTTATAAGATAAGTGATATGGTGGTTCACTCTATACTGGTATCTATGGTAGATATGACGTGGATTACTGCCTGGTATACAGTTAAATTAGGCATCTACGTCGGATGACGGATCAGGGATGGCTTCATCCAGGGAGGAAACACCTAATCGTATGTACAGAAACGCGTTCTCCATTAAGATTTCCTCGCTTGATTCAGTCCACAGTTACAAAGTATTTGAGTACCAAAGGTCAGTGATGCTACACCCACGCATAATCCGGAAAAAAGCGATCGTGAATACGCTTCGCATACTCCACCACAACCGGAAAGCCATTGATAATAGACTGTGACTCAGGAGCCCTACAAAATTAGCATCTTCTCTTCAGAAACAAGATAAAATACTCACGCTGGACAAACACGCGAACCGACAATAAACCCGTAAAGTGTCGCGTCGACCTCTGTCGGGTCCTCTCCACCCAACGCCCAAAAGGGACTATCGCCGTCAACCTTAGCTCTAGACGATACGAGTAGATCGTTGATATCTTTCCAAATCTCTTGCTTAAACACTTTGATCTCTTCGTCTGAAAATCGCAGCGTTCCCTGGTTGTAGAGCATCTGTGTTTGTTTCCGGTAGACCATATTCCCGATGATCACGCGGAGGGGATATGAAAATGACGCGAAGAGATGGTCGCGTACGGTGTAGTAGTTGTGAACCCATTTTTCGTGGCCCTATCTTGTCAGAATTATCCACGGCTTTACTGAAGGGGAAATACCTGTAGAAAGTAATACCTATCCTCTAACAACGCTCGCAACGCAAGATCGAGTGTTTTGTCTTTCGGATGGAGTTTGGCGTTTAAATCGGGTAATAATCCATCACCAACCAGCTCTTGGATTATGAGTGTTGAATCTGAAATCATCCTGGAAGTCCCTTTATCCTCCACGGTAAGATAGGGAATCTTCCCTCGTGGAGATTGAAGGACGGATCCTTCCGTGGCATTATACGCGACATTGGCCAATCGCATGCGTGCTTCGAGTTTGTTGACAAAGGGAGACCATGTATAGGTGCCGTGGCCAGGGAGACCGCGGTAGAGGGTTATTTGGGGTGAAGTCATATTGGTTTTTTATTGATTGCTGGATCTCTCATGGGGGATGAAGTTAATATATAGACAAGAGGCTGTGTATAGCGTCGGTATTTGGAATAGACAACAGACCGAAATGTCCGATGTTAGCTTGTTTGATTGGCCAATCTCGTTTAATTAGCATTCCTTCAAACTTTATAATTCAAGTGTTGGATGCTTAGTGCTTATTTGTAGATGACTGCCTAAGAGCTATCTCATTTCGTACTAGTTTATCCATGCCAATTAGGAATGCGTATAGAATTGAATGCACACATCCTGACGTATGACGGAATATCCAATTGGGATATCTGCCTAATTAATGAATTTTGTGAGTCATCTAAATTATGCTGCACATTGCTTCGTCTCGTTGATACTTCATCTCTTATCGCCATCTCCACTTTCGTGCAGTATCTTATCTCTTATCTATAATTTATCTTATCCAATCTTATCGATATCTTATCAGCATGGTTCTACAGTCTTCATCTGCACTGGGTGTATTCGCCAAACTCCCACCCGAGATTCGTCTCAACATCTGGGAACACCTCTGGGACGACCTTTTCCCTTTTGGAGTGCGCAATTTTAAATTGCCAAAGCTCTACATTGGCCGGACGACACTGGCCATTCTCCGCGCCAGTCGACAGCTATACGAGGAGATATCACACCACTTGTATGCAAATCTCACCTTGGAGATTCATATCTCACCACGATATTTCGCGAAGGACTGGGCATTGTTCATCTGCAAAAACCCCCATGCTGTTTGGCGCATCGAGAGTGAGAAGGAAGCTGTCTGGTATGGGTTTCTGGACTTTCCGTATTACAAGGCGAAGATAGAAATCGTCCTGCATGCCCCGAGTCCGGATGATCCTGCTCAGGTGCATCTTGTCTGGCACAGGGCTCATAAGATTGTGGATTTTCTCAATCAAATGCCTGTCTTAAGAGCTGTGACTATACGCCTACATCCCTTCGGCGTCGAAAATGACTGGTGCAGGAACGGACGAGCGAATAGAAGTATACCGTACATGGACCTTCGCGATTACGATATTGCCTTTTTGCCATTCACCCGGCTACGGAATGTCGAGAAGATAGAGGCCGTCACGCATTCGCGCGAGCTGGACGAAGCTATCAACTGGAGAATCATAAAGCATGGGCGCGAATACATTCTCCGTCGCCATTGGATTCTTCCTGATATCCCGAAATATGAGAAGGTTGCTCGTGCGTTCTCATATCTCGATCTTTACCTTGCTCAGGTTCATTACCGTCTTTATCGCGATCTTCCGAGGCTACGGGGGAAGACCAAACGGAAATTGCTTCAGCGGTTGTGTTGGAAGCGAATTCAGCGCAACGGCAAAGGTGAATTGCAGGAAGCTAGAGAGAAGATTTGGTATCTGGAGAGTAAGAGGGAGAATGGGAGGCTTTTGCAAGAGAAAATATATGCGTGGTTGTGGTGTATTCCTGATCCAAGAGCCGATTGGCGCCTGCATCTGGGCCAGACTGGTTGTTTGGATTGGGCTTGACGTATTTTGACGTCTTTAAATAGCTGCCTGTGTGCCCCGATTAGGATGTATGCCTACTTTGCTCTGAGTCATCTAGTTATAATTTTATCATGAATGTCCACCTTCATACATTCTCTTTCCTCCGCCTATTAACTCTTGATCAGCATCATGGCTAGATCGGAACTAGGAGATTTTGCCGAATTGCCTGAAGAGATTCGAGTCTGTATTTGGGAGTATCTTTTCCCTTACGGGCTTCAGGTCTGGTACTCTTCTCCATTGTTTTATTATGGCCCAACAACTCCAGCTAGCGTTCTATGTGCTAGCCGAAGACTGTATACGGAGATCTCAGGCCATTTGTACAACAACCTTAGCCTCGACATTAACATTTCATCTCAATACTCAGGACATGTATGGGTAGAATTTACCATCAAGAAACTAGAGGCAAGGTGGCAAGTCATGGAAGAAGATGCTATACAGCGCGGCTTTCGAGACTTTCCATTTTACAAGGTCGATCTGATAATAAACATGCAGGCTCCGAATCCCCGTGAGCCAGCCCAATTGGGTCTACTCTGGTACAAATCCAAGAAGCTCGTCGAATTTCTCAATCTAGTGCCACGATTGAAATATGTGACGTTCTGGTTGAAGAAAGGCCCCTGCAACGATTGGTGTACGAACCGACAAGCAAACCAGAGTATGCCAAACTTGGACCTTGATGATCACGATGTTGCGTTCTTACCTTTTACTCGGTTGAAGAATGTTCAGGACATGGTAACATACGCACATTCGGAGGAGCTAAATACTGCTCTTGACTGGAAGGTCATCGACTACGGACGAGAATATATCTACCGCCGTAGATGGATCTTTGCTGGCGACAGCGAGTACGAGAGTGTTGCTCGCAATTTCGACAATCTGGAACGGTATTTGAGTATCGTTGACATTTGCATATATCGACGTGTGATACGACTACAAAGCCGAACGGCGGATATATTGAGTTCAATACTTACAAGGGATCATCTACAGCAGGAGAACAGGATAAAAGAGCGCAAGGCTCTTGAAAACTGGGTGTTTCATTGGTTGAAGAGCGTTCCGGATGGAGAGAGGAAGGTGGAATAGTGGTTTCCATTTTGTTGTCTTGTCGCAGTTGCTCATTTTGTATTCATAGCAAACAGATCCTTCCATTTCTAGCATAAACAACGAGTTACCTCGTCTTCTTCCTCTCATCTCATCAATTCCCCGTCGCTTCATTCCAATCCAAGTGCAAGAGAGCCTCTATCCACTCATCCATCGTTGAATGATTCACTCAACGCTTTCTTCACCATTTTCACCCGCCGCTATTTTGTTGACAGCGAGCTTTTTCGGCGTTTCTACATTTTGCACCTTCGTTATACGCGACCTTTGATGATCATGTCTTTGTTTTGAAAGTAGGTGGCATGCCATTCCATGCAGATTCGATTCTTACAAACATTTAGTCCTCCTCCGCTCCTCGCCGGCGCCTGCCCTGCTTCACTGATGTAAGTCCCCTTGCCATTCACCAAGAAGCATACTAACGTTCATTAGTGAAGATGATATGAGTCTTCGCCGAGACTCCGATGATACAAAACCCGATCGACCGATTTTCCACCCTGCGTCAGCCACCTCATCGAATCGACATGGCTCGCTTAGCAGTCGATATCTCATCGGTCTGGCATACAGCCGTTCTACACTGCTGGCAACTCGCACTGGACAAGGCTATCGCGCGGATCGAGGCTCCTCCATATACTGGCAGATTGTCTGAACAAGAAAGGAATCCTCAGATGGATAATGCATTTCTGGCTTGTTGCAAAGCCTGTGAAACGCAGCGGACGCCAATGGACTGCAACTGCCGGACTGAGTCGTCACACTCCAGAAGGATCTGATCAGGGTATCTTACCCAGAATCTGAAAGCTTGCGTCAATTATCTCATCAAGAACCATATGGATGTCGATCTCGAAATGGTTCGTTCAGCCGTCGATATCTATACTGATCGGAATACGGCCTGCCATGCAGAGGTTGGGGCTCCGGATATCGTCAACGACTTGCCAGCACTGGACAAGACTATCGCTCGAGATATCCAGAGGCTTCCCCAAATACTGCCCGATGGCTTGAAACCGAAACGTGAGATTTTGAGCCTCTAATGGATTTCTGCGGAGACAGTGCAGAGTGGTTCGCAAAACCGGCCGCTTGATTCCGAGTCCAACCCTCGTACCGATCGACAACAGCATCGCCTTCGACCATCTGGTCAAGCAAAGATCGGTGTCTCACAAGAGGTCGGTCCAAGACCTCAAATCGGATCTTCACAATCTTCGACAAACCCGACGTCTTCATCTGCCAAAGAGGAGGGTCTCCATGCCCCTTGCGGCATTCTCGAAGACATAGCGGAGCTCGAGTCAAAGGTACGCCTGACACTAAAGACGCTTTATGTCAAGCAAAGAAGTATCTCCAGGGCGCTGGACGAGATTGAAGGAAAGGAGAATTATCGGGGTTATTCATCGTCAATCATCGACTTGTATTGTCTTTCACCAGATTCATTGTATGATCGCACCACAAATGAAGATTTTGACTTTAATAAATACTGCCTTAATCCATAAAATACCCGTCTCTTGAATCTACGTTGCATTGTATTTCTAGATTAGGCTAAATGAAGTCATCGCAAGACTGCAAAACCCGGATAATCCGGCGGAAATTCCCCAGATTGCGAAATGTGGGGATGGAATGCGGGGCAATGTCCTCTGCGGTATAGAAACTGAAAGTAAATTCCGAAAGGTTAAATAAATTAACCAAAGAGGGGTTGCATCGAATTAAGTTTACTGAATATATATTCCGAAAGGTTGAATGATAAAAGAGGGGTTGTTGCATTGACCGCCACAGGATATATATAATGGCCACCAACGGAGAGTAAAAGCATCAAAATACAGACTCAATATGCGGACTCTTTTGCTTGCACTTGCTGCCAGTACTGCAGCACAGGAAATATATATCACCACCACTGGCTATACGACGCAATGTTCGCAAACAGCATCTCCAAGTTATCGTTTTCAGCCATTCTCCTACACTCTGAATGATACTGTTCGGTAAGGCAATAAATATAATGATATGAACAACTCTAATTGTGTAGATATGCACAGTCTATTCCATCTCCCACAACGACCAAAACCTACGGCCCAGCCTATACCGATGCCACTTTGCATTTGACAACAAGTCTGTCTACATCGACGTGGGGAAACTGGATCCCCGGACAGACGGTGGTTAGCGCGACAGACACGGCAGATCGATATGGCCAGGCAGCATGGTCGTCCATGTGGCAGGATGCTGATCTGAAGAACTACACCACGACTGGGCTATACTCGACGACTGTCAGTCCGACGGCAGTTCCGAGCAGTGAGCTTGTTCTTCCACCGCGCGATTACTTTGGTCCGACGGATTGCTACAACTTTCCCGATGACTTTGTCTTTGGTGTTGCTGGAAGTGCAGCACAAATCGAAGGTGCTATAGGTTTAGAAGGAAGATCGCCGTCCTTCCTGGAGAATCTGGCGACAGGCGATCAGCCCACCAACTACGTGACCAACGAGAATTACTTCTTGTATAAACAGGATATTCAGCGTCTGGCGGCGATGGGAGTCGAGTACTACAGTTTCTCGATTCCGTGGACGCGTATCCTCCCGTTTGTGCTGCCTGGGTCACCGGTTAATGAGCAGGGACTGGCGCATTATGATGACTTGATCAATACTGTATTGGACGCTGGCATGCAGCCGGTCGTGACGATGTTGCACTTTGACAGTCCGTTGATGTTTGTTGCGAGCGACAATCGCTCAGCACATCCCGACATTGGCTACAACAATGCCGGATACCAGAATGAAACCTTTGTCGACGCATTCGTCAACTACGCCCAGATCCTCCTGACGCATTATGGCGATCGCGTCCCGATCTGGGTGACCTTCAACGAGCCCCTGCTATACTCGTACAACTTCCAAGGCGTCGACAACGTCGTGCACGCCCACGCCCAAGTCTACCACTTCTACCACGACGTCCTCCACGGCACGGGACAGCTGGGAATCAAATTCAACGACAACTTCGGGGTCCCCAAGGATCCGCACAACGCCAGCCACGTTGAAGCAGCGAATCGGTTTCAGGATCTGCAGCTGGGCTTTTTCGCCAACCCCATCTTTCTCGGAAAGCAGTATCCGGCGTCTGTGCTGGAGACGATGCCTGGCGCGAGGAAGCTGAATCAGAGCGAGCTGGAGTATTTGAATAACACGGCGGACTTTTTCGGGATAGATCCCTACACGGCGACGGTGGTGTCGCCGGCTGACGAGGGGATTGAAGCCTGCGCTAAAGATGCATCGAGTAGCAATGCCCTCTTTCCCTATTGCGTCAAGCAGGAGACGATTAATATCCACGGGTGGAATATCGGCTATCGCTCAGACACCTACGTCTACATCACCCCGACCTATCTCCGCGAATACCTCTCCTACCTGTGGAACACATTCCGGCATCCCATCGTAGTCTCTGAATTTGGCTTCCCGGTGTCTGGCGAGTCAGAACTAGAACTATCGGACCAGCTGTACGATTCTCCGCGGAGTGTCTACTACCTCTCGTACATGTCTGAGATCCTCAAATCCATCCACGAAGACGGGGTGCATGTCCTGGGTGCGCTGGCGTGGAGCTTTGCCGATAATTGGGAATTCGGGTCGTATGAGTCGCAATTCGGGCTGCAGGTGGTGAATCGCACGACTCAGGCGCGGTTCTACAAGAAGAGTTTTTTCGAGTTGGTGGATTTTGTGCGCGGGAGGATGGATAAGTCGGGATAGCTGTTTCATGGAATAGGATAGAAGAATATAGGATCGGAATATTAAATAAACTATGGTATAGCCTAGCTGTGTCGAGTATAGAGGGTGTCTCAGAAGACGCAAAAATGGGTTTGTCTCAGGTTGAAACGCCGCGATTCATGGTTCGGGGCTAGACGAACCTCACCCGCATGGAGTACTACTCATACAGAACTGGGATAAGGAGTTTTTTTTTTGTGTTTATGCTCAAACTGGCTACAATAGCGTTCCGTTTGATGCCCTGGCTAGTACTGTTGATGCCAGCACGGAGTGATTGTGACAAGCTTAGTTTATGCTGTAATTTTATTGAAGCTGGCTATACTTCTTTTAGCTTGACTCATTACTCAGTTCTATGCTATGCTGGATGACTATCTATTATTCAGATGCACTGATGTGTTCGAGTCTATCCCCATCTAGTTAGACATAATATGGCCACTAGCCTCGCAAGAATACAACTCATCGATTCTCGAAAATACCTCACAGACCAGCCAGACCAATCCTTGATCCACTCGATCGCCCAGTTCGACTGTGTAACACGGTGAAACCCACCGTTCACGCCTTGTCCAAGGTTCACGGCCCTTCTCCCCAGAAACCCACATGCTATATCTCACGCACGAACGTCGATCACCACCTGTCGTCTGCTCGGACACCTGCTATCCGAGTTTTATACTGACACTGGCTGTGGCGATCGGGGATTGTAGAACGGCGATGGTTTCATCTATTTTCAGCATACACTTATATCCGTGATGGTAGAGATAGATCGATGGAGAAAAAGGTATAAGAAGGTGGTTCGTTGCTGGTTGTCAGTGTCCATCATCAGCATCGTTCTTTCGTTTCTGTTTCTAATACTCCGTTTTTTCTTACTGGCTGTGCCATTCGTTTTTGTTACTTTATTCTTTCGTTCTAAGTTTGATACTTACTTTCGTTCAAGGTAACCTTCATCCATCTACCTGGACTACTGTCATACTGACAAGTGTACGTAGATGAAAATCACTCAAGCCTCCGCAGCGGCAGCCCTCGCCCTCAGCGCCTCCGCCATCCCCATCCCCTGCCTCCTCCCCTTCCTCGGCTGGGGCTCCGGCAGCGGTAGCTCCGACCTAGGCGGTTCCCTCGGCGGCAGCGCCAGCGGATCCGGAAGTGCCGGTGGCGACCTGGGTCTCGGTCTTGGTCTTGGTGGTTCTGGTAGCGGAAGTGCCAGCGCTACTGGCTCCGGTGCTGCTGCTGCTAGTGGCTCTGCTGGTGCGGACGCTGGTGGATGGGGTGACCTTGGCGCTGCTCTTGGCCTTGGTGGTTCGGGCAGTGGAAGTGCCTCTGGAAGCGCCTCTGGTGAGGGCGAAGGTGAAGGTGAAGGCGAGGCCGGTGCCAGCGGAACTGCCTCCGGCGGTGCAACCGGTACTGCCAGCGGTGGTCTCGGCGCGGGCGCCAGTGGCAGCGCTGGCCTTGGCGGATCTGCTAGCGGTGGTGCCTCCTTGGGTGGTAGCGGCAGCGCTGGTCTCGGACTTGGTCTCGGTGGAAGCGGAAGCGGCAGCGCTGGTCTTGGTGCTAGCGGTACTACCGGTGGTGGTGCCAGTGCCAGCGGAACTGCATCTGGAGCTGCTGGTGCAGGTGCCAGTGGCAGTGCTGGCCTTGGTGGAAGCGCTGGTCTCGGTGGTTCTGCTGGTCTTGGAGGATCCGCCGGCCTTGGAGGATCTGCTGGTGGTAGCGCCGGCGGTGACGCTGGTGTGAGTGCTTCTGGCAGCGGAGATACTGGAGCTACTGGTACTACTTCTGGTGGTGCAAGCGGAACTGCCTCGGGCGCTGCTGGTGCAGGTGCCAGTGGAAGCGCTGGACTGGGTGCCTCTGCTAGCGGATCTGCTGGTCTTGGTGGAAGTGCCGGTCTTGGAGGATCCGCTGGTGGCAGCGCTGGCGGCAGTGCTGAAGGTAGCGGCAGCGGCAGCGGTGACACTGGAGTGAGCGCATCTGGAAGTGACAGCGGAGATACCGGAGCCAGCGGAACCACCACTGGCGGTGCTAGCGGAACTGCATCTGGAGCTGCCGGTGCTGGAGCTAGCGGCAGTGCAGAACTCGGCGGATCTGCCAGCGGAAGTGCCGGTCTTGGAGGAAGTGCCAGCGGCAGCGGAGACATCGGAGCCGGAGCCAGCGGAGATGCCAGCGGAGACGCCAGTGGTGATGCCAGCGGTGATGCCAGCGGAGACAGCGGAGACAGCGGAAGTGACAGCGGCGACGAAGGAGTCAGCCCCATCAGCGGAACCCCCACCACCGACTCATCCCCCAGCTTCACCACCAGCGTCAGCGCCTCAACCAGCGTCAGCCTCCCCGGTGGCGGCGCCTCCGCTGAAGCATCCGGCAGCGCATCCATCGACGGCAAAGGAAGCGGCAGTGTTGGTCTCGGAGCCAGTGGCAGCGGAAGTGTCGGAGCTGACGCCGGGGCAGGTGGTAGCGCGAGCGGCGGCGCCTCGGGCAGTGCGTCTGCAAGCGCTGATTCCTCTGCTAGTGCTGGGGCCAGTGCTTCTGGCAGCGCTGATGCCAGTGTTAGCGTTACTGCTGGAGCTTCTGCTTCTTTGAGCGCTAGCTTTTAGGTATGTCTTTTCCACTCTGTTTTGACTTGAGCTTTGCTAATAAATACAGATGTTGAGGCGTTTTCAACCGAAATATCCAGTAATTGATTATCTGGCAGGTTATCACCTTTAATATGGTTTGAATTGGAATTGGAATCTGGTCATTCGTTTATATTTGTCGATGGAAGAATGTAATGTATGGAATTGGTAATCGGTGATCGCCACCTTGTTTGCTATACTTTTGTTTTTATATATAGAAGCCTATCACTCTTTTGCTTCTCAAAATCAAGCATATTTCTCAGGAAAATCTCTTTTATGGAAATGAGATCAGTCTTCCGTATTGATTATCACGTGACAAATAAAGGGGTATCAAATGTAACCATAGTAGATTCTTCACTCTTCCTCCCGCAAGATATCCCCCAATGGCATCATCGCTGTTTATACATCTCGATGGCCAGCCCATACAAGACTGCGAAACCATAGGATATGGAGGATCGGGTGTTGTGATCCGCCGGCACGGACTGGCTAGCAAGATACCTCTCCGCCATCCGTGGACCGACGAGTACGACGTCGAGTTGAACCTGGAAGTAATCCAGCGAGAGCAAGATGTATACCGCCGATTAGCATCCACTGAAAATGAGCAAATCGAGGGCGTAGTGCCCTGCGTTGACCTCCTCCCCAATGCCACCCATCTCGCCTTGATGGAACATGGAGATTTACGAACCTACCTGGAGAAGAATGAAAGACCATCCCGCGCACTACAACTATCATGGTTTCGGCAGATGGCCCAAACACTCGGGCGAATCCATGATCGACGCGTGATTGTGGCAGATATAGCCACGCGCAATATCCTGCTTGACTCCGACTTTTCTATCAAACTGTGCGACTTTAGCGAAGCTTCTATTCTGCCACTTGAAACCGTTATGGAAGAAGCAGATGATAATGGGTATTCCATCCAGACGGATATCGGGCAGCTGGGGACAGTTATCTATGAAGCCACCACGGGATCAAGTTGTGCATTTGACCTGTTTAAAGATAATGCCCCAGATGATGGTCGAGCGAGGTGGCCACGACGGGATTCTCTTCCTAGCACGGAAGGTCTTTGGCTTGGAGAGATTATAGAGAAGTGTTGGACGGAGGGGGGATTCGGCAATGCGCATTTCCTGTCTAAAGCCTTGGATTGTGTTGATTTGGATCAGCCAGAAAAGAATGCACGAGGATATTCTATCAGGGAAAGGCTTACTGTGGCGGCCATCGTTCTCGGCACTTTGGCAATCGTTGGGGCTTGGGCCAAGAGACGATAGGATTGATATTCTTCCATTCATGATACCCATCTTCTAATGTATAAATATTTCGTCATCTAGGCTTATATCCCTGCTTGTGTCTTCGGATGGATAGAAATAAATTAATTGACGTGGTGTAGCCACTGACATCATGCTTCACCACGACTATATAGATCGAGACAATTCCATCCCATTGATTTGACCTCCGTCTCGATTCACAACTTCATATTCAAATATTCATATTCATATGCAAACAAATACGATGCCAGAACTTACTTCCCCCAAAGACAGCGACATCACGGGCGCAGCCAAATTCACCACCTCTACGCTGGGCAACACCGTCGTTGGGCTCTCTCGAACCTTCGGAGGCGTCACAGGTGCCGCTACGAGAGGAATCGGGGATACCATCACTGGTGCGACGGGAAGTGCGGGGAAACCAGTTGGAGATGCGTTGGGCAGTGTAGACACTGGAGTTGAAGATGGGGCAAAGAGAGTTGCAAAGGGTGTGGAGGATGCTGGACAGTGGAAGTGAATGCTGCCTGAGGCTGCCTGCGAGTGAATTGCGCGGCTCTGCCTTCCCCCCCCTCCTTTGTTTCCCTTCTTCTCCTCGATTCTCTCTCACCTGTCACATCAAGATTTGTTTCTGAATACAACTTCAAATTCAAGTTCTCTATCCTTGCATTTAGTATCCCTCATGGAGGGAACCAAGCCTGCCCACTCGTACTCCGGGAGGGACCCGGGAGGAACCACCAGAAGGGACTCTGGGGATTTGCTACAGACCTCAAAACCGCCACGGACAGAGCCCTTCCATCCACAAACAAGCCATATGCGCAGGTCGCAGTCATCGCGTTCCACTGTGAGAATGACGAGATGGTGAAGCCCGTGGAGAGGGAGCCGTTAGGCGTCTTCAGTCTCACGTACGGATTCCACGTCGAAAGCTATACCATACCCGGGGCAAATTTCCAGGGCGAACTTGCTACCAAACTTCTCAACTGGCTGGGTATCAGCACGAAGCTCGAGTCACTGGAAGGAGACATGTGCTGTATCTTCGACTGCTCAACTGGAACAATCGCTATGAGTCAAGATGGCGCAGAGACTCTGCGAGCCGCTGGACGGGGGCAAAGTCCAGGATGCCATTCAAAAACCCGATCTGGAACGGTGGAAGGCGTAGCTGGCTCTCGGTAGATGCCACAATGAAGCTGCTCTTCGAAGGGTGTGACTCTCATTACAGTACCGGTTGAAATCCGATCTATGCTCCTTGCTGACGACCGAGCATACAACTTTGTCGCTCACGTTCGCTCTAATAATGTCTTTCCAGGATTGACTGGACTCTAGAAACTTCATTGAGTGCCATTCATTCCTTCATTGCGCAGGCCAATAGGATTAGTACAAACAGAAGTACGCCATTGTCATCCCAACAGCATATCCACAAATCAGCCGTCCTGATTAATCGCTATTAGGGCTAACTAATGCAGTTCCATCCTGACCACTCGACTCTTTAGGAAAGTGTTCTGAAGATCAGATGAACTGGTCTCTTCCCCGTCTAAAAATATCATTTTAAGTGTTTGCTTTTTCCCTATCCCCTCTTTTCGTTTCTGTCTAACAGTCCTAAAAGATCTGAACGTTAAAATGTGTTTTTAACTTTTCGAATACCATATCTGCTCGAATTTACTTTAGCTTCAATACTCAAATACAACCAGAGGAAAACAAGTTAAAAATAAAAATAAAAAGACTTTCCACCCCCACAAAATGGGTAACAGTCATTCATCCCGGAACAAAATTCGAGACAAAAAAGTCTTTAGGCATTTCAAAAAGAAGGACATCAAAGGTGAGACGGTAAACCCTATAATACACTAATATAAAGGAGAGAGCTAAGTTTAGACAGCCTATCCAGTCACCATCAACATCACCGGCTGCCTCTGCACAGCCAGTTTCGAGTACCGTGATCTCGCCCATTCCAGTGGCTGACTTGGGCGAAGCGACAGGCACGCAAAGCGAAACAGAAAACGAACAGGATCAGCATGTTCCAGGACAGTCAAACAACAAGCCTATCCACCATCAATTCTGGAAAAGGGCATACGAAAAAACTCGCAATGAGTACCCCAAACTGATGGACGACTATGAAAGCTTCATGCTATGCGAGGGAATATCTGATTCTTCAACCGATGCGAATCACGGCGAGCGGCATCAAAAATTCCAACAACTCGTGATCAACAGAATGAATGGTGTACAGGATGCACAGATGAAGATCAAGACTGGAGACAAAACGATCGTGGTAAAAGATGAAATACGGTCGATTCTCAGCACCATCATGCTCTTCAAGGATAGCATCACAGCGGCGGTCAGTGCAGAGCCCCATGCTTCCCTTGCTTGGGCTGGCATTACTTCGTTCTTTCCCGTCAGTACGCCCCCGGAATTTCCACTATTGTCATGCTGAGACAATCGAATTTAGTTTATCATCAACGCGGTAACACAATTCAGCCATGCAGCGGATGGAATCAAGTACATCTCCGAGCTTCTTGTGCGATGTCGTGTGATTGAGGAGGCTTTACCATCCAATATTGAAAATTCAAGGTAACTTCGTCCTTTCTATTGCTCTTCTTTGTCATTGATGCTTCAAAAGAGGGGTTAACACTATCGCGCTTGCTGACGGAATCTGAAAAGTGCATGTCTGGAAAAGGATCATAACCTTCATTCCCAACTGAAAGATCAAATCGTGGATATTTATGCCCAGATTCTGAAATACCAAATCTACCTGGCACGCCGATGCTCCCGCAATTCTACCAAATCCATATTTCGAGATGCACTTGCCCTTGACAACTGGGAAGGAATGCTGGAAACCCTCCAGAAAACCGAGAGGAACATCAATGAGGCCGTCCAGAAAATTGACCACAAAACCTTGAACATGGTTGATAAGAAGGCGGACGAGATGAAATGTAATCTCGACAAGATACTAATGGGCATCGGAAGGATTGAGAGTCATATTGATGTATGGTGACTTGTCCAACTGGCTTGCAATGTTGCTGACTGCCAAAAGGTCCTTGCACAGGAAAACGCACTTGCCAGACTACGGGAGCATAGGGTAAAGTACGCTGCCTACAATGCAGCTATGATAGATGGCAAAGATACAGAACCTACCAAATGCCACCCAGAAACCCGCAAGGAAATTCTAGACCAAATCCAGACGTGGGGAAATGGTGATGGCAGTGAATTCATCTTCTGGCTCAGTGGAATGGCAGGAACGGGAAAGTCGACCATTGCACGGACTGTGGCTGAGATGTTTGACCGACGCAACTGCCTCGGTGCCAGATTCTTCTTCTCAAAGGGTCAAGGAGGTCGAGGTGATGCTGGCGGATTATTTCCTACGCTTGCTCTCGAACTGGCAGACACAATTCCCGAGTTGAAGCCACATTTGGCAAGCGCTGTCAGAGATAATGACAACATTGCTGAGCAGGGATTGTCTATCCAATGGGAAACTCTTATACTGAATCCTTTATCAACACTGGGTCAGAGTCTCCTGACACCATTCGTGTTGGTATTGGTTATTGATGCCCTTGATGAATGCAAGGGTGAGCGATATGTCGCTGATATTGTGAATGTTTTTTCCAAGGCAAAGCAACTGAAGCAAATTCAGCTGCGAATCTTCATCACTAGCCGGCGTGAGGATCATCTCGTCAGCAGTTTCTCCAACATCCCAGAAGCCAAATACTTTAATTTATTGATTGACTCTGACTCATCCAAGACTACAGAGAAAGATATCGAGACCTACATGAGATCAAAGCTCGATTATATTGCGAGTAAAAGATATTCTGACTGTGGGACCTGGCCGAACGAAGAGGATATTAAGCAACTGCTGCAAAAAAGTGGTCGACTCTTCATTGCGGCAGCGACAGCCTGCCGATTTCTCGAAGACACCGAATTCCCTGATGAAAAGCTCCCTGCACTTCTCGGAGATCAAAGTTCCACTGAATCGCCCACGCAGGTCATTGATGCTATGTATCGCGATGTCTTGCAATATGCGATCACCCGGACAAGCGATAGTCAATACCTTGTCACGCTGTTTCAAAGCATTGTGGGCCCAATTATTTTAGCGATGGAAAGGCTTTCACCAAAGAGCCTTGAAGCATTGCTTCGGATACCACTGCATAAAATCAGAATTTTACTGAAAAAGCTGCGCTCAGTTCTGATTGTGCCGGAAAACGACAGTGGTCTTGTCGAGATGTTCCACCTTTCTTTTCATGATTTTCTTCTGGATGGTAAACGATGCGTTGACCAGAGCTTCTGGATTGACGAGAGAAAAACACATCAAAGTTTGTTCAGACATTGTCTCGGACTCTTATCAAACACCTTGAAAGAAGATATATGCGATCTTGGTGATCCTGGCCATCTAGCCTGCGACATTGAAAAGAATCGGATTGAAAACTCTTTACCTGAAGCGGTGCAATACGCATGTCGTTATTGGGCCATGCACTTTGACGCTTCAGAAGAAATCTTATCAGATGGAGATTTCGATCAGCTGTTTACCTTTCTCAAAACGCACCTTCTGCATTGGCTCGAGGCGCTCAGCTTGATGAATAGAATCACGGATTCTACAGTTGCCATAAACATATTGAAGAGTTCCACCAACGTAAGTACATTTCCATTCTAAACATGACTTACTCTGATCGCCAATAGGGTCATAAAAACCAACATCTTAATGATTTCATACATGATGCCAGGAGATTCATTCTCTACCATCGGAGTACGATTGAAAAAGCGCCACTTCAGGCATACTCCTCTGCACTCATATTTTCACCGAGATTAAGCTTGGTTCGTGCGCAATATGAAAGCAATGTTCCACCTTGGATAATCACAGTCCCGATCATGCAAGACCATTGGAACCGGGTAGAACAGATTCTCGAGTCCAGAGCAGCAGATCGTTACGTGTGCATGGAATTTGCACCTGATGGCAAAACTGTGGCAGCTAGCTTCAGAGACCAAGGCGTTTTGATATGGAATATTCAGACAGGGCAGCTTGAGCAACGACTACATACTTCACCGAAATATGTCAAACAGATGACTTTTTCTGCTAACAGTATGAAATTAACAACCGTTTCGGACGGTGAACTTTTGATATGGAGCATTGCAACTGGTCAATCCGAGGAAATTACTAAATTTGATTTAAGCTCTGGAAAGCTTAACAGTATTTCCCCAGATTTAACTCGAGCCGTGTTTGAGCAAAATCAAACCATAAAAATACAGTGCGCCACTACAGGAGAGACTGAAAAGATATGTGATTATAATTCACTTTCAGTGGATTTTCCAGTGGGGTTTTCTCCAGATGGAAGAATGATGGCCTATAAAAATAACCACGGCGTGATACTCCATATTTTTGGCCCCAAAAAATCTGTCAAAACTTTGCAGGCTGCTACTGATCGCTTTATAGCTAAACGAATGTTCTTCTTCTCTGATGATTCCAGCCTGCTCGTGACAAATGTCGTTAATGGTATTAGGATATGGTCTACTACATCTTTGGTCACAAAATTTGCAAAGGACTTGCGTAGGGAATATATTTTCAGAGCAGCATTGTCTAGTGACAATTCCAAACTGGCTCTCGCTATCAGGTATATGATCCAAATATGGAATGTTGACCGGGGGAGTATAGAGCTGACAATCAACTGTGATGATCTTATTGAGTCCCTGAAATTCTCTGCTGATTCCAAGACTCTATTCTCTGGGTCTCCTCGCGGTGTGCGGGTAATAGATATCAGTACGAGAGACGCAGCATCGGATTCATGGGATGTATCAGAATCAGCTTACATACGTGATATCACACGAGATGGGACCACGGCATTTTCGCAGTTGATCAATGGTGACCAAGTAATTTGGAATATCACCACAGGTCAGCTCATACAAAAGCTTGACCTCAACATAAGAGACAGTTTCTTCTCCCCAGACAGTAAATGGCTGGTGGCAATAGAAAAGCATTCTCACTATATTTATATATGGAGATTATCGACAGCACAGGTTCAGAAGATTAGGACATTTTCCGTGAAATCATACGAGGCCATTTTCTCCCCGGACAGTACCAGAGTGATTTCACGCAGCCAAAATGGCAATCTGTCCATATTGAATCTCTTTACCGATGAAAGTCATAATATAACGTCTGGGTTCATTCATAACTATGCCATGTCCCCAGATAACACTTTGGTAGCAGTGTTGGTCATAAATTGCGACGAAGAAGGCAGAATAGACATCCTGCGCACAGAAACTGGTTCAATTCAACGCACCTTTCGGGCCGAGAATCTTGGTATTTGCGACATTATTATCTTTTCTCAAGATAGCACGCAACTGGCAATTGGAATATCCAACCCAAGACGTGCGACAATCCAAATCTGGAATGTCACCACCGGCACACTTCACGCAACCTTTTCATGTCCATCAACATGGATTAAGAGACTTGCATTCTCCCCTCGCGATACCCACATCATGGCAGCAACACAATATAAAGGTATATATATGTGGAACATTGAATCGAAAGAAATGCAATCATTTCCAGATGTTAATCGGGACGCGATCGAGAGTCTAAATTTTACTTCCGACAATATTCCGGACGAATCGCCATTCTATACCGTGAGGGGGGGTGATCGACGCTGGGTGACCTACGCCGGTCGGAGGATTCTCGCAATCCCTGTGGAATTCGAACCGTCGCGTATTTTGCCCAGGGGGAATAGACTGGGTCTTGCGAATAATTATGCTGGTCGTGCTGTCTCCATCACCTTTGATACTGATCAGGTGGTCCGGGTTTTCAATGTCCATCCCAGTGATTAGTTGGGTCGTTTCTGTGGATCATTTCATTATACAGCTTATTATTTCTCTCTATCGTGTAATACATATTATAGAAATTGTACAATCAAGATTGTCTCCAGCAGGATAGAGCCATGTGAGTGATGTTGATATCGCATTAACGCATAATTCATTCTGAATCTTGCTATATAAATGGAAAATTCTCCCATCACCACCAACATAAAGCCATCTGCTATACCCAATCTATCAACCATCCTTAAGTCAAGGATAGCTCAACCTCTGCCAACGTTCCATTCTGAATAGCCCCAGCATGATGACGAGCAACCAGTCCGTACGCAAATTGATACCTATTCATTAGCACCTATCCATAGCCAGACATATAGAATAACTCACTTGTCAAGAACCGGCAGCAACTCAGTCAACCCAGGCGTATTCCTCCAATCCCGCATCAAGTCCGTAAAGATACCAAAGATGCCCATGAGCGTAACCCCGGCTTTCTCCATACGACGGTTCGCATCTTCAGCTAAACGGGGATCAAAGGTTCCGCTGGCTTCGGTGTTGGCGTAGACTTCGTAGCCTTCGTCGATCAGCGAGAGGGCTAGGAAGGTGGTGCCTATATTCTCATTAGGCCTTCTATAGGGACAGGAGGAGGAGAAGAAGTGAGAGACATACAAACTTCCGTGACAATACCGCCAATGATCAACTGCTTCTTTCCGGTAGCCTTGACAGCAGCACGGAATGCCTCGTTGTCCCACGCGTTGACTTCACCCTGACGCTGGACAAGCGTGGCATTCGGATGCATGTCGATAATCTCCTTCAACATGAGTCCGTTTGGACCCTGATCGGAAGATGTAGTCAGAACGGTAGGGAGATCAAAGACCTTTCCGATGGCCGCGTGGGCGAGCATGTTGTTGCGAAAGTCATTTGTGCTGTAGTCGCGGACGAGCTGCGCAAGACCGACTTGGTGGTCGATGACTAGGAGGGCCTGTACTTGTTAATAAAATAGAGAATGGTGGTGACGGAGACGTACTGCGTTGTCTTTGTCGATTCTGTTCCATGCGTGGACGGAGATAGCACCTCCGAGGAGGGCGATGGACTGGATGAGTCTGGTGAAGTGCATTTTGATACTAGAAACTGAGTTGAATGCTGTTGTTATTGATATCATCGTGTGCTCCTGAGCCTCTTTTTATACTACAACTTTGTGTTACATAGCCTGTCAAAACGTCAATCGTAATTCTTATCAATGCTCAGCTTATTTTCTGTCAGCATTGTCTCATCCAACAGCGCTCTTGGCTGTCTTTTCCCACCAATAATTTTAATTCCAAGCAATATAGAATATCCAGATGATTCTGCAAGACGATAAAGTGTAGACCATATTCTGAAAGCGGAATAGTGCTGACTCGTGTTGATTTTGCATTCTGACTGATCATGACATACTGTCTTCTCGCTAATATTTAGTCAGAATATGTCATTTACCCTGTTTGTGCCAAGACATTCCCGTCATCTTTAAATGAGCTTAAATAGCCGATATGCCATCCAATCAGATGAAAATACGATATTAATACGAACTGAAGATCTATACCCAACAACGATAATGGATATTTTTAACTGCCATTCCCTAATGCAAACATCTCGCCCAGAATCTTCACCTCCTTCAACACATTCCCATTCTTTTGCACTGCATTCCCAACAAACGACAGAGCAGAACATACAGCCAGTAACCGAAGAGTCTGTATACCCACACTCCCTCCACCATTATAATAAGTATCAACAAACACTCGCGCACACTGCTCCATTTCATCTTCAGTCATACCAGACTGCTCCCCCGTTCGACGTAGCATATGTAGAAAATGTCCCACATCTCGTTCAGGCGTACCAGCTGGATTCCCCTCTGCGTCTAGTGAGCAATGCAGTGTCGTCACGTCGATGATGGTCGTGCGTTTAGTATTTCGGTCGAAGAAGAAATTGCCTGGATGGGCGTCACCGTGAACGACTGCTGTTCGTGGATTTTGCCGTATCTCCTGTTGACACCGGGCGATGAGCTTGTTGACCTGCTGTCTGAGCTGATAAACGTCGAGGCCAGTGTGTTCAAGGATAGATGTAAATGACTCCAGTCGATCTACTCGTTGCGGCGCTGCGCTATAGTACCATGCCAGATAGCCTTCGCTCGACCGTCCTTGGATGGCATATGAATGCAGCTTGGTTAGTGTTGTCGCGGCTGCCTGGCTACCAGACTTCAGGATAGCGAAAATTTCCGCTCGTTCCTTCCCACACTTTTTACCCAGTTGCATCATCAGCTGGTACAGAGAAGCACCTTGGGCGACTTTGTATGCCACCACCCCAGCTGGCTTGCCGTTCCAACTCATCTGCCCGACTGCGATGGGAGTAGGCGTGTTGATATCCTTTGCTCGATGCAGAAGCCATTCCAGACTGGAGAGTTCTTCGGTGATGCCATTGTCGAGACTCTGGAGAAATAGCTTCACTACCGCAACCTCCCCTCCCTGCTTAGGGTGATGCGCAATGAAGACGGGCGCTCCAGAGAATCCCTTCACGTGGGAATCTGTCAATGGTTTGAGATCAACGTGATGGCCCAACGCTTTAGAGACGAAATGTTCGAGGGCGTGTTTACAATGGCCAATCCGAGGAAGAGTCTGCAGTACTGCAGTGGCCTTTGTCTTCTCTGGCACTCCGCTACCATTTCGTGATTGTGCTGCACACTGCATAGAGACTTTAACCTCTGGAGCAAGAGGTGACAGACGAGGTGATAGTGTGCCGTTGGCTGTCTGCACTGTGTCTCCAGCATCGTGCATGGCTGCGTCCAGCAGTGCCTCTGCAGCATGTTCCCATGAATATGCTCGCATTATATCCTGCAGCTCAGTTGCATTTTGCATTGCCTGCACTGGATTCCGTCGAATCCAATCAATCCGATCTGCCCAGATAGCCACGCGATTGCTCTGTGCCGATGCTGGAATCCCATATGCGCTCTCGTCCATCACCACGACAGCATTGCCTAACCTGGCAGGGATACGGCTGCTGTCGAGTGCAAACTGGCCAGCGCCACTGTCTTCTGTTACTAGAATGGGAACGCCCATTCCGGCGACTTCAGTGAAGATCATTCCAAATCCTTCGTGGGTCGATGGCATGACCACTAAGTCTGCGGCCTGGTAGGAGCGCCGAACCACGGTCTGGTCATTTGAGAATGGATGGAATTGAACGAGGCCTTTTATGCCAGTCATCTGATCGACATGTTTCTGTCGTTCTTGTAATTCTTCTGCCGGCACTCCTAGTATATCGAGCGTGATGCTAGCTCTCGGTGCCATTGCCAGTTGCCAAACCGCGTATATTGCATCATCCACTCCTTTGGCTGGATCATCTGCTCTACCAGCGAGCAGCACCCGAAATACATCATCTGGCTGTCGCTGCCTTTTTATACTCTCTTCAATATGCACACCAGGAATCATTTCATGAAAGCGAGGCCCAGACACAATCGACCGTGGACGACTCAACTGCCCCATCCATTCTCTCTCCCTGGCTTCATTCGTGAGAACCGGACCAACCCCAATCGCCAAATCCGCCTTGGGCAGGATCTTCTCATCCAACAGAGCCAGTCGAGCAGCCTCCTCATATCCCTTCTGCCGTGATCCGCCGTACCATGTCCACGCCGCGTCTGATTTCCGCAGCGGACTTGTGTGCGTGATCAGGGCGAGCTTGGCGGTGGGATACCATCTATCCCTGATGATAGCTGCGGCTGCGCTGGAATATCGTGAATGGCCGACGATAAGGTCAAATGGAGGCGATATTTCATTCTGCTCTGGCAGGCCAAATCCCTGCGGCTGATGCACTTTGGCTACGTAGTAGAGTAGTTCGGAGGCGGAATGACCTGATGCACACGGAATACTGATGACCTTTGCGTTTGGATGATGCTCGTTGGTAATGGCATCATCCACGAGGAAGAGAGTCACAGAGGCATTCTTCAGACTGGCCATGGCGTTGACGAGCTCCCGGTTCAGTAATGGGATTCCGCCTTTCCCTCTTCCGCTCGCATTTGCAACCATCAAGACCTTGAATTTGGGAACAGTTTCATGAATTCCGGATATCGAGCAGAGTCGTTCGTATTCTGTTTCAACCGCAGCGTGGCTTGCATCCGGCGTCCGATTGAATTTGTCCACAGCAGACCACAGCCGGCTCATCTGGATACGTAACCGGACCAGTCGTGCGACAGACAGATTGAGCTCGGGATTGAGCTGGGTATATGTATCCCAGAATGCCTCCTGCACGCTGCCGATATCCTCTGGCTTGACGCCAAATGCCGGTGCATACTTGCGCAGCCGTTCGTAGAATCCAGCTGCATCAATCTCAGCCAGCCCGATGGGCTTGCCAGCGACGTCCATTGACCAATGCAGACCTCCGTAGTCGATCATGGTGACTCCGATGGCTGGATCCCAGAAGAAGTTACCGGATGAAGCATCGCCATGCGTTAAAGATGTGGATGTCGGATGTCGTGCTTCATAGATGACATGTTCCACCATCTTGTGCATTTCCTGCCGTCTGTCTGGCCCAATGCCAGCATTATCATATTCAACTGTTGCGCTGCTTTGGATCTCCTCCATCCACCCTCGCACTCTGGTTCGCATTTTCTCCATTGTCTTTTCTGATGCATCGTTCCATTGCCCTCGCTCTGCAGTATGCAGTTTCGCCAGAACAGATGCCATTGCTCTCACTGCACACAGGAGATCTTCCAATAGCTTCTCATAGCGTGTCTCAAGGAACGCAGGCAATGCCGCAAAGAATCCGTCAACACATCGTCCTTTTAGACCATCAACCTCCCTCCAGTCAACAGGGATATTTTCACGATTGTCCTCAATAAATTGCAGCAGCCCATCGCGGGCCTCGTAGTCAATAACGACATTCCTCGCCAGATCACGAAACGCCGTTATCCTCCCCACATCACGAATCATCGTGTTTATCGCCTTCCCTTTGGCTGGTTGGTACACAACCACCCCAGCAGGAGCACCGGATTCCTCATCGCGCGTTCGTCCTACGCCAATTGGAGCGACGGCGGAAGGGGTATTCGGAAGGGATAGAATCTTCTTGTAGCTGGCCAATTCGTCAAAGAGATCACCCTGTCGTTGAGGCGGGTATACTTTGACGACAGCGATGGGTACCTCGCTCTGGTCGGATCGAGCAAAGTAAATCGAGCATCCGGATCGGCCTTCTGCGCCGGATGCTTGGAGGCGTTGTAGAGTCACTGCTTGGTTAAGGATAGTGTTGACCACCTCGCTGAGGGAATTCATTTCCGGGAGTGCGGTCAGACATGGTTCATCGGTTGTGTTGAGTTTGTCAATTGGTAGTATCTGAGGCTGATGCCTGTGTTTGGATGGGGAGAGTGGTATCATTGTGATAATTGATGGTTGTGATTCAAGGCGTTGCTTTAGGCAAATGGGTGATTGACATATATAACAATATTGCATTGCTGTCATTAGATCGACAGATCGAACGAGACATGTCGCACACATGGATTGGATCTACTATCCCCTGCCTCCTTGCTGCCTTCTCTTCATAAGCTCTGTCCAGCAATGCTGCATTACACCCCTTGGCTAGCCTTTGCCTATATTCCTTACTATATTCAGCACATGGACGTGTCATTCCAATCCCCAACGTCCCCTGAAGATGCAGTATATAGCTTAGTGGACAAATCATATTTCTTCGGCAAAAAAGGCAACTGCCCTTGCATACTATTGTAATTTCATGCAATTGGTCCCCATACCCCTGCACGACGCATTCTAGCGCAAACTATCATCTCCACTGCTGTCCCTGAACCATGGTTTGGTGTTCTATCAAGGGATCCACAGCCCGACTCAGCCAGCCTCAACACAAAGGGATTGAAGATGTGCCCTTGATTCCTGTCAACACTATCTGACACTCAAGCAAAAAGAGAACTAAACAACATGAGATGACTGCTCACCATCCACCATAACAATGGCCACAGACACACAACCAACAACTTCCCAACTCTTCCTCACCTTCCTCCGCATCAGCTATCCCATCTTCCTTCTCATCGTCTTCTTCCTGTCCTTCATCTCCCACTCCATCCTAGCCGCAAAATCGACACCCGGAAATGTCAGCAACACCAAGCTCGGGCCAGGCGGGAAGCCGCTCCCGAATCGACTCCGAAGCACGATGAACGAGATCCGCGAAGCGCAGAAGAATGTTTCCCCGAAGATGAAGATGGTGTTTGCGGGGTTGGATTTGTGTTTTCTGGCAACGTATGTCGTGGACGGCGTGGTTCATGTTTCGCATACGTTGGCGGAGAAGGGGGAGAGGTGGTGGTGTGGGCAGGCTGTTGTGGTGAGATCTTTATATGCCCGGCTGTTTGGAAATGAGGTATGCTAATTGGTAGATTTATGTGGTTGGATCGTTCTTTTCGCATGCGGTCGTGTTGATTGCATTGCTTGAGACGAGTCCCTCGCCGACGTTTGCGCAGTTTATATCGTGGTTATCGGCGGTGCCGTTCGAGGTGATGATCCTGTTCAGTACGATCTCGATGTATACCGGTGTGCATGAGGAACCTGTTGTCGGGAATCCATACGGAGGCGGACCTATACGGGAAGGCATGACGAAATGGGAGTTGATGGAGGTTGGCTTGGGATGTATTCGTCTTGTGCTGCTTGGTTTGATGGTGGGCTTGTACATGGTCAGGTTTGTGCACAAGCCCAGTCCGTATGAATATGTTGAATTGGGAAGTTCGAGGGAGTCAGCTGGACTACTGGAATCGAAAGAAGAAGAACCACCGGAGCCATGGACACGACCGACGAAGACGCCCGAGACAAGCTGGTGGGAGTATTGCAGCAGTTACTCTGTCTTTTTTCCATATCTCTGGCCGTCGAAATCGCGTCGACTGCAGATTGTGGTCGTGATATGCTTTGTCCTTCTGGTATTGCAACGCATCGTCAACGTCCTGGTTCCATATCAGGTCGGCCTCATCACTGACAGTCTATCCTTTGAGAATGGCGAGATTCAAATCCCCTGGCTGCAGATCTGTCTGTACATCTTCTACCGCTGGCTGCAAGGAAGCACCGGCCTCCTGGACTCCATCCGCTCCAGTCTCTGGATCTCCATCAGCCAGTACTCATACATGGAGCTATCAACAGCTGCATTCCAGCATGTGCACAGTCTCGGTCTGGACTTTCATCTGGGCAAGAAGATGGGCGAGGTATTATCTGCATTGACGAAGGGCAATTCGATCAATACGTTTCTCGAGCAGGTGACGTTTCAGGTTCTGCCGATGATATTCGACATGGGAATTGCGGTGGGGTACTTTTTGATTGCATTTGATGCGTATTATGCGCTTGTTGTTGCGGTGGTGACGTTTAGTTATCTGTATGTGACGGTGAGAGTTGCGCAGTGGAGGGCGCAGATGAGGAGGCAGATGGTGAATGCATCGAGGCAGGAGGATGCCATCAAGTAGGTTTTCCATGATAATCACGAATGAGCTAACATGATAGGAATGACTCTCTGTCGTCCTACGAAACTGTCAAGTACTTCAACGCGGAAGACTTTGAATTCAACCGGTATGAACAGACAGTGGCCAACTTCCAGCACGCCGAATGGCACAGTCTCTTCTCGCAGAACATCATGAATATCTCCCAGAATACCGTCTTTATGCTGGGCTTGATGATTACCTGCTTCATTGCTGCATATCAAGTGTCTATCGGACAGCGTCCCGTCGGCCAGTTCGTCACTCTCCTCACATACATGGCCCAGCTGCAAAGCCCTCTCACCTTCTTCGGGACCTTCTATCGCTACATCCAATCCGCCATGATCAACGCAGAGCGTCTCCTCGAACTCTTCCGACAACACCCCTCCATCACAGACGCACCATCCGCACAGCCCATCTCCACCTGTGCCGGCGACATCAAATTCCAAAACGTCACCTTCTCCTACAACAGCAAACCCGCCCTGACAAACCTCAACTTCCACTGCAAACCAGGCACGACAACCGCCCTCGTCGGCGAGTCCGGCGGCGGCAAATCCACCATCTTCCGGCTTCTCTTCCGCTTCTACGGCGGAGACGGGAATATTCTCATCGACGGTAAGAATGTAGACGATATCACCATCAACTCACTTCGACAGCACATTGGCATCGTCCCGCAGGCCACCGTCCTCTTCAACGAAACACTCATGTATAACCTCAAATACGCAAACCAGTCCGCCACAGACGAAGACGTCTACCGCGCCTGCGAAGCAGCCAGCATCCACGAGAAAATCATGGCGTTCCCAGAAGGCTACAACACCAAAGTCGGCGATAGGGGACTACGACTCAGTGGAGGCGAAAAACAACGTATAGCCATCGCACAGACAATCCTTAAAAACCCACGCATTATCCTCCTCGACGAGGCCACCGCCGCACTGGACTCCGAAACAGAACAACACATCCAAGAAGCGCTGGCTACGTTGTCCGAAGGGAGGACGGTGTTGATCATCGCGCATCGGCTGAGCACGATTACGACGGCTGATAATATCCTCGTCTTGAATGAGGGACAGATTATGGAGAGTGGGACGCATCATGAGCTGTTGGCTAAGAAGGGGAGGTATACGAGTATGTGGCAGAAGCAGATACGCGCGCAGAGGGAAGCGGAGAGTAAATCATCATGATAGATTGTTAGACTTGGTAATAGACTTATTTCATCACTAAGAGTAAGATAATCAAGGAATCACTCCAAGGGCCCTTTGATCAAAGCACAAGCAGAATGGGCAGTTCATCTCATGCTTATCAGTGTGGTAGATCTGCTGATTTATCCTTCTCTCGTATGAGAATTGTAAAAATTCCCAATTCAAGGCGGACGACATTATCCATTGTTTGGGGTGAAATTAGGTTTATATAGCCAGATACATTCTCTTATATGTGTATTATATCCCCCTTGTCATCCCCCGATTCTCGACTGATTCGGATGCGACGATCGGATCCGACTCCTGTCTATATAACAGCAGCCACCCTCAACATCATTTTATATCAACAGTTATCCAAAACAAACTATATATAGCTGCGGCGATTGCTATAATAGGTGCTATCCCCTGGACTCGTGTGGTTATGGACAGTGCATGTAAACATCTGTTTGAGTATGTTTATCAGGTTTCCTTCGAGGATGATGGGAGGCTTGACGGTTTGCTGGAGGAATGGGCGAAGCTGAATCATGTCAGAGCAATCTTTCGTCTACCAAGGGGACTTATTAGATTGTTTGCACTTATCAACAGTATATTCCATTCAGTATTGGTGTGTAGCTAATTACTATATCTCGAAACAACATCCTCGATCTCCTCATCACTCAGCTCCTTCACACCAAGCAGTTTGTTATACACATTCTCCTCGGGAAACAACCCCCCATATCCATCGCCAAAGATAGCCCTCCGAATAAAACTAACCGCAAAGACCATTGGATTGGGACTCGGCTTGGACAGCTCAGCGTAAGCGTTTTTCTCCAGATCTTCTGTTTTCACAGATTTGATAGCCAAATGCTTGTTTGCGATCTTCAGTAACTGGTTCTGCGATACCTCTGCTTCACGGATGAATACGGTTTTGTTCTTGGTTGCGTCGAGGTTCTGAATAACTCCAGCAACTCCTTTTCCTACTCCTGCCAAAGTGGTCGTGCTGAACTTCTGATCGCCGCTGTCGTATACCTCTGCTTCGGGGCCTTTGAGATTAAGTAGGAATGTAGTCATCAAGCCCCAGTCGAAAAAGGCTCCAGTGATGAGAAGTGTAAACGAGAACTTCCCACCCGAGCTTTCAGACTTCTGCTGAAGATATTTCTGAACGGCAACCTTATCGCCGTAAACAGGCAGTTTGGCAACATTTGGATTGGTCGTGTCAGACCCAAATTCCGAAGGAATGAATCGCTGAATTCCCGCAGCGACAGCAGCGTCAATCAACCGGGTATGGGTGTCTAGAGGAATAGCCCCAGATCCAAGGGTGTTGACCACCACATCATTACCAGCAAGTGCTGATGTAAGAGATTCCAAAGAAGTGAAATCCACTGGAGCAACGTGGGCTCGACTGTCGAATTTGCTGTCTTTGCCTGCTCGGGTCAACACGGTTACTTGGAAACCGGCATCGAGAAGGGCGTTGAGGACGGCTGGGCCGAGATTTCCGCTGGCCTGTGTATCCTTAGCAGTGTAAATGAATGTGACGGTGAAGAACCTACACCAGCGAGTGCGACTTTAGGGGACATTGTGAGTTATAGTATATGGGAATGGTATGTCTGATAAACAGGGTTGATCCTTTGATACTGTTTTCGAGAAGATATTCGCCCCATATTTATACTCACTCAATCTGATATGAAATCAAGCACGTCATGTCCATTTGTCAGGCGCGGAATTGATCTCGCGATTATCAAGCACATCCGGAGAACCTTGAATGAGTGCACAAACTCTAATACTCGACACAAGGACGCTTAAAAACAAGCACCTGCATAATACTGGCTTATGCACTTAATAAGGTTTCGGATGTTGGAGCATTCCGGTTCACAACCGCCATCCTATTGGTCAGCGGGGCTGGGCCCCACATGGCGTATTCGATTGACTTCTTTATGTCATGGAGTGAACTGACTTCATTTCTTGCAAGTATCTCATAGAGAATCGATAAAATTACAAACTACAACTTGTACTATTTTCATTATTTTCATCTGTCATGGATACTCCTGGCTCTGACCCACAATGCATAAACTCAGAATATATCACTCGGCTTACGGAACGGATCAACAGGCTTAATGCGCTTACTGACAATTCTGATGAGCAATGTATGTTCACGTATGGCAATCTTCAATCATATTACTGATCAATTTAGTCGATGAGCCAATATTACAAAGTAGGTTACTTTTGGCAAGACGGTAGACTCCGCTAACGGAGAAGATGGTGATTTTGGGTTTCCTCTTCTGGCATCTCCGCGTTATCCCGATGAGCCGAATATCATGCAAGATGCATTCAGTATTATGCAGGAAGTCGATCCTAGTCGGGCCATCTTTGAGACAAGACTTCATCCCACCATACCCAAGACAAGCACCGCTGTTCCTTTACCGCCGCGTGAAGAAATGCAACGTCTATTGGATGTGTACTTTGAGCATTTCAACCCCATCTTCCCTCTATTTCAACAGGATGACTTCAGAGGTCTTGTCGATCGTATCTTCAATCGGGATTCCTCAATAAGTGCAGGCTCCGGTGCTTGTGTCTATGCGGTGATTGCTCTATCATACAAGCTACAGCTATGGTATAGATCAACCCCCGAAAAAGTGGCTGCATCCTGGTTCTATTTCAACGCTGCAACTCGTCTTCTGCCTGAGATATCAGTTGGAGAGGATAATCTTGATAATATCCAAGCATTGGCATTGATGGTATTGTCAACCCTCCCTTTACTATATCATACGCTAATCCAGGCAGACAATCTTTCTCCAAGGATCAATGCAGTTCAACAATGCTTCGAATCTACTAGGGACTGCTATACGGCAGACATCTAGCTTTGACCTTTACTCGTCTTCTGCTTCTGATCAAGAATTGATCTCGAATATTTGGCGAGTATTGTTCGTCTTGGATAAAGAGTATGAAATATTCATCATGAAATGAATACAACTAATTTGACTAGGTGCTCTCTACATTCGGGATTACCACCGATGATAAAAAGTGATTTTACGCGGGATCTACCATTTCCATCCACTTGCCAGAGTTCTTTACGACACTACTACTCACTAGCACAGATCGAAGAACAAATATATCAAGATCTTTACTCGGGAGAGCAGCAAACGGACCCTGAACAATTACTCGACATAGCCTGGAAGTTAGACCATAAACTCATATCATGGAAAAATCAACTACCGCCACAGATCCTGTCGGATTTTAACCAGCCAAGTAAACAATATTTCCTTCTACACCTCATGTACAATAATTCTCTCATGACAGTCCATCGTCTACCGGCCATTCACTGTCCATATACCGGTCTTCTGTCACGAATTGGACCTTCTTCAAATCTAACGGTGCGGATTGGACTATCGGCTGAGAAACGGATTGAGTCTGCGTGTTCATCTATTCATCTCGTGCAGAAACTAGACCTGAGATCTCCCGTCCCTTTTTGGTATGCCAATACTACCTATTAAATTAATTACGTCAATTACTGACTGTGAGCAGGCTCTTCCCCCCACACATCATCGCCAGCGTGGTTCTCCTCCTCGTAACCGTTATTCTTTCAGAAGACTCTACTCAACACCATATCGAGGCAATAGATTCGGCGGTCTCGTTTGTCGAATTAGTCAATGAAAAATCAGGTGGTGAATTCCGACAAATGCTGCGTATAGCCTCTGGCACGGCAGACATTGCAAGAAAAGTTTCCCTGAAAAGCAAAAATGACCACCAAGCGGGGAATGTTGCACGGGTTGCTATAGAGAGTGCTGTTAGAGAGTTGCATCGGGGATTAAAGTCTAGAGATCGGAACAGGGCAGTGCCACGAGGGAGAAAGCGAGTGGGCGGTATGAACGATACTGCTTCTGATTTCTGGTGGAATTTGGGCAGTGGAAATGGCACGGAGAGTGATATTAATTGGGAAGAATACCTTTCCCATGCCATACTCAACTAGTATATCAATACAAAACTCTGATTTGGCAGCAGACCACTGATTCACCTTGGCTGATGTTTAATCGGACCATCCTTTCTAGATGGAGATGTTTTCAGCTGCACAGCCTCATTATGGCATATCCGACTGCCACACAGACAACCCCACGTACCAACCGTTTGGCCCGCTGCAGAGAAAAAGTGGGGCTGCAGAAAATCATTTCCACGGTTCGCAGCGGGGGATCCGCGTGGTGGCTTGCGGCGTGGCCTTTGACTGGCTGGATGTTGCCCAGCACCCCACCCACTGTTCAGCTCTCCGATTGCAAGGCTGTGACAGGCATCACTATCATATGAGATGAAGCAAGCGAACTGATGGTTGCCTTGGATGGTTTGTCGATGTCTGCCCAACGTAATTTCCGAAGAGCTGAACGGTGACGATCTAGGCGAGTCTAGTGGCCCGGCAAACACATAAATACCAGGTCAAATCCGTCCAAATCAATTCACTAATATCATCTTCAACTTATTCTATCTCATTCTCAATATCATCAGCCATTCAACCTTAACACCAATTATGAAAACCCCAGACCTCTACATCCCTGGACCAGCCTGGTCAATCCGCATTGTCAGCTTAAAGACCAACTGTGCCTTGTTTTCTCGGCCTTACTCTGGACTGGACATCTGGCACCCTGAGCCGGACTTCTGGCACCATCCGTCGTACTATGTCCGCGATGACCAGTACTGGTACATGATTCCCGGAAAGGGGAAATTCGAAGGCTACTACTACATCAAAAACTGGGTGACCCACAAGGTCATCTACTCACGCGGTGACCAGCGTCCGTACGTGGGAACGGACGAGAACAACGAAGACCACGGGGACCACTACTTCAAACTCGAACCGGGAACGGGCGTGTACAACGGATGCTTCCGGTTGAGGAACTATGCCTCGGATACATGTTTGATTTCGAGGGATACGGAGCCCGAGGTGTATAACTGCCGGGCTTCAGATGCCCCGGCTGACGAGCAGTATTTCAAATTCGATCTGTATGCCTTACTCGATCTTCCTCCACCGTCTTCCGGTTCGAGCACCAGTATCGGGCCCTGGGCGCCGTCACCGAATATCTCCAAAATGATCAACCTCAACGGGCTTCTGAAGATGCTCGCGGGCTTCGCTCTCAGCCAAGTCCCCCATGTCGGTGGTCTGCTCTCCGGCATCATCGGTCTATACTGGCCGGACGAGAATGAAAGCCTCACCTGGGCGCAGATTGAGGCCGGCGTCAGGTCAATCGTGAGGGATATGCTGGACGAGGAGAAGGTGAAGGAGTTGCGAAAGGAGGTCGAGGTCCTCAAGGACCTGATCAAGCGGTACGATGCGGGCTCGTTTGGAACGCAGCAAAAGGCCGAGAAGTTCAACTATATTCTCGACCACTTCACGACGATCAAGCGGAATTTCCTTGATAATGAGACGCCATGGCATACGCTGCAGTATTTCATTCCCATGGCGACGCTGCATCTCACCTTTCTGCGTCATCAGCTCTTCCTCTGGGATGAGATTTATCCCGAGGATGCAGGAGCGGACAAGGAAGTTCACCAGAAAGACCTCGAGGACGCGATCAAGGAATACACCGCTGCAGCAGAGAAAATCTTCGAAAAGTGTATCGCATGGCGCATGGAGCAGACGATCTTCAAGACACCCTGGATCAAAACTGAATGGGTGGTGAACGATCCCCCTCAATTCCGATTTGTACACGACTACGAACGTGACATTGTGCGGATAGCCAAATGGAATGTCGGCACGCATCTCAGCTACCCGCCCAATGAGACCTACCGCGATACAGCCCACGAAGACCCTAATGACAAATGGCAACTCCCTTGGGAGCACGAAGATATCGACAGACGGCCCAAGCTCGGCTTCACTCAAGACGACATGGTGGAGCGGTACTACCACGATCTGCGCGATTCCGCCGACGCAATCTACAGACAGCAGATCAAGGATCTCCTCGCGCCATCGCTGCAATGGCCTCAATTCATCAACGACAACAAGGGCCAGTATACCCCCGTGCCGCGGGATGTGATCTGCACGACCACCGAAACGCTCGGCAGCGGTATCACCACCGGCATGACGCACTTCAACGACCGCGAGTTTGCCGAGAAGCACGGCCCCATCAGCCAAATCGCCATCTGGGGGTGGGATCGTGTCGAGGGATTCGAGATCTGGTACGGCGGGGTGGGCAGCGGCCATCGGGGCGGATATTCTGGGGAGAAGAAGATGCTCCAAGTGGGCGAGGGCGAGTCAGTTGTTTGTGTGTCTGGACGTATTAGTGAATTCCAGCAGGATAACTCTATGGTTCCTGGAGGTGCCGATGACAGATACTGCGAGTATCTGCATTCGATCCGGTTCTTTGTGAGTCAGGAGAAGAGTATCTCTTGCGGTGGTGATGGTGGAGCAGGCGAGCCAAAGATGCCGGATAACTTCCGTCTTGGGCAGCCGTATAACGGGCCTACGAAAGATCCTGCAACTCCCAGGGTCATGTATGTGTATGGCTGGGCAAGTGACGAGCATATAGAAGGCTTTGGGGCTTCTCTTGTGAAGACGGAGAGTGTTTGATATCTCATTGATACAGTAATGCCATGTATATAAATTCAAGAACTGGTATCTCTAATCATACCAAACCAGATTGGCCGGACTATAATCCATATCCAAATGCGCAACCACAGATGCACTCTCCTCATTCATCTTCCACACCTCGACGAAATTGTCCCCGGCATCAGCAATAGCAAAGTACTCTTCGGAGAAGATAGCAGGCGAGATGGCATTTGAAGCACCACCATAGCTAGTAGTGGGTGTCAAGAAGAGCTGCTTCTGTATAGCCCCAGTCGTGCTGTCGAGAGAGAAAGCAGTAACGAAACCAGGAGAGGACGACTCTCTGGAACGTGCAGATGCGGTGAGGTATTTGGGCGATTCGCCTTCCTGCGGGAAAGAGAACATGATTTCACCAGACCAGTAGGAGGAGGTATTTGTATAGCCGGACGGGATTGTCGAAAAAGTGGTATTCGTATTGGTTATCTTGCCAGTTTGGCTGTCTCGGGAGTAAACAGCGACTTCATTTCCTGATTCAAGCAGGACATATACATAATGTCCACCAGGATGAACGACTAGATGGCGGGGATTTCCAGTCACATCGATGTGTTGGATAGTGGTAACTTGGTTGTTGGTCGCATCATACGAATGAACCCAGACAGCACTTCCCATGTCATCGCCAGTATAGATGAACTTATTATCACTGCTCAGCGCAAGCCCATGCGCACCGGAGCTGTTGCTGTAGGAGATGTTCGCAATGACAGAGTTGAGAGTGCCGGTAGAATCAACTGAGATGACTTGTCCAGGACAGCCATTGGAATAGGGGGCGCCAAAGACGGTGAATGGTTCTGCTGTTGAGGATACAATGTAGTTGGCGTTGTCGCCTGACGGTCAGTGTGATATATACAATGATGCTCGAGATACTTACAACCACCAGAGATAGAAGCACTGCCTTGATACTTGACAGTTTTATTCTCAGCAATAGAATAACTGTTGTATTGGGCACCGTTCGTCACATAGAGATTGTCGTGTTTTTTCTATATAGTCAGCTACATTCATACACTAGATAGGGTGCATACATCAAGGGCAATCCACTTGGAACTGTCAATTCCAATACTGGCATTGCTGACAACACTCAATTCGGAAGTATTCTCATCAAAAGCAATATAATATAAAGAATCACCGGCAAAAAGACCCGAATAAAAGTGGTGCAGACCCAGACAGGGGCTGCCAAGAAAGGCAATCAGAGATAGAGTAGAGAAATGCATTTTGGGGTCCAGATTAAGTGGGCTGTTCCAGATTATTTAAGACATTTATTCTAGAATAGAATAGAGTATAATAAAATAAGCACTATCTAGTGCTCCTCTTATGCCGAATGACCCATCAGGGACTGACCCACATCAATTCCGGCCGCGCAACCGCTGACGACCACTTTTGATGAGCTTGTTTTGGCTTTAATTGCCGATTTAATTATACCAGCCAATCATATTCCGTCTATTAAGCATAGTCCAGCCCTATGGCCGGAGAACTGGTCTTGGCGCTTCGTAAGTCAATTTTATCTAAATATTGGCTTCATGGAGTAATGGGGTACTAATAGTATATAAACTGATATTCTTCGCTTTAGCAAATCAAATATCCAGTCTATTCACTTTATTCCATCATGCAGTTCATTAAACTCGCAGCTCTGGCTGCTACCATTGCCGGTGTTGCCGGTAAGTCACCTCACCTCTACACTCTATACATGCTAACATAACAGCCCACCCTGAACGCCACGATCATTCTAATACCAACTCCATCCACCATCCTCATAAAATTCACACTCGCTCAGATAAATGCGCCCGCAATATTGAGCAGCGCCGTGATGCAGCCTTTATGAAACGCCGCCACGCTCTTGGAAAAAGAGCCACTACCGAGGCAAACCGCTTCATGTACAAGGAGATCCAAAACAAGACATGCCTCCTCGCACCGGACACCATCTTCGGTCCGTATAATGTTGATGGAGAGTTGCATCGCCATGATGTGCGTGAAGAGCAGGAGGGCGTCAATCTCTATCTTGACCTCGGGGTTATTGATGTCGAGACTTGTGAGCCGCTGCCTGATGCGTGGTTGACCATCTGGGTATGTCTCTAATATATATTCTCTCTGATACATGCTGATTATATGTGACTGTAGGCCTGTAACGCCACCGGCACATACTCTGGCTATACAGGAATCAACCCCAACACCGTCTCTCTCCTCGACGGCTGGACAGCCCGCGACGACGGCACGACTGACGACGAGACCTTCCTGCGCGGAATCTCCAAGACCAACGAAGCCGGAATTGCCGAGTTCCTCACCATCTTCCCCGGATACTACGATTCTCGCACAACACACATCCACGTCACCGTCCAATCCCACGTCAACAACACCGACACCAGCTACTCCGACGCGGCCATCCAACACGTCGGCCAGCTCTTCTTCACCGAAGAGCTCATCAACTCGGTTTACCAGCTCTCTCCCTACGCCTCGCATCTTTCTACACTAAACAGAACCCTCAACTCGGAAGACTCGGTGTACTCCGTCGCCAATGCCGATGGAAACTCGGCTATCATCTCAACCCAGTTGCTTGGTGAGACTCTCGCTGAAGGGCTGATTGGGTATATCACCATCGGGGTGAACAAGAGTGCGTCTGCTATTGCTACTACCGGCCAGGATGTGAATGTGCAGGGCTATCTGCCTACGGTGTCTCTCTCGTCGAGTGCGCAGGCCGCTGCGAATACCAAGGATTTGGCCGAGGGATACAAGGCGAATGGTCTGAGAGTATAGATAGTGTATATCAGATTAAAGTTATAAATCCCTTTCTGTTCAAAATGGGTCAACTAATTCAGACTGTCCGTGTCAAATGGACTATATTTAAACCTGGTCGATTGACCAATGCAACTACTGTATAATTTTCATTCCGTATATTGTACCTTGATAATCTGTGGATTATCGATTTTGGAGGGGACTACACTCATGGCTGGGTTGATGAGGAAAAGAAGACAACTATCAATGGGGACATCCAAGCATTTTCCAGGATTGTTGATTTTCTCTTGGACGAAGGTAACTAAGGTAGCTTTTCAACGTCAAATTCACAGGTCTCAAATTCTATATATAATTAAATACTAGATATCATATGACAGAGAATGATATTTGGGTGTGTTGTCTGAGATATTTACATCATGGCTATCATTGTTCATGCCTGAGCATGCATTTTATTAAAAATAGAATTTACAAGCATATTCTGTCACTCCGCCAATTGAAAAAATGATGGAGCAGAAATCCCGAAGAAAAAGATTGGACTGGGAAAGGATGGAGGAGACATGTCATGTGATATACTGATCAAACAGGGCAAACTAACCAAACAAGGTCACCACTTTGGAGGCCTGAACGGCCGCTTTGGGCTATCACAACACTTTTTGAACTCCCTAGGAGCATCCATTTCTTTTATATATACGGAGTTCAAGTCGAATCTTATTGGATCCCATGTCCATCATATTCTGCAATAACTAAAAATAAACTGTTGGTGTAATGATTTGCAGCTTCCCGTATATATTGCCATTGGACTGATCATACGATAGAACTGGATACAGCTGAAGGCAACACAGTCCCCGGCTACTAAGGTAAGGTTTCCGGCTTATCATCCGTCTTTTAATATTGACGAATCATCTTCTTCCTTCAAGGTCCGCTCCTTCATACTCTTACAGGGTAAAACTGAGGGGTTCAAATTAACCTCTCGCCTCTGACTCAGATACTTCTTTTCCATTATCTCTTTATTTTTCGTCCAATAGCCGGCCATGTTTTGCCATATCATAAGCTGCATGTTGATGCTTGTACTTTTTACAAGCACATCACATGGTCAGTCAGCATCTCGAAAAAAGATTATCATAGACACTGATTTATTCAGCGATGTCGAGTAAGCCTTTACTCGCCGTCTTTTCACTATCTATACTAAAGTCCTTAGCGATGCCGGTGCACTTTTACTCGCCAGCACTATCGACTCCGCTGAATTGCTGGCAGTAAATGTCAACTACCCCTCGTCTTATTCTGCATTTGCTGCATCGAGTATATTGGGTCATTATCAACACTCCCATGTCCCTATTGGATTAACACGACCTATCAATGACGACACATTCTGGGATCGCATGATGTTCGAGTATGGCGAGTTCGCTAGCAAGGTAGCCTATCACTGGCGAAATGCTTCTTCTCTGTCCTTTGCAGAAGAGGCCTGGGATCCAGTTGATCTCTATCGAAAAATTCTTGCAGAACAAGATGATGACAGCGTTACTATTGCCAGTATTGGCTTTCTTGAAAATGTGCGCCATATCCTCAAACAATAAGCACAAAAGCTAACATGAAAAAGCTCTCTGCCCTCCTCAACTCAACTGCAGACTGCTACTCCCAACTATCCGGTCTCGAACTGGTCACAGCCAAAGTATCAGAACTGGTGATCATGGGCGGCGACTATCCATCCGGCTATGAATGGAACTTCTACGGCTTTGGTCCTGCTATCACTGCTCATGTCGTGCACACATGGCCTAGTGCGATGACATTCTTGGGCAGCCAGGTGGGCGAGAATGTCTTGTCTGGGAGACGGCTAGTGGAAGAGGGACCTGATGCTGATCCAGTTAGGTCGGCGTATATATGGTACAAGTAAGATTATCCATGATTCTATACATGTCTACGCCAGAGCTAATGTGAATAGTGGACGCGACAAAGCCCGCTATTCCTGGGATCCGCTGACTACACTATATGCCGTCCAGGGATTGGGTGAGCTGTTTAAATACGGCAATAGCGGTGGCCACAACCACATCTATCCCAATGGCTCCAATGTCTGGTTACCAGAGTCTAAAGGGAATTCGCAGCATTGGCTAGAACTAGCGGTTCCACCGACCGCGGCAGGCAAAGTTCTCGATGAGTTGTTTCTTGACGGAGCGAGACGATTTGCTTGATAATCGGGATATATAGCCATTATGTTTACGTATAATTTATCCATCTCGTGTCGATCAGTGGAGAGGCAGGCATTGCTGCCTGGACCGAAAGGCATATATACTCTGGCCATCCCGCTCTGCTAAATTTTCTGAATACGAGCCACCAACATGTCATCCCCAACCGCACACCACCACTTCACAGTAACATCGCAGTGCCTCTGCTACGGTGCCCTCCACAACATCAAACATGGAGCCTCGCAACCCCCCATCCAAGGCTTGCCCAGTCCATCACCCCAACTATCAGGAACAGTCTCACAGCAACCCCTCGACTTCAACATTCCCGCCAAGAACGGTCTATGGGGTTCCTTTCAACTGATTGATCTTCGCACAAGCCGTGTTTCTGCCTGGTTTGCGTGTCATTCTCATGTTGATCCAGTCGCAGAGGCTGATCGGATCCTTCGCGTATCTGGGTCTCCGTATGAGGATGTCGATGGAGATAATGATACGCGATTCAACAGTGAGAAAACTGCTGCGCAGGGCGTCCTTGTTATCAATCGGTATGACTGGGATTGGTGTGACGATCGAGACATCGAGTCTGAAATAGAATATCCAGATATAGAGCTTGAAGATCTCAGCAGTCTCGGCACGTCTGTTGGAATAGTGGATTATGCATCTGCCAATGCACAATTGGCACATTGGAGAGAGCAGGGAACGGCAGAATTAACGCCTTCGACCACAGGAATATGGATGGACATCCCCCAATCGGAATATGCATTTGGACGGTTCGGATTCGACGAGGCGAGGCAATTAGCGAGGTCGTTTCTCTTCTTCACAGCCGATACTTACTTTCCGAAAACTACCTTCCGGGGTCTGGAAGAGCCATTACGGCGTGAGGAAACGGGAGAAGAGAGATTCTATCGTCGACTGCGCGAGGGCTATGATTATGAAGGAATCGACCGATTGCATCGGATCGTGAAAGACCCATTTGATCAGGATGCACGGTCAAAGCTACCATCGCAGTCTGAGTGTGTTGGTCCGTTTGATGCTGGTGACTATTTACTAGACATTGCCGGTCTGGATGCACTCTGTGATGAGATTGGGGAAAGGGGGTTGGTCGATCCTTTGAAAGCAGCGACGCATACATTGTTGAACGAAATGGTGATGAGCTACTTGGTATCTTCCATTGCACCTTCTACTTGCTCGGATACAGTCCCTGCCACGGCAGCTTCGCTATATCCCCGATATTCTACCGAGAATACCGTCGACTTTTATTTATACCGACGTCTGACAAAACCTCATGATGACCCTATTGAAATAACCGGTCTCGACACAGCTACACTGGAAGCGCAAATAAAACGCCTCTTAATACCTATATGCAGCAATAGCAGTCTGATAGCTAACAACGACTACATCACCGGTTTGGGTCAGGTTGTCATTTGGGTACTGCAGGAGGTCTTGGAACTCACGAATAACAGAGCATACGATTTTGATCGGCCTGTAATTGTACCATTGGACGTGCGATCTGCGGTTGGTTATGACGAGGAGCTACAGAGTATATTCCGTTCTTGCAGTTTGTTATGGTATGGGCGGGATTAAGGATACGTGCTATTACTTGAAGTTCAATCAGATAATGGAGTTGATCTCTTAGTGACATAGAAATGCTTCAAGGTAATTTGACCTAGATTATTCAAATTCTCACATGCAGTGATGGCTAGCTGCAAGAAGCAAACGGACGATGGTGGCCTGCGGCTGTAAAAGCAGCAAAAGCAAAGTGATGTTAAACAGCAGTCCTACTCACCGCATTCAAACGTGACGTCTTTTGATCTTGACTGATTATTTCATTCTTCAACTGTCAAATCTCGCCTGTTTGTAAATATGTTCGGATGTTCCTTGCTGGCTGCATCGGCTCTGCTGTGGTTTACCATCGTCGTTGGGTTGCACATTACTGGATATCTTATTCTGTGAGTGTTCAATATACCTTATGGAGCCATTCTAACAGTATACGGTAGGAATATATCACTATTTCTGGGAAACACCCGAAGATGACCTTACAGCCTCTCCTCCCAGAAAAGACCTCCCTCATGTCACCATAACCCGCCCCTGCATCGGACTTGATCCATATCTCGAGGAGTGCTTGACTGCCATATATCTCCAGAATTATCCACCCGAGAAGATGAGAATTTTCTTCTGTGTCCATTCAAAGACTGATGAATGTTTTCCTCTGCTGCAACGGCTGTCTCGAGCGTTTCCAAAGCATCATACTCGCATCTTTATCCAAGAGAGAGAGAGGACAAGACCCTTGGACCAAACCCCAAGGTTTGCAATATGAGTCAGGCCTATCGCTCTGTAACCGGCAATCTTATCTGGATCGTCGACTGCAATGTCTGGGTATGTCGAGGGGCCTGTCATCGCATGGTCGTATCTATTTGTATCTATATAACCTCCTATCCGTAGAATCCTAGTACATACGACCACAGGGTGTGGAGAACAGGGCTTCCCGTCCGCTCAGCCGTACTTAAGCCACACGCCGGCAGGTTAGTAGTTGGGTGGGTGACCACCAGCGAATCCCTGCTGTTGTATGTTTTTGCTATTTCTACATATAATTCTATATATTTTGGCTCTGTAGAAATAGCATATATCTCTTTTTCAGCGGTTGAATAAAGATGTGGATTGCGTGGTTGTCAATCTCATTCGATTTGATAAACTAGAAGGTATCGATTTCCAGCCATACAACCTCGTCTATCACCCTACCTACGCCAACGTGGGAAGCAAAGACCGACAATTCGGCAGCCAAGTCGAAGAACTATTCTCATAAGCTGTCTTTGCGAAACTATACACAGCAGTCAACTTCTGGCGAGTAGGACCCTGCGTTACCGGTAAATCGACCATGTTCTAGCGTTCGGATCTGGATACACGACGCTGTGGACCGCATACAAAGGATTCGACCTGGAAACACACAGCTTCGATACTTTTTCCGATATGCTCTGCAAAGACCAAGCGATTGCCGATTTCCTCTGGGATAAGCCCTACCATCATCGACACGGTCTTCTCTTCGGGGAATTAGCTATTCAACCTGTTTCGCTTAGTCTGGACGAGTATATCGGACGCCATGTGCGATGGGTGAGAGCTCGCAAATTCGCTTTCTGGCCGGGCACCATGCTCGAAGCATTAACCGAAAGTCTACTGTGCTCGAGTATGGCTGCTTTTGCATTTTCCTATTATCGAGATGATAGATTCTAGGCCAACTTTTCGACATTTCTCATCACCAGTATTGGCGTATGGGCTTGTGTGGATTTCTCCCTCTACCGCGTCTATTAACGCGGCAAAATGGCTTGCCGCAAACTGCAGCAGACAGACACATAAAACTGCATTGCTGTTCAGATGAGCTATGGCGTGGTTGTCTAGAGAAGCTCTGGCCCTTCCGATCTAGTTATATGCATTTTTTGGTGCGAATGGTGTTATGGCGGGGACGGCGGTATATGGTTAGTTTGGATGGGAGTATGAATTGTGTAAATAGAATGTGAATTAGAGGGCAGATGTATAAGGTGGGAAGAAAAAAAAAAAGAAAGAAAAATAATGACCGACGCAGGGATCGAACCTGCAATCTTTTGATTCGTAGTCAAACGCCTTGCCATTGGGCCAGCCGGCCTGTGATTGGTTATGTTGCAATTCCGGCTAGTGCTACATGAGCCAGCCCAGTGCTGCTGAACACATTAACTAGTCTTTTATGTATGTGTTCATTCGGAGGATATGATTGCACGCATCAAATAATGCAGGCAAAAGTGCTTAGAATGCACTGTTGTTGCGCATGAAGGGCACACAACAGATAACCTTACGGCTAATTTCTACAAAATCAATGCAATAAACTGAAACCGACAGAATGATTATTTCAAATAAAGATATGTCAAATATTCTGACCATTTATCACGCTGCACTGCCTGTATACTAACAAGAAGGATCAAACTGGTTCCCTAAGATATTCTCTTCATCGCCCGGATTCTTGCACAATGTGTTCCTCGACCTAGCTGCCTCAACTGAGGGAGAGCCATTCGTTCTCATCAACTCATCTTTCCGCTTGACTGCATCCCAGTCGTTGTTGCCGATGTTGCTTTTCGCCTCCATCAACCACATCTTCCAAGCCTCTGTCGACGGTGCAAACCCGCCCTTGGACACCCAGTCGATAGTCTTCGTCGTGTTGATCGCCTGCCACAATGTATTGGTATAGTTGGGAGTCGCGCCTTTTTTTGTGCCTTTTCTCGCGTTCTTGTTCGCATCTTTTGCTGTTGGTGCTTCCTCCAGGACATATCTGCTCATATCCCAGATATCCTTTGGTTTGACCAGCAGCGCCAGCAACCAATACAGCATATTCAAGATGATATATGCCACCCCGATCGCGATCTGCATGACCCACCCACAGTTGCTGAATATGATTATCGATGCCATAAGTAATATCGTGCTGGCTGCAAGTAGCAAATGGTGCCGTTTGCCGCTATACTGGTATTTACAGTCGCCCACGTTCCCGTATAACTCTCGGATGACGTCCTCTTCACCCCGGACGAGGATGAATGCACCGGCACTTGTTTTGATAATCATATCGCCTCTAGGAACCTTTGCGATGGCGGTTCGGGCTGTCAGGCGTGGATACCATCGTGCAGAGAGACTGGCCGTGCTGGTTGAGAGGGACATGGTGCCCAGTCCGACCAGCGCTGCTCCGTCTCCAATACATCCTGCCCAGACGAAAAGGCCGGCCGTCATGAGAATAGACACCAGAGTGAGGATATTTAGCCAGCAGAATGTCTGCAGTTTGATGGAGACTCCTCCATCATCTTGACTTTGACTGGATGATGTCCCGCGTTCCGAATCCGCTTTGTTATAGCGGATGTTATACACGCGAAACTCATACTTCTCTATTTCATCGACATCTTGCCATATATTGGCGAAGAAGTTCAACTCGTGGAAAATGTTTCCCGAATGCACGCCGACCATCGTGACGCCTTTGACGGAGGGGGGCCGTTTCGGTCGGTTGGTGTCGAGCAGGGTTTCGGGGGCGGGGAGGAGACGAGGGAAAATGGCAAATGGCGAGGCTGTAATGGCTTGAAGGTGTTTTTGGATGGCGGAGCTGCCGACGACTGCGAGAAGGCCGACAATGTCGAATCGCCATCCGCTTTGGTCGGACTGTAGGCCGCTTGGAAACCAGCCCATTTTGCTGACTGTTTAAGGATTATATGCGTTCAAGTGTCGGGGATCATACAGAATTCATCGTGGAAATCCATCGTTTATGTCCATCTGGCGGGATCATCTAGTAGCATCCATGCCTCAGCTCTCAATTCATGCCCACCAATGTCGTTTTGCATGAATTATACCTCAACACAACCAACCAACAGTGGGTCGGACGAGTCATCGCCAATGAAAACCGCCCAAGTTTCAGCCTCGTAGATAGCATCCGCATCGAGCAAGGCTTGTCTTACTAGTCAAATGAGACAAGTCATATTGCATTAAGAGCCAGTTTGTGAGAATCCAAGCGGGGTATGGAATAATATTTCTAGGAGCGCTTTCCTTTAAAAATCGATATATGAACAACCAGAGCTGAACTGTCTCGCCTTGCACTAAAGCATTATCCTCCCCGCCAAGATCAAGCATCTCGGAGCAGACCACGCCCAATAAAGTCTCCGGGCAGGCCGACAATTTGAGACGGATGTTGTGTGCTTACGCATGTCGTCTGCATAAATCACTTGGTTCATGCAGCCCTCAGTCTAGGGTGGCGTTTTTGATGATCAACAGTGGCCGGAAGATCCGGTTCTTGGGCGCCATTCTTTAACTCGATCGAGTTAAGGATCCCTTCCGCTCCACTCCTCGGCATACCAATTCGCCCAGTCAGAGAGTGCCGTGTTGTATTCTGAATCAGATTGTTTTCTTTGGGCAATCCATAGGCTGACATTTGCCGGATTGTTCGTCTATGTTCGCCTCCCCGATTGGTCGAGCGACACGGGGCGGTCCGCAGCCGGACCCACACCACCTGTTTCCGTTCTTAGTTTGGCGCAGGGAAAATCTTATTGAGAGCATTGAGAGTTCTCGGTGATTCATCCGGTTAATACACCCTTTTCTATCCAAAAAATGCCAGCAGGATCCCTGTTAAGGATCCTTCGTTGCCTTTTTGCTTTTTCATATATCTGCTGTAACTAGGAAGTCTGACTCTAATCTGTCGGAGATAAATGTACGGTCACGTGATTATGCATTCACCACACGTCTGTTTGTATTGCTGGGCCCTCCTTTGGAGGTAATTATATATCTGATGATCAAGAGCTAGAGATGGTTGATTTGACTTGCTGGGGTGATCGGCTTAGTTACAGGATAGGACATTCTTTGCCAATGTATAAAAACATTGAAGAATATGCAATGTATATATATATCTTGAACAGCGAATAGCGGTACTATTAAATAGGTATCAGATAAACTCCGCTCTCAATGCAAGCAAAATACGATCAAGAAAGACAATAGATAGAAGCAGACTTTAGTTGCTGGATAAATAAATTAGTTTTCACGTTATGTTGAGTTGCTCAGAGCTAGTAGCTAAGTACGTAGTAAGCATATACTGATATGTCACCAGCCAAGCTTTAGATGATAGAGGTTGACTTTAATTATCGACAGTATTATAGGCTTGGTCTCCGGATTTCTGAACAAAGTTGATATTTAACACTGCACTGGGGATGATATTTAACTAATAACTAATAAAACCAAGCTAAATAATCACTCTCTACCAAGACCATTTGTTGTAATATGGCCATTTGTAGCATCTTCACCATCCGTTGCAACTTCATCATCCGTACCTTCATAATCATTATCATCGTCGTCGTCGTCATCATCATCATCACTCATTTCATCTCGATCATCTCTTGCGCCATGCGCAAGAAGTATGTCAACCATCTCTTGGCTTCTCGTACTAGCCCACTGCACCGGTGACATGTCCATGTAGTGGTTACCATTAGGGTCTGCCCCATTTTCGAGCAGGTATTCCACCTGCCGTGGTCTCTCTGCAAGAATAGCCATACTAAGACAGTCAGATTTCGACACTCAAGTTGACTTCAGATGCAAGTCATTACCTGAGAGCGGTGCCAACAAGGCCTAGATCCTCATCAACATCGAATCCAGCCTCGATTAAAACATCGAAAGATCGAGAATCCCAGTCGGGTTCATCGAATGAATCAGCTGCCGCGATGACGACGTCTATTGCTTTCTATAAGCATTGCCGGTGTATAGGCTCAATAACAGAGAAGTTAAATGCGTACCTCTGCTAATCTCGCACCCACGATTGATCAGTTCTTCGGCAGCCTCCACATTATGGTTCTTTAGCGCTTCTTCTAAAGCCTCTTGAAACACTAACATCGGCTGGCTTGCTCTCCTTGGCGTCTCTTGTGCTTGCCAGGCAGTGATAGCGGTGCGCAGGCTGGGGAGATCGTTCGTTTTGGCGGCCTCGAGGGCAGCAGCGACGAAGTTGGACATGTTGGGCTGTGTGTGTTGAAACAGATGAAAGCGAGCTGGAGAAATTATTAAGAGGATTTATATTCCATTGTTCGCTAGGGCCTGCTGACATCAGCACTGCCGAGTCATGATGCTGTGCGCATTTAATCTTAATCGACGCCTAATCACATGACCTGCGGATTATACAATTGCCAAGTCACTGTTCTATTATTCTACTAAGCCTGCGCCGTTGTATCTTTGTGTAATGTCTTATTGCCACTGCCACCCAAGGCCAAGGGTTCAGGCGTGCCGTGCCTATTACTTAGATTATTACCACTGCAACCGCTTGGTAAAGGGCCCTGCCATTATTAAACAGCCCTTAAGGGTGAAGATATCAACAGATGAATTAGAAAACATAATAATTGATTTTCTACATTGAATTCACGATTGATTTATTAATCATGAAAAAAAAAAAGAAAAAAAAAGGCATGTGCACAATGAGATTAATACAGACATGTTTCTCTATGAGTCTGTGATATACCTAGCTTACTGTAACAGCTCCCATTCTCGTATTAATGAAAACGACACAGTATAATCACCCGGGGAAAACGTTAGCCCCGATCGCTGCCCAGATTTATTCTCCGAGATACTGTAGATCGCATTCTCCGCTGAGTAGGGTCCAGCTTATTCTGATTGGCCAAGACAAAGTCAAGGGTCCTGGTCCATTCGCCACATTCGGGCAAGTGGGCTTACAACTTGAAACGCGAGCCTGATACATTCTGACCGTCAGCATAAATACCCTGCGGCTTAGTGAAGTTGCATGCAGGGCTTCCTTGGCAGGGATCGGGCGGCTGATGTTGTGGATTCGATCTGGGCAGTACTCGACGGCTATGCTACTGTGTATGACATGGAACAGCCCATATGATGGTCTGTGTCTGGGATTTGGCTCTATTAACAGTCCGATGATGAGTAACATGTTGTAATATGACTTTCTGGGCAATGAAGTAACTCAAGCCAGACTTTCAATTGTTGGAAACTGTTGAACTGCCACGTCTCACTCATGCCGAGACAGGATGGACGAGAGAGATTCGCTCAATCCGTACATAGAGAATAAGCTCCTGTCATCAAGGAGATAACTGGCATCGTGAAGAGCATTCACCATCCCTGAGAGATCCAAAACGAATGCGATGAAACCCCTCAATGCCAATGCTTACAGTCCATCCAATGCGACATTGGAAGTTGAATCGCATCGTGAGCATGACAGTATCATGGATATAGCTCATTGTGATAATGGTGTCTGCCCTGAGCCCAAAGGACATAAATAGTTCCCTTGGACACCCTCGAGCTGATCGCTGTTCCATCCATCAAAGCATCAATTCCAATACAGTTCTCTCATTCTCATCTATTCTCTGGCTTCCGACATGAAGCTCTTCAAAAGTACATTATTTTCGCGCCTCTTGGCATTCCTCCTCCTGATCGGCTTGCTGTCCCAAGTCCTCGCAGCCCCAACTCCCCTTGAGTTGGATGAAGTCGAAGAAATCGGCGGCAGTCTCGAGTCACGCTCTCCTAGCGGCAGAGGCAAAGGAAGAGGTGGCAATAGAGGAGGCGGCAGAGGAGGAAGCCGGGGAGGCAGCAGAGGAGGCGGTAGGGGCGGCGGTAGAGGCGGCAATAGTGGCAGCAGCAGCAAGCCCAAATACCCTACAGTCGAGGAGGTCGAGAAAGCACTGGATGTCAAAAAGAATGCCGCCATCTTCTACTCCGGGCCGGAAAAACACGCAATTTTCCATAAGACCTACGAGGACCTGACCAACAAAGAAATTGGGAAACGCTCCTATCTCAAGAATTACAAGACTGTGCGTGAATCGTTCAATCCCTCCAACTGGGCCAAGAAGTACATTAGGCAAAATAAAATCAAGGACCAGAGAAAGTTCTGGGAAATCGCTTCTAAGGCCTACGCCAACAAAGCGGAGGGTACGGTCTACGTCATGCTGCCTGAGGAGCCGGGAACCAAATGGCATGAGAATACTATTTGGGACAAGACCGAATGGCCTACCCTAAAGGCCAGTCATAAAGTTCAAAATGTGATCCGCATCAACCCAGACAACGACCACCAGGAGGCTATCAAGGGTAAGGTGGTCGCGGAGGATGACGAAAAGACCGACGACAAAAAGGACGACCAAAAGGACGACAAAAAGGATGGCAAGAAGCACTAGATCACCGAGAGTCACTAATTGAATGCCATACTCTTGTTGATCTTGACTCTACCTTGAACTGTTGTATGTGATGGATATATGGATGGATTCATGTCTTGTTTTTCCTATTCGTTTTTTCTGTTTTTGGTTAGATATGGTTTGATACTGTCGCTGGTCGACATCACTGCATATAAAGAATCAATCGCATTTATCACTTATTCTATACCCTCTCAATCGATAAATCTATAGACCGTAAGAACACCGCAGACGCATTTTAGAAGTTGACAGACGTGTATTTCCAGATCTGACAAGACGGGGCGGCCCGCGGACCCACCTGCTCTATTTTCGGTGTGGTACAAAGTATATCTTATCTTGACAGATTCCGAACTACTTGGGATATTTACGTATAGCTTGTAATGGGATTGTGTACAACAGATTCTGTTCTTCCTGTGCGGACCAGAGCATATGGATATTGATTGGTATAAATAGTGCAAACGTTTAGTACATACACTACCTACGCAAAACATCCTCTCGTATACTGGCAATAACTTCCCCAAACCTCAAACGCGCATTCTCATGCTTTTCCCCTGTTGTATTCATACCATCTGACGACCACCTAGACTGTAAAAATCACCTTCCTCTTGCAGATCCACTCCCCCGCGTAGTCTCCGCCGTATAGGCTCCATATTCCACTCCATAAGCCCCGAAAGCAGTTCCGGCGTCTTGCAAATCACCGGCAGATGAATGAGACTCATATAAAACGTGACATGAAGGCGCTTTAATCCCGAAAGCTCACCCATCAATTCACCTAACAGATCCATACATCCCCTCGGACGCATCCACTCATATTCCCCAGAGTCATCATGCAGTTTTGTTTTCTCGAGCCCCCGTCTATGATCTTGCATCGAGAAGAACAGATCTAGCGGTGTGACATATGGTAAAGCAGGAGGAAGTGGCTTATACGGCACGAAACAGCGACTCGTAAATTCCATTCCAGACATGCCGATGGTCATCTCGTATGTCACCCGCCTGTACCATTCGCGTGTCAGCTCTGTGTAGATGGTTTGGTTGGTTTGGAGGAGAGCTGATGGGCATTCCTGGCAGCCGTCACTGCGCATAGTGGGCCGTTTGTCGCGTTGGCCGTGACGGTGGTGTTTTATGGTGATGTTGGGGTGAGATGGCTGTATATTTGTAGGCGGATTCGGGTGAGAAGTCGAGGAAGCTGGATGGGTTTGACGGAGGCATTTTGCTGATGATCATAATGATGAAGAATACGAATGGGAGAATTGTTTTATAAGATGTTGGTGGCTGTAAATGGCCCCATGTTTCTGCCTTGCCGATCACTGCACAATAATGGCTACTTTTGATGACAGTAAAATATTCAGATAGAATTAAAGACCAAGAGTACAAATAATACAAACAGTACGTTCTCTAGGGAGAGCTGGTGGGCCTAAAAGTGGGCGTTTGCCTGGAGGAACCGGTGAAGGTGACAAATAGTGACAGATACTGCTCAGGATTAGAAGGAATATTTACTGTATCAAATATGTTGATTATACACTGTAAGATATATGGAAAATGTATGGATCATGATCTTTCCTTTCTCTTCTTCACATATTCTTGACCCTGATCTATTCTCTGAATATACCCTTTGAATTCTGGATTCAATCTCATTATCTTACACCGCACACCATGCCCGACTACTTCAACAAGTCAATACGACGCCTATCACGATGATGGCCTACAGCAATGCTCTATCTTCTGCCTTAGCGCCATATAATCCAAATGCTCTGCCATCGACCTGGGTTACACCGCCTAACACCTAACCCTCCTCCTCAGACGCAACACTCAACAACATACCACATATCCACGACTCATCCAGTCATCTCACTGCGGTTAGAATTGCAATATTCAGTTCCAAGCGTCATCTCTCCACACTCTACAGACCTCCCGTTTGAGCAAGGGGTTATCCACAGTCCAGTTGATCCTGCCACACTCGCCACCTACAAGCCCTTCGTTATCAGATACGCGTTATTAGAACCTGATCGTGCGTGAAGTAAAGCAAATCTACCCGAATAGAATACTGATAATAATTCCCTACAGAAATCGACCGTGCAGACTGGTGAAATGCGTTATGGTGGGGCGGTTAAGTCCTGAAGAAGAGTTGGTCGTGATTATTCAACTGCCATGCCACACTGGAGGAAGGCTCATGGGAAGGGTGATTTGTTAAAAGAGAAGTTGGGTTGACTGTATATTCTATCAAGTGGATAAGCTGACGTTCGAAGATATCACCAATCTACCAGTACTCATAGGCATATACCATCAAGCTGAAGAAGAACCTTTTCAATATACCTCACAGCAACAAGAACACCATCCGCATCTTGAAACTCCTGCTCATCCCCAAAGTCGGCATTATCCGGATCCAAACACGTCAGACACGTCTCGACAACCCGAGCATACTTTGTTCCCATTCTCCGGGGAAGTATATTCCTAGTCAGTGAAACGAGGTGCTCTTTGATAGAAGCAAGTTGTTCCAAGTTGTCCAGTTCGAGGTTGAGGATCGGCGATGGACGTGGATTTCCGCCTTGGTCATCGTACAAGACAAATGTTTCCCAGAGCCCAACTTCAAGGAGACAGACTCCAAGGCTGTATATGTCGTGTTGCATAATATACTCATCTTCTGGTACTAAACCTACCCGGCGAGGATGTCGATACAGGTTTTTCTCCCAGTCCGAATCTCCAGCTTGCAGCGTTCTGCCATCTGCGGATCGGAAGTTTCCAAACCCGAGGAGAAACGAAGAGCCAAAGCCGGTGGACTCACTTTGAAGGAGGAGGATGGTTTCCGGCCGGATGTTCTTGTGGACGAACCCGTGTGTGTGCATGTAGCATACCGATCTCGCCACCTCTTTGGCAATTCGGAATCGTTCAGAGAGCGAGTGCTCGGTATTTCCACATATCAGACGACTGCGCAGACTGGTACCTTGAGGTGCTCTCGCAGGTGTCCTGAATACAAAGCAGAACGAATTCACCTTTCTACGATTGGAAGGATCCGTCTCTTTGATCACTCCATAGCAGTTGAGCAACCCGAATGTCGCTGGATCGGAGCAGGACAGTTTCCTGGCGAGGTCTCGGACATCCTGAATGAGTCTTGAAATGTCCAGCTGCGGATCAACGGCCATAGTATCGAGAACTAGCCACTTTGCGGATCCTTGTCGCTGTGCCCACTTCGCCGATGTGTAGGGTATGTCAATCTTCTCGGCTGATTCTAGCGCGTCCTTATCCAAGAAGACCGAACTTCTGCTCTGTGGGCCTCCAGTCGCGGCTTTTCTTACGCTGAGCGCAGAAGGCAATTGGTTTTGCATCTGGCTGTCTCTGGACAGCTCCAAGTCGATCATGGGGTTTGCGACTTTCATAATAAGAAACCAGCTGGGATCGAACCTTTTCTGCCAGACCTCCAAGTCATCCATTGTCTGTTGTAGGCTCTCTTTGAGCCGTATGTATCGCCATTTCTCGACTCTTATTTCCGGCCTACCACCAAGTCCACGATATGTTTCCGTAACCTTTCCGAGGCTGGTGGTCGCAGCGCTTAGCTTGTTAATCAGAGCTCGCACAATCTGGTTCTGAATATCTCGATGATCCTTATCCAAGGTATCAGATACACGCTGGATGAATTTTAGTTGTTTTCGTGTTCGCATCCAGTGGTTCTGTATGCACAGCGCCATCTCGGCAACCTGAACCTCGGCGGTTTTGAGCGACTTGCATATTTCGACGAGAGAATTGCCATACCTGAAAGATTAGCCAAAAAGGATAATAAGATACCAAGGTAATGATACTTAAAGCAGAGATCTACCGTTGCGACAATTGCTAATCCGAGCTCAGCCATGTTGTTGTTGAGGTGAGGGGAAGAAAGATGATCTGCGAGGCTGTGTACCTCACAGCCTCATTTATACCCATCCTACCATCCACTAACGTGATAACCGCATATTTGTCAGCACAGCCTTATCTCTCGATCCCCTTCAAAATCATCGATAAATGCAGGCGTCGGCAGGTACTGTATGGGACTGATGGGAAACTGGCAGAATGGAGTCTTCTGATTTGATTCGCGACTCCAAGCTTGAAACTTATTTCAACCCTCCTTTATCTCCTGGCGGATCGTATCCTGATTTGACCGAGCATATTATCAATGGCTCCGATCCTAGCGGTCAACAACGAGTGCTCCGGAGAGAAGAGCAGTGGAAGCGCCAGCGACATATTGGCGAAGGTGCCTATGGCAGCGTATGGCTGGAAAGTTGTGTCAAAGGTCAAACAAAGTCTGAATTTCGCGCAGTGAAGCGCATCCGAAAAGTCGACCAAGGTTACGATCGAGAACTCGAGGCTTTTGCCAAATTCTCCCATGACAAGGTGAAGTTAAAAAGTCGCTGCTGTATTTTCGGTGTTTAATGTTTCTCAGTATGTACGGTGTTTTGTCGAGTCTTTTGGCTGGTATGAAAGTCTCGATTCCATCTTCATCAGCATGGAGTATCTAGCGCACGGAGATCTCCATCGGTATTTGTGTGCCACGTCGCAGATTCCAGAAAATGAAACCAAAGAGATCACGTACCAGTTGCTTGAGGGTCTGTGTTTCATGCACGATAATGGGTTCATCCATCGAGATCTAAAGCCTTGCGTAGGTCCTCCATTAATCCACTAACCCCCAAGTCCCTTAATCTTACCTTGGAACAGAATGTGCTGTTAAAGTCAAAGCCCCCAGGCATATGGTGGGTGAAGATCGGAGACTTTGGTGTCAGTAAACGTGCTGCTGCTGGTACAGCACCGTCGACTCTCAAAGGAACTCTTGGGTTCCTTGCTCCTGAGCTGCATGGGTACATCGAAGCTACTGGAAAAAAAAGCGACTCGGAGTCCAAGGCAGCAGACATATGGGCTCTTGGCGAGACGATGCACCAGATGCTGACCAGAGAAGTGACATTCACAACTCTACTCGATCTCAACCGCTATGCCCAAGGTCGCATGGGATTTCCGTTTGATCGCTTAAAACATCACGGGGTGAGCAGCGATGGGCAACAATTCATCAGACAACTCATGGCTCCAACTCCAAAAGAGCGACTGACAGCGCAGAATGCTATCCAGCAGCCTTGGGTAGTGATCGGAAAAGATCCTCTCCCAAATGCAGAACTTGCGCTTCCGAGGTAAGAGCGTTTCGGGTCATTGTGATACAGTCTCAGGCTAACCAAGTCGTAGCCCGCCTCAACCATCCATAGCGACCAATGACCCTGCGCCTGCATCGTCAGGCAAACCATCAAACAAATGGTCTACTCTTGAGCCTGATAGCAGTGATATACGCTCGACTGCCGAACTTCCGAACAATCCGAGTTCAGTTCCGACAAGGGGCGACTCAGAGCAGCCCACACAGGATGTCGACATGATCAATTCTTTCAGGGACGTCAGTAATGGGAATCTTGGCACAAACATATCGAGGACCTCCAAGATTGCCCAAAAGCTTCGGGGTAAATCGCTGCGGAGCCTATCGAACTTCGAACAAGAACGGCGTACCGAGCTAACCTCTAAACCACTAACTGTGATCACGCCCACCGACGGACCTGGAAGTTCTATGGCCAAAAAGACTAGCAGAGCACAAACAGCGGAGTCTCAGTCATTAGTGAGGAAGTTTCTCCGATCTTTCAAGTCCCCACAGGATTCTGCGGATGGTACACTACGAGCTGAATCAGATGCCGAGGAAGAAAACATCGATGAGCAGACCTCCCAACGACTGCTATTATACAGAATGGCCCCGCATGCCGAGAGAATCACACCGGACGGTATACTTAATGATATCAGACAAAGTGCAGACTCACTGTCGTTGTCAAGGTATGGCGAAAAGGCTATCTCGATAACAAACTATCTCATCACTACGGGCAATATCCGTCGTGAAAGTGTGATTGAGATATTGGATACTGAAAGGAAAGACAAGAGACAAATCGTCCTTTCTAACGAAGATATATATGAGGTTATGTGCTCCCCTAATGGTCGGCTGGCCGCTTCTCGAGGGATGAATGCCATAGTGTTGTGGGACACTTCTACCGGATCTACCCTGCACATGTACAGAGGGTTTGGCGGAGTTCAATCATCCCCGTTTTATGATCGAGTTCAACACCTCTGGTTCTCGCCAAACAGCAGAATGTTTGGGACTTGGGCAAACGGATGCATTTACGGCTGGGACGTCGATTCCGGGAAGCAAACGTTCACAATCCCATTGAAGAGCTTCGACTGTCAGCAGATAAATACCATTGCCTTTCTACCATCTGGGGAGGTCCTGGCAGCTGGAGTATACAGCCGTACCGTAACCCACCCACCACATCGTCCGGTTACAGCTGCATTCCTGGTGCTTTTTGAGCCAGACCATCAAACGCCGCGTTATTTCCATGAAATCGATATTCTCGCCACGTCTGACAGTGTGTATCCTTTAGGGCTCTCCACTGACAGCACCAAAGTAGCTTTTTTCTTTCCCGGCTATTCTGAGATTGGGGATATTCACTTCTTCGATGTTTCCACGGGAGAGCCGATCTGGACACTCTGTCCCCAAAGCATGACCCCTCCCAAGCCATTATGTAGGACCCACGCACTGCTCACGACACCAACTGTTGCCATCCTCGCAACTGGACATTATACGGGGTTGGAATATATCACGTTTCTTTCTGTATGGGATGTCCAAACACGCAAGTTCCTCGCCTCCCGGGTAATTTACCATGGCTCAGAGAAAGCCTGTCGGCTTTCATTCTCTCGTGATGGCAGCACGCTCGTGATCGGGGGGGAGAAGGGAACGATCATTCTGGTGCGAGCGGACTTTGCGAGTCTTCGGGGGAAAAAAGATACTTACGGCTATAATTATATGTCACGCCAAGAACGCTGGCTTACTGTGTAGATACTTCTCTTCCGGGGGAACTGTCTTGACTCATTATATACACTGATCATCCATTATTCATTCAAGTCTCGACCCCACGTTCTGGTAGTATCACATTTCCATGGTATCGAATACGCCACTGATCTGCCGCAATATATCCGAGCAAATTGAGGTCGAGGATAGAGACCAGGTTTCAGACTATTCAACAGAGCCTAGCTTGATCTTCGTAAGGGTGCGAGTCGCCGGATAGATATGTAAGAAAAGAATCAGAAATATCAAGGCAAAGAGGACAATGAACAGAGAGCGAGGATGGAAAGAAGGGCGTTTGGAGAGGGATTTTGTTGCTTTCTTCGTTGGTTTATTCTTGTGTGTTCGTTTCATTGTGAAGGATTTGTATGGATTATATTGATGAATAGATTCTATCTATGTACATGAGTTATTATAGTACAGCTGATTATGACACAGTGTCATGATGGTTGCTGGTAAGGACAGATGTTGATATCAAGTGAGTCATAACTCTTCTTGCCAGTTGTTATCTCCTATAAACAACCATGATCATCATTATAGCGCTACTTCATGAGCCATTAATAATGATATCTGGACTGGCTTCTGCCAGATGTTCAAAGCTGAGAGGACTACTATATAAAGCTCATAATACTATATTCCCCACGTGACCACACAGTTATTCCAAACTCAATAATAACTCTACCAAATGATGTCATTCTGCATATGAAGAACCATACAGCCGGAAATGAGCATTAACTTTACTAATTTTATAGACAGGTCTGGATAGGCACCTACGCACCATGTCCATAGAAACCATCGGGCTGGATGAGGTAGTCTGCAATTGTACCCCAGAGAAGTCTAAAGTGATATTCGGGAGTTGAGCTGTCTGGTTGTATGACTTGATAGCTGATGGTTATATACATGTTGTTGGAATCTACAGAAACAAATATTACAAGATACGATAGCAGTCACCGTAGGTAGCCTACAAAACAGGTTTATCTTTTTTAAATGATTATATATACACCATTCTTCTGCAGAGGCCACGATTAACATTAAGCAATATGTGGATATACCAATAGATACAGGTGAGCATGTTTGAATATAAACAGCTAAGCAGTGTTTTCAGTCTTTCCTTCAAAATACAGTAGCGATGAGACACCATTCACCAGGCATAAAAGTGCTATCAACGTTAGTACCTCCAAAAAGAAATAGAAAAAGGAAACTCACCCATTGCCACGTTCATCCAAAAGTATCCCACCGTCTCAACCAGAGAGCCACACGCCAAAGGTCCCAGCATCAAGCCCAGGCTGAACGCTATCTCGCACAGAGAATACATCCGCGAGGTTCCCCCGCTGGGCCCGAAGATGTTGGGGTTCTTAGCCTCGAAATCCTTGACGACGGCTGATATTCATTGTTAGCATTGAGAATTACACAAGATGGGCGGAACTCACATATCATCTGCACCACCCCTGAGCCGCGCACCAAGCAAAACGCAACCCCGATTCCGAAAATACAAACGATGTAGATCGTCTTGCCGCCAGACTCGGCACTAGCCCATGGGAATCGATCATCGCCGGGGATACCCAACAAGACAAACAGCGGCGCGAGGATAGCCCAGCCGGCGCAAGTGGGCGCGCGACCGCCGACCTTGTCTCGAAGCGAGCCTGCCAGAGGAGCCAGGACGAGAAAAGGCAGCTGGAGGTACAAGAAGATCATACCGGCGGGCAAGCTGCCCCAATTAAAAGCGGCGCGCACGTGAAGCGGAATGGTCGCGTCAAACGAAGCCATCAGGGCAGAGATGCTGAAGCCGTTGAGTATGCTAGCCAGGATTCGCGCATCGCGAAGGATAATGCCGTAGAAGCCATGGGGGGATTGATTCTTCGGCTCCGCAACATCCGGGTCAACACTGGGCTCGGGAATCAACGCGGAGGTCTCGTCTGGGGAGTCGTTGGTGGCGGATTCGGTCTTAGTGCTAGGAGGCTCGATCATCACGAGACGGCCAAGGATGTCCAGCGCCAGAATGCCCAGCGGGACAGACCACGCCGGCCAGTAACCCACAAGCTCCAGTAAGGCGCCTGCGACCATCGGCCCTGCAATGACGCCGGCGGAGACAAACGACATGGCAATGCCCATGACCTGGCCGAGACTGTCGGAGCCAGTCATGTCAGACATTGTCCCCAAGCCGACGATCCATGTGCCTGATCCAGCCAGACCCTGCACAATGCGCCCCAAGAACAGCGCCCACACTGGATTAGTTAGCTAAAACGTTTACGATGACAGTGTACATGATGACATACGAGACGGGGTGCAGGCAACAAGGAGAGTGCCCACGAAGCATCCAGCCAAAGAAATCAGCAGCGGGGTCTTTTTGTCCGGTGCTTTGTCTACAAAGTGCGCGATAATAGGGGCGGACAGCAGCGCTAGAAAGCCGTGGACGGTGAGCAGTGCCGTAGTCAGGGTCTGCGTGTGCGAGGAACTGAGTCCCAGCCGGCCCTCCAGCATATATCCTAGAATGGGAACCACGAAGCCAAAGAGAAAGGTGTCTATGACAGTGAGCATCAAACCGGTCTGCCTTGGGCCGTAACTTACCAGCAAACAAGGCGATGGTGATACATGAGAGGATAAACCATCTGGATGAGCGCCATTGATAGCCAAAGGGCATGGGCAAAGGGTCCGCGACAACCATTTTGACTGAAATGAAAATGATGAGGTTGTTGATGGTGTCAGGAGGGATCGAGGGTTGAGCTGAGCTCGAGCTGAACCAAATTTCCACCCGAGATCGACATTCAGCCCATGCCCCACTTGATGCTGCTCGTTGCCAGATCGGGCGATGATCTTAATAATGGAAATCGCAGCCACGAACCACAAATCTGCACGGCGATTTTAGATCGAGATGGCCATCCAATCATATCCATGTTCCCGTCATGTTCGTGAAGAGAGGCCAATCATATCAAGACAAATGACAAATAATCTGCAGCTGCCAATGAACTATTTAGCGTCTGCATGCTGACATCCCACTTAAGCTGAGCATTTCCTGTTTTCCTCATCTCACTCGGGTAGCACAGACTTTGTCAACTGTGGAGCAATGTATTTGGGCGTATATTGAATGAAGGATAATAAGAATATCTAGTTGTCTTAAGATCTTGAGAAAGCAGGCTATATTTATGTTAAATTGAAGCTATTCACTAAGCTAAATACAGTAATATCTTATGAACATGCGAGAATATATAAAGGTCTTACTATAAGTAAATAATAATATAACATCAGTAAATGTCTTCAATCAGATTGCCCATATTAATAAGAACTGCAGGATAGTGGTTATTTACCGTTGACCCTTTTCTTATATCGACAGTAGATAGTTGGTGTTGTGAGGTTATATAAAGTAAGCACGACTGAAACTGATAATGAATGGTGCACCAGAAAGTAGAAAGAACTGCACACTTCAATCTCAGCTCGAGGGTATCTACTCGACCAGAAAGGCGTGCTTGTCTTTGACTCTTGCTGTCGGTTATTTTTAGACCCATCCTTTGTACCATTGTATTCGAGAATGAGGGACGAGTCTTTGTCTGAAGTGAACAAAGGCTCGAGGATCGAGTCCGAGTATAAAGGTGGCATCCCCATCTACTCCTAATCGTCTGTATTCTCAATACACATTCACTCTACAATTCAAATATGCCAACAGTTGGATCAACGCTGGCTGCTGAGGTGGCAGAGATCTTGGATCAAGCCCACATCCCTCATCTTCTCTGGGGCTCTTTGGCGATTGCTCTGGTCGGGCTTAACCGCCATCCTCTAGTAAGTTGTTCTCTCCCTCTCTCTCGAGGTAAATACTGACTCTCTAGCGACTCGAATTCATCGTTCCAGATGAACAGATCCAGCCTGCCTCCGAAGTCCTCTATGAGGCTGGCTTCTGCCTCTGTGCCAATCCAGGCTGCCCTGACCTTCGCATCGACCAATTCTACCCTATCGCCGACGTGCACTTCCATCTTGAGGGCATGACCGATGAGCACCGCATCCTCTCCCTCTTCACAAAGTCTAGTGTGGTCTGGTGGCTCCCAGACCTCTCTCTATCCCACCCCCCCGAGGATGATCCCTACTTTATCCTCTCTACCTCGCCCCGACTCCCATCACGTCAAAGATACGGCGCCTCAGGCCCCTGGACCCATCTATACCCAATCCGCCTCCTCAACCCGAATGCTATGACTGAGGCTGTCATCATGCTTAATATCCGGGACCTTTACCAGCCAAATGGGATAGAGCAACACTGGCACTATATGCTTATTGACCTGATGGAGGAGCGTGAGACCCCTGAAGCGAGTGTTAAAAAGACCCTCCCACCGCGTTTGACGTTGTTTTGGGAGAATTACAACCGTCTCGCTGAGGACTGGGTGATCAGTCCGCTGGAGATACTGAAAGAGCTCCGCAGGGAAATGGTGGCTAATAATGAACTGCCGCCGCCGCCGGCGTACAATGCGTATGGGTCGATCGAGGAGGCGAGACTAAACGGGTGTGACCTTTAGTTCTGTTTTGTTGGTGTTGTCTTTCTTTCTTGCTTGTTCTTTCACCTGGTGACGCTTTCGGGGTGGTGTATCTTTGTTCGACTGTACGTTCTTTGTATAGAAATTGAAGACCCGTGACAGACTCAATCATTTTCATCACAAAGGAAATCATCAAAGAACTAACAAAGAGCATCTGCGCCCTTTCTATCGCATCAAGCTCTCTCCAAGACATCGAGTATCAAACCAAAACCTCGTCAGCGAACATGCGATGGAAATGTACTATATAAGTCGTGTAAGTAATCGGTCCTCTTCCTCATTATAGCCACCACAATGGTTCATCCAACCCAACTGGCTACTGCAGCGAAAGAGCTCTTCCACCGGCTCCAAGCCATTCCAGAATTCCAAAGCATTCGCCTTGTCATTATCGGCGGTCTTGCCGCTTGCAGATACAACCCCGATCGTGAAACAACCGTCAGTTTCCTCCACCCTTGTTTTCATTCATCGCTAATAGAAACCCGCATCATGGCAGGATATCGATATTCTGGTTGATCTTGCGCCTGGATTTGATCCACGCCTCAGCGAACTTCCCTCTGGTGCCACTGAGCTCATCAAACGGGGGCTGTCAGTCTCTTATCCGGGGGAGTTTTTCCAGCCAGCCGAAGACTTCAAGTTTCGTTGGGCGGAGGACATTTCAGTTGATTTTATACCGTGCGACGTCGTGAGTGCCCATCCATTTGGCTGGGTTACGTGTATATTGATCTAGGTCTAGGCGCCATACGTCCCGCAGTCGGCAATGACCATCGCGGAGACCCGAGAGACTGGCGAGCTGCCATTTATTTCGGCGTTAGATCTGGCCATTTTTAAAATACATAGCTACGGGCTACGATGGATTCCCAAGAACCGGGAATCGGATGCAATCGATGCCGCGGCGCTTGTCCAATATGTCAGCCGTGGCCAGGTGATCCGGCTGTCGGCTGAGCAGCGAGGTCGTGCTTGCTGGTCTTGATGATGTCTTTTTCAAAGCCTCCAGGAAGGCGATGCCATGGTGGCGGTCGAAGCTGAATCTGGATTAAGAATTGTTTTTGGTGTTTTGGTGTAAATTTTATATAGATAGATAGAAACTGTCCGCTGCACATCTCCCGGCTGAGTAGTAACACCGTGCTCCTTGATCTTTTCAGAAAGTATGATGGCATCCCGCGTAGCCCAGTTGGCACTGTCGCCCACAGGGCGTGCATATCCGATAATCCAGTATATCAGATGCCCTATCATAGCTAGCTAGACCCTGTTTATATTAATTGTTGCGTTTACATGGGGTCCTTTCTTCTTTTGGCGGAGTGGGATGGCGTATCATCACACATATTGGATTGTACCATGCTGTTCGCGATGGGGTTCAGATCAGTGCTTAATCTTGACTGTTTTGGCATTTTGATGGTAAAAACCTATAGTTACTGTATAAATCCTGATATTGATTTTAGTATCTGATATAAAAATGAAGCTGATCTGACAGTTTTTGATGGAGGAATATTTTCATTCAATCTAATCAGTCAGGTGACCTTGCATAACTATGCATAACCACATAACTTTGTATCACTAATTATACTCATGTCTTTTGGTCGCTAAGAATATCTATTTTCCGGTACCATGTATATATCGTGAGTCTTGATGGGGCTAAATTACATACAAACTGACCAGTAAGAAGGATACCCACTTAAAAAGCAATGAAATCTTGCTTTTTATAAGGGGTAGGGTATCTCACGGGAAGATATCCGCTTCCTTCAAGCCATTCTAGTATTGGGTGCTAGGTACAGATCAAACAAGATGCTCCTGGCAGCGGCTGCGCACATTCAACTGGCCTATATCATCTAAATACCGTCCACCGGAAGACACGCCCGCAATCTGCATTTGATTCAGTCAAGTTTGACCATTTAGCGGCCTTGGCCCTCACCGGGGCAGCCGGTCTGCCAGGGAGGAGGGACGCTGAAAGGAGCGTTGGAGGGCAGGGGGAAGCCCGAGGGGTAGTTGCAGGAGTGGCTAGGGCTGGCACTGGGGTGGGCGCTGGAGCTGGGGGTGGCACTGGAGCTGTGGTGGGCGCTGGAGCTGGGGGTGGCGCTGGGAGTGGGAGTAGCACTGGATGTGGCAGTGACACTGGCAGTGTGATGCTCGTGGGGGTTAGCCCAGGGAGGGGGCTGGAGAGGAGTGTTAGCAACTGGAACATAGGGCTCTGCGCTGGGGACAGCTGGACATACTGCGGCAACGGCAACGGAAGCCAGTCCAATGGCGGCAACGACAGTGAGGAACTGCATGGTGATGATAAGAGGTGTTTTATTTGTTTGTTTGTTCAAGCGAGGGAAATTGAGGTATGGGGAGAAAAGAAATCAGAGGAGGCAGGCGGGATGAGCGATATTTAAGAAGTTCCTGTAAAGCGGAATATGAGCCAGAGACCAATGACATCAATAGATGATGGATGATGCAACGTCCTTCCAAGATTATTGCTTTTGCACCGTGTCCTTGGTAATCATGTCGAAGACATTTCCAGAACGGGTAAAGACGGTCGACAATCAGAAGGTTCAGGCCCTTTTTCATCTAACCTTAATCCCATACACGGCTCATCCGCCACCCGCTTACTCCCACGGGGTCCGAGTCCCTGATGATCGTCTAGAACTCATCTTACTATCCCACGTCATTCGTTATGTACACAATTTCCCCTGCCTGAGCACAATCAATGTCCCGCGATTCCCGTGTCTTGTTTTATATTAGATGGGTGGCTGGACGTTAGAATGTAGATCACAAACCCAATCCCAGTGAATTCCCACCAAAGGTCGAGAGCCTAAAGTTTAGGCCAGGTACCTGAGACAATCGATCAGCAGTATCTTTGCAATAATACAACAAGGTGAAGAAGAAAGAAATGAAAAGTGCCGCTCTGGAATATCATGGTGGGTTACCTGACCCGTAGGCGGGCCGTCACACGTGTAGACCGATCTCGTCAGTGTGATAGCAGTCGCAATTACATTAGCTGGTTCTAGATCATATCCCTATATCTATAAAACCTGCGAGGGATTCTATCGAATTATATCGAGATTTCACGTAGCGTGTCATTC